GGGTTTTCGAACAATGTTAAGAGCTGGGATAGGACTAATAAACCAGCAGGGCCGCGAGGATTCGATATCTCAACACATTTCACATTGAGTATGAATTTACTGAACTTCTTTAAGAGATCTAGTAACTCCATCAGTTCACTTTCTTTCCAATCAAGGTCCAGGAAAAACCTACATGTAGCTTGAAACGCAATGCCAGATAGTCCATACTTTCTGGGTTGATTAGCTTCGTTGATATCAAACATTCTCCAAATAGGGGTGGGTTTGAATACATAGTTGTTGCCGCTATTTATAAACTTCTGGAGAAGCTTTTCTTGCTCTGGGCCTAACTTAAGTGCACAATCCTGTTGATCCAACTCGGATAGGTTAGGTCCATATCCATTAAAAGATAACGTAGAATCTTAGCCAGCAGACTTCCTACTTGAATGAGGTTTACCGTCCATGCCAGATTTGTTAGTTTGGGGATTGCTTGATTGAGTTCTTGAAGTAGAGGGTTCTGAATCAGTGGGCTCCTGTTTACTTTCACTTTCACTTTTGACTTTCATGTTTTTAGACCTATTATCAAGTTGAACTAACGCTTCTTCAATTATCCTAGATATGTTGCCGAGACTTTCGAGTTCATCATGTTTCAATAATTGATCTACCACCGGATCCATAACTTGAGTTATATCGTCCCGGCCTAACGTATCAATCTTAGGTAGTATTTTCGTTAGTTCTTCTATTATGATCACTTTGATTCGGCTTTTTAATTCATGGGGATTGTATTGGGCGTCTATTGCGATTAGACCATTTTTAGCTAGGCTTATTTCGGCATTCGGAGATTGATTTTGTGGGCCCTTTAAGTTACTATTAACTTGGATTAGTCGTTTTGCTATCTTTTCTAGCTTACGTATGCTCTCTATTGGCGATTCTTCGGGCATCGGGATATTCTTGCATTCAGATAACCATTGGTCCATTTGTTGGGCAATTATATCAAGACTTTGCCGTATTATTTCTTCTCTGACTAGTTGAGATATCAACTCAACCTTCTTTTGTCCGACTAGATTCTTTGATTTGTCAGAGAAGCTACAACCACTTTGGGTTGCGTTCATGTTCTCAGAAGCCTTTTGTTCTTCTTTCTCGAGGTTCTGTTGGCGCTGCTTTATTTGATTTATTCGCGTTGATTGTTTATTCCTTACGAATTTCAGATTGTTTATTGTTTCGGTCATCGCAGCATATTTCGATTCTATTTGACTATCTATATCTAACGTGAGCCTTTTAAATATATTACCCGTCGCATTCGTATATGAATCCTCATCAGAACTACACCAAACACAACACAATCCAATAACCAAACAAACTACTTGATAAACATTCAAAGAGTACTCATTTAACCTTTTGTTCATTTTACAATTTGCTATCTTATATTTTTATTTATAGGTTATAGTATATCAATATCAAAGATCTTCTAGTCTTAGCCAAGCAAATTCTCTAAATTAGTAGAATATCAAAAAGACTTACTTTCTAAGTATGTCTATTCAATACCAAACCAATACGGCCACTACTAACCCAACCCAAAGATCTACCTAATGTTTTGCCAGCTAATTACGCCTTGCAACTTTAATAGAGTCAATCTGATTCGACTAATTTGGCTTTACATATCTACGCTACAATTCAATATGACGTCATCCTCTCACACAACCATATTTACTTAACAAATCACATCGATACTCGTCTCAAGGAAGGTCTTTAATAGAGTAGGCATTGGCTAATGAACCCTATCCAACTCACAAGCACTATCTAAGTTATAAAAGCTTATCTAAAACTCTCGAGTAAGTATAGTCGAATAAAATCTAACACCATCCACTTCTAAATCTACCCTTAGGGGTGAAAGGTTGTATTCCTGGTTCTAGAGACAGAAAGGAGGCTCATTTGGTTGGTACCTTAGTTCAATAAAGATAATCTCCAAGTCTCACATGCTGAAGGCTTTTGTATTTCAAACTGGGCGAGTTTCATGCTCGACGTGCCACATTGATTACAATTTAGATACGTATTTTGTTTCGACTATAATCTCGTGAGTTGAGATCATTTTTCAAAGCTATAAATATGCTTTGAAGTTGATAAGAACCTCATAATGAAGAGCCCGCAGAGAACTAGACAAGAAGCAAGAAACGATAAGGAGTACACTCCAGAACACCAGAACCCGTATTTGTTCAACAGACTTGTTCGCCGCCCAAGTCAAGATAAGTCTTTAGCTAAATTCCGGCCGTTGAAAGACTGTGTTTCCTTCCTAGAACACAATGCGAGACATAGCACTAGAACTACTCCCCTAAAAGCCAATGCTTATACGACCAAGATATCTCACTGCCGAGTGATAATATCTAGTTGGACTGTAGTTAGATTGTGTGTCTTGCTGGTACTGTTGCAATGGACCAGTATAGTGAGTGGCTCGAGTATGGAAATAGATCAGCCGGGTTTGCCAAGTTCAGAGGATGTACTTAGATCTCTAGAAGAGATTGGGTTCAGATGGAGCTTCAATGGCACGAATCCTTGTGTTGTATTCTGTTCTTCAGAGGAAGCCCCGGAATCTACACCTACTCCAGGTGTTACTGATAATACTAACCCAAATTCAACCCAGCCTAACTCTACACCGAACTCAACGCCTAGGTATACGGTAGACTTTTCAAACATGTACATTTCTTTTACACTACCAACCTATCCAGATTCACCTGCGATTGTATTGCATGAGATAAGAAAAATTGATATGATTACTGCCGAGGAAGTTCTCCTTGCTTTTTACAACCCTAACAAGTATTATCATCAAGATAATTTGTTACTTCTGTGTCGACTTCTTAACCTACTTGCGTGTAAACAGATGGTGCTTAGAATTATTTTCGAGGGCATTCCTAGATTAGATGGATTTCCATATGGCATTGATTCAGTTATACGTCAGAAAGAAGCTGAAGATACAATTAGATGCGCTGGATCGGCGCCATTTCATTTGATTATTGATTCAAATGTTGAGTCGGCTGCCCTTCTAAAGTATATATTTAATGACCTCGTTATATTACGGCCTGTTTTAAATATCAGTTTGTCTAGCAAGTACGTCCCTGATATCTCTGGATATCTCAAACCTTTATCACTCACAGAAGATTCCGCCCTCACAATTTGCTATTCCGAAGAAAACATTCAGATTGACTTGAAAGCCATTCAAAAGGCTGCTCATAAATGCTCCAAGATCATCTTCCGAATTGAAACTCCCCAGGCCCCACCAATAGCTGGACTTGAGGAAGAAGTATCTGCCGAAGGTCCAACTATAATTCTAGCTGGAAAGGGTAATGTCATTCAATGCATTGGAAAGGAAAATCCATATCCAATCCATGTTCATGTCTTATCATGTAATGAGTCTCATACTAAATGGGTTGATATCTTGAATGTTGTTGATGAACCACAATCCCCTTGTGACCCCCGTATATTTGCCAACAAAGTTGTTCTCGTGGCCTCGGATTGCACCTGGTGTGATTTCCCGATTTACTACGAACAAGTAATGTCCGTGAAGTTCTTTGCTGAACATGGCATTTCCGTTGGAAAAGTCGAGTTTGAGTATGCTGATGGCCGAGGCCATTTCTTTAAAGCATTAGAGAGTCTTTGCAAGGCTAAAGCTTTATCAAAAATCCCAACGGATCTTGCTGATAAGAATATTGCGTGTCTTGACCACGCACTTAGTGGCCCTTGTTGGGAACTTAAAGAACCAGTCAATATCAGACTTAACAGAATAAGCCTCACTCACAAATGTCAGAGAATACGCTACACAACACTTAGTATTAGTGGTGATAAAGGCCGTGAAGCGAACAACATACGCCTCTGCAATAACCTTCTACGAGAGTTGCAGAATATCAATGCGCAAGAGCTTCGCATCTCAAATGTGTGTAATTGCTCTTCAACTAACACTAACTTCGACCTGACCCAATTAAAGCTCCGTTTAGCTAATCCTCGAAAATACAACCTCAATGTCAAGACTTTGATTCTAAACAATGTCGATGATTGCATTTTATACCGAATGCTAAGTTGTTATGACTTTACTTGCTCATCTAAAACTGAAATTCATCTCCTAAACCACCGCCTCACTAGTCTTGCTATCGCCCAAATACTAACCCTTCCTATGACTGAAAAGATCGCCAAACTCGTAATCGAGGGCGTCACTCGTTTAAATGAGGTCAAGCATTTCCACCAGCGAAAGGAATTGAATGAGTTCTCACTGTTTAACTATCTTGAGGAGCGTAAAGAGAAGAAAGAAACTGAAGAACTTGACCTCCACAAACTCGTCCTAATCCTCGAACCCATCCTCTTCGACTCATATAACATACCCTTACAAGCTCTCAAAGATCTTGGCGTCCAAGTACTAACCAACCCAAACAATGACTGCATCACAGAACCGCCTTTCCCCACCCAACCCCATATGATAGACATAAAGAATTTCACCTATTGCATTACCACCCTTGATGCCTTAAAAATCGACCTTGCTAAGTACAAATCCACTTCTCTCACTCAGCCCAACCCAACTCCAACTCCAACTCCAAACTCAGTCCAGCCTGATTCCATTACTAATCTGTTCTTGCGCATTAGTGACGCCCATTTCCTAACTAGAACGGATTTGAATACTATTATCTGCTGGATAGGTCACCGATTCAAAGATCTAACAACTCTCTGGCTGGCCAACTTTAAACTGACCGAGAGCACCCGGAAGGCCTTGAATTCGTACAGGTATATACTCAATGCTCTACCCTATCTTCAGCTCATTCAGATCGAGGACACGATTCTTCAGCAAACCCCAATTGAATTACAGCCACGGTCATATATTAATGATCTATTCGCAATTACTTCAGATCTTGAACATACATTCACCGCCGTATCATATGAAGTGTTGTCTCAACTTTACACCCATTGTGACAAAATTGAGAACCTCATTCCTAATTACGATGGCTCCAATGAAACTCTCCATACCATCATAACTAGTCTCCAGAAATTGAAGAAGGATGGCGATGTTCCTTACTGCCCATGCTGCCAAAGAACTCTTTATATGCCATCGGAAGAAATGAAAGATGATCAGGCAGATGTTATGGAACCTAATCCCCAACTCGTCTCAGATACAGGCTTCGATACTCTTTGTTATCTCGACTGTAAAGTTCCGATCTGCATTTATTGTGCCAGTAGAGTAGAGTATGCCCATATGTCTAATTGTAACATTTGCGATCGTGCATATACACTTGGGTTTCGCTACAGGCGGCTTGCCGGCACTCCTGCGTCGGTTTTTATCTTCCCTGATATGAGTGCTAACAAGCCTGCTACTGATTCTGAGTGGCTCCAAACCAGACCATGGACGGATAATCACCACTACTTCTACATCCTCTATGATAGCCTAGAGTTGTTAATCAAGGACTATGAGTTTCATGCCCCGGGGAAGGGATAGTACCTTTTAACCAAACATATTCGACTAAAGACCGATTCTGAAGAGGACGATGGGAGAATTTATTCAACTCTGCTTCTTCGAATTAGTATTGGGTTACTATAGCTTAGGTTCTCGTTATCGTACATCATCTTGAGCTAGTCTGTAAACTCAGAATATAAATACTATTCTGAGCTTGTGATTTCTAATTCAAGATTTAATCGCGTTCGCTGCGATCAGTGCCAAGCCGATAAACATTGCAGCACTACACTCCTGTAGATAACCCACTTTGAAGTGGAGGCCGGTGAGGACACCACAATAAGAAAGAATATCTTTGCCATTAACCCGTCTTGGTGCACAATCTTTGGCTAGTCCTAACTCCTATTTGAATCAGCTAAATGGGCTCTTTTACCCACTTTAATGTGAAAGAACCAAAGACTATAACAACTCTACCCTGTCTTAAAACTACCAACTCCATACCAACACCAACTCATTTCAGTGCTTTAAACCGCTATATCCACTTGATATACTCAATATATATCACCTCATCTACCTCTCTATCCACCTGAACCATCCCATTTTGAGCTACTCAATGGAATATCCATCTCAACCTTACTACACTACACCACCATAACTCAAATAAATCAAACTAGCTCAACTTCTCTATGTCTTCTTTATTGTCCTAGCCCAAGCAAGCCAGACTACATTGCTTATCTTAATATTACTATCTGGTCTCTGTATCCCCCAAACGTATCCAACCGTAACACTTCTATTAAATAGACTCGTTCTCCGCTGGTCTACTAATTAACATTGTAATCGACTGAAGCAGATCTAAATTCACAACATACTAAACAAACATTAAGTGAAAGTAAAACTCAAGATAAACTCAACCAAATTTCAAAATGAACACTATTGAATTTATTTTCAAGATAATATGAAATTAAGATCTTAGAATATACCTATCTTTTATGACAACTGAAATAAAACTAGAAAGACAGAGAATCATTGATACTGCATATATTAACAAGTTATTTTAACAACTACAAAAGATAAGAGATAGCGAGATTGTCCGAAATACATTAGCCCAAATTTTTTAAAGCTTATGGAGAATCCTAAGCTCTCAGAGTACTTTGGTTACGATCAGTTCATGGATTTTGGATCCCGAGATGGTTGGCTACTTAATTATCTAGTCAAAGAAAAGCTTTGTCCAGAACTTAACCGAGCGATTACTTTTGGTGTACTTTACTTTGTCGATCCAGATGGCCGTAATTTTAGAGTAGAAACAATCTTCTACCCACAAATCATCATTTCAGTTGAGGAAGGTCAAGAAACCACTGCTGAAGAATATCTAAAACAAAAACATAACAACCATATCTATCAGATTAACCCAATCTTGAAAACAAATCTTCAAGAACCAAACCATTTAAGTCCCAAACCGACCAAACCAGTCCGACACTTTCTAGCCATTCAGTGCTACACCGAAAGTGATGCCCAGACTCTCAAGCGCGAGATAGATGAAATAGTTAAACGTAACCGTCAAAAGCGACTGGACAGATCAGCAGTCCTTCTCTTCTCCAAAGAAGCCCGAATCAATAGTGAAGTAGATCCAGAGACAAGTATTCTAGATATTCATGAGTATGATATTTCCGCAAGTGTACAAATGGCCATTACTAGAGACTTTAATGCCGGTGCCTGGTATACAGTAGAGTATAAAGGAGAGTATGTGATTACTAAGAGTAGTCGAGTTCTTCCACCTGAATTACGTATTCTAACCTACGATATTGAAACAACCAAAGATCCTCTTAAGTTTCCTGATGCTGAAAAAGATAAGGTTATGATGATATCTATTATGAGTAATACAATTGGCTGGTTGATTGTTAATCGAGAGATTGTTTCGGCTGATATTGATCCCTTTGAGTTTCGACCGACTAAAGATATTGGGGGTGAATTTGAGATTTTCAATGAAGCTAAGGAAAAAGACTTATTACTACGCTTTCTAGAGATTATTCATACTTATAAGCCGCATGTTATTTCCTCTTATAACGGTGACTTCTTTGATTGGCCCTTTTTGGACAAACGATTGGAAAAGCATGATATTTCCTTAACAACTGCTACTGGTGTCTATAAAAACACGCGTGGTGAGTATCTTTGTGACTTCTTCTTGCACTTAGACTGCTTTAAATGGGTCAAAAGAGACAGTTACTTACCAGCTGGTAGTCAAGGACTTAAAAGTGTAACTAAGGCTAAACTTGGCTACTTTCCTGATGAAATAGATCCAGAGAATATGGTGTTATTTGCTAGTATTAAACCCAAAGTACTGGCTTCCTATTCAGTTTCAGATGCAATTGCTACTCACTTTCTCTATTTAAAGTATGTACATCCTTTTATCTTTTCGTTAGCTTCACTGATTCCCTTATGTCCTGATGATATTCTTAGAAAAGGATCTGGAGCACTCTGTGAAACCTTGTTGATGAAAGAGGCTTTCTTATGTCATGTACTGATTCCGGCTAAAAAGAAGACCAAATTGCTTTACAACTACAATGGTCAGGCGGCTGAGTCACTTTCTTATGTGGGAGGTCATGTAGAGTGTTTGAAATCCGGTGTATTTAGATCAGATTTTGAGTATGATTTTGTTTTTAATGAGGCTTATCTACGGATGATGATTCAAAAAATAGATAAGATAATTGATATGGAGCTTAATGGTAAAGTTGCCACCAATCGAGTTGAGGTTAAGCAGGAAATAGAAGCAGCACTAGAAAGTCTTATCCAGCAAGGCAACTGTAAACTCAAACCATACATCTACCATTTAGATGTTGGAGCCATGTATCCTAACATTATCTTAACTAACCGATTGCAACCAGTGGCTATAGTTGATGATAAGATCTGTGCCCAGTGTATCTACTACCCGGAAAAGGAAACATGCCAGCGCAAGATGGTCTGGAAAGTCCGAGCTGAGGTTTATCCCGTGGACGAGAAGACCGTCAAGTCAATCACCAAGAAGATCAAAGAAGATAAGAAACCCAGTGATATTTCACCCGAGCAAAGACTTAAAGATGCCCTGGTTGCCTACTCCAAACGTTTCTACAAGAAGACCAGAGAAGTCGTGATTGAAGATAAAACCAGCACTGTTTGTCAGAAAGAGAATCCCTTCTATGTCAATGCAGTTCGACGTTTCCGAGATAGACGAAATGAGTACAAAAAACTAGCTAAGCAAGCCAAAGGTCAAGCACAAGAAGCTCTAAGTGCCCAAAGTCTTATCAATGGCGAATCAGCCAACGATCTGTTTAAAAAAGCCGCAGTTTATGATTCTCTCCAGATTGCGCATAAGTGTGTTTTGAACTCGTTTTATGGTTATGTAATGAAAAAAGGGGCTCGTTGGTACTCCATGGAGATGGCTGCGGTCGTATGCCAAACTGGAAGTTCAATTATTCAAAGAACCAAAGCGGTTATTGATGCTTTTGGAATTACTTTAGAGTTAGATACGGATGGAATTTGGGCCCTTCTTCCCCAGGGGTTTCCACTAAGTTATACGCTTAAGTCTGAATCTGGTCCGGTTTATTTCTCATATATTTGCTCTGTTCTCAACCACATGCTACTGGAAGAGTTTAGTAACCACCAGTACCAGGACCAGGGACCATCAGGACAGTACTCTATCCAGACAGCTAACTCAATTGGCTTCGAAATAGACGGACCATACCGAGCTATGTTCCTGCCGGGCTCAGCTAAGGAAGGCGAGTCAATCAAAAAGCGGTATATTGTTATCAATTCTAAAGAGAAGATTTCTGAAATCAAAGGTTTTGAATTCAAACGAAGAGGTGAACTTAAGTTTGTCAAAGCATTCCAAGAAGACTTTTTCAATACTCTCTTGGCCGGTACTACCCTTGAAGAGTGTTATAATGCCTTAGCTCAGTGTGCCAAGTACTGGATTGGGATTATTGAGAAGAAGGGCGGGCCATTGAACCAGGAAGAGATCTTTGAGTACTTTGGTGAAACCCGAAGTATGTCCAAAGATGCCCACGAGTATGCAGCCGTTAAATCTACATGTTTAACTGCTGCTGGCCGATTAGCAGAATTACTTGGTCAAGATCTCTCTACCAAAGGAGTTAGTTGTTCATTTATTGTTAGTAAGTACCCAGTTGGCGAGCCAGTTACTTCTCGAGCTATTCCACAGTCAGTCTTTTACACCCAGAAGTCTACCCGAGATAAGTATCTTAAGAAATGGCTACAAGCAGCAGTCGTACCCGCTAATATTAAAGATATCATTGATTGGGATTACTATATGGAAAGACTCTCCAATGTAATCACTAAAATCATTATTGTTCCTTCGGCCCTCCAGAGTATCAAGAATCCCCTACCTAATATTGCTGCTCCTCAATGGACAATCCAACACCGTAAGATTCTAGGCTTCCTCCATAAGAAATCCACTCGATTCGAACCCTCCATCAACCAAGACATCTCTAACCAAGACATTATTAACCAAGAAAACCTTCCTATTCCTGCTAAGTCCCAATCAACTCCTGAATCTTCTCAACTAAGTCCGCCTGAAAAGGCCATTATTGGTAAAACCCGACTCTCCGACTACTTCCAGACTAAAAATACTACCTCTGTATCTCTACTACCCCCAGCCACCACAACTACTACGACTACTAATCCAACTATTATGATCAAAAACGTAACGGCATACTCCTTCACTAAAGTCAGTTTCAAAGCGAGTAAAGTCCAGGAAGAAACTGTTCCTCTCCAAAAGACATTCTACCTACAAGCCCCACCGGCTGTTCTAGACCGACTAATGGCTACTTATACCACTCGTTCAAAACAAGAGATTGAAGTATCCCGGCTAACTCGTGTTGTCCTGGGTAAGTCCGGCCAGCAAGAACTTCTGAAAATGAGTGTTAACTCAGAAGAGTTCCATGTTAACTTTCATAAGTACACCGAGTTGTTTGAAAGTCCTGAAATCCACCAAATTGTCGAGTTAGATGTTCCCCCTATTATTAGAGCCATTGAAACTATCGGGTATAACCAACCACCCGTTATTTATGCCGCTATTACATCTATTGGCGAGATTATTCATTGTGCACTCAGTGGTCCCACTACCCAACTCTTCACTAGCAAAGAAGAGCTTCAAACTCATCTTAACCAACTACCACCAACCGTTATTTTCACCAGTAAGTTCAAAAAGCTAAGTGTCTTCAACAGTAAAAAGTTCCTAGTTATACCCTTAGATCTAACCGTTCCCAAAGCCATTAACAACCACCAAATTGCCAACTCTCTTTTTGAGGTGCTTCATAAAGTCCAAACTCGAGCTGAAGAAATACTTGATATTTGTGCATTTGCCCGAATTCCTCTCCTTGAGCTTCCCTATCAATCCCTACCGGGCTTAGCTCTAGACTTTCTGCACTATAAAGAACGACTTAAACGAGACATTATTGGCTGGGGTGAAGCTACTAGTCAGCCTAGTATTCATTATACACTGGCTAGTCCCTATCTCAGTCCATTCAAGAAGGAGTTTCATCAAGAAGGTATCTATGAAGGCTTCAGTATTAGTCTTCATCTGTCCGGAACTATTCTACTTGGTGTAATTGAGTCTGAGCTACTTCTTAAGGAAGAGAATGTTCTAACTAAGCAGACTCTAGAAATGCAAGTTATGCTCTCTTTAATGAAGAGTCTTGTCCATGGCTACATTCTCAAAACCCCAGGAGCTCAGTACTTAGTCAATAAGATAGCTAACTGGTGCACCTATCCAACTAAGGAAAGTACTATTACCAGTCAAGTTGCACTTGAAATCTCACTACTTCAAACCAAGTTTATTTCCGGTATTATTCGTGCTATCAAATTCTCCAACAGTCAAGTCATTCAAACCGACCATGAAGATATTATTATCCACACTAACCAGTCCACTCAGGCCTTAGCTGAAGCCCAACTCCAAAGTACGTTACAAGAGATAAACAGTCTGGAGTATGGTTCATTACTTAATCTTAGCCAAGGCACCTGGTTCAAAAGAGTCATTATGATAGACAAAACCAACTACCAACTAACTTTCCTTAATGATAAAGTCAAAGAATCATTCACTCATCCAATTCCCACTATAATTCTTAACGATATCATTACTGGAGATATTATTTCTGCTCTCGAGTACTTACAGCATACTTATCTCGAAAACTCTAAAGCAGGAGTTCTACTGGCCCGACTTCTTATCAAAATCTACTCTCTTAAGTTTGATGAAGCCAGTTTTGCCAAGAAGGCTGCTAATATTGTTCATCTCAATCCTTTTTCCTATGAACTCACTAAACCATTCGGTGCCTATACTTCACTTACTTTGATTTGTAACTGTACGGGTTCAACTACCTTTTATTTCCCACTTGTTCCCACTCCTAGTGCCAAAGCAATTGATGATCATTTTGACCATCTTATTCGCCACCAGCAAAAGCTCCATCTTACTTGCAGTCGTTGTCTTACACCTTTCACCCGAGAAGAACTTGAAGCACGAGTTTTAGCCCAAATTACTGAGGAAGCCATCAATGCCATTAAGAGTGAGAGAAAGTGTACGCGTTGTAAACGACCTGCTCCCGGTCTAATCACCACACGATGCAGTTGTGGCGGCCGTTTCGATAAGAACTACAAAAAGATCTTCTTTGAAACCACCGCCCATATTATTTCTCTAGCCTCCTTCATCCCCACCGCCGCCTCTCTTACCCAAGCCCGCAAACTCACCCACTATCTCTCCGTCTCAATTGTGCCCCAATAAATCATCAATTAAGTATAACTCATTCTTACCTTATCTTATCTATATAACAACATACTTACTATAACAACATACTTACTATAACAGTATACTACTATACTACCATAACAACATACTACCATAACAAAATGATAAGCATAAAGTAGATAGTCAAGTAAGTATACTAGAAATATAATAGAAATACAAGTACTAAATACTCACTTACGCAAATCCAAACCCAACTACTAACTCAACTAAATACCCACTTAACTAAATACTAACTCAACCCAACTACTTACCCAACTAAATACCCACTCAACTACTCAACTAAATACCAAACAGAGTCCAATTTTTACCATATGCAGAAGAAGGCCTTTATTAAGTCTATTCTTATTCCCATTGCAGCCGATAAGCTTTATGCCATCAATATGTTCTTTCTTGTCTGGATATGTACAGCATACATTCGCTGGAAAGTCTATCTCTTTACCGCCAAATACCAAGAGATCTCTTGGCTGGCCAATGTTTTCAACTCTGAGTACTTTTAAACCCAATATACGTTCTCCCATACTCCATTCACCCAAAACAAAAGGTACTCCCAAACTCAGCCACTCCGTCTACACCTTAACCCATATCTAAACTCTACTTAACTCGGCTGATTGAGCATTGTTTTGATTTTTGGAGTTGGTATGACGACAGCCTATATTTTTATATATTTACCCCCCCTTCTATTTTCGCTATGCTTAGTAGTAGTTCTGAAGAATATGACTCTAACCTATCTAATGACGATGATTGGGTCGATATCTTTCTTAAAGGCTTTTCTAAACCAATTCTTGGCAAAGTCGATATGATGTACATAGATGACTCATTTAATCTTTTTGGACTAGCCGATATTATTAAGGAGTTTGATAGGTCTATTCAAATCATCCGAGGTCTAGCCGCCCAACGGTTCTCTGAAACGGACAAAACCCTCTATTATTTGATCCACCAAAGGTATATCTTAACCAAAGCCGGCCTAGAAGTTATGTACAATCTGATAAATAGAGATATCTATGGCCGGTGCCAAAGACTCCGCTGCGAACTCTTCCCTCTTCTTCCTACTGGACTCAGTGATTATCCAGGCAAGTCCAATACCAAGCTCTTCTGTTTCCAGTGCAAGGAACTCTACGAATCAGTCGGTGAACTAGCTAAAATTGACGGTTGCGCTTTCGGCCGAACTTTCCCCCATCTGTTCTCTCTTATCTATAGCGATTTCTTCCATGAAACCATCAAAACACCCCCTTACATCCCTCGCATCTTTGGATTTCAAATAGATAGCTTACACCACGAATAAACCCATTTTTTTATTGCGTCATCATGTTATTCTCTATTGAAACTCTTAAAGCGTATGCCCAATCAAAAGGACTTCCCGAGATAGAAGAAGAAGATTTAAAGATTCTAGCTCAGGATTTAGAATATAGGCTTAAGGAGTTGGCCCAAGAAGCTTCTAAGTTTATGTTGGCCTCTAAACGTGCTAAATTAACTATTGAAGATGTCAATTATGCCCTCTTATCTAAGAAAATAGACCCATTATTAGGATACGATACAAGTGATTCATTAGTCTTTAAAGTAATTCCCGGGTCTAATTTGTACTACGTACCCGATGAAGAGGTTGATTTAGAGACTGTATTAAGTTCTCCTCTGCCCAAAATACCGCATAAACCGGTTGTTTCCAAACACTGGCTGGCCATTGAAGGCGTCCAACCGCAAATACCCCAGAATCCCTTACCGGTTGAACGAATGCCAGAAACCAAGAAAGATGATAGTTTAGCCGCTATGAAAGAAGACATTGAAATTCGCAACCATATGAAGCATCTACTCTCTAAAGAGTTACAAATGTACTACGAAAAGATAGCTAGATTTGTCAAAGATAATGAGAGTATTGATATTGCCGCTGAGTGTTTACAAAAGGAAAGTGGGATTCAGCAGTTAATTCCTTACTTTGTCCATTTCTTCAATGAAGAGATCTTAAAGAATCTTCGTGATGGCCGTTATTTGATTGGGATCATTAAAGTGTACGAAGGACTAATTATGAACAAAATGATCTTTATTGAACCTTATATGCACCAAATGCTACCATCTTTACTAACTTGTGTAGTTGGTCGTAGTATTGGTTTGAACAAGCAAGAAGAAGAGTCCATTCCCGCCCCAGCTGAGGAAGAGGAAGAACTAAGATTTCCAGCTGAAAATACTATTGGGTTAGCCACTCGACGACGAGCCTCCCAAACCATCAACTATATTTATAGCACTTACTCTTTATCCTATACGACTTTAGCCCCACGGGTTCTTAATACTCTACTAAAGACCTGGGCTGATTTCGGCAAAACCCCCGAATCCCATTACGGAGCCATCTACTGTTTATGCAATCTCGGTCCCAAAGTCATCAATGGAGTTGTTGTTCAGTTCAAAAACGAGTATCTTGAAAAGGCCTGTCCCGAGAAGTATGCCCTCCCCCGCCAACTTCTTATCTACTACACCGAGAACCCCAATGCTCTTTCTCCCTCACTTGACTAACTTCTTCTTATTATCTTATTATCTTATTACTATCTGCTTATCTTATTACTATCTTATTATCTCACTATCTCATCATCTTATTATCTTATTATCTCAAAACACTAACTTATTACTATCTTATCTATTATCTCAAAACACCAACTTATTATCCCACTATCTTATTACTAGTATCTCAAAATACTAACTTAACTAAACTTATCTTACTATTATCTTCTTATCTCAACTAAACCAAACACTATTTTATTATCATCTTCTTAACTCAACTCAATTCAAAACCAAAATCAAAATCAAAACTCAATTCAAAATCAAATAAAAGGTATTATCAATATTTACTTGCTTTGGTTAGTCTAGAGGCTCTGCCCAGCCTATACTTACTCGGCATGGATTGAACTTATCTGTAAACGAGTAGTACAAGCTGCTTCACGTACTTCCTTAATAGAAGATTGAGCCTTAGCCGTAACTAACTCCAAGATCCAATGGGCATCAAGTAAGTGCTGCGCCCGTGAACTTTTACTCCCATATAACATCCATAAATCAGATATCAAATAAAGTGATTTAACTACACAAGCTGCATCAGTCGTTTCCGTAACAATTCGCTTAATTATCTCTAAAACAACCCCAATATTCTCCTCTAAGGCACTACTCTTCCCATCCGAAGCCTGTACCATACATGATAGTAAATCCAATAAAGCCTCACGTAACATTAACATAAACCCCGGATCTTCACCACTAATACCTACTGCTGAGGCCCCTAACTGCACCATTGCTTCAATATACCTATCAAAAGCCTTACCTACTGCTAAAGCTATATCAGCAAAACTAGATACAGCTACTACTCGTGCTTCCCTTGGTAATCCCGGTGATAAAACAGCCTTAATCAAAGCCGGAACAATCGCATTAACATAAGAAGTAAAACCTAAAGAAGAAGCAGCCGCAGCCGCCCCGATAAAAGTCACTAAACTAGCCGAATAAGCAGCAAATCCAGAACCACCTCCACTTACTAGTCCATGTAAGTCTCGAACAACAATTCCTACTAAACCTTCCATAAACCCAGCAAATTCAGCCCCAGTACTATCAGCTACAGCCGCTAAGACTAAGTAAGCATCCGTATACAAGTCAGACCAACCTTCCCGCATCAGAACTTGAAGACAAACTCCTACCGCCTCCTCTGGACTTACTACCCCTGGACTCGTACTAGCCACTACCTGTAAGATACTTAAGGCACAAGAAACACTCACTTCCCGGGGCTGAGTACTCCCTAACTCATTCCGGGCCTGCACAATAGCCTGTCTAGCCGCCTCTACTAACTCATTCCGGTGTTGAGCCTTCCCACCCCTTAGTAATTCACAGGTAGCCGAACCTAAAGCTACTTGTAAGCCGTACTCAACTCCACCACCGACTCCTATAAACATTCGCTGCCATAATTCACCTAGTAAACTCGCATACCGATTGTAAATAGAATCATCAGCATACTGAGTATCTGTACCTACTACTGCTCCAAAAATATCAGATAAAGCCCAAGCAGCATCTACAGCACATTCCGGACGGCGATCAATAATTACCCAAACTGCATCTAAAACTTCCCGACTCCGACTACTACCGTACATAGCCGGTAAAGCATACTTAAATAAACGAGGTAAAACCCAAAGACCACGATCTATTACATTAGGCCGTTCATCATTTAAAGCCCTAAAAACAACAACTAAAGCTACATTAACTAAAACAGATAAGTCCTGACCCGTCTCTTCATTAAGAAGACCTCCTAAAGCTACTAGACCGGCTTCTGACTCTTCCGGATCAGAAGATTGTAAGAACATCCTGACTGCTTCAATAACTGGCATTCTACCTTTAGGTCCTACTAAGTCGCCTTTCACTCGATCAGGAGCAGCTGCAGCTACTTGAGCCATTAACCAAGCAGCAGCCGCTCGGGGAGTCCATTCGACTTCATCTGGATCTTCTCGAGGTAGAAGGTTCAGAAGAGCCCCAAGTAAATCCGGGAAGGCAGCTGATACTAAGTAAATCTCTGAGTCCATTTCTATCTCAGTAATAACAGCCCATAAATCTATCCCGGCTAAAACCTTACTCTCTACTCCACTACTGAGAAAACTCAAAGCTGCATCGGAAAAAGCCGCCTGAGCTGCCGGCATTAATTGCTCAGGATATAACTGTAAACCAGAAACAAAACACTTCATAGCTGCTGCAGCTACTTCATCATCATTTTGGGCACAACCAGTAAATAAAGTCTCCATAATCATCCGACACTCACCAGGAATACTTATATTATAAGCAATAAAGGCTAAAGAACTCTCTAAGGCCTTATAAGCCGTCAGTAAGACCCGATTATCACTAGAATGAGTAGCCATAGTAATAGCCGTTAAAATTGAACCAGAAGCCTCTAAAATAACCATTCGATCCATTCCAGTCGTATCAGCACATAAAGCTCCAATAGTAGCAACTGTATTCCTTTGTCCAGGCGAATCAGGCCGAGCTCGACTGACTAAATCATTAAATACTTCTGGCCAACGACCACTAACTACTTCTATACGAGCTACTGCAGCTAAACATAAAGCTAAAACATCTCCTGCCCTATCTGGACAAGTATCTAAACCGGCTAGTAATTTAGCTCTTAAGTCTTTACGAAGACTTTCTTTTAGTTGCACCCAACGACTTTCAACTTCAGCTCGTTTTTCAGCCGATTCCCAGATAAAGAAGATCTTCAAAACCATTCCAGCAGTTAAAGCAACGCCTGCTGCCTGTCTTGGATCGGTTAAAAGAACAAATAACTCTGATAAAAGGTCGCCAAAACGATTTTCAGCTAATTCCCAAATAAAAGACTCGGCAGTTTTTCTTTGTGTATTATCAGCCGATTGCAGACTAAACAACGCCTTAAGTAACTCATCCCGCATATAAAAAACTAAAAAATGCAGACTTTGTATTGATTAGTCGTTACTTTGCTTTTTAATTGGTATTATCTTAAGTTAGAATTAGATTGGGTTTGGTTTAGGTGGGGTGGGGTTAGGTTTAGGTTTAGGTGGGGTGGGGTGGGGTTAGGTTTAGGTGGGGTTAGGTTTAGATTGAGTTAGTACTAAGTTGGTACTAGATAAGATTGATTTGGTTTAGTGTTAAGTTTAGTATTAGATAAGATTGAGTTAGTACTAAGTTAGTAATAAGTTAGTATGTTGGGTTTAGTTTAGTATTGGTTTGGGTTAAGTTGATTAGAGGAGTAACTCAATACTAACTCAGTACCAACTCAAACTAACTCAATACAATATTCTTGACTGGTGAATAGAGGTCTTTGAATTATGTCAGTTGTATTGTAGTGGTTTTGCTGGAGATAAACACATGACAATGTATCTTTATTACTTATCAGTAGTTCTAAGAGCAAAACTCAATCAAATTGGGTAGAGATTAGTAGAGTATAATGGAGTTGGTTTAAGAAGACGATATTAAACCTAATTAGATACTAACCCAAGTCATACTCAATATGTTAATACTTTATTCAATAAATCTGAAGAGTATCTAATTGGTTTAGTATTGATTTAGTATTAGTATTAGTTGAAAATGATGAGTTGCCACTTACAACACGACAGTTAGTCTGGTAGTAGTAATAGGTGATTTATGATTAAGTTAAGATATGATTAAGATATGATTAAGTTAAGATATGATTAAGTTGTTGTATGACATAAACGTTACAAATTGGCTCGTACTAAAGGATGAAATACCAAACCAGATCTTATTTGTACTTATTGATATCATCAAGTGATCATAAAGTATAAATAATGATGACGTCACCAAATACATTGTAGTTTCACACCCAAACCAAACAAGACAAGTATGATTAAGTTGGATAAGAGATAATAACAAGTAAATAGAATTGGGTTAGTATATCTACAGTTGGGTTAGTATTTCTATGAGTAAATACGTAACTTAATCTAATCTAATAAGATAACAACACAACTCAATCTAATCTAATAAGATAACAACCACAACTCAATCTAATCTAATCTAAACCAAATAACAACTCAACTCAATCTAATCTAATCTAACCCAATAACATAATAAGATAACTGAATAAGAATAAGAAGAATAACTTAAATACTAACTATATTTATTGGTTAGCTGCTGTTGGAGTTTGAGGCAAATTCATCATCATCGGACTCTTCGCTTTCATAATTATCAGAAATTGAATGGTCGTCTATTCCGTCAAAAGTCGAGTCGTTGTCTTCTATAGTAGTTGTTTCGTCATCCTCAAAGCTTCCCTCAGTAGCTGTAGAGGATTCAAGATCATCAGATGGATCGGAGTTAATTTCATCTTCTTTGCCGGATGAAAGGTCGCTAGTATAATCTTCAGATGAGTGTTCATCATGTTCACTCTTGCGTTTGAGAGGTCGGGCCATGTTGTCTGAAAAAGAATTTAGAATTTATTGGGTTTACTATGGGGTTAGTACTTGGCTTAGAAGTTGCTGTAATAAATTGGAGTGATTTAGATTGGACTGATTTGAAGTTAGATTGACTGGGGTAGGTTTTGGTGGGTTTTTGTGTTGTTTTTTGAATTAAGATTAGATTGAGTTAGATGGGGTGGAGTTGAGTAAGGGTGGTGTTGAGTTAGGTTAGGTTAGGGTGGAGTTTGGGTGGAGTTAGGTGGAGTTTGGGTGGTATTAGATTGAATTAAGTTGAATTAAGTTGAGATAGTGTAATGAATAGATAAGTTTTTGGGGTGGGATCTTTCCTTTTAGAGTAGTGAGGGTTGGGGTGGGTTAGAGTAGTGAGGGTTGAGGTGGGTTGGATTGGATTAGGAGAGGAATTTGGTGAGGTGGCGGATGGGATGGGAAAGAGTGCCTAGTTTGCGGCGGGACCAGAAGAGTAGGGCAATGAATTCAATAAAGATGGCTAGATGGGTTAGTTTGAAAGAAATAGCAAATCCAGATAAGAAAAGAATTAACGGCTTGATATTTTGGAAGTTTTGAATACTACAGAGGACTCCAATAGTAGTAAGAGTATTGCCGACAAAAACAAGATGGGTGTCCATTAGGAGGAAACCTAGTAGGATAAAAAAGATACCTGCACTGATTAGTGCGTGTTTTGGTTTTAGAGAATGGGTGAGATTGTTGAATTGGTTAAGCATGGACAAAAAATAAAAGGTGGGTTTAGATTGGTTAGAAATCAAGTTGATTACTTGTGGTGTGTCATACTTGCAAGCATGCCAAGGTCGAAATGTTAGATGGTTTAAATAAAGTTGAAATTCATATCTAAGAAGTCTAGAATTCGGTTATAAAAGAGTAGATTCTGTTTTTGATAACTTCCCAAAAAGGAAGAAAGAGAATGGATGACGTCATCTTTCCTTTAGTTTGATAGACAATTTTCAAACCAGTTGCAAAATAATGTGAATTCGAATGAGATTAGTATTTCTATGTATAATGTTCCAAATAAAGCATCTTTATTACAGTTTGTACTACCCACCTCGAAATCCCCAATACTAACCCAAAAGTGACGAGGTTCACTTCTGGCAAAGGAAATTGTCTAGGACTGTTTTGGCAATGGGGTTTTATAGCTTCCTACAATAGCTTTGCCGGCAGAAGACGTGAGTTGATTCGACAAAAAGTACATCACTGGATATGAAAACAGCTAATAAGCCACACAGCCACAAGCGCCTTTTAGGCGGTATTGGGTTAGTGTTGGGTTGAGTTGGTTTATTAATGGTAAAGATCTCCTATTGTTAGTAGATTAAAGCTAAACTTCGGCAGAATTAACAGATCATAACCCTCATAATCCGTTGCTTATTGGGTTGGCAAAAGTGTTATACGCGCTTTCCTTGCCTTGTCTTCTCTTCTAATTGGGCTATTATTGGCTTTGAGTACGGGTGATATTTCAGCCAATAACTGGTAAGGGATTTCCTAATATGGAAATTTTGACTATAAATATAACCGGTTTTTAAGTTGCTGATGCTTAATCAACTAAGAAGATTCGAATTGGTACTTGTTTTTGTGCTTGTTTGGTGTTTATTGGCATTAAACAGTCAAGTTGTGGCCACCGTAGGTGTGTCTACATATCTAATGAATCAAGTTCTATCACTAGAAGAATTAGCGGCCCTCGACTTCCCGTGGGCCAAAAAGACATTGGAGGACTATAAGAATGGGCAGATAAAGCACAATGGCTTGCCGCTAGTTGCCTCTACGGATATAAATGCGAAGCGCTTGTTTCTGAGGTACTACTTTTATCAGCGCCTAGGGCTTTCTTTCGACCGCCAGTCACGAACAGAGTACATAGCCCAGCACTTGAAATCTCTATTCAAGCACCGCGGTTATACTATAACTCGTGCCCCGTATATCGAATACGATCATGTCCCAAACATTCTTATGCTGTACGCTGCACTAAATCAAGATCCAGCCCACCCAAACCAAATCCAAACGACTATCAATCCCAAGCATGAGGTTTTTGTTAAGCACATCGCTAGCTTTGCTTGTTATCTAGAGGCTCCCGCCGCCACAAATAGACTTGAGATACTATGTCTTGACGAAACAAAGTACGCCGAGCTCACTGGACAAAAAGAGGACAAATCTACAGAGACTATGAAGTTGTATTCCCTTATTCAAACCAAGGAAAACCTCCAAACTCTGCGCCGCAGTTTTATATTCAACTACATTCATCCGCTCAACACATACCTCTACTGCACCGGTCTCAACTATCTATATGATGCCGATAATAAGACATTCGTGATAATAAATCACACTGCTGGTGATTCTGCGAACTTTATCCCTCATAAAGTCTGCCAAGTTGCGCGATTTACCTTTGAGGACGCAGTGCGTCTGCGGTATGCTCCCGACGATACATACACCATAGTAGCCAAGGATGTGCATTTAGAAACCTTCAGAAAGGCAATCCAGCGGTATTTGGGCATTGGCGAGCACAGAAGGTTCTACCGGGATAACAACAAGAACATAAGCACTTTTGCCGAGTATACACAGTATAAAGAGCTGAAGAAACAGAGCCCCGAGCCAGTTAAACCCAATAAGGAAGTAATAGAGATAGTAGGCGTGACAAAGATACCAAAAATTCGCTACATAGAAGAAGTACCATACACCACCAGGACGTCCTGGTATGCAGATTACTTTTCTAACCTGCCGGGCTGGTCTTGTACGGCACTCATTCTAAGCGAATATATATTCTATTATTTCCTGATCTACATTATATTGTTTATCTTGGCAGCCTTTTGTTGCCTTTTCTTCTCGTGGGGTCTGATCTCTAATATCTTCACTAACCCAGCTCGGGATGTGTATTGGAGTAATAGTCTCTGTTTCGGATTCATTGCAATCGCAACGGTCGCTTTATTGGGTAATTTTGGATATCAACTGTTTACCCGTTGCAGATGTGATGGCTGGACATTCTCCAATATCATACTTCTGACACTTCTAGGACTAGCACCCGTCTCTGTTGTTGGATGTCTGATTGTGTGGACAGTGCTTTATCGCCGCAGGCCAAGCCTAGGCAGGCATCTCCACTGGATACTTTATTTCCTTTCATTCCTACTCCTTGATGCCTTGCTAATTATAGATGACCATATCTTTGACGAGTACGCCTATTGGATTATGAACTCGGATCTTATATGTGAATCGTTCTATCTCTTTGGCGTGGGACTCCTTATTGATCTTTCTAACCTAAGGCTTGAACAAGAGCGAGAACAAGAACAAGGCGAGAACAAAAAAGAACACAGTGTTTCGATAATCGCAATCAAAACAGCCAAAATAATATGTCTTTTTATTGTGGTGCTAGGGTTGGTTGGGCTAGTGATTTGGGGTTGTGGTCTGGATTGTGGTGCGTCATATTTGCAAGCTCACCACAATCGAAATAATGGAGGATTTAAATAAAGTCGAAATTCATATCTCAAAATAGGAATACTAAATCTAATTCAATACCAACTAAAATCCAATTCTGAACAAGATTTATATATTTCATCTTTATGCTAATCTCGAGATACTGAAACCATCAGTGATTATCGATGTCATTAAAGCCATAAATCAACAAGACAAATATGTTAGACTACAACCAATCTGATCTCTGGTGGCATTGATTTCAAAAGCAGGCAAGCATCCTTATGATCCTCAAGAGTAAGTTATGCTTAATAGTCTTGAGAAAGTCTTGAGAAAGGTGTGATAGAAGTACAAATGATGGAAGTAATTGGCACTGATGGTTCTGAAAGACCAAAGGGAGTCTTTATAGAAGGACATGGTAGGAATTGGCATCTAGACGCATAAAACCCCTACAAACACGTTCGAGGCCATTATAAGAGCAAAGAGATGCAAACACAACAGGATCGATTATTGCCAAGGATATATCAGAACGAATAAAGACATCTTTTCGACTAGTATACTAACCTAATTCATATCTAAGAAGTCTAGAATTGAGTTATAAAAGAGTATATTATGTTTTTGATAATTTCCCAAAAAGGAAAAAGAGGGCAAATGACGTCATCTTTTCTTTAGTTTGATAGACAATTTTCAATCCATCAAAAAATAGTGCGAGTTTGAATGAGATTAGTATTTCTATGTATAATGTTCCAAATAAAGCATCTTTATTACTTTCTGTCCTACCCACCTCGAAATGGTCACTTTCGGGTGGTTTATTGTTTCAAGTCCGGCCCACGGTTTCATGGTTGGCGCTTCACACTTATCAAGTAGAGATAAAATTGACACAATTAAGATTAGGGCTTGGTTATTGGTTAAAGTGCTGCGGTTACTTGTACTTTTCCAGAAGAACTTATATGTTCGGACTCTTAATGTTACTGAGGCTTTCGTTAATTGTCTTGCCAATGGTCTCATCAAGAACTTGTTTGGCCTTTCCTGCGAGGTCAACACCTGTTTGCTTAACTGTTCCAAGGACATTTTCACCTGTTTGCTTAACTTTTTCAAGGGCACTTTCACCTGCTTGCTTTGCTTGTTCGAAGGCTGGCAACTCGCTGGAATAGAAGGTTCGGTTAATCCAGTTGAGTACAGGCGTGATAATGGCTTGGTAGTTGATTACTTCAGTGTAGCAGAGAACAGCAATGGTGAAGACAATAAGAGCTATAGTTCCAAAGATAACGGCAAACTTGATCGCTGTTTTCTTTGACTTATCTTCAAGGGCACAGAGTGAAAAGACAAATAGAACAAACATTACACTAAGTGCTGCACCTGAAGCGATACTAGTGTACATAAAAGCAGAAGGCATGGCATCTATAAACGAAGCAACGTTAATCATTCAGTAGGTACAAAAAACTTTTTATAAATACACCTACTTTTTTCCTTTTTAGGAAATGTGTCACTGAATTGCCATATATGGTAATTTTCCATATGACGTATAAAAAGATACTTATTTGACATACTGTCAAAGACCGGCTTATTAGATGATTACGAGTGCCGGGAAACACAAAGGAATAAATCTAGGCAAATATCTTATGTACAAGTAGATAGAGGTTTGAATTTAAGGTGTGATTGATGGTAGTAGTGAAATGATTCATTTCTGCTTAGAAGTAGATCTTTCATATTTAACCTTAGCACTAAGGATAGAGATAGTGTATTTTGCCTTATCTAATAATAGCCCTGCACTCTTTCTTTCTAGCACTATTGGCCAAGCGGCTGGTCTGTTTGGTTATAAAAGGGCTTTCTTGGCCAGTAGATACTTGCGTGCTGGTCGGGGTAGAGTAGAAGACCTTATTGATTCGGGTTAGTATTTTCCCAGTAATGGGCTTGTTGTTGAGTGTATTGGGTTGGTATTGGGTTGGGATTGTCTTAGATAAGATAGAGATGGTGGAACACCCTAGAAAATAAGTAGTAAAATAGCATAAACGTGCTTTATTCTTATGATTAAGCTGCTTGCCATTAGTTGGCTTCAAACCGTTGATTGGCAGACAGGAACTACATCAATAGCAATGCCGGCCTCGTCGTTCTTGCGATCAAATTCGCGAAGTGACTCAAAACACTTATCTTTCTCTTGCTGAGTCATCTCTGGCATGGTTGAGCGTTTGACTCGTGGAGCATCCTTAGTAATGTCATTGGTTTCTAGGGGTTTCTCGGCAGGCGCATTATTAGATGTAGTGTAGAAGACTTTGTTAATCCAGTTAACTATAGATGTGGCAATAGCCTTGTAGTTGATTACTTCAGTGTAGCAGAGAATAGCAAGGATGAGGAGAATAAGAGCTATAACTCCAAGGATAACGGCAACGGTAATCACACGTTTCTTGGCTTTCTTTTTAAGACAACAAACTGAGAGGACAATCATGAGAATAAGAACAGCAAGTGCTATTGCGGAACCGACACCAACATTCCATATGATGTTTGGCAGACTAGATAGAACAGATTCGAGATTGATCATAATATTACATCGGTCATAAAACTTTTCATAAATATGCTTATTCTTTTCCTTTTTGGGAAATATTACGTTCAATTACCATAAATGGTAATTTCTCAACTTGTTTCCGACGGGTGGTTTATTCGAAATATTTTTGAGAGCCAACTTACCAAGTTGTTTTGATCTCGGGGGTAAGATAAGGGGGTAAATTCAGGAAATGAATTTTGGGATTTAGAAATAAAGATTCAGGTTATTTTATGTGATTTTAACTGATTGGGGTTAGATTAAGTTGGGTTGGACTTAATTTGGTGATTAGACTATTGGGTTAGGTGTTGAAACAAATAAATGGATCTATTTATTGTGCCACAAAGCCTTGAAATCGGCTATTGGGTAGTGCTAGACTGGATTAAACGGACTCGGCTTCATAAACGATAAAACAGGGCGTTTCGTAGCTTGTTGATTCGCAGACGGTTGATTGTTTTACCATGGTAGGGTGCTTGTCTATCTCTATACTATGGTCGACATTTAGGTCGTTGTATATGGCCCATTCCCCGTTACGTTTGCAATAAGAAACATAATGGCCGGTGTTCATAGTCCGACCGAAATGGGTTATAAAGCCTTTGATTTTGTACTCGACGGGTGTGGATACTGGCTCGAATAAAAGATGGTTGGAGTTTAAGGTTTGGTCGATATTGATGTGTTTTGTGTACTTTGTAATGGTAGGAGGGTGACTGGTGTTTGCCGATGGGGTTACGGTTAGACAGTTGATCTCAATCATTATGTACTTGGGTAGTGTTAGAATGGCATAGGTAGATTGAGATCCATGCTTTTGGGTCTGTTTGCACACTTTCTCACTAATTAATTGGGCCAGAGACTGAACATCGGACGTATTAGGAGAGGTTTTTACACTAAGAATGGGTGTATAGTACTTGTCTTGCTGGTTAGGAACAGGCACAGAATTCTGGCCTAGGCTTAGTGTTTCGGTAGTGTCCATAAGGAAGAGACTGCGCAGGCTCTGGAGGGCAACTTCGTATTGATTTTCCTTGGTGACAACACTGGCTGCAGTTAGATATTTCTCTAAATTGTTGAAGAACTTCAGAACAACCTCTTTGGCATCTCCTGTCTCGTTTATAGCCGCAATGTCCATGTCTTCTATAGCACCCACAAGCACCTTTCTTATCTTCTGATCCGATTGGTGGTTACTATTCGGGGCGGCTATCATCCACTCATAGATATTGATAAATCCACTCAAAGTACGTTTTAGTTTAGGCTCATGTTGAAGGGAATTGTCGATGTTTTGATTGGTTAGACTAGGCTTAACTATATTGAGTAGAATCGCTTGGATTTCTGGGAAAGAAGCAATTATCTGTACGGCACTATTAAAGTAGCAACTTTGGCCAACATTAGGCAGACCTTGGGAAAATGAATCTGGATTGTTTCCGTTTTTAGAAGGAACAGGTGTTCTTTGCTGCTTCACGACAGTGGCAACATTCGATTCTGGCACCGTAACATAGTTAGCCTTCTCTGCGAAAGGTTTAGCAGCCTGCTGCGTGGATGTAGATTGGGGTGGTTGTATGGTGGGAATAGTGGGAAGTGTAGATTGAGGTGGTTGTGTGATGGGGGTAGTGGGAAGTGTAGATTGAGGTGGTTGTGGGACAGGAGGTACAGCAGGAAGTGTAGATTGAGGTGGTTGTGTGATGGGAATTGTGGGAAGTGTATATTGGGGTGGTTGTGGGACAGGAGGTACAGCCGGAAGTGTAGATTGGGGTAGTTGCATGGTAGGAGGTACAGCCGGAAGTGTATATTGGGGTGGTTGTGTGATGGGGATAGTGGGAGGAGGTGGGCTAGAAAGTGGTTGGGTTAGTATTGGGTTAGCAAGTGACGGCCGGGGGGTAGTGCTTAAAGCAGACGGCTGATGATAAGTATTAGAGCTGATTCCCAGCCAATTAGGGGCTACATTAGACTGGCCGATGTAATTGGCATTACCAGTCTGGTTAAGGGTAGGTGAAGTTTTAGGAGAAGGCGGAGAGGGTTTAGAAGGAGCAGTAGAATTAGAGGCAGTTAAAGTCAAACAGCCAAATGTCGAGGGAGCATTCATTGATTGATTAACCAAGCCGGTTTGTAGAATTGTACTGTTATTAGCAGTAGGCTGTTTAGCGTAGCCAAAGGGCTGGGGAGGATTTGAGTTAGATTGTGTAGATGAAACTACATGGCTTGTTCCTTCGTGTCGAATGAGATAGTGTGAAAGCGCATCGTTCGTTTGAATGACAAAGGACTGAGATAAAGTCCGACCAGCATTAGCAAGGGGATATTCCACACTATACTTATACAAGAGGTCATCATTTACCGGTGCATAGTTTGAGTATCCATAGATTGATATGTTCTTTGCGAGTTTGGCAAGAACTTTATGTGAAACTCCACCCAAACAAATGAAGTAAGCACCCGTGCCGTTACGACTTCTTGTTTTAATGGCTACGAAGTAGCATACTTCTTTAGCTAGAACAGAATCACCATTTTCAATAGTATTAGCCACAAAGGGTATCGATAAAAAATCGGCCGCACCAATTATCGATCCATTTCTTATTACGTCCTTTTGAAAAGCACTAGATCTTGGTATAAGACAAACCAGTAGAAATAAACAGGTCCATGTAGTAATTGCAATCCACCTTGTCCAGTTATTCATTCGAGTGTTTAGACTTTTAACAACTAGTATCTTTTGTGTGCTCACCATATCTTGCATAATATTTCCCTTTCAAATAAGCGATATATACATGAATAATCTAAATTATTAATGTTGTGGTAATATCCCAAGATATGATTCAACTTTACTCCCCAAAACAAAGGAGAGTGTTTTAATTACCCGAGTTGGCTATCAAATATTCATTTATCTTAGCTCAACTTAACTTCACCCCATCTACATCTACACCTCAACTCAACCCATCTACATCCTAATCCACCCCATCCTAACTCAATCTATTTGATTATATATTGTTTTGACTAAACAAATAGATTGTGCTAATCCAATCTAAATTCACAATTTCAATTTCAATTCCAATTTCAAACTAAAATACTAAACTAACTTAAACAATCCAAATACTAAACGCGATAAGAAATTAACATTAAATGTGCGAAGGATCTGACACAGCATATAAATCATCTAAGCTGCTCTTTGGCCTTCAAAGTTGTATGGAGAATAGTCAAACCAACGTATAAACATGATTACTGTCGTCTCCACAAGTTTAAATCTAAGTATGTCCATATATGGTAACATGGGGTACTAAAGAAAAAAGAAGAAATGAAGGTCTACTTTGTGATTCACCTGGTTTATCTGATAGTCCTACTAGGAATTCTCTTCAAACATGTACTCTATCCAATCATTCTTCTGGAGTGGCAGAAGAGAATTTCGACTGAACTCAAAGAGCTCTATAATACTAAAGTCTCTCAAGTACTGCCTCATGAAGAGTATGCAGTCGAATCTCAAGAAGTACTTAAACAATTGCGTGAAGTTGTAGTTTACAACCATTTATTGCCCGTTTCGGTAATTAGGACTTGTTTGGCTGAGCCCATCCAAGAGTCCGTAACTATTCGCCATCTGTACAATAGGATTAAGGAGGAGATTTCGCGGCCGCATAAGACATTCTTGTTTTACTCCCCAGAGTGTAATGTTGGGCTTTTTCTCTCCCTGTCGCTACCCTTAGTTTTCGTCACTCTTTCTAACTTGAAGTCCCTCTATCAATAAACATCAACTCAGACAGTGTTTCAGCTACATTGAAGTATTTAAGCAGATGGCGAGGCAAATTGAATGAAAATGAGCCAGGAAAGTGATGTCCCCAAAGAGTTGCTTGCCGAACAGAAAGCTAGCGAGCCAGTCGGAGAAGAGATAAGCAAAGACCAGAAAAAAGCCCTCGGGAACTTTCGGGACCAAGTTAGATACAAAGACTACAAAGGACTTGTTAAGACATTGCAGACTCTCGAGCCGGTGGTTAAAGATCCCAGTCGCCACCGCATTCCCGAGAAGTATGCCAGTAAGTACGAAATGATCCAAGAGAACGTTCTCCTGCTCAAGAACATTATTATTAGTGACATCAAGTACAGTATTTCGAATGAGAAGGCTCTGGACAAAAACGTTGTGCTGTTGTCCACCCTTTTATCGGACAAGTACACTACTGATGTGCAAACTTCAATTGTGACTTGGATGTCCAACACTACCCTATCTATCTACACCAAAGAATTGCAAAAGATCGAGAAACTATCAGAAACAGCGAAGGCCTTGGAATTACTGCTTATGATTAAGGACAAAGTTGGCATCAAAAGTGCCCACCTACCTATCTGGTGGAGTATTTCCAAAATAGTTCTGGGTGATCTTGCCATTATTCTCAAGAACAAGCTTATCCGGGTAATTGATAAGGGCGGATTTTCCGATGAAGAGTACTTAACAAGCTTCAAGGAGTGTGTTGAATTCGAACGGGTTTACTTAGTCCCCCGCACTAAAAGCAAACGAGCCGGCTCGCCCAAAGAAGTAACCGCTCTCAAACTTTCAGAAACTTCACCTAAACACCTCCAATTATTGGAAGACATTTCTAATGAGCGGCCACTCTGCACGGAAGAGGTCAATGAGAACAGTCTGTCTTTAGCGTTTATTCCCTGTATTGACATCTATATTAAACACCATCTTAGCAGTCTTGAGAAGCACAAGTTTGTTTTCTTAGATAAAGATGTTCATGCCACTATCTATGACACGTACACTACTCTCACTAATTTCCTGGCCAAACTAGCTTATTTCAAATTCCCAAGTGTCGGCCATGCCTTCCTTTCCCTCGTTGATGCCACCATTGCCAAAATCATCATTCGCTCGCCCTTTGCCAATGCCGAGAAGAACTTCATTTCCGGGATTGAGTCCGTTTATTATATCAAAGAAACCAGCGAACAAATGGCCCAGCACTTAGAAGAGCTTTTCGGACTAGGCAATCTCTCCTCTGACCAAACCCTAGCCGCCCTTGATGATCTTGCCAACCGAATATTTGCCTCCTACTCCGTCGCCATGCAACGCAGATTCGTCTTCATTACCAAACAAACCATCACCAACCAGTCCCTGCAAAAACACCTCGAACCCCTTCTAGCCACTCTTCTCCCCGAAATAGAAGCATTCGCCCAACTAACTTTCACCAACACCCAAGAGATCATTGAAGAATGGCTGGAAGTTCTAGGTCAGTCGATTATCAATGTCCTCTCCGATATTAAACTCAAAGCCCACCAAGCCGAATATCTCCTCTGTTTCATGTCCGCCCTTGAAGTCCCTATCAAAAACGCTATCTTTACTCAACTTAACCAAGATATTACCATTACTACTCTAGATCGAGCCAAACTTTATTTAAAGCTCTTCCTTATCTCCCCAGAGATGCACTCAGCTTTCATTGACAATTTCCACAAACTCTCCAACGGCCTCTTCCACTTCCACCAAGTCCTCGCCAAAGTCTCCAAAAAGACCCACCGTAAACTCATTGAGGAGTACAACCGCACTATCGCCGCCAAGCAAAAGGACCCCCAACTGGTCTCCCTATAACCAACCACCACAACCGAGCAGATTAGTATTAAGTCAAGTAAATCAACCATTAAGTCAAGTAAATCAACCATTTCCATTAGTAACTACTATTAGGCGGATTTTCATCTCCAGCCATAACCTTCTTCTTCCCCAAGACCATCCGAGCATTAATGGCTGCCATCGCACCCGTACCTGCTAAAGAAACCATCTCAATACACCCATCATAAGCTTCACCACAAGGAAAAACCACATCTTCACCAGCACCCGTCTCAGTTACAGCCAAGTGCTGCTTAGTCGATATAATCACTGTTTTGGCACAAATAGCTTGAGTTTCTGTTTTGACTATCGCCCGATCACCATTAACTTGAACTTCTTGCAAGTCCTCTTCCAAACTACTTACCTTAAACTTCTCCAGCTGCCGTTCTGTAGTCGCCTGGAAAGTCGCATAAGATCCTTCTTTGTATCCCAAGTATCTATTAACTCCTGAAGTGTTCATTTCTTCAGAGGGACACGTAATATGAAGAGTAGACTTCCTAGCCATGCCAGAATAGATAGCAGCAGTTAAAGCAGAGATATTTTTACCCACAATCACAATGTCATACACAAGCATAGGACAAAAATTAAACGAATCTAAATGACGTCTTCTAAAAATTGTGTTTATGTTCCAGAGGTTCTTTCAGCGTGATAATCAAATTGAGTGGACTTTATTGCCCAAAACCTATGCCAATGGTAGTAGGGAGCATCATTCTGGAAAGGTTCTTCTTCCGCAGATTTGTTTGGCCACTTTAGTTGAGAAACAAGTCAATACGCCTTATGTTTTCAAGATTTCGGCTCATGGGGGGATTGCCTATACACATGCGGGCGTGCATGAATTTACTGATGAGATTCAGGATATAGTATTGCCACAATGGATGTACGATCAGTTGACTTTAGATGAGCATCCTGTCACTGTTACTTGTGCAGAACTACCTAAAGGAAGCTTTATTAGGTTATTGCCACAAAGCAAGGAGTTCTTGGAGATAGAGAATCCTAAACCGGCCTTAGAAAGTGCTTTACGAAACTATCAAGTACTTAGTCCTGGTGATACAATCTCGCTTTATTTTGAAGAGGAGTTCAAGCACATTCTCTTTACAGTTTCTGAGATTAAGCCGGCTGGTGAAGGAATAAGTATTATTGATACGGATTTAGAAGTAGACTTTTTACCACCAGCTGATTATGAAGTTATTCCCGTGCAAACTGCCGATAGTTTAGTTGTTAAGAAGGAGGACCAGTTAGAACTAACTGATCCCTTCTATCACGCCAAACCAGCCCTTGGAGTTGTCTTTATGGGTATACCCAATTAGGTTTTGATTTGATTAAGTTAACCTCTAGTTAGTATTGAGTTGAGTTTGGGTTTGGTCTGGGTTGAGTTGAGTTGGGGTGAGTTGGGATGAGTTGGATTAGTATTGATTTGGGTTAAGTTAGTATTGGATTAAGTTGGATTGAATTTGGATTTAGGTCGAATCTGACTTATATTTGGTACTAAGTTAATATGAACATTAAATTGACATTAAATTGGATTTAAATTGAGTTTGGGTTGAGTTCGGATTGAGTTTAGTTTATGTTTATGTTTAGATAGATAATAGTTAAACAAAGTAAAGTAGAGTAAAACAAATCATAATTTAATCTTATCTATGTGTTATATAAATAGTACTTATGGACTAGTTTAAGTTGACTACTAAGTACTAACTTAGTCCATTACAACTCTTCTTGTTCCACGACTAGACCACAAGGACATTGGCCGCTTGAGTCAAAAGTATGGTGGTGGGCTGGACTCTTTTCTAGTTTGGGCCGAGTACTGCGTTTGAGGGCGGCAATCTTCTTCTTGATTCTAGCTTGTTTTCTTAGTTGTTGTTGCTCTTTCCTTTTGGCTCGTTCAGCTGCTAAGTCTGGGAATTTACGTTGGGAGAGTTGGGCTACAACTTCTTGTTGGTAGAGTCGCATGGGCTTGTACATAGTACTGATTGGATTGGCAGTTTCAAGATAGGGTAGTAGAGATAGATCAGAAGCAGTCAATAAATACTCATCAATCGCCCGACTTTGTGAGATCAGGGGAACTTCTCCACGGCATTCTTTGCACAGTTGCTCGCCAAAAGCACGATGCATTTGCCTATCTATGCGCTTAGTTTGACATTTCGCACAAACTAAGTCATCATAAACTATCGCAATTTGACCTTTTAGAGGTAGATTTGCACGAGAATCTTCATTATAAGTGTTGTTTCGCTGGGAAACATGATTGTTGCACATGTTAGAGCTACTTTTGCCCATTTTCTTTTTTTGTATCTTATAATGAGCACTCCTTCTATTCCAGAATCAGTGGTTATTATTGGTAGTGGTCCGGCTGCTTATTCGGCCTCTCTTTACCTCCAGGACCATAAACCCTTAATTCTGGCCGGAAACTTTACGAATACTCAAAAACAGTACCCGGGTGGCCAACTAACTACGACTTTAGGTGTTGATAACTATCCTGGATTTTTAGATAAGACCGGTCCAGAACTTGTAGCTCTCTACCAGGAACATGTTAAGCAGGCACAAGTAAGGACTAAAAATGCCTGGGTTTGTGGTATAGAGCAAGATAAAGACCGGTTCTTTGTGCATACTAAGGAAGAAGGCACAATTATGGCTAAGGCCGTTATTATTGCCACCGGATCAGTAGCTAAGCGGTTGTACGTTAAAGGCACAAATGATCATGAACTTTGGCAAAAAGGAATCAGTGCTTGTGCTACTTGTGATGGCTGGTTATTTGCTGATGAGATAGTAATGGTTATTGGTGGAGGAGATACGGCTATGGAAGAAGTTCTTTATCTAGCAGGTGTAGCTAAAGAAGTCATTCTGATCCATCGGTCGGAGACATTCCGGGCTCGGCCAGATCTGTTCTGGGAAGTCTCTCATCTACCTAATGTAACTATTAGATATTGGACTGTTCTGGAAGAGGCGCATGGTGAGGCTAGTCTAACTAGTGTTACAGTACGCAACTTGCAAACACAAGAATTAGAGGAGATTCCAGTCTCAGGTTTATTCTTTGCGATTGGGCATACACCAAGCACAGAGTTCGTGCAAGAGTTCCCCAACCTTCTAGATAGTAACGGCTACATTATTACAAATCCCAAAACAATGGAAACAGCCGTTGAAGGTTTATTTGCCGCCGGCGATGTCCAAGACTTCGTCTACCGCCAAGCCGTCACAGCAGCCTACTCCGGAATGATAGCCGGCCAGTCCGCCCAACGCTGGCTAGAGCAAATGAATCCCAACCCCTTTAACTAAATGATTAAAGTATTTCAACTATCTTAACCATCTTAATTATCTTAATTATCTTATCTAAATACTTCAACTCAACTCAACTCAACTTAACTCAACTTAACTTAACTTAACTTAACTCAATCACTTATTCAAGTACCTTATCATATCTTAACTACTTTAAACATTTCAAAAGACAAACACATATTTACTCATTACTATTCCAGCCAATCATTAAATAGATCATATCAACTTAATCCTAACTCAACCCAAACCCAATACTAACACACAATACTAACTCAACCAAACCCAATCTCAACTCAACTCAAACCCAAACCAAACCCAATACTAACACAACTCAACCCAATCTTAACTCAACTCAATATAAACAATGTTGTAGGCCATTTTTTTATGGATATCCAAGAGAGAGCTGCTCTAATTGCCTCCCGTCTTAAGGCCGCTACCTATCCAGGAGATAAGAAAAGTGCCTTGGAAGAAGCCTTGAAACTCACAGAAGAAGACACCTTAATTGGCGGTACTTACTTCCTTGATGTCTTAACTACACTGATAAAAGACCCAGAAATAGAAAAGACTCCTTTACTCTATCAAATACTCAACCATATCTTTACTAGTCCTAACGGTCTAGAGTTCATGGATATCTTTTGCAAGAAAGATAATATTCTTCCCCAGATAATAACTTACTTACTTTCACCAACTACAGATGAGATACCAGAGTTAATGCAAACCATTCGTACAATTGCCAAACAAAAACAAAAACAACTTACTACTTATCTAATCTCATCTCCTAATCAAACCAAAGTTTTTGAAGAAGCATTTTACGGCCGTGAAATAGTCATTGATGTACTAGTTATTCTCTTCAAATCATCCAATACTCTTAAAAAGCTCCTTATCTTTAATGGTTTCTTAGAAGGTATGCTTAAACTATCTCAAACGGCTAAAGAAAGAGAAATAAGTCGTAAGTCTTTACTATCTATAGCTGAGTTGCTTAATAATTCACCTGAAAGTATCGAGTACTTTTTAGAACTTAGTTGGTCAACTTGGCTAGCTAAAATGCTTAAACTTCATCCCCACCATACTTTAAAGATCATTTATGTCTTAGCTGCCTTTCCTAAATCTAAGTCTTTACTTGTCTCTTTCCTTCCTACACTTATTGATCTAAATGATCTCTTATCTATTTATTTACTTACTACTAATTCATCTGAACTTCCTACTAGTCATCTAAGTCTAACTCAACCACTTCTTAGCCAACTCCATAAGCTGCTGACTAAATCCCTTCTATCTTCATGTCCCATGCGCTGGAATTGTACCTTAGGTATTTACACTAACTTATCCCATTATAATATACTGAGTACTGGTCCTTCTACGTACTCCCTAGGTGATCTACCCTTCTTAGCCCAACTCATTGCTTCTCTACCAACTACTACTACTACCCAAGCAACCACCACAACTAACTCAACTAGTCCTACTCTTGATGAGACAGATTTAGCCCTCTTCCTCTACAAACTACCCCAAATCACTACTACTAAACTCAATTCAGCCCTTACTTACCTTAAAACAGCTGTTCTTCTTTTGCTTAATCCTCATCCTGATCCTATTATCTCTAGTCCAGATATTCTCTTTGCCCTTCGTGAAATACTTGAGAATGAAGAAGTAGCTGCTCCTCTTAAATCCCTCACTAGTTTCTGGCTTCTTCAAACTTATCTCTATCTCCACCGCCACAACGAAGCACAAATTCAATCTTCCGTATTCAAAAACTTACCAATTACTATCACTCCTCCCGCCCAGGCCCTTATTGCCGCACAATTTACTTCCATTCCCTCCAATTGTACTACCCAACACTGCAAGCGCTGCTACTTTGCCGAAATCTCAGCTACATCCGCTGCTATTCCCCCATCTTTCCACTCTCTCGCCAACCCACTCTGGTTCCCAGCAGCCGCCATTCCATCTCTCCTCAGTACGTTCACTCAGTATCTCACCCTCTCCATTCCACCCCCATTCATTCCCCCGCCCTCTTCCACCACTACTACCACTCCTTCCACCACCACCACCCAAACCAAGACCACTCCACCTAACCCAACAAAACCCACTACAACACCAACCACCCCAACTAAACCCAATACAACACCAACCAATACAACCCCTCCCCACTCAACCCAGTCCATCTTTGATTTATAACAACTACTAACCCAATACTAAACCATCGTAACTGTACCAATAAATATCTTATCCTAACATTACTCAATATCTATTTATTCTAAATCAGTCTCATCATAACACAACTCAATACCATCACAAACCAACTCAACCTCATGCCATCACAATACTAAACTCATACTAACTCAATACCGCACAACAAGCTATTGGGGGGTTAGCTCAGTGGCAGAGCGTGTGCTTCGCATGCACAAGGTCCCGGGTTCGATCCCCGGATTCTCCACTTTTTCTCTCCCCCACCAATTACAATCACAATCTAACTCCACTACTACCCCAACTCAACCACTACAATCACAAACCAACTCAATCCATTATTTCCCATTTATTCTAGTGTTTCCTGGCGGCGGTGCATAATAATCTCTTCAAGGGACTCCTCGACGTAATGAGATAGCACGTTCCCGAGTACTGAGGCCCGTTTGACCTCTTCCGGTCCCAACTCCAAAATCATCCCAGTTATCTTCTTCGCAAACTCTTCATCTGAACTGAATCCGGCTTGGGCAATCTTCTCAGTATAACTCGGGGCTAAAGATAAGATCAAAGTATACAACTCATATCCCGTTGTACTTTCACTCTTCCTCTTCCCCTTATGCACGTACCCGTTTGAATAGGCACTGTAAGCCGCCATAGTCTTCTCCATCTCTCGAGTCCGTTTACTCTTAAAGAAAGTCACATCCAGTACTCGTCCGCCTAACTCTGTACCATTAGCACCTTTTACAGCGGCCGCAGCTGCTTCTTTACTCTCAAAACAGACGTAAGCATAGGCCCGGGCATTCTTCTCATCTCGACCTAACTTATGCGAAACAATTGGACCATAAACGGCTAAATGTGCTAATAAACTCTCATCAGTCACTTCAGGACTTAAGTTCGTTACATAAACATTACGATTAACGGCTGATTCCATAAGTCCAGCGTACTTTTCAGCTAGTTCTTCTTCTCTTTCATTCTTAGGCTTAGCCCTTTGTATGTAAAGTACGTTATCAGTGCCTGGATAGTTCTGGCCATGTAAACCGGCAATAGCTGCTACTGCACTGCTATGTTCAGCATAATTAGCAAAGACAAAGCCACGCATTTCCCCACTTTCCGTTCTAGGGGCTAAAAAGGAAGTTAATTCACCGTACTGCTCAAGTACTTGTCTTAAATCACTCTCTTCTACCTCTTTAGGGAAGCCTTTAACATATACGTTAGTGAATACTTTGTTTATCTCTTCCTTTTTACTACGTCTTTGATCACTAGGAATACATTTAACGGCTACTAGTCTTTTATCACCAATAGATAACTTATTGATCATTTCAATAGCAATAGCAGCTACTTTAGGGTCCTGAAACTGAATAAAACCGGCTCCAGTACATTCACCAGCTGCATTTTGTTGAACTTTACAACTACTTATCTTACCAAATCTAGAAAATGTATCGTAGAGGGATTGATTGTCCGTAGTAGTAGGTAAGTTCTTTACTACTACGTTGGCATCTCTATTACCTACTACAATCTCTTTATTAAGGGGCATAACTCTGATTTGACAGCCATGAACGGAATAGAAGTTGAAATTCTCAATCGCTTGAGATACGGACGAAGAGTCAAAGAAGGTTACGTAAGCATAGACTCTGGCTTTAGTAGACTCCTTTCTGGGTATGTTTATAGTAAAGATCTGACCAACTGATGAAAAGAGTTGAAATAAATCAGATTCTGTAATATTGTTGGGTAAATCACCAACATAGATGGAATTATTGGCACCAATTGGGGTATCGCGCTTCTCTTTAGTTTCTTCAGTATGCATACGTAAAAAAGAAATTTAGAATATATTGATATGGATGATGACGTCATTTTTACATCTACCATTGTCTAAAGTCAATAAATGGGTTAGTATAGAGTTGAGTTGAGTGGAGTGGAGTTGGTATAGTATATGTTTAATCTTAAGTTGAGTTTAGTTTAAGCTGAGTTTAGTTTAAGTGGAGTTGAGTTGGTATAGTATATGTTTAAGTTGAATATAGTAAGTAAAGTATATGTTTAAGTAGAGTAGAGTATATGTTTAAGTTGGGTTAAGTAAAGTAGAGTTAAGTAGAGTTTGGGTTAAGTAAAGTAAAGTAGAGTATAAGTTAAGTATATGTTTAAGTTGAGTTGAGTTGAGTTAAGTAAAGTATATGTTTAAGTTGAGTTGAGTTAAGTAAAGTATATGTTTAAGTTGAGTTGAGTAAGTGGTGGAGTTTAGGAAGTGCGGAGGAGGACAGCCCAGAGGATGATGAAGATGGCTAGGAGAACGGCACATCGGTTGGGAGAGATTTCTAGTGGAGTGGATCGATTGAAGTTTTGGGTATGGGCGCGGGCATGAGTGTTGAATTGGGCATTGAAGTGGGCCATGTAGATGCGGCGGAGGATTTCTTCGGCTGGGATGTTGTGGAAGGAGTTGGAGAATTGAGTGTGGTAGGAGTTGTGGAAATTGGCGGGGTCGAAACCATAGGAGAATGTGTAGCCGCGGTTGGGATTGTGATAGGAGTGATTGTGATGGGAGTGATTGTGATAGGATTGATTGTGGTAGAAGTGGTTGTGGTTGGTGTGTTTGGGTGGTTCTTTTAACTCACCAATGAGGAGACCTTCGTAGGCTTGTTTGAGGGCTGTGAAGGCGGCGGCGGCTTTGGGGTGCTTGCTTTTATCTGGATGGACTTTTAGTGCTAGTTGCCTGTAATGTTTCTTGATGGTCTTTTTGTCGGCTGTTTCACTGACTTGTAAGACCTGGCAATAGTCTTTTTGACACCCCAGAATTCTCTCAACTTCGCTATCAGACATATGAAAAGAAGAAATTTACACGGTATTTGGGTTAAGTTGGGCTGGTTATTGGGTTAGTATCGAGTTTGGGATGGTTTTGGGGTGATATTGGGTTAGTGTTGGTTGTTAGTAGGTTTTAGTGTTGAAGATCTAGAGATCCTAAACTGCTGGAAGTAACCCCTGCTGAATAGTAGAGGAAAACTATCTCTATGCTTGAGTTAGTATTGAGTTATGTATTGAGTTATGTATTAGTATTGAGTTATGTTGGGTTCGTTGAATGGAATAAATAGGAAGTGTAGATTTATTGTTATGTTGGGTTAGTGTGGGGTTAATATTGAGTTGAGTTAGTGTTGGGTTGGGTTAGTGTTAGCATTGGATTGTGTTAGTATTGGGCTGGACTGAATTGAAGGATAATTGGGATGTAAATATGCTTTGGGGTAGATTGCTTCGGAATAAAAAGACAATATGATCTTTGGAAACAAAGATCTTCTTATCAAAATATGTCTTGGAAATTATAAATTGAAGTGTGAAGATATCGACATTATGTTGCTGTTGCTTGGTTTAGCTGGAGGCGTGGGTTTGAAATGCCGAAGGATTTCAAAAGTAGAAGTGAATGCTGGTCGTACGGATGAAGTGTGCTTGGGTGGTGGAGAATTAAAGAAGTTGAGGTGGTTTGTGTTTGTTAGCCGGGTGGTTTGTGCTTGCTTGTTTAGAGTAATACGATGGTGGTGTGTGCTTGGAGTGGTTGCTTGGTTGGTGCTGAGGAATAGTGTGCTTGGATTGGATGTGATTGATGGCCTGAATCGGTCTGGGTTTTCGTTCGTGAAAGAACAGGTGGATTTATGCTTGTACCAGGATGTTAAGAGGTTGCCGGGTAAATGTCCGGATGTGGGCTTGAATACTACTATTTTGTGTGTGCCGAAATCTAGTGGTTTAACAAATACTCCGGAATATGTAATTGTTGATAATAATCATACTCGGTTTATACTGCCTTATTATGAAAATGTTGCCGCGGCTGAATTGGCTTTGAGAGAGATAAGACGTGTTGCTTTTATTAGGACGGTGTGTGCTGTTGTTCAGTGCCTGACAGAGAATTGGCAATGCCATCGGGAAAACTTAGTTATTCTATCTCGAGTTGTTAATATGTTTTGTTGCGCTACTATGAAGATATACTTTAATCCTATGTCGGAACATCAACAAGGTACTTTACAAGTTGATTCAAGAGCCTGTCGGGCAGAAGCATTGAACACTGCTAATTATGCTGTTTATCATGTTAATGGTGTGCTTGAGGTTGATGGTGTTTTAAATAACGTTAAGGCGTTGATAAAGAGCGGCCTTGTCTGGTATTGTTCTTTTATGACAGTTCGGTTGATAAAGATGGGATTCCTTCATTCTAATCTTCTTCTTTGGTTGTCTCTAACGAACGGTTATACTGTCATTTTTGAAGAGACACCGGCAAACACGACCATTAACTTTGCATTTCTTCAATCGTCTCGGACTAGTTGCCAGAGCATTATTATTGAGACAAAGACTATATCGGATGTGAAACTAGCTAATCTTGATACTAAGGGCACCACACATCGTAAATTGACCTTACAGGCTAATTGGAAGCTTTTTCAATACTTAGGTCGCAAGAATGACTCGATCATTCGGGTTCCTTATATTGCCAGTATTAAGTTTAACCTCAGAGCTATGCACACAACACAAACCAAGTACTATAAAGAGAATTGTCCCCCGCAACGGTGGATACACGCTACTTGCGTTAAAGCTCTTATCGCTACTAATTCGGCATGTACCCGTCCATCTAAACACACTGAGTATTGCAAAGATGCCTTGCGTCATAATGGCATAGTTGCTCTTAATGTCATTCCCGAATATGAACCGAACAGAACGGACTTACAAGAATCCATGCAACTACTTGTTAAAATCGGTGCCTTATCCGCTATGCCAACCGCCGTTGCTAATGGTACGCTCAAATGCGATGGCTATAAACTCCTCTATAAACGAGCACCAAGAAGTGACCAGTCCGACAATACTAAACCTTATATAACTTGGCCTCCCAAAGAACCAGTTCTTATTCGCTTGGATAAGCCCGGACTAACCGAAACTATCCGTACGTACAGCCACGACAACCATTACTTGTGCCGCCACATAACTTACCAATCTATCACTATCAGTGGGTCTAAAAGTAAGCCCAACCAAGAAAAAGAGCTATGCATTGCCTTTCTAGATTTATTCCATGACATCACAGCTACAAAGCTTATAATCCAAAATGTCTGTGCTAGCGACCAAACCACCACCCATTTCACTATGGCCGTCTTAGAAACAAAACTCGTCAAAGAGACCAAAAATAGCCAATACCACTTTCATGTTCAGACTCTAGTGCTAGATAGTGTTGATGAGGACATTATCTATTGGATATTTAGTCGCTATCTGTTTGTCATTGATACACACGTCGAAATTTTAAACCAGCACTTCCCCAATCTTGGTATTGTCCAAATCCTACCCCTAACACATCTTAAACCCATGGCCTCTCTTCTTCTCAATGACTTCCATGGCCTAAACGAAGTCTACCAGACCCAAGATCTCACCACTCTCCAAAAGATAGGAAAAAGCCTCGAAGAGTACTGGCACATACCAGCACCCGACGACTTCGATCTCCACCGCTACATAAGAGTGAATACCGCCCCAAATAGAACCACCAACAATCTCGGCCTAAACAAACTAATTCTCCAACCAAAAGCGGACAACTATTCCGACTACATCAATTCCTTCTTAGATTTAGACAGTCTTGGCATTCGTTTCTCCGGCATGCCACTTACTGTCTACCTCACCAACATTCCATCCAACTCCAACTCCATTCGCTTCGAGCCTCAAACCCACTTTACTCTATTTAGTGTAACTCTAGACCTCATAATCTCCGATTATAAACCCCCCTCCATCTCTACCCCATTCCTAACGAATCCAAATCCAAATTCTCAATCTAACACAAGACTTCCACCACCTTCCAAACACTCCGTTAAGCAACTAACTCTACACTTCCATGACAACCATTCAATCGCCGAAACAGACATACCAACTATTCTTCGCTGGGTAGCCACTCGATTCAAGAACGTAACAACTTTACAACTAACCAATACCTCTATATCCACCGCTGATCTAGAAGTACTAAGAGCTCGCAACTACTGGATCAATGACTTAAACACACTTACTGAAATCCAAATCCAAGCCCCAAATCCAAACTCACCTCCTTTCAAACTACCAATCCATCCATGCTACTACTATATTTCCAAACCCAGATTCTACTACCAATTCAGACTTACTGCTGTCCCCTATACTTTCCTCACTCGACTCCTAACTCATCCAGTTCAACCCACCCAACTCAAGAATGTTCTCTTCTCCACCAATCCTATGCCCATCTCAACTCTCCAAATGATCTTCAATGCTATCATCACAGCCCAAAAAGAGATCAAACTCAATCCCAAGTACTCACCATTCCACTGTCCAATTTGTTTCCGCACTCTTTATTTACCCTCCACATCCTCCACCACTACACCCACCCAATTCAACCCCAAGAACCACATTCAAATCCTTTGCTTCTTCCAATGCGCCCACTTCCTTTGCCATCATTGTGCCATCAGTCACCAAAACCAACCCCAACCATCTAGATGTCATGTATGCCTACAACCCGTGGTCTACGAAAACCCATGCTATCTCACTAGTATTTCCCAAAACAACATCATTCTCACCGCAACTACCCCCATTACTCTAGAATGTATCCAACACCAAACACAAGGCGATAGCCATCTTTATTTCTTCTGTCCTTACCCCAATCTCACCAATCTCCCAACCACCCCTCAACCCACCATCTATGCCCTCTAAATACCACCACTATTACTTTAAACAATCTCCACCCACTCTACTATTACACTCTACTATTACACTCTAATACTAACACTCTACTATTTATTACACTCTACTATTACACTCTAATACTAACACTCTAATACTAACACTCTACTATTTATTACACTCTACTATTAACATTCTAATACTACACTCTACTATTACACTCTACTATTACAACCGAGAATAAAGATCAAGTTGAGATTAAGATACGATTAAGATAAGCCTAAGATAATATATGATGGCGTAATAAGCTAATCTTAAAATCTGATGACGTCATAAATAAAGATGACGTCATAATAAGATAATAAGATAAGATAACGTAATAACACACTAACCCAAACTATAACATAACCTAATATAATATAACAAAATGAGATAAGATAAGGATTTATTAATTCACTTAAAACAAGTCAAAGTCATCACTTTCCTCCTCACTCTCCTCCTTCTTCTCAGCCACAGGAGCAGCTCCAGTACTAGCAGCCGCTTCACTAGAAACAGCTACAGCAGCACCAGCCACTGGATTACTGATAATCTTATCTAAAGTACTGGCAGAAACTTTACTAAATAGTTCTACTAGATAAGAATCTAATTCTACTCCTAAATGAGTTGCAATTTTCTTAATGTTGTTTTCGGATACTTCAAGTCCGGAAGTGTGAAGTAAAAGTGTAGATAATACGCATATTTCTTTTTGATCAATCATTCCTATAGCAGTTTAACTTTAAAAGAGCCTCTAGGGTAGGGGCTAAAACACGTAAAAATAAATAAACAAATAGTGGTTAAAGTTACGGTGTATTTGGACTATTATGAAGAAGAATGGAGTCATTGAGGAGTACTGGAAGAATGTCTTAGGGTATGTATCAAGTGGAGAAGGAGTTCAGAAGGATAATGCTTTACCTCTTGCTCGGATTAAGAGATTAATGAAGGTAGAACAAGAAGTGAGTAAAGTAGCTAGTGAAGTACCATTACTATTCTCACGAGTAACTGAGATCTTTATTGAAGAGTTGACTTTAAGGGCTTGGCAACATACTGAGGAGGGGAAGAGGAGGATTTTGCAGAGGAGTGATATTTGTTCAGCCATTAAGTCTTCAGATCTTTTTGATTTCCTTATCTATTTGATGCCAAGAGGTTCAGGAATCATTGAAACGAGTGCCCATCCTAAATACAAGTACTAGGGTTAGTATTAGGTTAGTATTAGGTTAGTAGAGGTGAAGTTGAGTTAGTAGAGGCTGATGAAGTTAGTAGAGGATGATTATACTAAATGATATGGGTTATGCTAGTTTTAGATATTTTGGATGTTTTTTGGTACTGAATTAGATTAGATTTGGATTTAGTTAAGATGAGTTAGTCTTGTGGTGGTCTTGTGGTGGAGATGGAAATGGAAATGAATTAGTTGGTTTGGTGGGGGGAAGAGTCGTTGGAACTTTGGCGGTTGTAGTATTTGTCGAGGATGGAGTCGGGAATTCGACTGAGTTGCTCCTTGGGGAAGAGACGGAGAAGTGACCAGGCGAGATCTAATGATTGCTCGACCGTACGGAGTTCGGTTTTCTTTTGGGCAATGAACTCCTTTTCGAACCTTTCGACGAATTCAATGACTAATTTATCCTCACTGGAAAGAGACTCTTCTCCGACAACGGCTTTCATAGCAATTGCATCTTTACCAATGGCGTACTTGGCATAAAGTTGACTGGAAACATCACAATGATCATCTCTGGTCATTTGGTCACCGATAGCACTTTTCATAAGACGAGATAAAGAAGGAAGAACATTGATTGGTGGATAGATTTGGCGGTTATGAAGTTGGCGATCAATGTAAATTTGACCTTCAGTAATGTACCCAGTTAAATCAGGAATGGGATGAGTAATATCATCATTGGGCATAGTCAGAATAGGAATTTGCGTAATTGAACCATCTACTCCGGCAATACGACCGGCTCTTTCATAGATAGTAGAAAGATCGGTGTACATGTACCCGGGATAACCTCTTCGACCTGGAACTTCTTCACGCGCTGCACTGACTTCACGGAGGGCATCGGCGTATGAACTCATATCGGTCATAATCACTAGAACATGTTTACCAGTAGTATAAGCTAAGTACTCGGCAGCAGTAAGGGCAAAACGAGGGGTGATAATTCGTTCAATAGTTGGATCTTTAGCTAAGTTAAGATAAAGAACTGTTCGATCAAGTACTCCATTCTGTTCGAATTCATTACGGAAGAATCGAGCTGTTTCAGCATTCACTCCCATGGCGGCAAAGACAATGGCAAAGTTATCATCACTCTTATCAACTGTAGCTTTCTTGTTAACTAAACCGGCTTGGCGGCAGATTTGAGCGGCTACTTCATTATGGGGTAGACCGGATCCACTGAAGATAGGAATCTTTTGGCCACGAGCAATAGAATTCATTACGTCTATAGAAGAAATACCTGTTTGTACCATCTCTTCAGGATAGATACGAGCATAAGGATTAATTGGTTGGCCTTGAATATCTAAATGATCCTCAGCAATAATCTTTGGACCGCCATCAATACACACACCAATACTATTGAAAACTCGACCTAGTAGGTCTTCTGAAACGGCCATTTTCATAGTCTCACCTGTAAACTCAGCACAGGTATGTTTAGTGTCTATTCCAGCTGTACCTTCAAAGATTTGGATAACTGCTTTCTTACCACTAACTTCTAGGACTTGTCCAGTACGTTGTGTACCATCTGGTAGGGCTAACTTAACAATTTCAGAGTACTTAGGTGATTTTATGTTGTCCATAATGACTAGGGGTCCATTTACACTTGAAACGGTACGATAAGTAGTAGTTGGATCGAGGGGGGTATCTCGAAGAGCCCGAATATGTTCTTTGAAGATCTCGTATTTGTTCTGCATACTAAAATATTTAGAATTCGAATTGGGTTTTTAGAATTAGATTGGCTTATTTGGGTTAATTCGTGATAGTTTAAAGTGTATTTGGGTTTGGATGGAGTGTATTGAGTTAGGTTGGGGTGGGGTGGGGTGAGTTTGGATTGTATTGAGTTGAGTTGGGTTATGTTGGGGTGGGTTAGGATTGGATTGGATTGGGTTAGGATTGAGTTGAATTGGATAATAAAAGTTGTATTGGTAGTATGGACAGAAGAGTCAGAGGTTAGTATGGTGTTTAAATTAGTTATTTGGATTGGGCTGTTTTCGAATGGAGACTGAATGTTTGACTTACCCGGATTAAAGGTCTATTTTGCTTTATTGTTGGTTTAGTAGTCATAGCTGGGTTTAAAGATAGAAACTCTAAGAAAGGTGCTAAATGGGTTAGTATTATTGGTAGATACTTATTGACAATCCCATTCTAGTACGTGGTGAAAAGGGTTCGAATATGTCACTAGATACAAACAAAGCCTTTCCTCTTCTTGTGAATTGCTAAATCAAGACATTCCTCGGCTAGTAGCCAAAATAACACCATGGCCTTACCAAATTAAGTCTACACCACTACTACACCACAACAATTTATTAGGTTAACATTTCAACGGACTTGTCTACAACTAGCTCAACCCAATCTAACTCAACCAAACTCAATCTAATGTCAACTCAATAGTTATGACGTGTTGATTTATTAGGTTCTCGCACTAAACACTATTTCTTCACTAGCCCAATACTAACCCAATTTCATGTCCAACCACCTCAACCTTAACCTAAACCCAACTTACTTTAACTCAACTCAATAAACTCAAAATCCAATCTAAACCACTACACATTCAAATTTATGTACACTTTGATTTTATTTCATGAACGTCATATTACTTATGTTAAATCCATTTGGTATCCTCAAACAACAACCAACTCTATTCTAATTATATCTTAATTCGATACCATACCATCTCATACCATCCCAATACCAATACCAATCCAGTATATTTTGATTTTACCGCCCAATGACGTCATACCATAAAAAGAAAACTTCAGATCTATCTTCAAACCAAAAACCAATACTAACTCAATATCAACATACTAAACCAAACTAAGATCAACAGACCAAATCAACTCTACACCAACCCAACCCAACTCAACTCAATCAAACACCAACATAACCCAACCCAACCCAACATAACCCAACCCAACTCAATCCAATTACACTACCAGATTGGGTAATTTGCAAAATAATGAAGAAGAAAACCCCAAGAGTCAAAGAGAAGAATAATACATCTACCAAAAAACTCCAACAACAATTCACCCCCGAAGGTGCCCTTATCACTAATGCTGCTCTAAATTCCTATGTTCAAGAATTCATGAAAGATCTTACTGAAGATACCTATAAAATTCTAGAAGAACAAACCCAAACTACCTACACCGAACTTATTCCACCCACCCAACCCGAATCCATCCTTCTCCAAAGCTCACCTTCTCTTCTATCCCTTCTTGTTTCCTCACTAATCAGTACAGCCACTCCCCCAACTACCACTGATGAAGAAAAGAAAAGACGAGTCCTCCAACGCAGTGAGGCATTCTCTTTCCTCAACTCAGCCCTTCTTGATCTTCTTTCCAGTGACCTTATCACTCCCGAAGATACCGAAGAAAATTCCACCCATCGTCTCGCCGAAATCCAACTCTATCAAAACCTTCTCCAAACCATTGAAACAACCAACAACCACAACAAACAACAAATTCTAGCCCAAAGAAAGCCCCATCTCGCCCAACTTTTCTATTCATCCCTTCTAGAAGCAATCGATACTAATTTAGAATCAGTCTATACCAAGAAGTACAAGCCCAAGAAGAAGAAGAAAGAAGACGATCTCACCTACACCACCGAAATAGAAGAGCTACTAGACAAAAGAAACAAGCTCAAACAAGCCTGTAATTCCCTTCCCGACCAACTTCAAGACCTTCATACCCCAGATCTTGCCCTCTACTCTCCCTTCAGCCATCTCGACCAAAAAGAAGCAGATCTCCTCTTCCGCCTCCTCCCCGCCTACTTCCATGATCCCCAAAATTCACCTCTCACCACCCCACACTCTACCCCCCAGCCAAACCCCAACTAATCCCACTCCACCAGCCAATTCACCAACCACCCCATCCTATCAATTTAAGACACCAACCTAATTCAATAACCACTTCCTTCTATCAACTTAACTTCACTATCTAATTCAACATACTCTACCCTAATACTATCACAATACCAACTCAATACCAACTCTACTCTATCACAATCCCATCACAATCTAATCTAACCCAATATCAACCTAACTCAACCCAATCTAATCTAATCTAATTTAACAATCATACTATTTATATCTATCTTAAAACAATAACTTTCTCAAACAAAACTCCATCATTTATTCAACAACCATCTCAATCACATCCAACCTAATCCACCTCAACTTAATACAACTTAATACAACCTAACCTAACCTAATCCACTATCAACCACCCCATCCAAACCTAACTAAACCCAACTCAATCAAAACTCCACTTAAAACTCCACTTAAAACCCACTACCACCTCAACTTTACACAACCCAACACAACCTAGACCCTCCCTACTCCCTCCCCTACACATTCCAAGGCATTCTAGACCCATAATTACCCAATAAGCAACAATACAAGCAATCAAACAAGTCCAAAGTCAATAAAGCCTACTTAAACTCTCTTTTTTTTGCGATCATATGTCCAAAGAGGTCCAATACGAGCGTTCAGTACGTAGTCCGCACAAGTCCGACAAAGAATTAGCCGCTGAGACAGAAGACCGGTCCGAAGAACTTTCTTGGGAGAATCGGATTAAGAAAGCTAAAATGTGCGATAATAGCGATGAATGGTGGCCGGGACAGGAGATGCATCCATGCCATGAACTAGCCGGTTTAAGAGAAGAGTTACTGCAGGGCAACGAACAAGCCTTTCTTTTTACAGCTGAGTATCTTTGGTTAGAAATTGCCCAAGAAAAATCACAAGTCAGACCGGCCTTACGCTGGTTTATTGAACAGAACAGGACAATCAGACTATCACATCCAACTGCTCTAATGGCCGTTGTCTTCTTCTTTCGGGAAGAGAGTGTTTTACAGGAATGGAGTATCAAAAACATTTGTGAACTGCCAGAAGACTTTCCGAGTCTAAAGCCAGATAGAGGCTTCTTTTATAAGACGCATTGCCAGATAAGGCGAGGGTATTTATCGATTAAGGAGAGTAGTTTTTTAAAAGGGATGCTTATCTATGTATGTTTAGGGGGACAAATAGATCCAATGCATATGAATTTATTGATGGGAATTATCAAAAACCAAGATATCTTAGATTTGAACCTGAAATTTTTTGTTTTTAAGATAGTGATGGGTTCTATTTTTGATTTATATGGTGAGATAAGACCAGAAATGAGATATAATACTAGGTGTAATTTAATGGTTCAGGAAATAATTGAGGAGTTGTTTAGACAAAAGATAGAGGACTTATTGGGTACGGGTCGGCCGCAGTTACTGAGTATTAAGATCTTGCCTCTGTTCCCGGCCTGGGAGATGCTTAAACTAGTGCTGCACTGTTCAGTAGCTAAAGGACATAAGTTAGCTATTATTGATCGGGCACGGAGTACTAGAAGTGCGCATATGGTTAGTGATGCTGCAGCTGAGTTAGCTTGGTTGTACCAGCAGAAGGAAGTATCTTTAGAGGAGATTGCTATGTACAGTACATTGTTTGAGTATGCTCTAGCCCATGGTCCGGCCTTGTTTGTAGCTGATTTAGCCGAACGAACAGTTGATTGGGTATTAGAAAGGCCAGAATTACTATCTAGAGATGTATGGTTGGTTTTAGATAAGATAGTTCCGATTTGGAAGGCAAGAATTAAGTTGATTCCTGATATTGCTCTAGCTAAATTCTTATCTCTAGCCTTTTTAAAGAGTCCAGAATGTAATGTAAGTAAAGTAAGTGGAGTGAGTAGTGATAGTCGAAGTGGAGTACTTAAACCGTACTTGGCAGCCATTATGACTACTGTACTTAAAGTCCTACCCAATCTTAAGTTAGAGAGTTTAACTAGTGATGAACAAGTGATGGCCTTATCTTTACTACCGGCTAAGAAGAGTTTGGATTTAAACGTACCATTAACTGCCTTGATTCTACCCATGCAAAGGATAAGGACTTTTTATGCCCAGACTAAACAAGTACCTATTGGGTTAGAGAAGTTTTGTAGTCTGATTGAGAAGTATATTGAGCGGCGGATCTTTCCTGATACAATTGAGATTTTAAAAGAGATTGTGCACTTGCCGATTGTTGATCCGGTTTTATCACAAATTAATTATATTATCATTCAAATTGGGAGTAAAATACCTGATGACGTCATTAACAAGCAAGATTTAGCTTGGGTACATGCTTTAGATTTATCTTGGATTCATTATTTAGATATGCGTTTAGCTACTAAATCTAATCTTAAACAAACCATTATCAAAAATATTGTTGATACTTATCTTCATCAGTATAAAGTTACCAAACAAATAGATAGTAATATAGTTAGTCGTTTAAAACAAATTGCGGCTGAGAATAATCTAGAAAATCCGACTACAGCTGCTTCTTTGCATAGAGCTATCTCTCGGGTTGCTATCATTCATGATAAGCATAAAGAAGTCCCCGAGACTCCCGTTCTGCCTAGTCCGACTCAAACTGTCCTGGCTAATCCTAAGGTAGTTAGTATTATGGATGAGTCGGTGGTTTATAAACGTGAAGAGATCTATACGAACGTGAAAATGCTTCAGGCGATGGTTTATGGTGAGTACAAGGAGAGTGGCCGACCCCATCAGTCTTCTTTCTTATCTTTTGAGGAGTACTACCATCTATTTTCGCCACTGATTATCAAAGAAGCTTTAGCGGCCTGTGAAGAGTCTACTCCAGATAAAACTCCTGTTTCTATTGATGGAGTTATCATTGCTATCTCTTCGGATGTTTCAGTAAGCAAAATAACTGTTATTGCTAAAGATTGCACTTTGTTATCAGAAAAAGATGTAGTTGTTATTTACAACCGGAATACTAAAGAGTCTTTAGGCCGGGGTATGGTTGATAAAGATAGATTTGGTCCTCCTAATGAGTTTTCAGTAACAATTAAGCCTATTTGTATCAATAGTAATACACCGGTTAAACTAACAGTTGTTTCTAATATTGTGCCTGCTATTCGTGAGTACGATGCCCTGATTAGATTGCAAAATCTAGCTCTTAAACCGCGTATTCTTGAGCCTAAACAACCTATCTATCTCCCAGCCTTAGAAATCTCTCCTGATATTCCAGCTGATTACCGGGCTCTAGTTGATAAACACTACAATGGACTTAATCCCAGCCAAAAAAGAGCCGTTAAAAAATCACTCTGTCATGATATCACGTTAATTCAAGGTCCACCAGGTACAGGTAAGACCAAAACTATCTCTTCAATCATTTCCCAATCTCTACTGCGTAAATGGCGGGTCCTAGTTTGTGCCCCAAGTAATGCAGCCGTAGATATGTTAATTGCCACGGCTATGAAATGGACTAGCACGACTTACGCAGTCAAATGGTGCCGGACTGGATGTCGGGGTGAAGATAATCCGACTGCTTTTTCTTCGGCTAATCTTATCTTCTCAACTCTTTCTATGGTCGGATCTTCACTGTTTAAGCACTTAATCTTTGATATTCTGATTGTAGATGAAGCTTGCCAGGCCACTGAGCCCAGTACTTTAATTCCTTTACGTACTAAGCCCAGTCGGATTGTTCTAGTTGGTGATCCTAAACAACTACCTCCTACTGTTATCTCTGGCAATTCAGACTTGGCTAAAACTCTCTTTGAAAGACTTTCCAGTACAATCCAGCCCTGTTTACTTGATACGCAGTACCGAATGCACTTGCTTATCTCTAAATTCTCCAGCCAACAATTCTACAACAATATGATTAAGAATGGAGTTACTCGTGACTCTTTTCTTCCTATTGTGCTTATCAATACTAATGGCACAGAAGAAACACAAAATACAACCGATATAATCAATAAGACAGAAGCCCGATTAGTGCAAAAACTAGCAAGTATACTTTCTGGTCTTTACAAGTCAATAGGTGCTATTACTCCTTATAAGGGTCAGTCTTTATTGATTACTTCACTACTTAAAAACAAGTCGTTAACACATATAGATGTATCTACTGTAGATGGGTTCCAGGGTCAGGAAAAAGACTGTATCATTCTTTCCACTGTTCGTACTAAACGGATTGGCTTCCTTAATGACACGCGGCGTATGAATGTAGCTATTACTCGGGCTAAATTCTCGCTGTTTATTGTCGGTAATGTAAACCTCTTAAAAACTGAGCCAACTTGGGCCAATCTAGTGCAGTACTGCCAGCAAAACAATGCCATTATAACCCAAGAAGCCGTCTTTAAGATTCTGGCCCAATATACTAGCAAATAAACAAGCTTACAACTTATTAGTCATTATGTATTGAGTTAGTACTGTGTTAGTATCTATGTTATGTTATGTTGGTATTGAGTTAGTATTATGTTGGTATTGCGTTATGTTATGTTAGTACTATGTTGGTATCTATGTTAGTACTATGTTGAGATTACATTAGTATTATGTTGGTATTATATTAGTACTATGTTGAGATTACGTCATTATAATAGTTTATTATAGCTTGTAAGACCTTATTATAACTCCTTGAGCACGGCTAATTCCAAATCACGGACTTCATTGCTAATACTAAACTCTTCGTTCTTGATCTTCTCTTCAATCGCCCAAAGAAGTCGCTCGAACTCTTGTCTCATTCAAAAAAAGACCTCTTCTCGGGATTTAGTACTGAGTTGAGTTGGGTTGGGTTGGGTTGGGTTGAGTATTGAGTTGGGTTGAGTTGAGTTTAGTACTGGGCTAAGTTGAGATAAGATAAGGTTAAATTGTGATTTGGTATGTAAGTGGTTAGAAGAGGATTTGGCATAGGAAGATGATGAAAAGAGGAAGGACTAGTCCGGCTGTAAACTTGGTGGGGGCTAAGTTGTGGAGGTACTTCTGGTTCTTTAGCCCGTTTAGGCAGCTTTTGAGGGTGGTTTTTGGTTTGGCGCGGATTAGGTTATACTGGTTTTTGAAGACAGAAACTGTTTGGATTTTGACATTTAGGTTTATCTGGACGTGGTTTTTGGCTGTACCAATGAATTCTAGAAGGGCGTTAATTTCTTCTTGGGTTAGAGTTGTGTTATCTTTTGTGGTTTGGAGTGTAATTCTTTGAAGTGGTTTGAGAACGGCTTTGGTTTTCTGTGTGATTAGTGACCACCAGTTATTGTATTTGTAGTGCTGCTCAAGCTCATAATCTAAGATGAGGTGTTCATTTAGAATGTCCTGGTCGTCCCTATCACAACTTAGATAGGCCATTAAGTCAAACCGAAGGACAGAGCCAATACACTGGCGTAGGTTTGAACTTATACTTAAACGGTAATACCTGCCTAAAGGACTGTCTACTAATTCAATTAGTTGCTTTAGATAAGCTTGATGACGTAAATAAGCAAACAAGAAATGTCGAAGTTGTTGCTGTTTGCACTTATCAAATGATATATTGCGCATAATCTGGTAAGATATTTCTTTCCATTCCTTGAGTTTCCTAATAGAAGTCATAAACTCAGACTTGTTACAAATTGCTTTATAAACAACGGATTGCCTCTCAAAGATAGATAATAAACGTTGTAAGTAGACATCTACTTCTTTTATCAAATCTGCATCTGAAGCTGAGCCTATCTTAACCAAGCCACAATCTATTGGCCAATCCCGATCACATTGAGTCGCTGCCCAGGACTTGAAAGACAGATAATCTGTTTCTAGTGCTTCTTTTACGGCTAGTAATGACCCCACTGCCCATTGCATTGCTTTCACTATCTGCAACCGCTCAGCATCGATTGCACAACTCCCAACGCTATCATAAACACAAGGACACCTCCATAAAATAGTCATAAAGAACCCATTCTGCGAGAAGTCTTCACTACCACCAAGCATAATAAACTGCCAAATATCCCTCGTCACCAAATTCACCTTTTCTTCCTTCACACCCCCTGGTGACTGTACATACATCGGTTCTTTCATTGTTCTAACATCTTCCAAATTCGTCTTCAAATCAGGATTCGCACCTTCATTCAATTGTCTTGAAAATAACTCGCTTCGAGTCCAACTTCCATAGTCCATAAGACAATTTAGATATCCTCCCGCCCCACTTATATTCTCCAGACCGTCAGCTGAAGATCCCACCATCATCCCCGCCACCAAACCAACCATTTCAAAACTCATTGCCAACCAAGCCATTATACTTTCAGTACAACCATTTCTCATTCAATCGTTTTATAGCCACACAAATAAATATCTATAGATAGCTATCTAATTTTGATTTATGCATACGCCAATTTAACCCAACAAAATAAGATTTAGGTAGGTTAAGTTGACATCAATACTAAACCCAACCCAACCCAACTCAACTCAATCCAACCCAACTCAGCCCAATACTAAACTTAACCCAATACTAAACCCAACTCAATTTATTATCTATTTGCCTCTGAATATACCTACCACAATGGCATGGTCTCTTTCATACGGCTCTAGAGTTACTTGCTCTTTTGGCTTAATATTCAGCTTCCTTAAGATGTCCACCTCATTAGCAAACACTTCAGCTGGCGCCTTAATCGAATCTATGCAGTTAGCCTTAATAGAAATAACCACTCCACCACCTTCTTTCAAGAAGTACTGTGCATTCAACCCCACAATTCGCGCCTGGTCCGGCTGAGCTACATCAGCAAAAACCATATCTACCATTGGCACTAGCATACGGTACCTCTGTGGCAGCCGTGCATCTTCAATAATAGGCACAATGTTAGTTCTCTTCTTAGCTAGACTCAGTAAGTCTCGGCCCGATCGATGACTAAACTCTACGGCATAAACTACACCTTCTGGGCCCACAATATCCGATACGTGAGACACACTTGTTCCTGAAGCAGCACCAAGGTACAAGACTCGACTGCCAGGCTTAATATGAATGTTTTCTATACCCCCAAGAATACCTGCTGCGATCTTACTTCTAAAAGGGTTCCAGGCACGATACTCGACCTTCTTATCCTCTGGACCGGCTAGAATTCTTTTCTCGCCATAAACTGATACGCCGGGCACCATGTTCTTAGTAGCCAGAGTCTCTTCTTTGCCGCGACTGATAAATACGCCTGGGAACCTTGGATGTGGTTGAAGAATTACTTGTTTGGCTTTGTTCTGACCAGGTTTGCCCATGGGCCGTCCTTGCGGTCTACTTGGTCCTCGGCCTTGTGGCCGTCCGCCAAATGGTCTTTTTTGGTCTCTACGTGCACTATTCATGAATTCTGAAAATTTAAAAATCAGACTAATAACTGACTAGTTGGGAGGTTAGACAGGGCTTGTTTTGGCTTGAGGATAGTTGTAATTTGGGCTATATGAGATTTGGATTGGGAAGTTGTTGTATTTTTAAGGAGACGTGCTGGGATTGGTTAGTGAGAAAGTAAATCAGAAATTCGGGGTGAAAAAAACTCCAGAGAATTTCCTAATATGGTAATTTGACTATAAATATTCAGTTGAGTTTTTTATCTCTAAAAATGATTATACATAAGATAAATTGGGTTATTATAGGATTCGTACTGGGTTTATTCGTATTGGGCTACAGGCAAGTTAAGTGTAGCAATGCTAGTGGTAGCGATGGTATTAAAAAAGATACAGCTGATTGCACTAGCGACAGTACTGTTGTCGTAAATGCTAATAGTGCTGGTGTTGGTGTTGGTGTTGGTGATAATATTGGCCTAGGTGGTACAGATGATACTGGTGTGGGCGGTGCTGGTGATACAGATGATACTGGCGTGGGCGATGCTGTTGTAGTCGATGCTGGTGTGGATGATGCTGTTGTAGTCGATGCTGGTGATGCTGTTGTATGCGATGCTGGTGATGCTGGTGTGGATGATGCTGTTGTATGCGATACTGGTGATGCTGTTGTAGTCGATGCTGGTGATGCTGTTGTATGCGATGCTGGTGATACTGCTACAGATGCCATTTTAGATGGTGTAAAAGATGCTGATGCTGTAGATGCTAGTCTTTGGCGTGCTCGTTTTGATTCTAAGGGCCGGCGGATTATAGATATGACTGAAGTACTTAGTTTGGAGGAGCTAGGCGATGAATTGAAGTTTCCCTGGGCAATAGATCTACTAAACCGGCTGGAAAGTGGCCAAGCTAGCGGTACTGTTTATTTTGGGGAAGATGGCGATAATGCCCGTATTGGTTATAATGAGGGCAAAGATTTGAGATACTTTAAAGGAATTGGATTCTATAGTCTCTTATCTGGATCAGATTTGTTTCACCAGGTTAAGGTAGCTGCTTCACTACTTAAACGCATGTTTACAAAGAAGGGAGTTAATAGTGATGATCTTAGTCCAAGTGATGTACTAGATGTTGTTTTAATTTATACTAATTTAGATCAGAACATAAACATTGTCCAAACAAGTGATGATATACTAGTTAAAGAGTTGCATATTCAATTTATCGAAAATCTCACTCGAGGCATTACCAACTATTACACTAAACATGGCAGCATCCAAGCTTTCTCTGATTCTATGGAAGTAGCTGTACTAGACTCAGAATCACATATTAAGTGCGGTGCATCTCGAACTGCTCTACAACACCGCCGATCAGCTATGGGACAGAAATGCTCTTTTGCCGACACCTATTCTAGGTCACTAATTATCGACCAAGAATCTCTCGACCTCTTCCGAGCAAGTCCTCTTATAAACTACCTACACCCACTTTCTCTTGATCTTTACCAACACGGCCTCAACTGCCTCTATAATGGAGAGACCAATCTATTCACCATAATCAAGCACAACCAAGCTGTTAGTCCCGTTCGACCTACCCTCAACCCAACCAATCTCAAGCTCTCTTTCAAAGCAGCGGTCCGTCTAAGATATGCCACCAATGCCCAGAACTACACAGTAATGGCCACCGATGAAGACTTTCAAACCTTCCTAAACGTCCTTTCCAAGCATGCCCCCCAAGAAAGAGGCGATTATCACAGCTATCTAAACGTCTTCAAACGCCACTCTATACTCGACGCCGATATTATCAGGAAACATTGGGACGAAGAAGAACGTGACTCAGACCGGCTAGACGATCCACCCCAACGATCCACTCTCATTCAAACCATCGCTTTATCGCTAATTACTCTAACCACCGGTTTTGTAGTCTTCATCCTAACCCAAGTCAGCATTTTACTCTCTTCCTACCCCATACTAATCTATACTATGCCAATCATCATTATTTCCATCGGTCTAGCTATCGCTCTTCTCTTACTCTTCTTTATCTACCCTCCCTCCAACCAATCACGCAAATCCCACTCTTGGCAGTATCTTACTATCGTCCGAGTCGGTCAATACTGCCTCTTCGGCCTAGTCTTATGTCTAGTTACAGCCGGTGTTTTCATCAATCTAGCCTATCCACCGACTCTCACATTCACCCAAACCGATCCAGCTATCCCCGCTACTCTTATAACTCTATTATACCACATACTAGCTGGCACTTCTATTCTCGGCTGTCTTATCATTCGAGGTTTATTCACCCCGCGCTGGCCAACTCTACCAAGATACAGTTACTGGCTACTTTACGTTTTATCCTTCATCTTTATTATCTCCATCCCTATCCTTACTCTTCTCGACCTAACTGCCTATGCCCAACTACTTCTCAATACTCGTATTTTGCTTATTTCCGCCCTCCTCTTTACTGCTGGAGCCTTCATTGATGTCTTCGGCCGTTGGTTCGATAAAGAACGTACAGAACATCTCAAGCCAAGGCCAACTCAACTTATCCTTCGCAAGCTCATCAAAATCCTCCTAGTCCTCCTGGTCCTAGCAGCCGCCTACACTCTAACCATCTGGACCAGCAATCGCCACAACCTCCTAACCCAGCTACCCTCTTAACCCCACAAGTCCACTTTAACATAAGATATCATATCAAAGTACTTGTAATAAATGACTATATCAATACTATCTTATATCTAATATCATCAAATGACTATATCATATCTAATATCTTCAAATTCTTATGTCAATACTATATCATATCTAATATCTTCAAATTCTTATGTCAATACTATATCATATCTAATATCTTCAAATTCTTATGTCAATACTATCTCATATCTAATCTCTCCAAACCCAAACCAAACCATAGATAATCTTACACAACACATCTAAACACTACTATCAAAATACCATCTAAATACCATCAAAATACCAACACTATCTAAATACTAACTCAACCCAATACCAACCCCATATAAATACCAACCCCATACCAACCCCATACCAACCCTATCAAAATACCAACCCAACCCATACTAACACCATACTAACATAACCTAGTGCAATTTATTACCATTCCAGCTTAATCCGTTTCTTCTTCTTCTCCTCTTCCTCCTCTTCTACGGACTCTTCAAACTCAGTTACATACCTTATACCCTTAGTCTGAATTTGCATCACTTTCTCCCGCTTCTTCTCCTGCTCTGTTTTCTTCTCCTGCTCCAGTATAGTCCTGTTCCCATACACCCCGGCACTAAATCTCTCTAATATCTCAGATTCTAACGACTTTTCTATCTTAGCTACTTTAACGGCTTTAGTCTCCCTAGCCCTATCTTGTTTTTCTGCCTTTTTCCTTCTTTTGATATAATTTGGTCTTCCTATCTTATCTAACAATTCTTTCCTTTCTAGGTAATCAGATAATTTTGTTAATCTTTGCTTACATTTATGCACTAAAAAAGAACCAAAATCTTTAACTTCCTTATCTATCTGAGATAAGGCTGTTTTATAATCACTATCTAATAATATCTTTTCGTACTGCAGTCGGGGCTTATGAACTCTTTCCGGCTCTTTAAGCAACAGATAAAGCTTATCATTGATAGCTCTAACCGTTGCATATTTACTGTTAGCTAAGGGACAAGTAGATCTAGAACAAATACCTGAAACATTATTAGCATTTTTACAAAGAACCTCTTCCGTATCAGTTTTCATTTTAAAAGAACAAAACTTATGGGACTGGCCGATAGCATTCCAGATTGACTGGTCATCTAGCATGCTAAAACGCAAATTTTNGAGGAGGGGGAGTGGCAGAACGAGTGGTTAGTATTGGGTTAGTAGGAGGGGGTGGATGTGGGGTTGGGTTGAGAGGAAGTGTGATCCCTTGTGGTCTAGTGGCTAGGATTTCGCGTTTTCACCGCGACGGCCGGGGTTCAATTCCCCGCAAGGGAACATCTTTTTTAATATTTTAAATGGTTGGTTTAGTATTGGGTTAGTATTAGATGGTAACTCGGAATAGTTGGATTTTGAATGGGTTGTTGGGTGGGGGTAGGAAGAAGAGTCGGTTGGATCGGAGTAAATTGTGTTTATCTTATGTACTTGGTTTATGTCCGCGGTTGGTTTTGAGTGGGACGGCTTATCAGATGGGGAGGTGTAATTTAGAGCATAGTTGGGGACGAGTGGAGGACTTACGGAGTCGGGATAAGTTAGTGGTTAGTGAGAGATTGGGTGGAGAGATAAGAAGTATCTTATCTAAGATTAAGAAAAATCAAAATTTAAAAAGAACCGATATAAGTGAGTATCTTAAGTTAGAGGAAGAGTTAGTACTGCATAGGATTAATGGGCGTAAATGGCTGGTGAGAATTTGGGAGGCTAAATTAGAAGGAGTAAAGGAGAGTTATGAGAGAAGGAAAGTTCCATATTTAGCCTGTAATTCATGTCCGGAATTGATGCCTTGGAGTCCAGCTAAGCAAGCAGTGCATTTGCGAAGTAAAGTACACTGTGCCTTTATCAAAATGGCCCAGATCTTACCTACTTTACCTTAACTTACTAGATTAGTTTAATATCTTATCAATAAACAATTCATTATTGCATATCTTATCTTAATCTAAATCTTATCTTAATCTCAACTTAATCTAATCTTATCTTATCTAAATCTTATCTTATCTCAATCTCAACTTAATCTAAATCTTATCTTATCTCTACCCAATCTCAACTTAACTCAACTTAACTCAACTTAACTCAACTTAATCTAAATCTTATCTTAACTTGACGTACTCTTTTTCTTTTATGGATGATGCTAACTACTTTGAGTGTGAATATAATGCTTGTGGTAGAGATAAAGGAAGTGTGCTAGTTAATTATGGAAATTCGAAAGTTTTGGGTGTTCTGAATGGACCTTTTGAACCGGCTGGTCCAGTAGTTGATCCTTTTAGAGCGACTGTACGTGTTCAGATCTATGCGGGTGGTGAGAAGAAGACATCGGCATCTTTACTATCTGTTTATTTAGAGAGGTTGTTAAGTGCTTCTCTTAGGATGCAAGAGTATCCTAGATGTATTATTGAGGTTAAATTGTATCTTTTGAGTTGGTCTGATAACTATTATGCTGCTTTAGTGAATACAGCTTCTGTTTTGTTGTTGAGTAGTGGTTTGCAGATGTTTGGAGTTCCTCTGGGTATTTTCTGTTCCTTAGAAGGGGGTAGAGAGTGTACGGTTGGAGTGATTTCAAAGGGTGGTGTTTTACAAGAAGTCTTCTATCTAGGAACGGCTGAAGAACCTAGTAAGACTTGGAAGGAGAATGTGCCTGATTTACTAGAACGTATTAGGTACTCACTGAAGACTAATTATGAGGCTGAAATGGGTGTTTATGCCAATGATATGGCTTATCTTAAGATTAAATGAGTATATGATTTAGTTAGTAGTTAGATTGAGTTAAGATATGATTTTGATATAATTTTGATTGAGTTAAGATATGATTTTGATATAATTTTGATTGAGTTAAGTTAAGTTAAGTTAGGTTGGTATTTATATAAGTTAAGTTGAGTTAAGATTAAGATTAAGTTAGTATTTAGATAAGTTAAGTTAAGATAAGATAAGATTGAGTTAAGATAAGATAAGATAATACTAACCCAGATTTACTAATTAGATACTAATTAGATGTTAATTAGATTGTGATTCATATCTTTCAATACATTAGTTAGATTGTTTTTGTAATTGCATGGAAAATTCCAAGGAAAAGATTGAAACAACTCATATTCCGGCAGTTTGGACTGAATTCTCCATTCTTAAGGAAGACTTAATCTCGCCTACGGTTGAATACGAACCGAATGAGATTGGATTTTCTGGGACAGAGAACTTTCGTGCAGTTTTGAATGTTTTTGGCTTATCTCAACCGACAGCAGAAGGGATAGTTAATCTCATGGAGTACTTTCAAAAACCAATCATTTGGATGAACTTGAGAGAAGAACCTGTTATCTATATTAATAGTCGTCCTTATGTTTTGCGTGATAAACAAGCTCCTTTTTCTAATATTCGCTCGTTTATGGGCATATCTTATACTCGCTTGGAAGAGATGGAAATGCGATTAAAACTAGACATTATTGAAATGGCTAAGAAGAATCGTGGCTTTATTCAAGTCCATACCGAAAAACAACTTAAAGCACTTTGGATCAGTACTTTGTACGTACAGAAAGTACAGACTGTACGTGAACTCTTTGAAAGTATTGGTGGAGATAAGATCAAATATTATCGGACACCAGTTAGTAGGAAACTTTATAACAAGGAAAACTTCTTATCTGTACTGGATACAATTTTATCTAGGAATAAGGAAACAGATCAAGATCTGCTTTTTGGGTTTAATTGTGGGACGGGTTTAGGCCGGACTTCTTATGCCATGGCTGCTTGTTTGATCCGTAAGAAGGCTTTGGAGTACTTGCACTTAACTGCTGAGTTGGAATCGCCTTCTTTAATGGAGGAGTCAGGCCGGGAAATGCCGGGTGTATCTACTTCGGCTTTCAATTCTAGATCTTCGCTTTTAGAGGTAGTTAGTGGTCGTTCGGGTGAATCGGATTTTGCTAAGGTTATTCAGGTGCTGAAAAGAGTTCATGGTAAGGATAAGTTGGCCGATTGGCTCTCTAAGGTTGGTAATGTTGTTCCGGCTTTAGAAAAGGCTTTGAAAGGTGAGTATACTCTGGTTGAGCGCTTAGGGAGTGCTTTTAATGGGTTTTATGCTAAGAAGATTGTTGATTTGGTTCTTTCGTACTTGCAACGGTTTTCTTATCTGGAAGTCTTGTTAGAACACATAATAAAAGCACAGTGCACACCAGATCCTAAGAAGTCGCTTAAACGGGCTTGTATTCTCATGGAAAGGTACGTCTCCTTAATTATCTATGGAATTTACCGGACTAACCAGGTGCCCAAAAGCTTCATTAGTTGGATTGAAGAAAACCCGGCTATCTATGAGTACATTAAGCAAATTGCCACCGAAATTCCTAACTTAGCTATCTTCTCACCAGCAGATATCTTCTCGGCTAACTTGAACACACTTAAGGATACGAGGAAATGGACAACTATTATTGGGGCCCGGACTATTCTTAGTGCTGATAGTATAGTTGGTGAAACAACTACTCAGCCGATTGATAATGTTTATATTGCTTGCCAAATAACCGGCCATCTCCTACCAGCCCATATACCGGAGAATGCTAAATGGATCAATTTAAGAGCTGAACCTGTGATTTATATTGGTGGTGTACCCCATTCAGAACGTGACCGACTATCACCCCATCGTAATATCAAAACTATCGCAGGAATTACGCAAAAGCTCATTGAAACCCAAGAGAGTCTTCTTTGTAAACGTATTCGTAATGAAGGTGCGAAAATGAATGGCCAACTGATTTTATTTGATACGACCACCGATCGTGAACTGATTACTAAACGAGTTAATGTGAAAGGTAAGAAAGTAACTACTTGTGATGACTTTATGAAGATTCAGTTGGGTATCAAGAATTACCAGCGAATTCCAATGGTTTCTAAAAGTGTTTTGTATCCCAATACTATTGATGCTATTATGTCGGTGGTAATCAATCGTAACTCAGCTCCACTTGTCTTCCAGGCTAGTGGATTTGGTGGACGAGCTTGTACTGCTCGTACTCTAGCTATTGTTATTGAAACAGTTCAAGCTCAAGTTAAGTCGGCCACATCAAGTAATCTTGAATTTGCTCCATCTCGGCCTATTCCTATTAAAGCTGTTGAGGCCTTAATTCGTATCTTGCCTAATGGAGCTCTAGCTGAAAATCTGGTTCGGTTTGCCTATAGTAAGGCTGGCCAGAAAGATATTTACGCTATTCTTGGTGAACCGGACTCAGATCCTCAACCTTACCTCTCCAATCACTTCCTAATGATTACAATGGCTTCGTTTATTCTTCTTAATTTAGGCCCTACTCTTTCTTTCCGTGAATGGCTTAACCAACGGCAAGATATCATGAACCTTTTTAATCTCTTGAAAACAGATCGGCTTAAAACTCCAGAAATCAAACATCCACTTATCAACCGGCCTTGGGGGTGTGTGCTAACTCCGCATACTATGCTTAAGAACGATTTCTTCCCCGGTCTCAAATCCGATAAGATCAAAGATAGTGATAATATTCCTGGGTGCTACAACTTCCGAATGGTTCGTTGTGGCGAGAATGATGCTAGTATTGCTATCGGACTGGCTCAGCCGACCGGTGAGGGTGTTGGTGCCCTGGCTGATTACTTGAAAAGAGAAGGTCGGCAGCTGCATTGGTTCTGTTTACGGCAAGAACCTGTTATTTACTTGAAAGGCCGGCCTTTTGTGCTTCGTACGACTGATCTTATTTATGAGAATGTTATCACTGAAGGTATCACTCGTGAATGGGTTGAGAATATTGAAACCCGAATGAAGTTCGACTGCTTGGAAGAGTGCCAGAAGAATGGCTCAGTTATGGTTCATGATGAAGTCTTTGAAAACAGTAAGCCCAAACTAGTACATGAAGTTATGCAGATTCTGCCGGAAGAGGTCCAAACTCTTCAGGAAGTCTTCACTCATCCCCATGTTGTCTACTACCGCCTGCCTATTTCTGACGAGCAAACCCCCTTACCAGAAATCTACGATGAACTCTACCAAACTATTCTGTCTATCAAAGGGCCTAGTGCGCTTGTCTTTTCCTGCCAGATGGGTCGAGGCCGAACAACTACTGGTATAGTCATATCACGATTGATTGCCTTTGTTCAAAATCTGAAAGAGAAGACTCCTACTGAACGTGACTCCCTTCTTCAGTACAAGAAGGCCCAAATTGTGTATAAGGACAAGTACATGATTATCTCTAAACTACTGCAAGTACTGCCCAAAGGACGGGAGAGTAAAAACATTGTTGATGAGATTATTAGTCAGTGTGTCCATGTTCAAAATATCTATGATGATATTGAGCACCAAAAAACATCGGGTTATCTTATTCGTTATTTCTATCTGATCTGTTTTGGGTCTTTCTTACTTGAAAGTTTCGGGACTTCGCTTACCTTCAAGGAGTATCTTTCTGAACGAATGGAAATTGATGCTATCGCTAATGATAAGGAGTACTTGTTATCCCAATAAATCACTTTTAGCTGACTTATATTGTTTGCTTCCAATAAGCTATGCTAAACTAATACTAACTTCTAAGTCCATTTCGATCTACTTCCTTCTTTTGTAATCATCTTCTAGTTATCTCAGTCTATCTTATTCTGAGCATAAGTCAAGTCACTGTGAAATTTAAACTCAAATCTAACTCCACCCAATTTAGAATAGGAAGACATTCTTTTGCTTTTAACTAGTTTAATGTTAATGTTAAGATATAAATAGATTATGGGAGAATAAACAGGATAAAGACGGAGTTGGATAGAGTTGAGTAAGTATTGGTTATGAGTTAGTGCCGGGGTAATTATAACGAATAAAGTTGGAGGATAAGTTACTTTGATATTGGTTGGTGCATTTATCAAATCAATGTGTTTATTCAATTTAATCAGTGTTTCTCTAATGATAAGTTGTTGTAATATCTATGAATATTGGTTATTTGTATGCGTACAGTGATTCTATCCCGAAGTTATTTAGGGGCGAGATAAATGATTGAACATCGCAACACGGCAAACCAGATAGGCTGGCTGTGGTGTTCAAAGCATTCACCACTATTCTTTGCTTGTATTGTGTTGGTATTGGGTTGGTATTGGTTGAAAAGGGCGTGTAGCCACATACCAACACAATACCAACACAATACTGACAGATAAACAAGCGGCAGCCAGAATCATGCACGGACTCAAATACTATTCCGCTACAATCCATTATAACTTCAAAACTAACCCAATACTAGCCAGACCAAAACAAAATAGCCGACCTTTTGATTGGTATAATTTGTTATTTGTTGATTGGGGCGTTATCACTTATAAAGCAATTAAGACATTGAAAGATAATGGAGAGATCAAATCGCTCACGAAATCATCCAGAAGGTAGATCCCGTGGTCGAAGACCACGCACCACCCAACAGCCAGCACAGAACCCTCAATTTAGGCAAAATTACGAACCGAGCGCACCACCCATCGAAACACCACCAAACCCGTATGGAGTTCCACCACCGCCATACTCTGAAGTTGATCCATATCCCCAGGCCAGACCGCAATATGAGCGGGCCACGGAGTTTATAAGAGACACAATGGATCGAACCAACAATTATTGGAATGCCCTTGGGAAGATTCCCATCTTCGGTAATACCGAAGGGGTCGCGGAGTATGTTGGCAGTTGGATTGAACCTAGCGCATCACCCGAAGAACCCCAGGCAGTAGCCGCGGAACAGTCAACTGGGTTTATCAAAGGTTGGTGGAATAAAGCAACTCAGGCAGTTGTCGATAAGGCCACAGAGGCCCGGAACTGGGCCAGATCCGAAACAGCCAAGGGTATGCTTGGTTGGTTGCAGGGAATCGAAGACTATAGCAACAAATTGACCCGGAAGAAGTTGTACTATATTTTCCTATTAGGCGTTGTAACCATTGGTACTCTTTCGCTCAGTGTCTTCCTACTTGGGGCCTTGACCTTTATGTACTGTGCCATACTTAACTATGCCAATGGACCTCTTACAAAGCTCTTTGGGCTCCTAGATATAGGCACTTATTTGCCCCTCAAAATAGTTGGTGGTCTGTTTGTCGCATCATTCATACTATCATGGATTGTTTATGTTGTTGTATGCGTGGTGATGGTAGTCTATCTGCTGTGTACAGTACTTGTACTAGGAAGGCTTAAATCCTCCTTTTCAGCCAAATTCACCATACTAGCACTCTTCATAACGATTGGTGCTGTCTTTGTTTACTTATACAGCTATATCGTATACATACTAGCAGATATTATTTATAGCACCGCGTTTGGCGGCTTTTTGATGTTCTTTTTATCGCTCTTCTATATCTACTTTTCATGGATCCTGATCAAGTACCTGTTTTTTACGATCAAGGAATACATTGCCGGATTTGTCCTAATAAGGAATGAAAACGGAAAGCTTGTTAGAGCCTACAAGCCAAGAAACATCTTCACCTGGTCATTGTTAGGACTTTCTCTTACAACGATTCTAATAATGTCGATGGCAGCTTTTGGTGTTACTATTGTCACTACGAATTTAGGAGTAGATCTATTAACGTTCCTCCTAGGATTCACCCAAGTCGCTGGATTTACAGTTCTCGGTCAAACCGAAATAGCATCTTTTATTACTGTACTCACAATTGCTGCTATAGCTATCTTGAAACACATTAATGAGATTCCATTCATCAAAACACTCATCAGTTCTTTATCAAAAACGGCCACCAAAATGCAAAACCTAGCAAACAAGGCCACCCCCATTGTCCAAACCCATGTCCTCAAAACATAAACCGCCAAATCTACGACTACCCCAATAACCCAACCCAATAACATAACCCAATAACACAACACAAACATAACACAAACCGTTATCTTACCAGTTGTAAATAAATTCCATTTTATTTCCACTCTAATGTCTGAACGCTTCTTACTTATCCATCCTAACATCTATCTTTCCTTTTTAGCCGCGGAAGTCCATTCGATCTTACAGATAACCAAAGATACCTATTTGTTTGAAACTTTAGCCGGAAAGACAATAAGTATAACTGAGACTAATCCACCACTACTAACCGTTCTTAAGACCCAACGCAAAACACTCGACTTTCTTCTATCCCGTTCTGTACTCGTATCTAAAGCCCTTTACATTCCCGAACCATCTGAAACCACCGCCGCCTTCTTCCAACGCCAAGACAACCCCCAGCACACCTACCGAATAAACGTCACCTCATACACCCGTAAGCTCAGTGCTGCCGCCAAAGTCACTCTAATGGAGGAACTAGAACCCATCTTAGGCCTACGCACTGCCAACTTAACTCAGCCCCAAACTATCATTGAAATAATCGAAACCCCCACCCAAACCATAACTGGAATTCTCTATCAAGAAAGCCAAAGAAAAGATCTCCTCCAGTACAGTCTGAAAAACCGCGCCTTCATCGGCACCACCGCCATGGACAACGAAATCTCATTTATTCTAGCTAATCTCGCCCAAGTAATTCCCCAAAGCATTGTCCTGGACTGTTTTGCCGGTACAGGCAGTCTACTCCTTCCCTGTGCTATTCTTGGCGCACTAGTCGTAGGCTTAGATAGTAACCCCAAGCAGTACCAAGGCCTAACTAAACCCCACCAGAACCCCAAAATAAGAACTCTCCAACCAGGAACTAACATCTACACCAACTTCCATCAATTCCAAGTCAACCACCAAGTTCTTTGTTTCGGCCTAGCTAACATCTTCTCAACCCCTATTCTGCGCCCAACTACAATTGATGCCATCATTTGTGATCCGCCCTACGGCCGCCGTGAAAGCACCAACATCAATCTTCCCATTCCCACCCCAACGACCAATCATAAGACCAACACAGATAGTAATGACTTTTATTTCGATTCAGCTTGGCCTTTTGTTCAACAACTCTTCCAACAAGCAGCTATTTGTTTAAAACCCAATGGGTTCCTTTGTTTCTTTATACCACATGCCAATACTAACGATCTACCAGTCAAAATGACCAACTTAGATATCTTTACTGAAATATGTCGCTGTCCCCAATACTTAAACTCAGTCTATTCTCGCACCGCCTTTGTCTACCAGAAAAGGACTCACTAATCATTTACCGCACTTCTTCAACAACTCTCTCTCCTCTCTTTGTAACGCACTGATTTGTTCTAATAAACCACCAACTCGTCCACAAAGCATAGTTTCTAATCGGTCTAACTTTCGGGCCAAAGCACTTAAGGACCCACTATCATCTGTTTTTAGCCGAGCCAAACATTCTTTGATAGCCAAATACTCCTCTTGGCTATTTTTGTCCATAAAATTCTAGCATCATGCCAATAGAAGTGCTGACGTCAGCAACTATATCGCTTATTTCCGCCTATCAAATCATTCCGGATCCATTTGTGTTAATTAAAGAACTAATCGAGAATAGTATTGATTCAGGAGCAAAAACCATTAAAGTGGCTATTCATGGCGATCTGGACAGCTTAGTATTTAGTGTACAAGATAACGGACAAGGCATTGATATCAACCGTAACTTCTTGGTGGCTGGTGGTACTTCTAAACTAGAAGGAGATACTTATGGTTGTAAGGGCATTGCATTGCACTCCCTTATTCAGATTGCTGATCTTAGCATTAACTCTCGGTTGGCTACTAGTCCTACCTCAATCGAAATCAAAACCAAACATGGCCAAATTGAACAAAAACAATCATATCGGCCTGAAGTTGGCACCACTATTAAAGTATCTAACTTTCTCAAACAGTCACCAGTTCGGCATGCTTATATCGCCAAAAACCTACAGACATATATCAAAAGTCTGGTGCATGTGGTTAAAAAGTACGTGGTGGTACATCAGGTTAAAATCACCTTAGAAAGAAACAATCGAGTCTTATTTGTTTGTAATAACCCAGATCCTACTTCTTTTATCAAGCGAGTTGCAGCTGTATCTGATATTACTGAGGGATATGGACTTTTCCAAGTCTCGTGGCCAGAATTTCTTATGGAAGGTCTTCTAGTGCCAGGCCCACTAGGGGCAGAGGGTATAATTCATTCACAGGGCAAGATTCTTGAAAGTGCTAAAGTACAACTACCTTTGGCCGCACTCAGTAAACATCTGCAACAAAGGATTGTTTACCACCTACAACTGCATTTACAGCACCCAGATGCAATCAATCCGCATTTAAATATCGGGACTAGAAGCAGCAAGCACCACCGGCTCATCTACAAAGAGCCCTATATCATCAAATTACTTGAAGATATCAAAAACCATCCAGCCATTCAAACTTATCTTCTTTCATCGCACAAATCAAAACCCATCAAGACTTTCTTCCCTACTCCCGACCAACCAAACTATACATTTGTTATCCAGACCGATCCATCCCCTACCAACCCCAGTACCTCCCCATCTTGCAGTTCACCATCTCAACCATTAACTTCCAATACCAATACCAATCTCAGCACTAATACCAATACCAAGACCAATCCCAATCCCAATCCCAACCCCAGTCCTAATCCTAATACCAATACCAACACCAATCTCCATACCAATCCAATCCCAACCCAAGACTTCAATCTAACCCCGCTCCCCTCTCAACTAAACTCAATGCCTACCCAAACCACTACCTTTCAACCGACTAATCCCATACTAACCCAAGACATATTTGACGCCCAACCAGTAGCCTATACCATTGATAGCCAGGAAAACTTCTCAACTACCAACTACCAAGAAGGACTTGTACTGCAAAAAGACGATTTGGCCCATTTAAACCTAGTAGGCCAATTCAATAACGGGTTCATCATTGTTACTCTAAAGAAGAACGACAAAACCCATTTATACGCTATTGACCAACATTCAGCCGACGAAGCTGTTAAGTACGAACGCCTTAAAACCACCTACACCCACCCCAAGCAGAATCTAGTTAAAGAAATCCCGCTTTCCTTGACTGATTACGAGAAGTACCTTATTGAAGAGCACCAAGATACCCTTGCCCAGAATGGATTTGTCTTCTCATCAGACAAAACCGCTCTTATTCAGGTTCCCATGTACAGTACTACCGTCTTTGGCGAAGCCGAGCTCAAAGAAACCCTTGATATTCTGCGTGATACGCCCAAAACCAAAGTCATCTTCACATCCTTAAGAAAGATCTTCGCCAGCAAAGCCTGTCGCACGAGCATTATGATTGGTGATTCCCTTACCAGGCAACAAATGCAAACCATCATCCAAAATCTTGCCCATACAACTCGACCCTGGAACTGTCCCCACGGCCGGCCAACCATCGTCCTTCTCCAAACAACCCCCCAAAAGCCCACTACATCAGTACCCAGTCCCTCTACACCAATAACTCCAGCATAACAACAACTTCATCATAGTACAACTTCATCATAGTACAACTTCAACCAATAAACCCATTCTAATACTAACCTAATACTAACAAATCAATAAACTAAACCTAATCTAACCACGTTCTTTATTGAGGTATCAACCATGATAGGTTATTTGGCAATGTTTCAACCAAGGTTCAAAACCAGCCAATCCCATCTTAATATCTTCTCCTCCACCTAATCCAATCCAATCCATCCACCTCTAATCCAACCCCACCTAGCCACAACCAACTCAATACTAGCCCAACTCATGATCGTCCAAACAGAAACCACAAGTCTATCACGGAAAAACAGATAACCCCAACTAGCATTAAAACATCCATTAACCTCTCTTTACACTCAGGATTCGTCTCAGTCGATGTGCATCGCGTCTCTTTATCCATCTACTCTTCTAAAACACAAGCAAGGCAGTCAAACTAAATGCACCCAGACTTTTCCCTTTATGATTATTGCACTGAGCGCCCATGAAGAGTTCGAAAGGACTATCTTCGGCTATGGATTTGTTAAGAAAAGAACAGTTCAAGCCGGGTCTCTTACGTCATATGCGTTTGATGGTAAAAGACTAGTGGCTTACACCGCAGAAAGAGTTCAAAACCGTCGACAGTACGTTTATTTCCAGCAGAATAACCAAGTGCACCGAGCCGAATTCGAGTCGGCCTGGATAGATGCATGCTTGCGAGAGAGATCGACCCAGCGAAGTTATCGAGTTCGGTTTACGTATATCTCCAACGGAACACTCCAGGGTCGGATTTTCTATCTGGAGTCGGCCAATGGAATCAAAATTATGAGTGCCGTTGAAGGAATAGACCATGCTAGTGAGATTTTTGAAGAAGTGCCTGTAGAGAAAGAAGGTCCGCCGGCCGGTATTAGTGCTGAGTCCTTCTTCGCCTATCTCTTTTTCAAATACACCTCACAGAAATAAATGGGACACACGGCCCAGAGTATCTAAGGCATCAGCTAAATTACTAATAAAGCTATCTGGCGTATCAGCGTATTTCTTGGCGGCGGCCTTAAATTTATCGGTAATTGATTCCAGCAATAGTTCGTTCTCTTTTATCTGAGTTTCCAACTTCAGCATCTTTTCTTGCTTGCCGGGGAAGTCATTACTGTCGAATACTTCGTTGATGCATTGTTTGATCATTAAAAGATGTTCATTAAGCGTTTTGATTTGAAAGGTTGATAGGGGTAGATAGGACTTGTATAGGGCCTTGAAGTCAATCTTATGGCGGAGAGAAAGAACGAGAAACTCTAGCAGACTATAGGAGCAAGCATCTGGGGTGGTTAGTGAGGCCGTGCAGCGCTGAAAGGCCGAGAGAGAGGACAGCATTAGAGCACGGGTTTCAATAGTGTTGGAAGAAGTAGCTGCATATTTCAAATTAATCGAGTTACCGAGTTTGAGAGATAGAACTAGTAGCTTTGGCAATTGGGTGTCGCCTTCTATCTTATCTAGTGAGGCTAGCATGTTGAGTGCGCTTTTCTTCAAAGCGTGGAGGGCCGGTATGCTCCAGAGATAGTATTTGGCCAGCAAAAACATGCCTCGAGTGCTTCCATCTGAGAGTAAGAGATAGAGCTGACTTTCAATGGGGGATAGGTCCTTGGTATTAGCGGCTAGGATCTTATTGCATTCGGCTTCGGGAGGGAATACACCTGCTATATTTGTGATCGCTTCCGGCTCCTCTATTTCTTGTTTGTCAGCCAGCCACTGCTTGATCTCCGTTCCCAGGGCAACCAGACTAACCTTTCGCTTCTCTAAGGCACCAAGTACAACTGAAAGTAAGAACTCCTGTCTTTCCGAGAGAATCCTGGTTTTAATGGTCCCAGATACGGCCGGAATAGTTTCAGAAGCGGGTTTGAATGGGGTGGACGGTTTCTTCTGAATTCGGGCTACGCAGAACTTCTTGATCAGCTCCTTTTCTAACTCGACCCATTCATACTCGGCAACAAAACGAGTGGTCTGATCGTAGATGGATCCTTTTGCACCAGGCGAAGCTGTCCAGTGTACTTTTGGGAAGAGTGTTTGAATAGTTGGGTCCCGCTTTTCTATCTTCTGAACCGCCGGTCTTACTTTAGTGCCGGGCGGGGGAGGGAGGTTCCTGCCTGGTCGATTGTTACGTAGCGGTGGCGAGGGAGGCACGAGGTTCTTGACTTCGACAGGAGCATCTTGAACTACCACGTCTAGAAAGATCTTCTTTGGAAGGGCAGCACCGGTGGCACCAAAGTCTTTTCGAAAGAACCGCGTAATGCCCACCGACAAGTTGTTCAGCTGAATAGTGTGCTTCTTGTTATCACTGCCATGAATAACAATTTCTAGAAGTGTTCCCATTTTGATATGACCTGTAAATACTAGCCAGTAGCGGCCATCGTTAACAACCGCCAACTTCTTTTGGTCAGTTAAGCTATGCTCGTCAAAGAGATATGTTTGGCCGTCCGATTGAATTTCGACAACCGGTGTTATATTTTCAGGCGGAGTGCCTACAACCACTTGCGTGACTATCTTTTGCATCCAACACGTCTCCTTGGCCCGAGATCCTCATATATCGCTGTCACAAAACCAACCAATGGACCAGAGTTAAGTTAGTGCTTAGTTAGGCAAGATAGAAACCTGTTTTGGGTTATGAATTGGATTGGGAGGGCAGACCTCCAATAAAACGACCAAAAGGACTGGACCATGAATCAAAACTAGTTTATTAGTTGGCATTGTATTGCCGGGCATAGGCAATCAAATAAATGATCAAGTGAGTATACTAAATTCCGGGTATCTTTGGATGGTTTTGGCCTACGAAAAAAGGTGCTATATTAGGCCATGGATCTGAGTAAGTTGAAGTAATCATAAGGATAAGACACTTTAAAGTGCTTGTTAGTATTGAAGAGATGAACTAGATTGAGATTCGGCGCAATCGCGGTGTGATTGCCAGGGCTAGCTAAGTTGTTTTGTGGCGCCTGCAGAAGAGCTGAGTTTGATAATCGTAAGATTGCAGACGACTTTAGCCTTGTGGCTTTATGAATGGCGTTTAGAATATGGTTTGTGCCGGCGAGAGTTAGATCGGCTATTTTGTTGGCGCAGAGTGTTTGAGTAGCTACTATCAGGGTTAATCGACCGGCGAGGTTGGTCTTCAAGACTTAGTTCCTTTAGTTTAGATTGACCATACTGCGGGCGTAGACTGACTTGGTCTGTTTGGGAGTCATAAGAAACTTGGTTAGAGTGGGGTGGTTGATTAGCCAAATCATGTGGTTGATTAGGTTGGGCGCATTGATTATTCGCATTAGGCTGTGGTTGTGCAGAAGAAGCATTCAGATTAGAAGGGGTTGTTTGGGTCGATTGAGATCGTTGGTTAGTCGAATTATAATTGTTTGATTGAGACGGTTGAGATCGTTGGCTATTCGAATTAGAGTAATTGCTTTGGGGTGGTTGAGATCGTTGGCTATTCGAATTAGAGCGGTTGTTTTGGGACGATTGAGATCGTTGGTTATTCGAATTAGAGCGATTGTTTTGGGATGATCGCGTGTTCGGTTTACGCTTGCTTTGCTCGTTGGGTATGAATGGCCAGTCACGCTTAGGATCTGCGTTAAGTTCGTTTGATTTAGATTGTTTAAGTGACAGGGCGTTTAGTGATGGTGTGTCTTCATCCTTGTCGTCGGGCTGAGGTGCAGATGGCGTTGATGCTATATCTTTCAACATTGCCGTAATACTTGAGGAATAGGTCATGGGGGGCGGGAGGATCTTTGTTTTAGTGGTAAAGCACACCCTCCAGTTTTCAATAGAATTCTTGAGATAGTCCTTTAACATCTCCACGGTGACCTTTTTGATCTCTTCCTCCAGGCGTGCGAATTTAGAGATATAATCGTTGGACCAATCTTGGAATATAGGGTTGAGGTAGTTCTCAGGCTGAACGCAGCATAGACGACGATTGAACTGAATTGTAAGCATTTGCAATGCTCGTTCTCTATCCATTTCAAATTGCTCCGAAGTAACAGTGAATAAGTCTTTATAAAACACACCCAACCATTTGACCTGCATTTGCCGCACCTTATCTTCATCCGACTTTTTGATATTGCTTATTCGGAAATACAGATAGACTTTATTGCTAGGACGAACCCAAAGGCCTACTCGTGTTGTTGTATTCTTAGGGAAGGGACCGCCTAACCACACTTTGTGAATGGTATGGCCTCTTGCCTTGATTATGCAAGCTATAGCAATATTCTTGAGATATGGGAATTTCCGTACGTTGTGAGCAAAGATAGCAGCATCTTTCGTTTCCTTCTGAACTTCCATGTACACTTCGTGTTGGCGCATCTTGACCTTAGAAGCATCGGCATCCACATTTGGAATACTATACTCTTGAAGCATATCTACCATTGCGTCAAACTCATTCCTAGTATTGTTGCCAAATGCCAGCATTGAAATGCAAAGGTCCTTAGAAGGGAAAGAGTAATTCAAGTCTGGGTTAACAACGCAATTACCATTCGCAATAACATCAAAGTCGTAATTTCCAATAGACTTAAACACCCCAAACTCTTCACATAGATTTGAAGAGGGCGTAGCAGTATGTTCGGCAATTATACCCCTCAAAGACTCTTTAAGTTGTTCCAAACTTATACCAGCATTAGCTATACTGAATTGGCATAACTGGCGCAAGAACAGGTCGATCATATGATGGATGAGAGTAGGAACACCAGAGAAAACAACTATAATCTGGCGCGGCCTATGGTAGATGTCTTTGATCTGGCATCGCGATAGGGTCAATTCGATCGTAAATGACGTGTTAAAGTGCTTACGGAAGAGTTCCATTAAGAGACGGATATGAACAAAGCTATCTAGATTTTTATCAAACTCTGGGGATTCTAAGATGATTTCAACTTGAGAAAGACTAGATATACAGCTGGTACTATAGACCAGGCAAGCCGTAACACCATTTTGCTCCTTCGTAAATGTCATTTGTTTCCGACCTTCCTTATACAGGTCGAGATGGATATACGGAACAACATTAATCGGTATGCTTCCAAGTTGGTTTGTAGTAGCTTTTTCCTCTCGTGAGACAGCGATATCAACTATTGAGTTCTGAGTTAGTGCGTCATTTGGAACCACGTCCTTGAGTTGGTCAATTGCAAGTTGAGATTGTGGAGTGAATTCAAGATCGCAGGTGTACGGGAGAACGGCATAAGAAATTGAGCAGTAGGGAATATCCAGATGCTTATAATTCGAAGGGAGTGGAGTAATAGTTTGGAACATAACGAGCCAACTCCACACCTGCACAACCATGCCCATTGTTCTCTTTAGGTCTTCTTGGGTGATATTATGTGGTTTCGACGAACAACCATTTAGAACTTCATACAAGGTGTACCAAGGATAACCAAAGGCAACTTTTTCAAGCAACTGGGCAGATGGGATATTTTCTTTGTTAACTGGTATGTCAATAATACGTGTCTTCTGAAACTCATAATAGTTATTAGCTGTACAATAACGAGCAGCTAACATGAACTTTTGATAGATTATATCACAAACTTTCTTAATTTGATCAACACTACTAACAATAGCTGAGAAGTAGGTCTCAATTCTCAAAACAGTAGCTGCTCGTTGCAATACAACCCGGCACTCTTGGTAAGACACCTGATAAGTGATAAGGTCATTATTTAAGCCAATCATTATATTACTGTGATTAAAGAGATTAGCTATATAGGCAAACATAGATTCAGTGCTAGTATAGAAAGAAGAGGGCAAGGGAATGTGGACCACAAGCTTTTCTGTTTCCATACTAACATTACTTTCCAGTCGGTAAAGCACAATCGTATTACTAGATATTGTCTCGTATAAGCCATGCCTCGTGTATGATATCAATGGATTCTTGGCCTTACCTTCAACCAAGTCATAGACGCACCAAGCCGCTGGACAAGCCGTCTTCCCAACCTCAAAAGGACCGGCAAAGTACTTCCTAGCCAACCTACCTAACTGATCAAGTCCATTATAACCAAACAATGTCAAGTGCATATTGTTAGTTTGGAAATACCGCTGCCAAAACGCCTCAAGATGCTTCAAAGGAACACTATCCTTAAGTCTAGTAGCATATTTGTCTTTTGGTCGATTGTATAATATCTCTTGAGAAGTTAGATGGTCCACCAGAACCTCCTCCTGATAAGGCATTCTTTTGACTGTATAGCCAAACTGTTTAAGCAATAGGTCCCGTTGAGCATCTATTTCTTCTGCAGTCCAGCCTTTAGCCCCAATGGAATGTTCCCTAAATAGTCGGACAAACTTATTTATGGCCAATTCAAACATACTTTCAGGCGCAACCAGTGTCATTACTGTTCTTTCGCGACGAATGGACACATTGAACCAGCCACCCAAACGTCTCATGAACCGGTCAATACAATACCTATATGATAAGAGACTATCTTTAGGCACATCAGAAGAAGCGAAGCTATGTTTTTGTATCACAGCTGCAATTAGATGGACTATCTCTGGAAATTCAGATGGGGCGTGAGCTATGCCTACACCAATAGCCAAGGAGAATCCAATGAATTTATGTTGGGCCGAAGATATCAAAACTGTTTTGAGCTTGTTGGCAAGTTTTATGTCCTTGTACTCAAACCTTGGTTTTACATTAGTATCTTCAGTCTCACCATCTGCAGCATTATTATTATCATGGGCCTTATTAGGATGACAATCTGTCTCAGAAGTCGCATTTAAACTATCTACTAGATAAGAAAGAACCACTAGGATACACAATACTGTTTTAAGCCTAATTTCGTATTTCATACAGGGGTAAATTAAATAATTTAGATTTTATAGATAAGCCAAAGAGTTTCTTTTGAATTTGATATTTAATATTTTGAATGGTTTAAGTTGAGTTAAGTTAATGTAATGCCTAATACTAACTCAATACTAACCCAATACGTACTCTAATAAAGATATTCCATGAGATAACTATAGTTGAGTTGAGATAGGGTGTTGTTATTAGATATACAAAGTTACTTTGGTTAAAAGAGTCTGTACTAAGTAGTAAGTAGTAAGTAGTGATTGTGTTGTGTTAGTATTGTGTTGGTGTAGGTTTAGTTTAGGTTTAGTATGGGTAGGGTCGCATTGGGTAGTGATCGTATTGGGTAGTGGTCGCATTAGGTAGTGGTCGTATGACAACATTACTTTAATATAACCAATTTACTTTTGCATATCTACACTAACTCTACACTAACTTTACACTAACTTAATATGACGTCATCTTATTCCAACTCAGCCGGATTTACTTAATAAAATGATACTACTTATCTCATGGAGTGTTTTTATTAGAATACGTATTAGTTAAGTATCATGTTGGGTTAGTTTAGTATTTTGTTGATATTACTAGTAGTAGTCGTATGACAGCATTACACTAACCAAATCAAATTCTTATCTTATCTCAACCAAATCAAATCACAACTTAACCAAATCAAAACCAAACCAAATCAAAACACAACTTAATCAAATCATAATAATACCCATTTATTCTTAGAGCCAGGGATGCCATTGTGGATCCATCATTGATAACCGCTCCGGAGCAGTAGCATTACCTACCAGCCGAATAATACCTTTAGCTGGAACATTCTCAGGCGTAGTTAACTCCTTAAGCTTACCCCTAGCAATTCGCATCGCCCGTACTGCTAGATCAGCTCCTACCTCCTCCCGAGCCAAGGCATCCATATACTTCATTAAATACTCCTTTTTAGATAACAACACCGCACAATGATACATTGTTGATAAAAATGGACCTTCCAAACCAGCCCGACCTATCAACCGTTGTAAATTAGGCGTCAACCTAAATGGAACTTCCTCTAAAGCCGCCTTCTCCGAAAAAGACGGATAAAAGTCCCCCGACATCACCGCCCCCGTCGCACAACCAATATGCATCCGAGCCGGCATACGCGCTCCAATCCCAAATAGATAAGCAACTAAACAATGTACGCCATGTGAAATCCCAAACCGTTTCCGGAAGTAAAAGAAGTCACTCGCTGACTCAAACCCATTCATAAAGGCATCTCCTAATAAATTATCACCAATCATTCCAGCACTATTAACAAACATACGTAATCGAGATTCAGCATCTAAAGGATCACTTTCAGATATTACACCACCCTGTCCAATACTCATCCGACACTCAAATAAGAACTCCTGCACTCGACCTGAACCCATTGCCCCATCTAAAACCTCAGCTAAAGATACGGATCTTTCCTCTTCCAGAATTACTCTTGTCTGATGGTTTAAAGAGATAATCTTACGTAAAGCTGCTCGACCTCCTCTACTACGTACTTCTACTGACCTTTCTAAACTAGCATTTACTAGAGCTAAGGCCTGAATAAATCTTTCTTCTCGTCTAACACTCTTCCCTGACGGCATCTGTAAGGCTATCCGGTAAATTTCACCCGAAGCTACTCTAATTCCTAGTCGTCGTAAACTTATTCCTGCTCTTCTCTCTATCTTAATCTCCGGTTCAAATCTAGATATTTTAGCCATAGTCCTAGCCCGATCAGTTACATCAATATACTGGCCAAACATTTCTATATCTTCAGCTCTTTGATCAAAATCTATCATTCGTCGTGAAATCGTCTCTAAACTAATCCGTCGTGGCATAGCTCCTAAAACCCTTTCTAAAGCCCCCTGCCACCGCAAGAGAATCTGAGCAATCTCCCAAAGAGGAATGCGATTATTATTAGTACTACTGCTAATATTACCCTTGTCAATATTGGTACCCTGTCGAGATAAGGCTGCGGCAAAATCTGTATCAAAACTTCGCTTATACTTACTGGCTAATGATGACATTCCTATCATTTCTGATATCTTTTTCAAAGCTAAAGATAAGGATCCTTCTTCGGTATCTTCCTTGCCAAATAGTTGTTGTAAGGCTTCCGAAAGCAAAGCACAAATCAACCGGTAAAACTCTTCTTCAGCTGAAGATCTTAGTCTTAAGGCTAAACATTCAACTATCCCTTCAATATTAATACACATTAAAGTAAACCCTGTCTTTAAAAACGTCCATAAATCAGCAATTGGTCCTTCGCCTATCCCTCTTTTCCGTTCATCTTCCAGGGCATTACGGACTGGGAAGTAAACAGCCTGAGGATAAGCTTTAGCTACCCGAGAAAGGGCTGAAACGGCCATTAAAGAGCCAGTTCGAGATAAAACAGCTACCATCTGTAGTACAAAAGGAACAAAACACCAAACATCTACTTCCCCGACAGCATTTTCAAAGACTTTCTCTGTTTCCGGTGCTGCTCCACCATCCATAAGGGCAACTACTGAGATAAGAGCTTTACGGGCAATAGGACCTGGAGAAATAGCTGCTGCTTGCATAAAGGCATTAACTGCATTGGTTTTGTTCGTCTCCTGAGAAAGAACACCCCATCTGTACCAGACTTTAGCATTAGCCGGATGGACTTGGGCCGCCTGGGCATAGACTTTAGCGGCATCTTCAGTACTCCCACGCTTCTCCAGGAGTTGGCCACGTAATAAGAAGACTCCACTCTTCTGGGCAGCTGAGAAGTAGTTTAAGTTAGTCATACCTAGTAAATCTATTCCAGCGGCTGCTTCATCCATAGCCATATAACACTTAGCATGTTCTTCTAACTTCATGTAGGCATCTGAGATCTCAATATTAGGCAGAGTATAGATACTTTCTAGGTTAGTAAGAGCAGCTGGATAGGCGGAACGTTTACGTAGAGCCCGGGAGAAGAGATTAAGAATATGAGCAGTTTCATGGTATCCTCTGTACTGCAAAGACTTCTCTTTAGCCCGGGCATTACCTAAAGAAGCAAAGACATGAGTACGCCAACGGACTAGTGAAGCCCAAGCGGATAAAGGTGCCCAACCCAAAGGAACTCTTTCTTTCCAGACTAGTAGAATACCTGTTAAGTCCCGGCGTAAATCTTCTGATTCATTAAGTTGCCAAGACTCGTTCATCTCAACGACTAACTGGAACTTACGTACGGCTGATAACTGCCGCGGGGAAAGAGGAGGAAATCTTGATATTTCATCTAAAGTAGCTGTAACAATATGGTAGAGATGTTCTTCTGTCTCTTTAGTCTTTTCAGTGACGACAAAGAGTTCATAGAAAGTACGTTCTGGGGTAGGTAAATCATCTAAGGCAGAACGGAAAGCTAATTTATCGGACTCAATAGAGAAATCAGTAGTAAACCATTTGGCTTTGGCCGTTAGACTTTTGTTTTTTGTAGCTAGACCTATCTCAGATAAGAGATCCCATTGTTGTAAATGAGCGGCACAATCGATCCATTGTTCTTCCCAGATACGGTACTCTTCTTCATTAAAGAGAAGAATACCTGATTGGGCTTTAGCTTGGATCTCTTCGTATTCAGTTTGGGCGGCACGAAGTTGTCCTAGTTGTTGGAGGAGAAGAGCTTTAACTGTTTCGGGGTAGAGGGCTGAGACACGTAATTGGGCCAGAAGAAGGTCTCTTTCTTCTAGTTCATGGAAGATAGAAGCAGTTTCAGGTCGGCCTTCAAGAACATCAGCGGCTGCAGTCCAGGCACCGGTTGCTTTAGCGGCCTGGAAGAGTTGGCATTCAGTTGGTTTAGACTGGCAGAGAAGACGTAAGCCAAGAATAATAGGTTCAGCAGCTAAGGCAAGTCTAGGTGTACCAGCAGCAGCTAAACGGACAAGCATACTTTCAGCCCGAGTATGTACGGCTGTTTTAGTCTTATCAGGAAGGAAGGGAAGAATAGCAGATAAGATTTGGCGTAAGAAAAGAGCAGAAGAAGAATCAGAAGTATAAAGAAGAGTAGCTACAGCACTTTTTAGAGTACGTTTAGATAAGTTAGTTTGTTTTTGAAGTAAAGTAACTAGAGGACTAAGAATAAGAGTTATTTCAGTAGAATTACGACTAGTAAATTGATTAGATAAGTTTTTGGTTACGTTATTAGATAGATTTGGGTTGGTAGATAGGCTTGGGTTATTAGTAGATATCGTATTACTAGATAGATTAGTAGATAGACTTACGTTATTAGATAGACTTACGTTATTAGATAGGCTTAAGTTGTTACTAGATTGGCTTACGTTATTAGATAGGTTTACGTTATTAGATATCGTATTAGTAGATAGATTTGCGTTATTAGATAAGATAGCTGAAGTAGCTGGAGTGGAGTGGGAACTGAGGCGTAAACCGTCCTGGGACCAGAACTGACTAACGGCTAGACCTTGAATTTGAGCTAGAGCTAATAACATACGGGTAAAAGCAGGTACCCAACGACCTTCTGGGAATAATTCCCATTCAAAAGCACAAAGATAAAGTAAACGTTCACCTGGATGGCCTGAAACTCCTTCATCAAATAATCTAAAGAAATCAGATCTAATCTTATCTGAACTAGAGGATAAACCGCGTACGAATAATGGTTGAAATCCACTTGATACTTCTGTTCGACCAACTGCTTCTGCATAGACTGAATGGACTAGTCCTAATCTTATCTCTTGTACTTCTTCTGCTGTCATAGCTAGTAGTAAAGTTTGCTTCATAGCTGGTGTTACTGAGGTACTTTGGACTACAGCTACTACACATTCGGCTGTTTCTGGATGTCGGAAGAGAATAGGATGTCTAGATAACATTTGGGCTAGTAATGGTAAAGTACTGGGAATAGAGATAGCTAGTTTTAAAGTCTGAGGTAGAATATCAGCTAAGGCATCAGCATTCTCTGATTTAAGAGCTTCCTCTAGAACAAGTAAAGCCTTCTCAACTGCTGCTTCTGTACCTATTAGAGCAGCGGCAGCGACAACCACACGAGGTGGAGCTGACTTCTCAGAAAGACCTTTGAATAACTCAGTTAGAATAGTAGGATCAGCTGCAGATATGTAAGGTAGAACCTTTTCCATCTCTGGAAGTCTATCTTCCCCTGTAAAACAAGCTCTTAAGGCCGGTCTTAGGGCTTCAGCTAAACCTGGAGATGTTGGGGCTACTGCCATGTAAAGAGAAGCCACAGCCGGTGGATGGACTAGTTCTGGACTTATTTCAATCCGTTGTGGGTCAAAAGGTAAAGATTCAATTGATTCTACCGGTAAATCACTCGATCGGGCATGAATAAAGAAAGATACATAAGCCGAAGCTAAAGCAGATACGGCTGGAGATGAAACTGACCCGGCTTTATACCAGGCAATCACTGCCCGCAACAAAAGAATAGCCGTCTTAGTACTACCAGAAGCAAACAGTTGCAGAGCAGCCCCACAAACACCCGGTTCTATCCCAGAATGGACAAAGAGAAGAGGAGCCCGGGCAAAGACAGGAAACAGAATGTAAAGATGGGTTTTGTAAAGGGTTTCATCCTCTAAGGCTGCCGTAATACTCTGCATAAAGGGTAGAACTCCTTTCTTTTCCAGTAGAGCTACTATCCCTCGAACAGCTGCTTCTGTATACTCTGGATGTGCAGTAATAAGCAAGAGGAACGTATCTGGATCCGGATCAGGTTCATGAGTAAGAAGATAAGCCGTTATTTTAACTGCATCAGCCGGTTCCATTTCTGGAGTAGCTAAAGCCTGACGTAAGAAACTAAGCAGTTCAGAAGAAGGATTAACTTCTTCCTCAATAATAATACTAGCTACTAAATTAATCCAAATTCCAGATCCAGATCTACATAAAATTTCCTTATTAGGTAATGTTTTTGAAAATGTTTTAAGTAATCTTTTTTGCACATTAACTGATAAGGAAAAGATCTCTCCATTTTGAACTAATTCTTTGAAAAACAAGATAGACTTAAAACTACTCATACTCTCCGGAATAATAGGAGCTGATCTTTCCTCTTCCGCTCCATAAAACAAAGCTAAACCAGCCGCTGAACTAGTCGCCCACTGCTTAACTACCCGGCCAAAACTACTATCTCCTATCCCATCTTGCCATAAACCTAAAACTCTCTCTACTTCCACTCGACTCGGCTGACCACCCGCCGCACTAAAGGCCACATACTGCCGCCAAGAAGATTTACTAGATAAGATAAAAGAAGCACTATCTCTAACTACCTGACTAGCCTCTAAGACTAAAACCAGTACAAAATAAGCCGTATCATCATCTAAAGCCATCCGGAAAAGAGCCACCGCCGTACTAGGTCTAGTTTCAGCAAAGACTCGGAAACCCCGACTAATCTCACGACTTTGACCGTTTTTAAACAACTTAACATAAAGATCAGCCGCTGTACTGATAAACTCATCTTCATCAGAAAGATCAGTACGAGCTAACATTTCAAAAACTGCATCAATACATTCCGGCGTACTTACTTCTCCCCCCGCAGCTAACATATCCAGTAGACTAGTAGCTAAACCGGGTTTAAAGATAGGAACATCTAAAGCTTGTAAATGAGCTAGACCTAAAATAATCTGGGGAGTAGCTTTCTTCTGACTAAAAGCATTAATAACCGGCATAAGCCAAGTCTGTAAAATATCAGCAGGAGTTTCTCTCCCTTGGATGTGCATTTGTCTTAAACCATCCCGGCAAATATCAACTACTTCAACTTCCCTTGAGAAAAGACCTTTGATAAGAACTTGTGATATCTTAGCTAAATGAGAAGATCCGTTAAAATCAGGAGCAATTGCTGCAGCTACAAAAAGACGAACAGCTGCTACTCGTAACTCTAAACTAGAATGAGGAGAAGCAACAATCCTAAAGGCTTCACCAATAAATCGTTCAATTCGTTCATCTGTTTCGACTAAAGGTGGTCGTAAACCAAATAAGAAAGTCATTACATCCATATTACCTATCTGTACACCAGTAGCTAAAGCTCTTAATGGCTTACTTAGTACTTGAGCTAGTAACTTATCCTTAAAAGGTTGCAGAAAAGTAGTGACGTCAGAACCGTACAGTTCAGCACAGTAATTAAGACTTTCCCGGCAAATATGTCTAACTCGGGCTTGGGGATGATTAAGTTCCTGGGCAAAGCAAAGAATGAGTTGAGAAAAGTGTTCAGTTTGAGCTGGTTCTACTTCAGTAGCTGGATCATGGGCTGTTCTGATAATATGATAGATAGTTTCACGAACAGATTCAGCTGGACTCTGTCGATGGGCTAGTAAAGAAGCAAATAAAGCATTAACAATCCTGACTTCTTGAAAAAGAAGCCAAGTCCGACCTATCTCTAAAGAAGTAGACATAAAAACAAGACCTCTTAAACCAGCTAATTTCTGACGATCAGAATGGGCATAACAAGCAGTACAGAAAGCATGAAGAATATTATAGAAGAGAGTCATTTGGGATGCTTTCTCTTTAGAACCACAAAGACGGTAGACTACTTCGTACATTTTAGATAGGACAGATTGGGCTATATGTTCAGTTGTATCATTACCAAAGGCTAAAACAAGTTCATCAATGAGAACAGAAGTATCACCACGAATTCTGTGCTGGAAAGCTTCGTAGTTAACTAGTTCTAAGACTTTTACAACGGCTAAAAAGGTATAGATACTATCAAGTAGTTCATGAGCAGCAGTAGCTGATTCAGATTGGCTTAAATTGATATTACAATGAGGTAGGTTGTTGTTAGTAGATAAGGTAGATAGGGGTGGGTTGTTAGATAGATTGTTGTTGTTGTTAGATAAAGATGGGTTAGATTGAGATAAGTTGTTAGATAAGGTAGATTGGGATAAGTTGTTGTTGTTGTTAGATTGAGATAAGTTGTTAGATACGGTAGATTGAGATAAGTTGTTAGGTGAGATAGTAGTAGATTGAGATAAGTTAGATTGAGATAAGTTGTTGTTAGATGAGATAGTAGTAGATACGCCATTAGATACGTTATTAGATTGAGATAATTGAGATAATTGAGATAAGTTGCTAGTAGTAGATAAACTATTAACCAACCCCATGCTAACCCAGTCATTGCGCTGGTCTTTGGACTCGGGACTTGTGGCAGCGGCACAGATAAAGAGAGAAGCAGCTAGTTTAGCAGGTATTTCCATATCGGCATCCGGTTCTTCTGGTAAGACTTGTTGTAATGGTAGAACTTCATTAGCAGCTGCTTCGGCATGAAGATCTTCAAAATCAGAGACATGAACTCTTTGTAAAGCTACTAGCCAGCCACTTAACGTATCTTCAGATACTTCTGACCAGGCAAAGAACGTAGCAAAGAAATGAGTAGCTAAACTAACGGCAGCTTCCTTAGCCATTAAAGAATCACTAGTTAAGACTTGAGCGGCTGTAGATAGTAAATTATCAGCTGGCAGAGTAAAAGTATCCGTTCGACCGGTAATTCTCAGTCTTAAGTAGGCTGAAGTAGTTAACTTACCGGCTTCGGGGGCTGGTGCTCCCGAAGCTTTCCCAGCTAACTTACCCAGTAGTTTAATAGCCATGACTGAACTCTCATCCCGATGGACTAAATCTACTAAGGCGGCAAATAAAGCATCTAAACTATCCCCAAGATAAGCCATTAAAAACTCAGCCGAAAGATTATCTACACAAGTTTCTAAGGTTTCCATCGCTAGATTAGATAGATTGTTTTGCATTTTTAAAGCTCGGACTAATGGTCCTGATAATTGTCCTAGAAAAGGAAGTAAAACTGATATCTTAACCGGTACAGTTAAGGCTAATTCAACACTTTCTGATCTTTCTGGATAAATTCTAGCTATCTCTTCAATTTTAGATAAGAATCCAGGTAAACCTAAAGCCATTTCCTTATGTAAAGCATCTAATTTCTCCCTACTAGCCGCTCGGAAAAGATCTCTTACTATCTCTAACGTATAAATAAGTCTTAATTCAGTTGTTAAACACCGATTGAATATCCTTTGTAAATTAGTAGCTATAACACTCTCTATCTCAGCCGTATGAACTGCTAAGGAAGCAAAAACCTCTCTAAACCCAGCTGTAATAAACTCCCGATCCTTATACTCATGAACACGTAAGAGAAGTTCATCAAGTAAAACAGCTGCAAACTTACGAGCTACCCCGGCATAAGCTAAAAACTGCCGCCAAATAGAGAACATGTTCTTGTTCTCACGAGTCAGTTTAAAAAGAATAGATACGTTATCTACTAAAACCCGTTGGAATAAACCAGCATCAAGATAAAAGAAAATCAAAAGAAACTCACAAACTAAGATAATATCCGATCGTTTTTCCAGATCAAAACCAGCTGAGGCAAACATAATAAAAGCTTCTCCTAAAGATCTTGATAAGTCTTCTACTTCCATCGGTGTAAAACACTTCAAAGAAAAGACTATCGCATTAGAAGGTACACTCTGAAACAAGGAAAAGTAGTGCATCGTATTCTTCATCCCCCTAATTATAGATCTTAAAACACTTTTTGTCTCTTCCGATACGCCTAAAGATGCATATCTACGAAAAGCCGTTGAAAAAGATAGATAATTCATCCTAATAAAGAACCCTTTCTCACCTATACTTACATTATCACCAATAATAGTATCATTAATCTGGACTAAAACATTAGCACATAACTTACAAAGCGTATGATCATTAGATTCAGCTAAAAGTCTAGCTGCTTCCCGACATAGACTTAAAGATAAGTGCCGATGCGTTGTATCTCTAAAAACAATCAAAAACTCAGTAGATAAGGTTAACCCTAGTAATTTCAAAACCGGATTCTTAGGTCGTAACAGAATCCCTTCCTTTAAGATAACCTCAGAATAAGCAGCAAAGACTTTCTTCTTCTCTGATTTAAGTAAACTTAGTTGATGATAGATATCTTTTTTGATACCAACGGCTTCATCAGGACAAGCACCTAGTAAAAAGATAGTAAGTTCTGGAACAAATTGCGCTAGATTTTGTATCTCAGCTACTTCTGATTTACTAAGGGCCATAAATAAAGAAGATATCTGTGTTTGGGTTGTTAAACACTGTAACTTAATACTCTCATTGATTAAAAAGACAGGAGCAGCTACTGAGGCTTGCATAAAGAATAAAGAGAAGGCTCTTAAGGTATGAAGGAGAGGAATACAATGAGGAATTAAGTCATCTCGATTACTTTGAGTCAGTAGAAGGAGAAGAACGACTGGTTCAGAGGAAAGAAGAACTGCTCTTCTAGTTTCATTGGGTTGAGCTTGGGAGGAAAGACCTGAATTAAGTCTTTGGAAGAAGCGATGGATAGCACTGACTGTCCTTTCGACTAGACTACTACTGAACTTAACCTTCTTAGCTACTTCAATTAAGACACGAGAACCTAAAGAGACACTGGCTAAGGATCCTGTATCTATGGCTTGAATGACTTTTTCAATGAGAGAAGGAGGAAGAAGGGCATATCTAGCTCTGATAAGGATAGCTAGGGCATATTGATGGATTTGTGTATCTGAATGGGTTAGGGCTTGTTCAACGAGGGGTAGAATTTCTGTGGTGATATTTTGACTAGTTTGAATGAATTCTAAGAACTCTTCGGTAGTTCTTTTGCGATGAAGTAACTCAATTCGCTTAGTTAGGCTTAAATCTTGGTTGTTTATGTCTTTCAACTTCATGCTTCTACTTAAAATAAAAAAATATAAGGATTGGGTTAGATTAGATTAGATTAGGCTTGTTTTGAGTTGAGTTGGTTTAGGTGGAGTGGAGTGGAGTTAGGTTTAGGTGGGGTTGAGTGGGGTGGAGTTTAGTATGGTATTAAGTTGAGATAGTAGTAAATTGAGATAAGTTTAGTTTTGGTTTAGTATTGTATTAAGATAGTACTAAGTTTTGTATTAAGATAGTATTAAGATAGTATTGAGATAGTATTAAATTAAGATAGTGTTAAGATAAGTCTAGTTTAGTATTAAGTTAAGATAGTATGAAGTTGAGGTAGTATTAAATTAAGGTGGTATTGTATTGAGATAGTATTAAGTTAAGATAAGTTTAGTTTTGTATTAAGATAGTATTAAGACAAGTTTAGTTTTGATTTAGTATTGTATTAAGATAGTACTAAGTTTTGTATTAAGATAAGATAGTATTAGATAAGATAGTATGAAGATAGTATGAAGTTGAGGTAGTATGAAGATAGTATTAAATTAAGGTGGTATTTGAATGATGAAAGTAGTCAGGGTGTTTTGTTTGAATTAGGTTCGGTTGTAGTAGAAATAGAATAGAGTGTGGTTGGGAGATGCTGTGATCTTATTTGTGCCTTGGGAGCCATTGATGGTGAATTGGTTGGGTAATAAAAGGGATGGGTTGGTGGGGTTGGTGGGGTTGGTGGGGTTTAGGATTTGGACTTGGGTTGCTTGGGAGAAACGGTAGTGGGAGAAGAGCCAGCAGATGAGATACTCATCGACATTGTCTAGGGTTAGGTTGGTTATGGTTAGGGTTTCCTTGGCGGTGGTGGAGTTTTGGGTGGCGGTGGTGATGGAATTGAAATAGGGACTTTTGGCTGGTCGGTTGCGGATATTGGTGAGGATAAGTTGGTCGGTATGGAGATTGCAGAATAACTTTAGAAGTTCGATGCATTTTGTAATCATGCCTTTCTTGGGTTCGTCTGAGCCTTTAATATGGATGGTCGTATACTTTATGTTTGGGCAGAATTGCCCGTGTTTCTGTCGATGGTTGATTAGATCGTTGAGAGATAAGTGGATTGAATCTAGTCGGATGGTGATGGGGGTTTGAATCTTGTACTTTTCTCGGTTGGGGTCGTCGGGGTGGCATTCAGTAGACTGGTTGGGATCGCCGAGATGGTATTCAGTGGTCTTGTTGGGATCGTTGGGATCGTTGGGATCATTGGGGTTTTGAGTGGAGGTGATATTATGTTGGTATTTGCAAAAGAACTTAATGGTGTCCCGTATGTCGGTTCGGTTGGGGCTGTAGTGGAATTGGATTTCCTTGACTGCAATACCGAGATTGGCTAGGCGCTTTTGGGTGCATTCTTGTATGAAGTATTGGCGGTTGTAGCAGGGCATGTTTGTGGCAATGTTGAAAATGATTAGGTTGGCGGTAACCAGGTCTTGATCTGGGCATGTTATTGTTTCGGCCTCTGTTATTGTGGTCATCACACTGGGAGTTATATCAAGGCCTAGGAGAGTATGGACATCTATTCGTGACCTCGTTCTACTGGCTAGATGCTTAAGTTCTTCCCAACTTATCTGGAGAATTAATTTGGGGTGCTTGTTGATGGCATTGGCGAGTCCTTCTATTGTTACTTTCATGCCTTGGGGTGTTTGAACTATGATTTGGGCACATGTGAATTGGGGGGTTTGGAGAGCGGTTAGGTTTAGGTTGGTCTGTAAAGATAAAGTATCAACAATGAGGGTGTAGTTATTGGTCAGGGGTAAACGATTAAGAAGATGTGTGTCGTTGTAAGTGTGACCTATAAAACGGACACTGGAAAATGTTCGTGCTAAAACAACTCGACTTTCGATTAGGGCTTGGAGTGAACTATTTGTTATGCTTGAAAATAGAAGTTGGCATGGGGTGCTGTAATCTGAATGGGGTAATCTTGGTGGTGCTATGTTAATTTTGTCTGGATTGGTATTTGGAATTGTTGGACTAGTATAGTTAGTTGGTTTGGTGAAATCTGAGGAATATTCTATGATGACGTTTAAAGTTCTACAATCAAATAGAGTAATCAGATAGGATAGAAGTTGCATTTTCAATGCAGAGTAGCTTGGGTTGGTAGCATAATAACCAATATAAGCTGCCTGAGCTTTGAAGATGGCGATTGTTTGTACTTGGTTTAAGATATTGGAGATTGTTGTTGCGTCTACATCCATAGGCCAGTTATAGTGAACATTGTCACTACTTGTTTCTACTACATACTTTAGAGGTTTGTTTTGCTGGACTGGTGCTGAGTTGGGATTAGAATCGGACTCTGGTGTTTGTGTTTCTGCTTGCTTGGGAATATAGTATCTAACTTTCAGATTGCAAGGTGATTCAGTAAGTGCAAAGCCTATATCAGTCAACATTAGATGCATCTCTATTGGTGTGGGTAATACTCCTTGCCGTGGTATACGGTACCTCATATATGTACTTATTTCACTATCTCTTGCCTCATTATCTATTACTTCATTATCTCTTACTACACTATCTCTTACTACACTATCTCTTACTACACTATCTCTTACTACAATATCTCTTACTACAATATCTCTTATTCCATTAACCCAACTCAATAAAACTAACAAGACATACAACCCCATTGTAAGTTGCCGGCTCATGGCTTCCCAGTACTTAAATCGGACTATGTTAGTGGCCCTTGTAGCAGTGGTCATAATACTATCTTGTCGGTTCAAAATAACTCTTGGGTTACTGGAATGGTCTAATACTAGCTTTGGGTCTCTTCTTGGGTTACTATAAGGCCCATTAGTCAAGATATACTCCAATAAAGGAATTCCTTGGCGTGTGCACTGGCGGGTTTTACTAGACAAATAGTATTGTAAACAAGAATGTGAATTCATGGCAAAAAGTAGATAAGATAGATAAAATAAAAACGATAAATGTCCCATTCGAGTCAAATTACGGCAAGTTTTGATATCAATAAATAGCTGATTGTGTGTAGCTTTGGAATTAAGTGCATTAAGTAGATTGTGTGGATTAAGTAGATTGTGTGGATGGTGTGAATAAAGATGTATGCTGATCGTATGGCAGCATTGCAGTCGCTGTTCTGTTAAAAAGTAGAGATATACATGGGGACGTGTAAGATAACAGCAGATCCTTTGTTAAGATACACATGTTCAGCACATTTGATTTCTAGACTATAAAATGTCATATCTGTTGCTTGATGTTAAAATGGTTTATTAGATCTTGTTTTGACTTAAGATAATGAAATCTAATTAGAATTAGAATATAAAGCAAAGTAAAAATGAATTTGGATTGAGTTTATTTCTGATTTAGTTTGGGTTTATTTCTGATTTAAAGTTTAAGATTTGAACTAGTCTAGTCTAGTTTATAGTTTGAATGGGAATGAGATGTAATAAGCATAATAAACATTAGCAGACATTTATTGAGATTACTACTAACACGTAGCTTTAATATAACCAGGACATTAACCATTTTAGTTTTGCATATCTAATGACGTCATCCTCTCATCCACCCAGATTTGTCTAATAAAAGAGACCATCCATCGCAAAGCATCTCTTTAGCAGAGTATGTATTGGTTAAGGGGTGTTATACATCCTATGGGCATTGTATTAGTGTTCAGTGTGAGGACTGTGCGGTTTAGATGCTAACTTCAATCGATTTGAGGTGGTAGGTGGCTGAGCTTGGCTTAGATACTCCACACACTCGTGGATGCTAGTAGAACGATTAGTTGATGCAGTTGAAAGATCTGTGAGCTTAACCTTTAATATATCCAACTCAAGCAATATATACTCAATCTGTTTTGCCGTTATGTCCAGAATAGTAACCCACTTTTTAATTACATCCGGCTCAATTACATATCTATCAAACTGGCCATTCATATACGCGTTGAGTTTATAGAAATGATTTAGAAGACTCTTTACTTGTGTATTCCAAGCCCTCTGCCAGTTTAATAAGCAGTCATTATTTAGAGCATCGTATATCTTGCTTGCAGCAGCATCAGCTGACATATTGTTGATGATATCAGGAATATTTAAACTTGCCCGGTATTCCAATACTTTCTTCACGTCACGATCGATCTCGAATTTGTAGTACTTTCCTATGGGCGTATTAGGAAGGTTTAGAAATTCAGATGTTAATAACTGGCATCTTAGCACATGATAAAGGAAGTGTTTAAGCTGTCTTTCTGTACAAAGAATCTCTTCAGTACTACCCGGCTTTTCTATAATCCTTTTCCAAGCCTTAACAGCGACTTTGATATCATTTTCAGTCAAATCTTCAAAGTTACACAAAGAATTACTGAAATACAATATATAACGAATCATATTCCGCACAGTCCATACATCCAAAGGAATCTCAATCTGACCACCAAACTCTTCATGGCTTCTTGCTTTAAATAGATGCGTAAATTGAGTATGTGTAATTTTACTAGTTATGGGTTTGAGCTTATTAGTATAGTATTGAATCTGAAGTTGAACATTTTTAAGATAAGCCATTGTTCTAACCAATGCTACTGATAAAGACTCTCTTTCAAGATCAAAAGGACAAGAGTCATCTCTAGCACTTGATACCATAGGACAGTGGTTTAACATGGCAACAAGTAGATAATGACTAGAAAGACCAGATGACGCCTTCCTCAATACATTTGACCACTCACGCACCCACGGAATAAGCATTGGATGTACATTATCATAAAGAGAAACACTATCTTTCTCCACAACCAGTCTGCATTGTGGATTAGCATCATATTCAATTGCAGCAAATGCAAGCACTTCCCCATCACTTCTCACAATACAATTATCCAACGACTCAGAATTCAATATATATCTAGCAAAACCAACCTTACTCGACCAACCCAACAACCAAACAACACCAACCCCCAAAAACTCCAAAGATAACTTCATATCTCTCTTTTTTATCTTAAAACCCAGACTTTAAATCCATCAAACTACTCCACCCTTATCTCAACAAAACAATCAAAACCACCAGATAAGAGCTATTTTATACTAAAAACTCAATACAGCTGCTTTATTTCCATCTCTAACCCAACACTAGATCTTGTCTACGGCAAACACATTATCTTCATAATCAATAAATTGAATCCAAACTAACTCACTACTAATTCACTACCAACTCAACCCAAACTCACTACTAACACACTACTAACTTCACAAGTCGAAAACCTCACCAGCAAATTTGGCAGCGATGAGTCACTCAGTCTCTCACAGTTAATAGATACTTAATTACGTCTAAACCTATCCAAGTATTATATATCGCTTATTTGCTACGGCGCTTTTGAAGAACATCTTGCATGGCCAAGTGTTTCTTATCGCAACGAACACTTTTGATTGAGATTCCTTTGATATAAGCTTCAGGATATGAGTAGATATCATCTTTAAAAGCATTTTTGATATGCAGGTTCATCCAAAGATCGCATTTATAAAGGATTCCCGTATATACACTGCCGCTTTTAAGCTCAACGGTTATGGGGTGGCCACGAGCAATACGAATGACAGTCAGAGGGTACATAAAAATATAAATTGGGTCTCTAGTATTAGTATTAGTTTAGATTGAGTTGAGTTGAGTTTAGATTGGTATTGGTATTGGGTTTAGATTGGGTTGGGTTTAGATTGGTATTGGATTGGGTTGGTAGTTGATTTAGATAGAAGATAGTTGGGAAAGATAAAATGGTTTGGAAGTCGGCTGGTTTAGTATTGGGTTTAGTTTGAGTTGGTAGTTGAGATGGTAGTTGAGTTGGTATTTTGATAGTAATGAGATAAGATATAAATGAGATAGTATTTTGATAGCATTTGAGATAAGATAGTAATGAGATAGTATTTTGATAGTAATGAGATAAGATAAGAATGAGATACTAATGAGATAAGATAACAATGAGATGGTAATGAGATACTAACCCAATAGTAATGAGATAATATAGTATTTTAATAGACTAACTGGACTGGGAATGGGAAGAAGAGTACGTATTAGTCTATTTATTGAAATGATTAAGCGGGCCGGCATAGGGAAAGGAGTTTAGTGCCGGCGAAGTAGAGAGTGAAAAGTAGTAGGGAAAGAACCAGAAGGGCGCCGGAAGAAAGGAAAATAGTGGAGTAGGGATCAGAACGAAGGAATAAAGTTTCATAAGATGAATTAACTGGAGTGTGTGTGCGATGGTAATTGAAAATCTGAGCCTCAGTAAGATTATCAAGATCTTGTAAGAGTTTATCTCGGGCTTGGAAGTTTTGGTGTAGCCAAGTATTGGAATTAGTTTCAATTCCTTTTTCAAAAGGCAGATAGTCTAAAATCAAAGTAATAGGCATCTTTTGGCGATGTCCTTTACAAATCTCTTCTGGAGTATAGTACTCTGCTGGATACTTAGTTGGATCTAAAGATTTGATATAAAGTGTGCAATTGATTATGCAATCTAAATGTGTGTGAAGTTCATCAATAAAGAGTTTGAATCCTTTGACTCGAGGAAAGATAACTTTCTTATGTACTGCTGAGACACAATCGGGTAGACTAGGTGGACAATTGGGATCTTTTTCTAATCGCCGTTTCTGTTGTTCATCTAAGAATGTAAAGTCTTTTTGTTTTGTTCCCTTATCAATAAAAGTCCCTTCTGGGAAGATAACCAGACTAAATTGCTTTTCTTGATTGAGCAACTCACAAGCTTCCTTAATCTTAGGCGCATCTTTCTTCATTTCCCGACTTAGTAGAATGAAGTTCAACATTCGCATACCCATTCCTAAGAAGAAGATTGAGCCAATTCCTTCCTTAGCTACAAACCTAATGTTCTGCTTCTTAAGTTGTAACAAAGCTGACCAGATAAAGATCCAGTCTAAATAAGTAATGTGATTAGATAAGAGAATAGATTTAGCATCCTTTTTTTCAGCTATTCTCTTATCATAAATAACTTGGGCATTTCCACCCACGGCAATCGCAATCAAAGAATGAGTGATAACTAGCCATAATTTACCTACATGAACTTTGAATTTGCGCATATCAAAGTTAAACCAAGTCAAAATTTCATGATAAAGAAAGACTAAAGGAATCAAAGTAGTACACATAACTAGATAAAAGACCAAGGAAAGGAAGAAAAAAGAGGCCTTTAAGTATGAAGAGATAGAGATACGAGAGAACTCACTTTTCATTAGGCAAAAAAATAGTTTGCTCTAAATAGTTTACCATTGAAACAACAAACAAAGCATCTCAAACCATTCGGTATCATAAATCAAAATCCAATCAGTATCCAGTCCAATTTCAAAACAAGTCTTTTTATCATTCACTAAATAACAACTTTTAAATCATCAAAATTTATCAATATATTGCGTTAATATAAGATTAAGTTGAGTTGGGTTAGATTAAGTTGAGTTGGGGTGGGGTGATGTTAAGTTGGGGTGGGGTGATATAATGTGATGTTAAGTTAAGTTGGGTTAAGTTGAGATGAGGTGAGGTGATGTTAAGTTGAGATGAGGTAACATGATGTTAAGTTAAGTTGAGGTGATATAAGGTGATGTTAAGTTAAGTTGAGATAAGTTAAGTTGTAGTGTTCACTCTGAACAGCACCATTCTATTGAGTTAGTATTGAGTTAGTTGTATTACAGTATGTTTCACAGGAGATACACACAAGTTACTGCATCTTTGTTCTTCTTCAGCAGTTCCAATGAGTTAATAGTGGATTGGGTTGAGTTGAGTTGTGTTAGAGATTGATAGAGTACACTCCAAACTATAAATATATGATCTATTGAGTTTAAGAAGCCATCAACCCAATTAGTTGTTGTACACGTCATAGCCAATGTTAATACTTTATTCAATAAATCTGAAGAGTGTCTAATCTGATTATATCTTAGTAGAAGTTAGTATTAGATGAGTATTAGATGAGTATTAGATGAGTAATTACTTACTAACAAGACCTAAGCTACTATTGTGGCTGGTAGATGTTAGTATAGCCAACTCCATAGGATTTAAGCAAGAAAAGCTGCTCAGAAACACCGGCATTAATTTCGGCCTCAGATCGTTGATACTTCTCAATCGTATACGTATACTTAAGAATCTTCTCTAATAGCCATAAACGGTCTTTACCCGCCTGAGAAACAGGTCTAATCAGCACAGAACTTACATCCGGACTAGTTAGAGGTAGTAAGGAAAAGACAAAAGACTCAACTTTATAGTCATAAGCCCCACTCCTCCTTATACTCCGCAATAACTCTTTAATAGCTACAGCCGACCTCTCTTCTGGAGTCTTATGCAACAAAGAATCCGTACCATCAACCGTATACTCAGCAAAGTAAACCGAATTCTTACCCATCGCCAGTAACAAAGTCCCATACCCCGGGGTCCCACTACTGTTCGTCCGATTTCCAATATCATTATAAACCTTCACTCGGGAAGTAATACTCTTCAAAGCATCGCGATGACAATTAGTAATCCGATGCAGGACATCACTACCCAGTCGAGCCGAGTAGTTCACACTAACCATTCTCTCCAACTCTTCCCGCCGTGTCCAACAAACCGGTTTTAAACTAGAAACCGCATCCACTAACAATAAAACCTCACCATCTACCGCCGGATAGATAGCCCGTTTCACAATCTTTATTTCAACCGTCAATCCAAACTGTCCCAAGATCTTACAATAGACCGACTTAATCAAATCAATACTAATTCCCGCCCCACGACCCGAATTCGTACATCCCTCTAAAGTCAACCGCCAAGGCACCCGACAAAATCCCGCCAGTAATAACAAATACTCTAAAACTTCAGGAATTGTATTAATCCGACAAACTACTCGATCTACTCCTCCCCGTAACACACCCGGTTCCACCACTAATTCTCCGATCTTTTCTTTCATTTCCAGTCCCAAACTTAATCTTTGTACTATTCCCATATACTCACGCCATCTACTTTCACCCGGCCGAATTTCAGACGAAGATATCTTAAGACTTTTTCGACTTATCAACGCTAACGTAACAGATATAGAGATATCAGAAGTAGCAATCTCCATATTACAAAAAATTGTTTGCACATCTATTCTAGAATGAAACAAAGCGACTTAATCGAAATTGAGGCCAAAGTTGCCCAATTACTAAAAGAGGAAAGAAGTAAAGAAAGTCAACGTAAAGTTCTTTTAACCGAAATTCAAGCTAGTATTCAAGATAGGAAGAGTTTATTAGGCCGATTGGAGGCAGAGAAATCGGAAAGAGTAGATAAGGTGAAGTTGAAAATGGATGCAATAACTAGGGCTAAAGTTGTGGTTACTGATAAGGAGAACCAGGAGAGAGAGAAAAAGAAGGCTGAATTAAGAAAACAGTACGAACAGACTATAGTTGGCGTAAATACGATTGAGTTAGTTTTGGCTCAGAATATGAAAATGACTGTAGATAAGATAATGGTTATGAAAAAAGAGGCTGAATTATCTGGATTTCAAAACTTAGCTAGTGCGATTAAAGAGTACTTAATAGAGAGATTGGGAGAGTTTGTATTGGAAGTTAAATCATTAGTAGGTGAATTACGCGTAGATAAGATAATTGGACTAGTAAAAGGACTAGCTCGGTCATTAGGAGTAGTTGAGACGGTTTATGATGATTTAGAGAGTCGGCGTGGGTTCTGGTTGGATATTTACTTTACTAAGTTGTACGAACAGTTTGGTCATCATTTCCTAGGGGAGTTTCAGACCAATCGCCTGGATAAACCAGAATGGTACTTGGAGTACTTGTTGAACTCTTTAACCGATCATGAGAAGGTCTTTACTATTCTAGCCCAAGTAGATGAGATGGAAGGTCATGAAGAAGTAGTTGATTTAGAGAGGGAAGAGAGTGGGAGTGAAAGTGAAAGTGATGGTAATGGATTAAGTCGAGCTAGAACTTTCTACTTCCTGGGACTTATTGAACGGATGATCAGAAAGATAGTTTATGAAAAGTTCTTGGAAACAGTCTTTAGTTCTTCTCGGCAACGGCGGCAGTTAATTCTTCATCATGCTGAGGAGGTAGGTCGGTTTTATCAAGTATTAAAGACTCAGTATGGGTATACGGAACAGTTGACTTTACAGGCGGCTGAATTGGGGCGACTGATGGACTTATTTATTGGTGAGGCTGAGACTGAACTAGGCCGGATTTTAACTAAGAATCATACGGAATGGTCGGATTCATTACGTCATCTATTAAAGAAGGTCTTTTCTGAATCGGTGGCTTTGCATTGGGTAGTGCCTAATGTACATAATATATTGATATCAGCTGTGGTGCGTAAGTACTTATCTGGGGTAGGAGTCTTTTTGAACGCCTTTTCCTATCACAAGCCGGAGGAAGAGGCTATTCTGTTACTGTTTTTAGAGGAGGTAGTTTACTTAGAGGAAGAGTTACTGGATATGGAGAATGATTTAGGGGAGGCTAATGGAGAAGTTACGGTCTTAGAAGTATCATTTGTAGCTGAGTTTAAGGAAGTATTTAAGTCATTATTTAATAGTTTGATAGGAGATAAGGTGGAGGGGTGTATTAGGCCATTGGCGAGGTATAGGTTCTTTGAGGAGAATGAGGCGGAAGAGATTGTAGCTGATTTAGGGGTGGTAGTTCGGGATTTACTGGCGCCGATAGAGAATGAAGCGATTTTGGCCGAGGTTAAAGAGACGATTCAAGAGAGATTGGATGAGTACTTGGTTAGTTATATGATTTTTGATAATATTAGTGATCTATCTGATCTGGATAAAATCAAAAACATTCTTTCAGATATTCTTGATTTGCTTAAAGAACATGGTATAGGGACGAGTTTACCTAAATCCTGGCAGAAATGTCAAGAGATTACTGATGAAATTGCTGAGGAAGAGTAAGTTTGACTTTGTTGTTTAGTAAGTTTGGCTGGAAGGTATACATTGGTGCGAAGTCTCTGCTAAGGACTGGTCGTGATTGCAGATAGTGCTGTAAAGAATAGGCAACGAATGGAATTCATTGGGTAGTATGGAAGTTCAGTGAAATCTAATGGCGCAAGCCACTTCACAGATAAATAATAAAGTGCAGTATCTGCTTTAAATCTAACCGAACTAATCTCAAGAGTGATGCTGCATGATCTGGACAGAGTTTAATGAACCGTCTGCCTTTAAGTAGCTCAATCTTGGTGATAGAAAGTTAGGACTTAGAGTAAGACTAAATAGCAAATAGTGGTTTTGTGTATTGTAATGGTTTAGGTGAGTAGTTGGTTTTGTGTAAGTAGGTGGTTTTGGAGGAGTAGTTGGGTTAAAGTATTAGAGGAAAGCTAACTCAATAGTAATCTGAATAAAATGATCGTAGATAAGGACTATAACATTTATGTACCTATTGAGTTGTTAGTATTGTGTCCCTGGGGAGAATACAGAGCTCTCAACCAAACATATTCTACGAGAGACACGTCATCATTCATATTAGTATTGGGCTGCTTAAAGTAGTACGGAATAAACATCTAAGTTCTTTGTTCTGGTAACTAACTTGTCTAAGAGTAGAGATATATTGAGATCCTCATTAAGATGTGTGGGGAATGGTACAGACACTACAGTTAGTATTGGGCAGTACAGATACACCTTTTGCTTTGGTGTAGCACAATTAATATACTTTCTTATCTACTCTTTTGAGAGATCAGTTTTCATTTAGATAAATTTACTTTGGTTTTGAAAATTATGTCTTATCTTGAAATAGTTAAAAGTGTGGATAGAGATAGGATTTATCGCGGTCAGGCGATTAGATATAGAATCGTAGTTGTATTGTGTTCTTTAGTGTTAGTGTTAGGTAGTGTTAGAGGGGGGTGTAGTGATGGTATGTGTGATAGTAAAGTAGGCGGTGATAGTGCCGTTGTTATGCAGGAAATAACAGCTCCGGAGAATTGGGCAGCATCATCTAAGATAACTGAAGACTTAACTACACATGGGTTTTCGCTTCAAGACAAGAAGAGTGTCGTCTATGTTAAGAAGCACATAACTGAAGAAGTAACAGCGGTGGCCTCGGACTCGACCGTAGCTTTAAGTCCAACCAACTCCACCGAAAACATTGATATGTATATGGTGTTGTGGCCCGAGCCAGAGCTACAATTCACAATACCCAAAATTAGTGAAGTAGGCGGATTGCAGAGGGTTTTGAATACATTGAATAATATTGTTGTTATCAAAGCTGACAAGGTCGTGTTTATCTATAACGTAGAGCATGTCAAGAGGTTACCCGACAGATCCGATGCTATATTTCGAATTATCAACACGCTAAAGTGTAAGGAGCTGGAACTTATAATAGAAGAGTATGACATAGAGAGATATTCGCAATGGGTTAGTATAGTAGATTGTGGTTTGACCCAATTACAGGAAACAATCGATTATGCTGCTTCGAATCCAAATCGCAATCTCACAATTAACGTCTGTTGTTTGAACCCATCTAGGGTAGATCTTATTGGGTTAAAGTTGTCCCAGCGGAAGCTAGTTGCCAAACTCACTCTGATAGTGACAGTAATACAAGATCAAAAACGTCTTCTAACCTATCGCCCAGAGCAGGCCCCAGAGAGCCATGCACGTAATGTTGAGGCCAGCACCAATATTAATTTCACAGCTCTCCACAATCAAGAAATCCAATGCCAAAAGATTGTTCTTATTAATGAATTGGACAACTTAACAGTAACTGGTCTTGAGGATGCTATTCAAGGCATTTATTCCGAAATAGTTCTAGAACTGCGTTGGGACACTCTTCTCTGTCTTATTCAGCGTAATAATCCTGTCATTAAGGTTCATACTATTATAGTTATTGTTCCACCGCTTACTAAGGAACTGTTCCGGCCAGAGTTTCTTCAAGAGCAACCACACATTACTCTCCGAATCTTTGCTGTCAAAATAGTTACCCAAATCTGTACCGAGGAATGCCCGTGTATCGAGGGCGCGTATAATCAATGTTACACCCCCGAAGTATACGCCAAATATGGTATCTCGGTTGGTGAGAGTACATTTGAGTATAAGAGAAGACAGAATGGTCTGTTAGATACGTTAAAGATCCTTGAAAACAAGCTACATGTGGATTGTGAGAAGGTAGTAGAGCAGGTGGAGAGTTGTGGGATCCAATGTCCTGGTGAAGAATATGGCGATAACAAGTGGGAATTTCGAGAAACAGTTAATATCAGCCTTGACAGTTTATGCAATAAGGTTAAGAAGGATAAGTATAATGACTATATTGACACGGGCACAGATGTTCTTTTCTGTCAGAATATATGCTATACAGACATCCATATTAACTCAAAGCAAGCTTATGGTCCTAGCGAGCTCTGCCAATCCCTTTTAAAGCTATTCATCAATATCACTGCTCGCACACTTAGAATCTCAAATGTTACCGATGGGGAAATAGGTAACTTTGACCTATCTAAGAGAGAAGGACAGAACACAGCCCCTGAAACCTACCGACGCCGCCTTGATCTTAAGACCCTAATACTAGACAATGTTGCCAATAGCCTTATTTACTGGATACTAAACAGCTACATATTTGCCGATTCTATGGAAGTACATATTCTGAACCAAGGCTACAAGAATCTTAATATTGCCCGAATTCTCTCCCTTCCTATATGTCAGAATATCTCTAAACTTGTGCTCAACGACTTTGTTGGATTAGATGAGGTGAAGTATTACGAGGAGTATAAGAAAGAAGATAGACTCACTGAGCTCTCATTATTTAACTACATCGAAACAATGAAAGCCGAAAACAAAACCACCACGGATCTTGGTCTTAACAAACTGGTGTTGCAACTGGAAGGTCTTGATTGCAATAAGTATACTGAAATCTTAGCTAAGTTTAAGAGTATTGGTATTCAATGCGAGGTTGTTCCTTTAGTGGTTATTGTTGGTCGTCAAATAGTGAATTACAAATCCTATATAAAGACGGCCACCCGTGCTGCTTTGAGGGATCACAGCAAGCCGATTGATAAGGGCCTGGAGCTCAAGAACATTAATCTACAAGACTTAGAAGCGGATATTGCCAGTCGATGCGCCATGTCTACATCACAGCCAGATCCAAACCAAGAACAAGAGTCTCCTATCCAGAAACTTTCCATTGATAAATTATCGTTATTCTTCCGTGACACTCAGTTCATAACTGAGCATAACTTAGTGAAGATTCTCGAATGGATTGCTTGTCAATTTGTAGGCCCAAAGTCGTTGTATTTCTACCATCTTGAGGTTTCGGAGGATGAGAGAAAGAAGATGCTAGTCGGCAATTACCACATCAATGGGTTAGATGCGTTCAAATATGGGTACATGCCACCTGAATACAAAATAATCGCGTTAGTTTCCTGTTCTGCCCAATACTAACCCAATTAGGAAAGTTTAGTACTTCTCATCTAATATTGTTGCAGTGGACTATACAATCTGCGGTGTTCAACATACGACAGTCTTTTCTAGTGAACACGGGTTAGTAGTGGATTGAGTTGAGTTGGGTTAGAGATTGATAGAGGACAACTACAAATACAGTAAGGAATTAGTTTAAGAAGATACCAACCCAATTAGTTGTTGTATACGTCATACCCAACATTAATACTTTATTCAATAAATTCTACGAGTGTCTAGTCTGATTATGTCTTGGTTTAGTATTGGTTTAGTATTGGTGAAAAATGGCATGTAGTCACTTACCAACACGACGCAAAGATAAACATATCTCCTAAAACCACCCAGCCCATCCCAATATTGAGACTTTTGGTAAGGAGTTAAGACTTTATAATATCAATCTACACGATTTAGAAGCAGATCTTATTGACCATTGCACTAAAAACACACCCCAACCCGATCCGAGCCAACAACCAATGCTTCCTGTCCAGAAAGTTCCCATTGATACATTATCGCGATCCTTCAGTAGCAACTAAATCATAACATGGCGTGATAAACATACCTACTAATTCTACGTTTCTTATCCATCTATCTTTTGAGCCCGTCCTGACTATATAAACGATGTAGTTTATGACAAGCACAGCCTACACCATGTTATTCGTATCTAAGTTGAATAAATCAGTCGTTAACATTTATGCTTTATTACTGTGGAAGAACCAAAGATCCGAACACCAAATATTTCCTTTTTGGTCATTTTCCCATCCAACCAATCTTAACCCACTTAGGAAACACCACCTTTATTCGCCCATTGCCACACATGTCATTAGTAATCCCAACTACACCTACACTATATGCTAGTCCTATTTAGAAAGACCTTTATTGGTTAGTTAGAATCGGGTTGAGGTGCGGGCTCGGCACATTCTTCTTGGACCTTCTTCTCGCGTAGAAGACTGCTAAACAGGAATTGAGCTCGTTTTTGGAGGTCGTGTGGCGTACGTACTTTTAGATAGTAATCAAACAAGAACTTATCAGACGAACGAATTTGCTGCCACAAATCATCGTAGCACCCAGGATTATCTAGTTCGCCATTCAGAGTCTGAAGAATAAACCGATCGGTCTCAATTGTAAACCCAAAAGACCGCGCATTAGAAGGATAAGTGATCTTGAGATTATCGCCTTCCTTTTCAACCTTATCTTTCAGACACTCCTTGATCTTCTGTAATCGCTGCAACTTGTACTCTCCCCTTTGAATTTGCGATTGAATCTTCTCGCCATCTTGTAGCTCACTTATACGTGACCAGAAGACTTTCCCGTAGGCCTCGACCTCTTCTAAAGTCTTGTCCGGCAGATCTTCGGCAATTTTAGTCACTTCCGATCGGCCGTACCGCTCACATGCCTTGATATACCCCCAAAACTCTCGCTTCGTCCAGGTCACGTATCCTTTAAGGTACAATTGCTTCTTCTCAGCCTCTTCTTCCGGAGTAAGCAAGTTTTCTGTCTCACCCTTTGCCTGGAAGGCTTCTAGCTCTTTCTTCTGTAGATAATGCAACCGCTGGGGGAAGAATTGGTAGTCCGGTAAAGTATACTGTCGTAAACCAACTGATTTACGCTTAGTCAAGATTCCTGATGTACTATTCCGATTCCGACCAGGCTCAGCCGCTACAATGTACTTAGCTAGCTTCATCTTAGCACTCTTTGTACTGTAGTCTTCACCTTCCCATTCGTACGCCCGGATTTCATCATTGTTAATTGGTCCCAGAATAGCTTGTTCACCGACTTTAGTGTTTAAACTATCGGTCTTTTCCATACCCAGTCTAATAATCTCTTCAATCGCAATCTGCGGTGAATCATCATCTTCAGCTTTAAAGACATTATCCACGCCACTCGCTAGAATACTTAGTAACTCGTTCTGAGAAATAGTATTGTCCTTCTTCCGACCGTTCTGCACAATGATTTCGTCCAGCTTAAGCTTCTTAAGAGCTCGCTCCAGAATCTTCTCTTCAATTGTGTTCTCCATGAGGAGGTTGAAGACAAAGACCTGTTTCTTCTGGCCAATTCGATGGGCACGATCTTGAGCTTGTAAATCCATCTGGGGATTCCAGTCATTATCATAAACAATAACTACATCAGCAGTTGCTAAATTGATACCTAAACCACCCGCCCGAGTACTCAACAAAAAGATAAAGACTTCACTATTCGGCTTGTTAAACTCATCAATGGCCTCACATCTTTCATCAGTCCCTGTACTTCCATCAATGCGACAGTACTCATACTGCCGTAAGTTACAGTAGTCTTCTAAAATATCCAGCATACGCGTCATTTGACTGAAAATCAGAACTCGACTCCCCTTCTGTTTCAAGTGCACCAGTAACTTATCCAGCAGAACCATTTTCCCACTGTTTTCCACAATGTGCTCACCTGTCGTATAAGGAGGACCCGGTTCAGCTCCATCAAACAAGTAAGGATGGTTACAACACTTCCTGAGCTGACAAACAATGTTCATTAGTTGCATTTTAGTTCCATCACTGACGACATCGCCTACATCTCGTTCCAAAATCATCTTATACCATTTCCGTTGCATACTGGTCAGTGGTGAGTAGAGATTAATGATCTTCTTGGGTAGTAAAGACTTCTCTACATCCGACTTCTCTCGCCGAAGAATGAACAGACTTAACAAACTCCGCAACTTATCTACGGCATCACTTTCTGTATCATCAGCAGCAGATTCCACCCAGGCATCAAATCCCTCTCCATCCGAGAAGACTTCAGGAGCCAAGAAGTTCAGTAGAGCCCATAACTCATGAATGTTGTTCTGTAAAGGCGTTCCGGTCAGTAGTAAACGATTAGTACAAGGAATTAAACGAACTACTTTGCTAAGCATAGTCTCTTCATTCTTAATGCGATGGGCTTCATCAATGACAATGTACTGCCAGTTAATGGTCTGAAAAGTACTCTTACCCATTAAGCACATCTCATAAGTAGTAATACAAGCAATATAATCAAGTTCCTGCAACTCTTTAGCCTTAACCCGAATATCCTTCTTACTACAATGGAAGATCACAGTCTTTACACTCGGCATGAACTTCTTGAACTCGTTCTTCCAGTTCTGAAGAGTTGATTTGGGGACAATCAATAAATTGGGCATTCGATTCTTCTTATAGGAATATAAGAATCCTAAAAGAGAGATTGTTTGCAAAGTCTTACCCAAACCCATTTCATCGGCCAGAATACAATTGATCTTCATCTCGTACATGTTAATTAGCCAGTTTAGACCTTCAATTTGATAATCACGTAATGTTCCTGTAATGTAATGGGGCGAGGAGGAGAAAGAAAAAGCTTCGCGTTCACTCAATCCAAATCCTTCTTCATCATCCTTCTTACTCTTCCGAGTATCTTTACGCTCTACTTTAACTCGCTTAGCGTTCTTACGACTTGATTTAGTATTTCCAGACAAGATCTGAAATAACACATTATCTCCAATAAACTCACGATATCTCTCAATGACAGCTTCTTTCATTATTCGGATTATCTTACTATTGCAAAAGTTTGTTCGCTATATACGAGTTAGGTTGTGATTAAGTGGTTAATATTAAGATTAGAAGTGCTTTAGTAGTGCTTTATTGATAGATTTAATCGTATAGTTAGTGGTATAGTTAGTGGTGTAGTTAGTGATATGATATTAGTATAGTATTAGTATGATATTAGTATAGTATTAGTATGGTGTTGTTGTGGTATTAGTGTAGTGAATGGTGTAGGATTGGTATAGGATTAATGTATTTTGTGGTATAGTGAATGGCGCAGTTAGTGGTCTAGTAAATGGTATATAATTGGATAGGAAATTATCTAATACTGCATTTAATATTGGGTTAAGTTGAAGTGGTATTTGGACTGGGGTGGTATAGCTAATGTCTGTGGAGTGGGTGGGGAGTGAAGTGGGAGGGGAGTTGCTATAAATCAGTGGTGTTGGTGGGAGTTGTCGGATGCTAGAGCTAAGATAGACTGTGCAACTTGTTTAATGGCCTGGGCGGAGTTTGGAGGGCCGTAAATGGCAACGTATCCATTCATTCCGGAAATAACCGTAATTGTTTGGTTGTCAATGGGAATGGTTTGAATTTGGGTTTTCTCTTTGGTAATGTCATTAGGACTGAGTTTGAGAAGTAGACCATAAGGTATTTTAGTATATCTTTCATTCCGGGTATGGAGTTGGATTTTGTTACCGGTAGATTGAACTTCAGCAATAATAATGTCACCAATACCATAGTATTCTTTCATTTTGATCTCATCAAGTTCACCCTTTCTTCTTTGGACATTACCTTCTAAGTTAATAGCAGTCAGCATAAGAACAGCTTCAGCTTTAGAGTTAATTTCAACGTACCATCTTTTGTTAGCAATAGCCGTGATCTGGCCAACAACTACGTCACCAGTATAAGGAGTGTACCAATGAGAAGCCGACCGAACTGTAATCAAACGATCAACTTGTTGAATCTCACCAGTAACCGTAGCTAAAGCGACCTCTTCTCCTTGGGCATTAAGTGCTTTATAAGTTCCATGACCAAGAAGACAATCTTGTCCGAAGTCAATTTCCTTTCCCGGATATACATTCATTCTAAAATTTGGGATGAGTTGGGTTTTGGTTAGTATGTGCTAGTGTAATGTTGTCATACGACCACTCCCAGTACTACCACAATACCACCCCAATACCACCACAACACTAACACGATCAACCTGATTACTGGCTTAGTATACACTACTTACTAACACTAAACTAACACTAATACTAAACTAATCCTAACTTAATATGACGTCATCACTCATACACACCCTTATTTACTCAATAAATGGTACCCACACTTATCTCAAAGAATGTCTTTAATAGAGGATGTATTCGTTAAGTATTAGTTAAGTATTGAGTTAGGATTAGGCACTACACCCAAACTCAACCCAAACTCAACCTAATATAACCTACAGATAAGCAGACATATACTAACCAGACGAGTCCAAGATGGGCAACAAGAAGATCGGAATATGCTATAGATATAAAAATAGAGATAAGTTGTTTAATGCTTTTATTATGTTTATTTTAGGGTTGGGGTAGTCTTACTTTTTACTTATTTTGATATTACTTACTTATTACTTTGATTATTACTTGATTATTACTTATTACTTGTTATTATTACTTGATTATTACTTATTACTTTGTTATTATTACTTGTTATTATTACTTGATTATTACTTATTACTTTGTTATTATTACTTGTTATTATTACTTGATTATTACTTATTACTTTGTTATTATTACTTGATTATTATTACTTGTTATTATTACTTGATTATTACTTATTACTTGTTATTATTACTTGATTATTACTTGTTATTATACTTGTTATTTTGATTATTATTACTTGTTATTATTACTTGATTATTACTTGTTATACTTATTTGTTATTACTTGATTATTACTTTGATTATTATACTTGTTATTACTTGATTATTACTTATTTCCCTGTTTGTGCCCGGGTTTGGCTTACCTTGTTATTATTATTACTTGATTATTATTACTTTGTTATTATCTTATCTTATCATTATTTGTTATTACTTATTTCCTTACTATTGCCCAGGTTTGGCTTATATTATTACTTACTTGTTATTATACTTACTTATTACTTACTTATTACTTACTTGTTATTACTTATACTACCCCAACCCATTACTTAAATACTTACTTGATACTAACCCAATGACTTATCTTACTACTTAGTTCTAGCTTTGGGTAGTTAAAGCCCTAAGTGTACCTTCTTTCTACTTGAACCTTTAGACAGGGGGTAGAAAACAAAATCCAATTTATGGATTAATTTCGACTAATTTTGGTGAAATTGGATTTGAAATTGGATTTGGGTTGGATTTGGTGATGTTTAGGGGAGTTTAAGGGGGGTATATGGCTTGGGTTAATGGTGGATAGATGTTTGAGGGGGTGCAAGAGGTTGAGTAAGGAGTTAGAACTAATAAATTCTGATTTTGGTGGCGGATCGAAAATTACCATATAAGGAAATATTAGGAAGATATAAATGGAAATGAGATACTTTTTTTAATATGAACTGGAAACGCGTTTGTTGTCGAGAAAAGAAGGAAGCAGTTACGGGTTTGACTGGTGAGATAGTGATTTGTGCGCTGGGTGAGGCTTGGCCTGAAAAGTTGGGAAGTTTGGCGGCTAATTTGCCGGAGAGTGAAGGGGCTCGATTTATCTTATTTGGTGAGAACCAGAAAGTCTTTGGAGTTTGCCGAATGTCTAAGGAAGACTTAGAGTCTTTGGATGCCGTGCGAAGTACTGCGGCTAAGTTGACCAATGCCCTGATGAAAGAAGAGGTGGCTAGTATTCTGATTAGTGACGGGCCTCGAGCTGATTGGATTGCCGAGGCTGTGGTGGTAGCAAGTTATCAGTACGATCCTTTGTTAAGTAAGAAGAAGTCGCAAGTACAGATTGTCTACCTAGGAAATGATGAGAAGGTTGGACAGGCTATTGTAGTTGGGGAGGCTCAGAACTTTGCCCGGTTCTTGGTAGACACACCGGCTAACTTGATGACGCCAACGCGATTTACTGAGTACGCCCGAGAATACTTGCCAGAAAGTGTCTCGGTTAAGGTTTACAACAAAGAGGAGATCCAAAAGATGAACATGAACTTGTTCTTAGGAGTAGCTCAAGGTTCAATGGAGGAGCCTAAGTTCTTGGAAATGAAGTACAATCCTGGGAATGAGTGCACAGTTTTGGTGGGTAAAGGAATTACTTTTGACTCGGGTGGTATTAGCTTGAAGCCAGCCTTGAAAATGGGTTTGATGAAAGGCGATATGGGTGGAGGTGCCGCTGTGGTTAGTAGTATTGGAGCTTTGGCTCGTCTTGGTGCTAAAACTAGTGTGGTAGGATTGGTGCCACTGACTGAGAACTTACCTTCGGGTACTGCGACTAAACCGGGTGATGTTCATGTTGGCCGGGCAGGAATTAGTGTGGAGGTAGATAATACCGATGCTGAAGGCCGGTTGATCTTAGCCGATGCTCTTCATTACGCCCAGTCGTTCTCTCCCAAACGCATTATTGATCTCGCCACTTTAACTGGAGCGATCAATATAGCTCTGGGTCCAATTCAGGCCGGTCTGTTTACTACCTGCGACCAGCTGGCCAATGAGTTCTTAACTGTATCCAACGAAGTGGGCGACTTGGTCTGGCGCATGCCAATGAACCCAATTTACCGCAAGATCATTACGTCGGAAGTTGCTGATTTGAAAAACATCAGTAATTCCGTAGCAACAGGCGGTCAGTCTACCATTGCTGCTATGTTCCTAAAAGAGTTCGTTGGATCTATTCCTTGGGCTCATTTGGACATTGCTGCAGTAGCCCATGCGACTATTGCTCCGGAACTACACGGTAAAGGTGCGACTGGCCGTCCAGTTAAACTTCTGGTTAATTGGCTACTAAGACAATAATATATTGGCTTTATTGTTGCACAACTACTGCATTTTGCGATTAGCGTGTATTTTTGAATGCTGCATAAGATTATCCGAACGCGAAAACATCTTATTGCAGCCATATACCGGACAGCGGAATGGCCTTTCTCCCGTGTGAATACGGTAGTGTCTTTTTAAGTGCTCAAAGCGCTTGAACGCTTTAAAGCAGTTGGCGTAAGTACAAATAAACGGGCGTGCATCAACATCGTCTTTCTTCTTTTCGGACTTATACTGGAAGAACGGCTTATCGTGTGGCCGCGGCACTGTCTTCTTAGCAAAGACGTGTGCGTCCATGGCCGAAAGGCCGTACTGGGATTCTTCAATGTTGTAGCCAGAGCACATGTCAATGATTTCGCGTGCATAAACATTATTGTAGTCATCTTTAACCTCTTCCGTATGCAAGAGCGTTTGGTTGAAAAGTGTCTCTTGATCCTCAATGCTTTTGAGAATGATCTCCTCTATGTGATTCTGAGCGAGTTTATGCTCTAAATTATGTTTCAGATGGCCATTATTCCCACCAAAGATATTCTCTTCATGCGACTTCATGTTTCAGAATAGCACATTGTATAAGGATGGCTTTATTCAGATATATACCAATAATCGCCCTAGATTTTAAACCAATTATTTTGATTTTTATTGATTGACTACTTAGTTGGTTCTTTTGGCTTGATTAAGTATGGCCTCTTTTACCGCTATCTTATCAGTGCTTTTGATTAGCCCAGGCTTTTTATTCTCTCTTTTTTTTCCGATTACATGTTACAGGCCCATTTATACTCTCTTCGCCTAATTGACTTTCAAAAATATGCTGATGCAACCTTTATCTTTTCCAAACAAGGAAATCTAATCGTTGGTGCCAATGGATCGGGTAAAAGTACAGTAGCAGCAGCAATTGCACTGGCATTAGGAGGTAATACTAAAACCATCGGCAAGAATACACCCGTCCATGAACTCATTAAGTTCGGTTCTTTAAAGAGTATTCTAGATCTCACCATTCACCATTACACCTCAGAAGACTCAACAGACCCCGTACCTATTCGTGTTATCCGTACCATAACACCCAATAGTTCTACTTTCAAAATCAATGATCGTATCGCCACCAATAATGAAGTCAAAGAACTTGCCATTTCACTTGGCATTAGAATTGAGAATTTAGGCCAGTTTTTACCCCAAGACCGAGTCACCGAATTTGCCCTACTATCGGCTGAAGAGCAACTAGAACTCACTCTACAAACATGTGCCCCAGATCTATTGAAGAATAAAAAGACCCTTGAAAGTGCCGATGACCTCTTACTTGTTCAACAAAAACGGACTAAGTTACAGGTGCACGAGATAGAGCAGAAAGAAAGACGGTTGCAGTTCTTAGAGGAAGAGTCCCAAAAACTACGCGAATTACTAGCCCGTAAGGAGAACCTCAAGTACATTCAGGGTAAACTAGTTTGGACCGAGTATGCTACGCTTAAGACTGAGTACGATAAACTGCGCGCCCAGAAAGAAGCTCTGCAAGCCGAGTACACTACAGCCCGGGCCAAGTACGATAAGGAAGAATCTATCTACCACCAAGATCTAAGTAAACACGACTCTTCCATGCGCACTCCTCTTGAAGCTCTCATGAATGCCGCCCAGTTCTCAACCATTGCCGCTCAATTGCGTACACTCGATCAGAAGACCAGCGAAGTAGAGGAAAGGATCCAAGCAGTTCTACAAAGAAAAGACTCACTTCTCCAGGAAAAGGCTAAAGTTCGGGCCTGGATGGATAATACCAAAGAAGTCAAACCACCCCAACCTAAATTCACGACCGATCAAGTCGCCGAGTTAGAACAACTAGAACATGAGATTCGTCACTATAAAATCAAAGATAGTGAGTGGCAAGTCCAAACAGCCGTTAAAGCCACTGAAATGCGCAATGTCGAGTTAGCTCTTAAACAAGAACAAGAGAAAGAGAGTCTAGCTATGGAAAGACTTAAAAGAATGCATCTTGATACCTATACAGCCGTTACACTTATCAAACAAGATAAGCGGCAATGGAAAGTTGATTTACCTGCATTTTTGACCATGACTATTACTAAAGAAGAGTTTACTGATGAAGTAGCTAGTCAATTATCACTTCATGCTCTAACTGCTTTTGTTTGTCATAACCAAGAAGAATTCCATGAGTTCATTGCTGAGTTCAAAGAACGAAGACATTTAGCTATCAATATTGTTGAAAAACAACCAGATACGCAACAAGTCCCCGTTGGTCCTTATTTATCTCCAGAGTATGGTATGGTTTATCTTTCTGAATGTATATCAGCACCAGAAGCTATTGTTGAGTTTTTGAATATCTTCTCTAAACTAGCTTGTATTCCTGTTACTAAGCAGAGTATTAATGAGCCAGAATTCTTCAAAGCCCATCCTAAACTATTCCGGGCCATTGCTAACAAACGAGTTATTGAAATCAAAAGATCTAAGTACACTTCTGATGCCCCACTAGCTATCTACCCCATGCCTAAAGGAATTGATGTAACGAACAAAAAGGCCGATAGTACTCTGAAAGAGAAGTTAGAAGTTCTCCGGGCTGAAAGAGAAACCCGGCGCTTAGAAAGAGAGAAAATGCACCACCAGAAAGACCAACTTGAAGCTCGACTTAAACTGCTTAAAGAGATAAAAGAGGCCGATTTACACCGCCAAGCCACCTATGAACGCCAAAGAAATACGCTTGAGTCCTTAAGACAGCGCGAAGCCCAAATAGATAGTGAATTTACTGATTTTGAAGGACAAGAACAAGTTGAAAATCAATACCTTCTTGATTTCAAAGCCGAAGCCAAACACATCTGGACCCAACTTACTCCCTTTGACTTCCTACCCGCTTTTGAATCTTTTGCCGCCTATGCCAAGCAAACCCATGCCGAAACTGAAAGGCTACGGGCCCAATCACTCGCTCTCGCCCATAGCCAAGATGTACTTCATGGTTTACACCAGCAACTCACCCTCTGCCAATCTTCCTTCACTACTCATGAAAGAACAACCAAAAGCAAGATGAAAGAGGCCGAAACCGTACTGATAGTTAACACTCCCGAGATAAAAGAAAGACTCAAAGCCCTTCCCAGCGATCTACCCACTCTCAGACAAATGCTCGAAGAAGAAAAGGCCCGGATTGAACTCTCCGTAGCCGAACCCGATTCCATCATGGAGTACGAAAGATTCAAGGAAGAACTAGCCGCTCTCCAACGCCAACTCGATCGCACTAAGAAAGAAGAGCAGTATAGTCTTACTCAGAAAAGATCACAAGAATCCCAGCTTAAACAGGAAATCACCACTATTATTGAACAAATTGACCAATACGCCCAAGTCCTTTTCCCATTAGCCGGAGTTCGAGCTTCAATTGCCCCCGACTTCCCAAGTTCACCACGGCGTTGGCAATTACAGTTCAAAGTTCAGTTTAGAGCAGAAGAGAAGTTAGAAGTACTTAGTTCAGGCCGGCAAAGTGGTGGAGAGAAGTGTGTTAGTATTATTCTTTATCTCTTGTCCATGCAAAGACTCACGCCTTCACCTTTTGTCCTAGTTGATGAAATTAACCAAGGAATGGATGTCCACCATGAACGAACTATTCACAGTATTCTTCTAGGCCGTAATTCAGCCCGAGAAGGACAAACTATTGTAATTACGCCAAAACTTGTCTCTCAATTAGAATATGCAGTACAAACTAAAGTCCATGTTATTGTAGAACTACCAGGAGGTTAAATCCGTCGAGTTTTAAGAGATTAAACTATAAAGGGTTGCCCCTATACTTCTCAAGACAAATTGCCGTCCTTGCGCAGGGGCATGCTGATCATCTCAGTTATGTCTTGTAGTGTGGATATTATCCATGGGTCAAAAAAAGGCCAGATATATATTAGTTTGAATTGAGTTTAGTAGTGAGTTGGGTTGAGTTGAATTGGGTTAGGAGTTGGTATTGGGTTGAGTTAATATTGAATTGAGTTGGGTTTGGTATTGGGTGGAGTTAAGTTAGTATTGGGTGGAGTTGAGTTAGTATTAAGTTGGGTTGGGTTGAGTTGAGTTAAGTTGAATTGAGTTTAGTATTAAGTTTAGTATTGGGTGGAGTTGGGTTGAGTTTAGTATTGGGTTGAGTTAAGTTAGTATTAAGTTGTAAGTAGTAGTTTTTGTTCTAATTAGAGCGCTTTGGGGTTTGAATGCAGTAGTTCATTCTAAAGCAACTAGATGCTCAGTTAATAAAGATAATGGTTTATATCTAGTAGTTGTATGAATTGGGTTAGTATTAGATTGGATTGGGTTGGTGTTGGTTAGTATTGGGTTATCTATTTACAGGTGAAATAACACCTTGATCTTTAACTATATCTAACTGTAGTGCTGTCATACGACCACTACCCAATACCAACACAATACTACCACAATACCAATACGATCAACTTGATCAACCTGATCTCTGGTAAGCTACGCACTACTTAGTACACACTAGTTACTACACACTACTTACTAACACTACACTCAGTACGAAGTCATCTTATTCCAACACAGCCATATTTATCTAATAAACGGGTACCGATGTTCGGATCAAGGAATGTCTTTAATGAAGTATGTATTAGTTAAGATGGACTTTGTATTGGGTTAGTATACTAAATCTACCTAACTCTAATACCAGCAGAATACTAACTTAACTCAACTCAACCTAACACCAACTCAACTCAACTCAACTCAACTCAACCCAACTCAATACTAAACTAAACTAAACCACCCTATTCTTTATTCTCTATTGGCTTTGGGTCTATGCTAGTAGTGAGCTAAATTAGCATCCTTTGCTAGCTGATGGCCCTACCTTCTTGAGTAGCGCATCGGACAGTTGGTTGCTAGTTAGCAGTGGGCTTACTTGCGGGCTGGCTCGTTCTGGCCAGTTTTGTTGCATTCCCCGTTGCAGTTGCTGTCCTGGCAGTCCTTGGCATGTGCTCCGCAGTTACCGTTCTGGCAATTGGCTTTGCCGCAGTTTCCATCTTTACATTCGCCTGGGGCACAGCCGCTAGCGCACTTCTTGCCACAGTCCTTGTCACCGCAGGGACCTTCCTTGCAGCACTCATTTTGGCAGTTCTCGTCGGTGCAACCTCCATTGCTGCATGAGGGGCAGTTGCTCTTCTCGCAGTTTCCATTGCTGCAGATGCACTCTTCCTTGTTGTTCGGGTTGGCCATTCCTTGCTTGGCGTTAGGGTTGGCTTCCATGGCTTGGTTGCTTTGTTGTCTTTTGGCCGCCTCCATCTTGTTGTTCTTTTCAGCCTCTTTCTTCTCCTCGGCACTGCTGCAGGCGACTGAAGTAGTGTAGAAGGCAATAATAATGGCTATAATTGAAAGCATGTAAATTGTTTGTACTCGGTTCATTGTGCTTTCCTTAATTCGCTTTCTCTTTATACTTTACAAGATCAATATCTTGTTTTTTGATTGGTTACTTTTCTAATCACAGCTAGCCACTCTCTGCGATTAACCTACCACAACTAAGATATCAACCACTCCTAGGACTTCATCTGATAAGTATTCCTGCCAACCATCTAACTCTATCTAATCACACCAACCCAACACTAACTCAATTCAACCTAATATTAAACCAACCCAACTCAATACCAATCCCAAACCAAACCAACCCACCCCAATTGTAAGTATATAGTCTACAGTACTAACTAAACTCAACTCAACTCAACTTAACCCAACTCAACTCAACTTAACCCAACTCAACTCAACTCAATACTAACTAAACTCAACTTAATACTAATTTGTATCTACCTGTGCTAAATACTTCAAAATATCTGTTATCTGGATAATACTCTTCTGTGAAACATAATCTGGCTGCACGGTCGTCTTGTCCGTGAAAACCATAATGTCTGAATCATAATTCTCTTGTGAGACCTCTGGAACAATCTCGCCGCCGCCATTTGCAATGAGCTTCTCAAACTTGTACCTCTCTTTCTCAACTAGCATACAAACTCTCCACCCAGTAAAGGCCGCTTGGCCGCTCTCTTCTTTGCGCTCTTTCCACCTAGGCGCGGCCTGAATCAGCTTCTTAACTAGGCGCTCGTTCTTCCCGACATCGACTCGAATGTCTCGATCCAATAAAGAATAGTCCTCTGCTCGTGTATATGCACTCTTCTTTAAGTCATCAATAATTCGGTAGTCCACGAGTTTTACTCCAGTTGCTACAGCTGATAGAAACTTTAAGGACAAGTTGATACTTCCCACTACTAAATGAGTGCACTCAGTTGAAAATTCCTGAGTGTCCAGCACAACTGCACCTTTTCCCGTCAATATCGCCTCTGCTTCCTTCTTCAACTCGTCTCCTACTCCAGTAAACTGCACTGTCCAGCCGCAGAGGTCTTCTTTGGCCCGACTTAGTAGAATTCTCTTCCTTTCTGGCTTGATCACCAGTCCACTACCGGGCAGCTGGCCAGTATATCCTGTTGCCGATGGCTCCTTTACTCGGGCCATATGGTAAATACACTGGTCCAGCCATTCAATTGGACAGGTGCTTATCCGGTACTTCTCAAGTAGTAACTTCTTCTGCACACTCTCTATCTTGCCTCGACTTTCCACAATACAATGACTGACCTGACTGCCCATTTGTCCGACTACTTTACCCCCTAAGGCCTTTACTTTGTTCGCTGTTTTGAGACCTTCACTTTTACCCACTACCAAGTAAGTTGTCATGCGCCCTAAGGGCAGACTGGGTAGCTCTTCATCCACAAGTCGGTATGGCTCGGGTGATAGTAATACTCCCATTTCTGCACTATCTAAAATCCACTGGTACCGCACTGCATTCTTCTCGCGCTTACTCCCAGTAAAATACACTACATGGTCTACGTCACTCCCACGCCTTTGCACGCGATTACCGCCATGCTCGACAATTACCTGCCGCACCAAAGAATGAATGGGTAAACTTCCTTCAAAATAGAATAGCAGTCCATTGAATATCTCTTCTTTTGCTTGGTCAGGACTGGAAATTGCATCATATCGCACTGGCTTCTCAGTCTTTTCCAGTCGGTTCAAGAAGACATCCTCAGCGGCCACAATGGGAATTCCATTCTCACGGGCATATTCGGTTTTTAAGCTGGCCAGGGACTTACTGCTCACGACAAGAAAGTCGCACACACGTGTCAGTGCTGGTGTATAGGTTGCTCCTTGCAGCCGAAAGTAGTTAATGAAGACGGGATTGGTAATGCCTGTGGTACTAAAGAAGCACCCTTCATACCGCCGCAATTCATATCTCATAATACTCTTCTCACACAACGAAGTATACACCCAGGCCACATTAATCACGGGAATTCCCCATTTATCCGCTAATACTCGCTTATCCGAAAAGAAGTTCCGCGATGCCAGTAGATAGGCCGTTTCAAAAGACATACTTTCAGAGAGCACAAACAAGCTCCCAACAAACAACTCTTGGATCAAACTCTTCTCGGCTATCGATAGTCCTGTTGTTGTAAACTGAATCTGCATAGAATACTACCCAAAAAAGAAAATGTCTATACTTACTCTCCATATCCGATCGCATCCTACCTTATCCCAGCTCTAATCCATCCAATTTATTGCACTAGTACTTTATCTTTATTACTCCAGGTATATCTTATCATTGGCCGTCTCACTATTATTTGCTACTAAAACCAAAACCAAAAGACAAATCAAGCCTTTCATTTCAAAATTCAGACTACTTATTCTTCCTTTTATTTACATATCTAGTAAGTAAATGAGTCAACCCAAAGTCACAAAACAAGTACCTAAATTCAAACATGCATCTCAGCTGAGTGTGATATTAAGCTGGGTGAAAGTCTTATGTGCTCACACCCATTATTTTAATAGTCTTAATAAATTTCCTTTTTAGGAAATGATCAGTGTTATTCCCATGCGAAAATTTCCTTTTTAGGAAATTTATTACAACAAGTCCCATTTAAACAGTTTACAACCGAACCGATAAGAAGACTAACTAGCCAGTCCGTAGAGTCTGTCATGAATTCCCAGACCACAATCAGTTACAACCAGTAAATAAATATGCTTAAATTTAATAGATTCAGTTCGTAATGTGCCAGTATTTAGCTATAATTTAAGATATTACACCAGAAGTATACTAAAACCGGCCACCAAAACCGTTAGATTGGATTAGAAAGTCTGGCAACTACTTTCCATAATTAGTAAGCAAAAATTTACCTATTATGGCCTCTGAAGCTTTGAAACGACGCGCGAAAAACAACAACAAGGTCCTTAAGAGTTTACTAACGAAGATAGTAGCAAGCAACATAGTCGCTTTCCTCTTTCGTTTTCTCTTCTACAAACAGGCCTTTTCAGTCATAGGAATAACCACTTTTCTACTTGAAGTAGCCATGTATGTTCTAATTAGGAAGCTATCTACTTATAAGGTAATCAAAAGATCAGATAAGCTAGAAGTAGTTTCAGAAGGAGCTGATTTAAGTGTTCGTGGTGCCATGCACTTTTTGATTGATATCGTCTATATTTCGATAACCGCCAAATTACTATCCATTATCATACATAGGAAAGCCTGGATGATCTTCCTATTGATTCCAGCATCAGGATACTACGAGATCTTCATGCGTCGTGACACTCGTCACCGACATAAATAGATAAACTAGGTTAGCTTTGATTGGTGTATTTCTTATTACCTTATTTCATATTGAGTTAGTATTATGTGAGTATTATGTGAGTATTGTATTGAATGATGTTAGTATCAAGTTAGTATTCTGTGAGTATTATGTGAGTATTGTATTGGATGGTGTTAGTATGAAGTCAAGTTAGTATTATGTGAATATTAAGTTAGTATTAAGTTAGTATCAAGTTAAGTCAGGTTAGTATTAAGTTAGTATTATGTGAGTATTAAGTGAGTATCAAGTTAAGTCAAGTTAGTATTCTGTGTGTATTAAGTGAGTATTATGTGAGTATCAAGTTAAGTCAAGTTAGTATTCTGTGAGTATTCTGTGAGTATTAAGTTAGTAGTTCTATCAAACACCAACCCAATAGTTATATCAATTACTTACTAGTTCTATTTATTATTGACTGAGTACTACCTACTACTTACTCCAATCCCACGCTCTCTTTCTTAACTTTACTAACCCGATTATTATTAGCCATCTCATTGGTAAGATTATCGTTACGAGTACTAAGACCATGACTAGCTAAGGAGCTAGTTAGTTCATTAGATAAAAAGCTAAACAGAGCATCTCCTGAACGGTTAAGCCAACTAATAGGCGCATCACTAGGATGACCACGAAAATGATGTGGACCACTTACTGGTGAAGACAACCAAATCTCTCTTTTAGGAGGCTGCCGACTAAGAACATAAGTACCTAATAATGGAAAAACAGCAGTTACAACCCCACTACTCTTTTGCACATCTCCACCAAGACTTTCCATCAAATCAAAAGCTCGGTCAAGTAGAGAAGTAGAGATAGAGTTATAGGTGGATTCAAGCAAGACCATAAAATTTTTAATGGGGAATCTCATAACACTACAAATCGGCCAGTGTGGCAACCAGATAGGGGCTGAATTTTGGGATCGGATCTGTTTAGAACACGGTATTTCCAACTCCGGCGTTGTGACAGCTAAAATTGAAAGAGATAGAAAAGATGTCTTTTTCTACGAATCTAGCGATGGGCGCTTCTTCCCAAGGAGTTTACTGATTGATCTAGAGCCCCGTGTCGTAACGGCAATTGCTCAGGAGCGACCAGGACTATTCTCACCCGAAAGTTTTTGGATCGGTAGTGAAGGCGGTGGAGCAGGAAATGTTTGGGCTACAGGCTACCAAAGAGGCCGAGAGAATGCTGAAGGACTACTAGAACTCGTTCAGCGTGAAGCCGAAAGTTGTGACTCTTTGGATGGTCTTATAATCTTTCATGCCGTAGGAGGTGGCACAGGTTCAGGATTAGGTTCATTTATACTAGAAGAGTTAAGAGAACGTCTGCCTAAGAAGGCTCTTCAAACAGTTTCAATCTTCCCTAATAATGAAGAGGTAAGTGATGCAGTAGTTCAGCCGTACAATACAGTACTGGCTTTACGACGACTAAAAGAGTGTGTAGATGGAGTGGTGGCTATGGATAATGGGGCTTTATCTCGAGTGGTTGGTGATGCTTTAAAAGTCTCTTCCCCGACTTTTGTTCATACTAACCGACTGGCTTCAGCTGTAGTTGCGGCTGCTACGGGTACTTTGCGCTTCCCTGGCAGTCGGTTTAATGATTTAGCTACTTTACTATCAATGGCTGCCCCTGTGCCTGGCTGCCACTTTTTAGTCCCTTCTTATTCGCCCTTAGTAGAGCCAGGAGCAGTTGTAGTTCGTAAAACGACTTGTTTAGATGTACAACGCCGACTAGTTCAGCCTAAATCACGACTAGTTACTTTTGAAGAGAGTGAGTCTAATTATATGCTAGCTGCAGTTAATATCATGACGGGTGTAGATGCCATGGAGATTGAAAAAAGTATGGTCCGATTACGTCAGAAAGGGAGTTTACGTTTTGCCCCTTGGGCTCCAGCATCGATTCAAGTTGGTATTAATCAGGCAGCCGATCAAAATGTCTCTGGGTTGTTGCTCAGTAATACGACTGGGATTGGTCGGGCCTTACAAAGAATTGCTTCGCAGTACGATAGGTTGAAGAAGCGCAATGCCTTTCTGGATATGTATCGCCGGGAAGGTCAGGAATATGTTGAGGAGTTTGAGCCGGCTCGTGAATCTTTGCAATGGGTGATTGATGAGTACCGCCGGGCCGAATGTTCAGACTACCCCACCCGCACAAGTTTCCCAGGTCCTGAAGAGTCGGTGGTAGAAAGAGTATCAGATACGTCGATAAGTCCATGTCCTCAATAAACACAAAGTAGTTAGTATTGTCTTGAGTTGAGTTAAGTTAAGTTTGTTTTGGGTTTGGGTTGAGTTGAGTTGAGTTGAGTTAAGTTATGTTTAGTTTGGGTTAAGTAAGTTGAGTTTAGTTTAGTTTGTGTTAAGTTAAGTTAGGATAAGATAAGATAAAGATAAGATAGGATAAGATAAGATAAGATAAGATTAAATCAAAATCAAGTTAAGTTTATATTAGATTGTTTACCAAATCTACAAAGTCTACTAAATCTATCAAATGCACTAAATCTAGCCTAAGTAACATGGACTAGTTTCTACTGAATGTTTATGACGAAATTTGGTACTTTCACCAGCTGAATAATGAAAACTCAAAGACTTCATAGCTGATAATAGACTAGGTAGTAATATAGACAGTGATTCATATTTATTGGGCTGGGTATGGGAACCAGGCTAGTTAACTCAGATGGTCCAATCAGATCTACAAACAGGTTACTTCTTGAACCAAGAACTGGCAAAGGACTTTTGGGCTTTTTTGAACGCACTAGAGAACTTGGAAGGAATTGGCATAGCTTCAAGTCCCTCAAAGGTTCGCTTGGGAATCCTTTCTACAATATCAGTGGTGGAGTCAGAGATAAGAACGTTTTTGTAGATAAAAGAGTCAAGAACAAGAAAGACTTCGTCATAGTGTTTGGTCAGAGACTTTTGGGTCAGCGGGCCTTTAATAGCTTTGACAATAGCAGAATAGAAGGCATCTAGAGCATTGAAGAGCATGATTTCGTTTTCAGTAATGGGGGCATACAATAAGAGATAGACGTCTTCAACAGCTTTGTAAAGAACAAGGTGTGAGTCGAATAAAAGAATGTTTCCTTCAGTCTCTTTAGCTTTGTTGAACATTTTGACCTCAAGTTCTTTGGTTTCTGCTGAGATCGAAAGTGGGGTACCTAAAAGACGAATTCCACCTTCACCAATGATAGCAAGTCCGTAAACTATTTCCAAAGATGACATAAACAAACATAAAAAAGAAATGGGTTATGTATTGAGTTAGCATTGCACTGAGTTAGTATGGGCTGGGGTGGTGTTGTGTTTTGATTGGGGTTGTTTCTCGTATACCTATCTTGTCTTTTGATTTTCCTTTTTGAGATGAGATTTAGATGATTTCGGGGAATGAGTTGTTAAAGCGTTGGGTGGATTTTTGATATTCCTGAACAAGTCGTGATTCTTGTTTGAGGTCATTAGAGATGGGAACGCCTACTTTAGCGAAGAGAAGAAGGAGTTCGGCCCGTTCGTCTGAAGTAATCTCAGTACAGACTCGGAAGAAGGCGTCTTTGAGCTCTTGGATGTTGCCTTTCTGGGAGAAGATAAGAGTGAGAAGAGAAAGGGAGAGTCCATCAAATGTAGTCAGATCGGTTTCTAAAGCAATATCTGGGGCAGCCGAACAGTCGCAATAAAGGAACTTGGCTTGGGCTTTAATCTCATTATTACTGGCGGCCATTTGCTTACTCGCGAATTTGAGCAGGTTTTGGTTGGTTTCACTGGAGAGGGTGACATTCTTTTTGAAGTAGGAGAGGATGGCTAAGAGAAAGGCCATGAACTTATCAGTAAGAGAGACGGCAGCTGGAAGTGCAATAAGTGCATTGACAAACTTATCTGAAATTGGGGTGTCATTGATTTTGGCTAAGAAAGAAACAATAATCTTGCGGCGCTGCGTATCGATATTTTGGGCTGTTTTGGAAAGTTTGTGGAACTCTTTGATACTATTGTGAGTCTTGAGTTTGTCAGTGCCGAGTCGTTTGAAGACGGTCTCTTCGATAATTGAGTACTCTTCTTCTTGGGTCTCTGGATTAAGAACCTTCTTCTCTTTCATGTTGACCCGGAAAGTGTCGTAGCCTTGCTGGCCCTTCTCAAGTTGCTTGGTTTCAAGTTGAGCGGCATGAATGGCAGTGAGGTCAATTTCCGTGAGAAAAAGAGAGGCAATCGTCTCGCGCACGATGGGTTTAGCTTCAATGTAGTCTTTAGGAATACGGGAGGCTTTACTGCCCTCTTTCTGCTCGGCTTCGGTATAGAAGCCATCAAGTTCCATGAGTTTACGCGCCAAAAGAGCTAAGGCTTCTTTATGGCATTGGCTAATTAGGATACCCACACACTCTTTAAGTGAGCAGGCGAACTGAGGATTCTTGACGTACTTGGGAAGAGTAATAAGAAAGATAGCATCGTAGATGTAGCCATTAGTTAGAAAGGCCGAAATACTTGGCATTTCAAAGATATCCACTACAGCCGCAATATTAGAGATAAGCCCGATAGGTGCCCGAAGACCGAGTATATCGTTAGCCAGAAGACCAGGCTCCGGCCGAGCAACCGATTCTCTGGCCAAGTACCCAATTGTCTTCCACTTTTCAGCCATCACGGTCTCCTTTAGTATATTAAGATCAGGATGCTTCTCTTCATTCTGGTCCTTAGTTGGAACCGCAACTTGACTAACCAGCTCAAAGTATTGCGCGTAAGGAATTGTGTTCACTGCCGCCGCATGGGATAGATAAACCACCAAATGCCCCAGCTTAATTTGGGCAACCAAATAAAGAAGAGAGTCATAAGATACGCGTTTCTTCCACTCGCTACTAGCTTTGATGTTCTTAGCCGTGGTTTTGTAGAGGTGTTCCAAAGCCGAGGCAAAGACCAAGTGTCGTTGGGGGTCCATAGTAACATTGTTTAAATGGTCACCACTGCCACTGGACAAGTCTTGCTCACCAAGCTGGGCACTAGCACTAGAAGAGTCTGAATTACCCTCAACCTGGTCAGTATACTCCACATCTTCCATTTCCGGAATGATCTGCACATGGCCCTGCTCCTGCACAGTCCTCTTCTCAACCCGGTTACTGACCTTCTCGGCATCCATCGGGCCTGTTTTACTCGTAATCGTACGATTAATGATTGCATTGGCTAAACTCGCAATTGCATCGATTATATCAGTGATTTCATCCGCCGCAAAGGTTTCACATGCCTCCTCAGTAAAGACATTAGCAAAGTAAGTAAAGTAAGTGACTGTTGATCCAAAATCATCATCAAATGCATCCGGATGGGCCAAAAGCAAAGCCCAAATTGCACGCGCAATACTAGCCGTATTCTTCTCAACTGTGTTCCCAGATGCATACTCCTGCAACTTAGCAAACATCGGCTCTAACGGTTTCATAGCTAAGTTGCGATCATTAATCGTGTACATCAGCGAATAAATCACCTTACGATCGTACGCCTGCAAAAGAATACCAGCCGCCACCTCTTTATAATAGGCCACTACATGTCCTTTCCCGTACAACCCCACTATAGCCTCCCTCATCTCCGGAGTCTGGTTCAACTCTCCTACCAGCCCAAAAGAAGTCTCAATTCGCACATCATACTTCACCTTCGTTTTGAACAACGACCAGACAATAGAGGAATAAGGAATCGTTTCGGTATAGATCTGCCGAAAACTCTTCACCAATAAACTCAACTGTTTCACACACTTATTTGATAAAAAGAGCTCTTCCGTTGCCAAATAAGGAAACAAAAACAAAGCAATATACGGACTCTCAGCCCGGCGCATAATCTGCATAAACAGACTCTCCATCGACTCAGCACTCATCCGACTCGTCACCTTCGCCAACTTCTCCACCTTCTCCATATAATTCCGGTTCTGGCAGTACCTTAAAGTCAACTTATCCACCAGTAATTTAGCCCGGCCTAAATCCTGCGGTCTTTCCCGCTGCTGTTTCCCACCCAACTTCTCCTCCTCCAATTCCGGCTGAGGCTCTAACTTCCGCGATAAGGAAGTCCCATAAAGACTGTCCTGAGTCTCCAGAAAGTTCTTAGTAATCTTCTTAACCACCGGCTGCGACCTATCTAAAGACGCCCCAACTTTAATTTCACGTTCAGCAATCTTAAGAGTTTCGCCATTGTTTTTGATTGTTGTTTCTTTAGTCGCAAGATTCTCTCTAACCACACGCCCGTCCTCCTTCTTCTCTCGGGAGATAGATACATTCTTCTTACTTCCCATTCACCCCCTAATCTCCACTAAACCCTTAAATTAGAACTCCAAAACGTATCAGAATCTCTACCAATTATATAATAGCTTCTATTTTTTATTTGTACATGAAAGTTCGTCTCTCTCTTTCTGATTCTACTAAGCATCTGATAGTCCGTTTTCCTAAATCCGTGCTCGAAATTGACGAATCACCCAAAATCTGCCTATCTAAGCTCATTCGCTCTAAAATTCAATTCATCCTTAATTCAATCTACAGTATACTATCTAGCGATACCAAAGAACAAGAAAAACGCCGTAAGATTATTCGCTTGTACATGCGCGAGTCCAACGAACTAGTTAAACTCCTAGCAGCCACTTTAGCTGCTAAGTACTTCGCACCCATTGGTATGCTCGAATCAAAGACCTTTCGCGTCCAGAAGTACAACACTGAGCAAGAACAGTTGGCTGACCAGCTAGTTTATAAATGCAACGAGTTAAGAATGCAAGTTTCTTCCAGTTATGATATTGAAAGGGCGATTGATGTTCTGGGTCGTGGTCTTACAGACTTTCCCAGTTCAGTTGAGACACTTTCAGAATCTCTGGTCCGACCTACTCCACCAGTACAGTCCTTTAGTCGGATTGAGCAGATGCTGAAGATGCATGCCCAACGCGCGGGTATTTGGAAATCAGCCGAAGTAAGTTATACGGTTAAGGATGGCCAGTTGATCTTAGAGTCTTATGGGTTCTGTACTACTCTAATTCTTCATGCCGATGCTGAATCTCCTCAATGGCACATTCTTTCTATTACGTCATTAGAACATGAAGGGAGGACTATCTCTCCTAAAGCCATTCGGGGCAGCAACTTACTTAAAGAGGTTTTAGGAGTCACTAAGTATGCTAAAGTTGTCTTAGAAGCCGAAAGTATGTTCAAAACTTTGAAAGAGATAGCGGAAAAACGTGTTTTTGAAATTGAAGTTACAGGTACAACAAAAGAATTTCAAGCTTCTATCTTTGGTATGTTTAAAGTCCAGGTTAGTATTAAGAAGAACTGGAATGGTCCGACTTTAATGGCTATCTTTCGCCATCTTTCTGAAGAGAAGCTTTTTAAAGATAAGATTTTGGAACGGGTTGTAAGTGAGATTAATCAACACTTAAAGAAGGAGTACTCTCCTAATATGGTTTTCTCTCTTTCTCGTGGTCTGTTTTGTGGTGAGCATCCAATTGCTAGTTTTAAAGAACTCCAGAATGAAAACTTCCTTGATAGAAACCGACCTAAAGCCTGGCAAGTCCCAGGTACACTTTGTAAAGAAAAGGTCTCTATTATGGTAGATGGTTCAGCCCTTCAAACCAATTTGTTTCTTAAAGATAGTTCAAATGATTTCTTAGCTCTTCTCTGGGATACACCCCAACAGACTTTACGACTCTTCTACGGCACTGACCATCATAACCAACTACCTACAGCTACTGAACTTCCTATTAATCCTTCTGAAACTGCTTCTTTCTATCTTGAAACCAAACAACAAACCAAAACCCAAATAGATCTTATTACGCAACGCCCCAGACAATTACTTACTCTGATTGGTGCCTACCAAACAATCTTATCTCTTAAACATACTAAGGTTAAAATTGCCTTAGATACTAGTCTGCACCTTATTCTGAACAATCTAGTTAGTATCCAAATAGAAGGTAAAGATAGTGATAAAAACATCACTGAAATCATTGGACCAAAAGTCTGTATTAAGGACCGTATGAACAAGAAAGAAGCTATCGCCCTTTTCTGGATTACTGTCTTACTACAAGGCATGATTTCTAACCAACAGATTTTCTTAGCTGAACAGTATCGCTCTATCATTGTTTCCGGATCAATTAACCACCCTAAACATACTGGTGAAAACGAACTCGTCTTTCTGAAAGAACAAACTCACTTTGCTTTACATTATGTGCGTGGCAGTTTACGTTGCTCATCCGATCATCCTATTATTACAGCTTGGGTTCATTCTATCTTATCTTCACAAGCGGCAGAAGGATTTCTTCACTTATTCTACTACCAGAACGTACTTACCTTCCCACGCTTAATTAGTACTATTCCTGTTCATGGTCTGCTAGGTGGATCTTTAAAACATACGTGTCAAACAGCACTTATCTATGAGATTGGAGAGACAATCAATTTATTTTGGACGGGTGGATCTAATCAAGCTCTAGCCAGTGCTTTTTACGATCTGGATAAATTATCAGCAACCGAAACCAGTTGCAGTTTTAGTCGGAAACACCTACATCTTTTCCTAGAGCGAATCAGTCTCTTACTATCTCAGGAAAGACTTACTCGATTTGGCGAGATCTTTACAGTTGAAACGGAAAAGGAACAAGCCTTATTCCGTCTCTCCTACCGAGATGGACTTATATGTACTAAAGCTGAAGGCAATGCTCCAGACCACATTCGAACTATCATGGAAAGAGATCCAGACCCGGAAAAGACCCTTTTCGACCAAGGGATTTTTATCTATCCTAATGGGTAAGTATTTCTTAAAGCTATAAATCACTTGAAGTTTGACGAGGTATGAGAATCACAGCTGGAGTAATTGCTTTACTTTTTGTCATCGGGGCATTCTGTCGACCGAACTATCCTAAAAAGGCCAAACGAGCGATCAAACAAGTCAAAAACTTTGAAAAGAAGGAGCCTCAAGCTCTGACTCATAAGTTTGTTAAGTCCGTGCTAGGTACTCGTGATGATACAATCAAAGGTCTTAAGGTTAGTATCAATGCCCGTGAAGTTGCCAAGTCCCAGAAGAAGAAGAAGGCTAAGAAGCCCAAGTCCAAATCCGAGCTCAAAACATCCCTCCAATCTGATAGCAAAGCTAAATCTGATAGCAAATCCATTTCAAAATCTGAATCTAAACCAAAAGTTGATACCAAATCAAAAGTTGAATCTAAATCTAAATCTGAATCTAAATCTGAAGTTGAATCTAAATCTGAAGTTGAAATCAAGTCTCAAACAACTACTGCCCATCCTGATATCATGGCCATGGAAATCGATGACTCTCCTACCACCCCTGCAGAAACTAAACAATCAACTTCAACTGCCAATGTAACTACTCCTACTATTTCTTCTGAAACAACCATTACTCCCCTCTTTGAAGAGACGCCTGATATAGTTGATGATGATGAAGACTTATCTAATGTGAACGTTAGAGAAGTCATTGTTTCTCCTCTTTCGGACAAACAAGAATCCACAACTATTACTTTGGTAACTGAACCTGGTGTGATTATCAAGAAAGTTGAAGTAGTTGAAATCTTGGAAATCGTTGAAGAAGATAAGTTGCCCCAAAATATAGCAGGTGTTGATGCAGGTGAGGAATTAGCTATTGGACAGGGCCAGGTAGGACCAGGTATTCATATGGATACCAAACTCCTTAATGCCATAAGCGCACCCGGTAGCTATACTCCCAGCAAAGACGAAATCTTGCGCCTCCAGAAGTTTGAAGAAGAGATTCAACGCCAAAACATTCGTTGTGGCACTGTCATAGGTAAATGTATCCAAACTCTCCTAGTTGAAAAGAAGAACGAAACCACCGGTGAAATTACGTATGCCAAACTCAATATCGGTCTGTACATTGTAAAGGACACCTCCTACTTTGGTGACTATCTCAACACTTACACCTTCCTACTGGATGAATAAGTTCGGCTAAGCTTGAGTTCTTAGGAGGATCAGTCTTACTTTTGTTTGAATAAACAGCAGTTGCCAATGGGTTGGTTTAGTATTTGATTAAGTTAGTATTAAGTTAGTATTTGGTTAAGTTAGGGTTACGTTTGGGTTAAGTTGGTACTGAGATAGTGTTAAGTTAGTACTGAAATAGTACTGAGGTGATATTGAGATGTTTTAATTAAATCAGGCTTGCCTTAACCATACTATAGCCTTTGTTAGACAACTATTGAGTTGATATTGCGATACTAACTTGATACTAACTTAATCAAATACTAAACCAACCCAATACCAACTTAACTTAACTTAACTTAATACTAATGTGATAACGGTTTATTTATCTATTCACGACTTACAATATCAAACAGAAGGCTTTTTACAATCTCGTTATCTGGAAGGATCTTTACAATATGCTTACTTAAAGCCGTGGCCATCTCTAAGGCCTTAGCTCGCTCACTTTCATCAAAAACATACTTCAAAACTGATACTTTGCCCAATAGGTCTAAGTATCTCTGTATAAGCTCCTTTTTGGTCTTTAAAGCCCCAGCGGATGATGATTTAGTGGCACTAAGACAGGCTGAAAGAACTAACAGGAATAAACTAGCTTCAGTGTACGTCTGATCTTCGCGACATGAGAACCAGTAAAGAATCTGATCATTAAAAACCTTCCAGTGCTTAATCTCGCCAATCACGGCCTTGTACGTAGCAAAGACCATCCAATGTCTCTTACGGAAGTATTCATGAAAGAAGACGTGCAAGTACTGCGAGTTCTCCCCATCAACTTCCTCAGCATAAAATCGGCGTACTAAATCCGCAATCAGTACTTCTAATTTCTCTATCTCCAGCAGATCAAAAAGAAGCAGTCGTGATGAAATCTTATCTCGCGCCCGTGGCTCTACCTCTGCCATGTGCTCATAAACCCATTCACCTATCTCTTTTTCCTCCTTAAACACCACTGCTAAGTCCGCCAGTGCTAAGAAGGCTTCCTGATGTCCACTCAAGGCCAAAGTCTGTAAGTGCGCCATCTCTACTGTAAAGTCTCCTTTCTGAACGGCCATTAAGACTAGCATCCGTACGGCAATGCGCAAGAGTTCAGTATCTTCAGCCACCAAAGCATCTTTACTCTTCTCCTCAATCAGATAGAATACTGTAGGAAACTCTCTTATCAAATCAGATAAGTTCTTTAACAGGGTCATACCAAAGATCAATTGAGTCTTTCGGCTCCCAGTCGATAGGGCCGTAATATACATCTTATCACTTCCCAGACCATGACACGCCTTGATAATCATCTGGGCCACTCGTTCAACCACTTTCTCAACTACACTTTCCGCCGCCAAAATGTACACCCCACATTTCAATAACAGCACTCGTTCCTCATTAGCAAATAAGTCGTAGTAGTCCAAGAGGCCAAATAAGGCATAAGAAAGTGAGCCTTCAAAATTATCCGATTCCTGTAAGGCCAAAGATGCATCAATAATTGATTTCAAAAGCACAGTTATATCTGGCAAAACAATCTCATCTCGACCTTTTTCCGTATCAATATGATCCAAAGATATCCGCATTAAAAACAACAAAGGTAAAGTCGCCCGTTCTAAAAACCCAGCTCCAAATCCATCAGCATACTCGTGTTTCTTCATTAACTCGCGCAAAACTCGCTCTAAAGAACTGTTATCTTGATTTTCCCTATAAAAAGCCTCCACCAGCAACTCATACCTCCCTTCAAACTCCTTTTCAAAAACCACCTCCATCTTCTGCAAGAACCGTTTCCTTATCTCTACCACACGTTCTGACTCTAAATCCTGCAACAAACCAGATCGTTGACTAGCCGTTAATTCACACCAAACAATCCCACTTAGTTTCGTACTTACAAAGACCATCCTTACTCCTTCATTTACATCAGCCGCCCGACTAATAATAGCCGATATTGTCTGCTTATTCACTACCACCAATCCCAGTACAGCTTTCCTTATCTCCGGCGCCGGATCGTATCTTAACAAGTCTTTCAACAGCTTAAAAAAGGACAGACTTCCATCCAACGCACTTTCCTGATACTTAGCCACTATCTGCACTGCATGAAACCGAACTGCACTCTCCCTATCAAACAACTTTTCACCTATCTTTATCTTAGCCACCGCCCAAAGCCGAGGACTTACACTATCTAAATGCTCTAAACTACCTCGTAATAGGACTAAACTGTTAGTACGCACATGTTTTAGTTTTGAATCAACGCCACGTAATAAATACTTAATCAAATTATGCATGAAATTTCGTCCCTCCCTTGTTTGTTTCAATCTCTTCATCAGTTCGTTGATAAACTGAATTACAGACTTAGGAATATCACATCTTTTACAGCCAATCAAGATACTTACGGCCTCACAAAATGATCCAAAAACTTCCACAACTTCACCTTCAGAAATCAGACTTTCTAAGGCATCTAAAGCATCTCTACTTTCCTTAACACTATCAGTTTGAGCTCTATTAAGTATTTCCATGACGTACATGCAAACAAAACTTTTAGCCAATTTACCATGTCTGACAATGAAAGCCAAGCGAGTTACGGAAGTGACGATAAGAGTTTCCAAGAAAATGAAGACGAATTAATAGTGGAAGACGTAAATTTGGATGGCGCCGAAGTCTCTCCAGTAATGGAAGCGCCTAAAAGGTTTACTTCGCCTATCATGACTAAGTTTGAACGAGCCAAAATCCTTGGTATTCGTGCCCAGCAGATCAGTATGTCTGCGCCAATTATGGTTGAGTATGGTGATGAGACCGATCCCGTTGAGATAGCTAAGAAGGAACTTCGTGAGAAGAAGACTCCCCTGATTATTCTTCGCCGGCTGCCAGATAATACTTATGAGAAATGGCCAGTTCATGATCTAATCAATTTCTACGATTAAGTTAAGTTGAGATTGTGTTTTTGGTGAGATTGAGTTGAGATTGAGTTGAGATTGAGTTGAGATTGAGTTGAGATTGAGTTGTGTTAAGTTGAGATTGTGTTTTTGGTGAGATTGAGTTGAGATAAGTTAGGTTGTGTTGTGTTGTGTTTGAGTGAGAGATAAGATGGTTTAGTTTAGATAGGGTGAGATTGCAATAGATTTGGAATTAGAATCAAAGTTGGTTTATTAAAGTAAAATTGGATTTGAATTTGAGTTTATAATTGGAAACTTAGACTTGTATTTCTGTTTAAGTTAAGTTAAGTTTAAGTTAAGTGGGGTTTGGTTTAGTTTAAGTAGGGTTTAAGTAGAGTTTGGTTTATCTTTAGATTGCTACTTAGATAGTAACTCAATTAGATACGATACCAAGTAGATACTATAACAATTAGATACTATACTAAGTAGATACTATAACAAGTAGGCATTATACTAAGTAGATACTATAACAACTTAACTCAACTCAACTCAACCCAACCTATCACAACCCAACACAACTCAATACTAATACTAACTTAAGATTAACTTAACTCAATTGGGGTTACAATAAACTAATATGATAGATGATGTAGTAGTATTATTATGCTAAGGGGGTAAGAACTTATGAGAAGTGATAGTCTTGCTTATACTGACCTAATAGATGGTTTAAAGTAGTTTAATGGACTGGAGATAAGTGGATGAGAGGGTATAATTAGTAGTATACTGATTAAATTTCATTTTACCACGAAAACTCTATTCTCGATTGTTAGTATGGCAAAAGTACAAGCACTTATTCGGATTAGGCCATTATCGGCTGAGGAGAAGAGAAACCAAATGAAGAAAGGTTGGACTAAAATTGGCGATCGAGGTATTATTCAGTATTTAGGAGGTGATGGTTCTGAGATATCTTCTCAGGCCATGTTCTTTGATTGGGTTTTTGGTGAACAAGAGACTAATGCTGATGTTTATGCCCATATGGCTAGTTCAATTGAACAGGCACTTTTAGGCATAAATGTATGTGTGATTGCTTATGGCCAGACTTCTTCTGGAAAGACTCATACTATGCGTGGGTACTTAGTTCAGGACCAACTAAGTGCTTGGCTACCGGCTGATAAGGAAAACAAACGAGTCCGATCGGACTCAGATCCTGGTATTATCCCACGAGCCCTTCAAGCTCTCTACCAGAAGAAAACAAACCAACAGATAAGTATCTCTTTTATTGAGGTGTACAATGAGTGTATTTATGATTTACTAGGTGATTCAACTGAAAACCTCCAAATTAGAGAAGGAGTATCAGGTGAAGTTTACATTCAAAACGTAACGGAAAAAGAGGCCAAAACCGTCCAAGAAGCTCTACAAATCTTCTTGACAGGTGATAAATCGCGTAAAGTTGCTGCCACACGTATGAACCGAGAAAGCAGTCGTAGTCATGCTTTACTTAAAATCAAAATCAAAGTGTCCGGTCAAACCACTTCAGCTGTTTTTGTTGATTTAGCTGGTTCAGAACGGCATAAATTAGCCCAAACTGAAGGAAAGTCTCTTAAAGAAGGAGCATGTATCAACAAAAGTCTTCTGGCCTTAACTACAGTTATATCTAAATTATCACTTAAACAAACCCATATTCCTTTTCGTGATGCTAAACTCACTCGAATTCTTCAGCCTAGTCTTACTGAAGGTTCACTTACTCTCTTAATCTGTGCCGTTTCACCCATTCCTAAGTGTACAGAAGAGACTCTTTCCACTCTTAATCTAGCCAGTCGAGCCAAGAACATTGATATTAAACCAGCACCTAAACCTCCTAAGACATCCATAACTACTCGCATTCATCGCCTGATTAATTCTACTCAGTCCCTGCGTAGTAGTATTACTCAGGCCAAAGAAGACCTTACTGCTACTAAAACTCTCTTAGATACGGCCGAAGAAGATATCCAATTTCTCACTACTGCCCTCGCCCATCCTCCACCTTCTTTTTCTAATCCACTCCCACCCCCACCTTCTAAACCTCTATCTACCGCCCATCCAGCCCATGCCCAAGCTAACTTAGCCGAACTACTAGCCGAGCTCAAACACACTAAAGCCAAGCACCTCACTCGACTTTCCGAACTTTCAGATTCAGTCCAATACCTTCTCAAACAAGAAAAGTACTTCTCCGCCGCCATCAAACCACCACCACCAACTGCCACTCTCCTCCAGCATCTAGTTGAAGGCGACAAACTCATTCAACAACAAAGAGAGCAAATCAAAACTCTCCTCCAACAAACCAACTCAACTCAATCCAATCCAACCCAAACCAGCACCACTCATCCCAATCTTACTTTCGCCCTAGAAATAGACCGTCTCAAGAAAGACTTCCAAAGAGAAAAGCGCATTCTCCAACTCAAAATAGCTCAACTTGAATCCCAGCACAACTCCACCAACTAAACACACATCCATCCAATACGAACTAGACACTAACTAAATACATATATCATCTAATTTTATCTAAGTTTACATATCTTAACTGTAGTGCCCTAATACATTCACTACTTAGTACCTCATACTAACATAATCCTAACCTTATATTAACATAATACCACCTCAATACCACCTTCTTTGCTGGTCATGTATGGCTTACAGAAGCTATGATAGACGCATCGGACTTCTGTTTTACAAGGAATTAGATGAGTTGATACAGTTATAAACTTAAGCAGAGTTCTATAAACGAATGTATCAATTAAAAGTCATACTTCAACATAGGATTCAAACATCAAGTTATAAATACAGGTTGAGATGTGAAATGTGAGATTTGAGAAGAAAATGAACCCAACTTTTGATATACATCGAGATAGTCATAGCTTTCCCAAACACGTGAGAACAGTAACAGAAGCTCACAGCTCCGCTTATACGAATAAAGAGCAAAGAGATTCCGGTTCGACTATGTCTTTAGTTCAGTACTACTGGCTCAAAGGGTATCCCTCCCTAGGACATGACATAGTGTTAACACTATTGCGCAGCGGCCAGTTTCAGGAAAGGAAACCGAAGTCAAAGCCAACCAATCTCTTAGCGGACTTGAGCAAACTGGAAGTCACGATCGTGCATAAGAATAACGAAAAGGAAATAAGCTTCTATGAGTATTCCGAAACACTTGAAGAAATTCAAGAGTGGAATCGTCAGTTTACGCTACTGTGTAAGCATAAGCTGATAAGCGAGGAGAAGGAACAAATCGAGAAACACATCGAAAATGCATTCTTCACCGGATTAACCAGATTGACCACCAACGAGCTAAAAGTACGACAGATCACCGAAAAGAGAGAAGCAATTCTCTTCATACAAGGGATTGAGAAGCGTATTCTAATAGTACTGGAAATGGCCCTGGAGGAGCAAACCAAACATAAGAAATCAAACTCGTATTCTAATCGCACGAGAAACAGACCACAAGGTAGAGGACCGCAGAAGGAACGACCTTTCTGTACGCATCACCAGTCACATACACATTCAACCGCAGAGTGCCGATTCTTGAAATCCCAGGAATCACAATCCAACAAGCAACCCACTAGCCAAGACAAAACCGCTCCCGTAAAGCATCAAGATCGCAACACCAATCTAACCCCAACCCAAGATGACGTCATCACAGTTCAACTCACCCATACTAACCCAATAAAAGAGACCACTTATATCAAGTAATGTATTGGGTTAGGATTATGTTAAGTACTAGATACTACACAAACACAACCCAACACAATACTACATTACATTATACTACACTTAATTCTAAAACCATCTTTACTTACTTCTCTACTATAATACCATCCAGTCCATTTATTCACATGCCAAATACTAAACTATATCTAAACTAATCACAACTAAACCAAATACTAAACTAATCTGACTATATCTTATCTAAATCAATATACTATAATAGCTATAATACTATATTTTTAGTTTTTTTTAGTATACCATGAATCTCAAAGAATATATCGTTTATGCTTCTGAAAAGCCTTCTGAGTCTAATTTAGCCCCGCAAATTTATCATTGCAACCTATTTGCTACTAATGAAATCACAGCCCGTAGTAAGACTTTTAACTTATTAAGGAAGAAGTACAAGATTAAGAGTACTTTTGGCGTAATTTTAAAGATAGAGGAAGTAGCCCAGTATAATGACGTTAAAGTCAGAAACTTTACTGTTCATGCAACGTACAAAGTCAAGACTAATATTAGTAATGTTAAGAAGGAGATTAGAGCTTTAACTAGAGTAGCTGCAGTAGAGAAACTCTACCAAGAGCTTAAGGCTAGACATAGTGCTACTCCTGATTGTGTGACTATCATTGAAGTAGTTGAGATTAAGCCAGAAGAAGTAGTAAGTAAGAACATTCTTCAAGTCATTAACAATCCTAAGTATCCACTCTTTGATAAGCGTATTCCAGCTACAGCTCCTAACTTCCAAATTGCTGCAATTGATAGGAAGTAGTAGTATGTATTGGGTTAAGTTGGCATTGCTTTTGATTTAGTTAAGTGGTGGTTTTGATTTGGTTTTGCTTTTGATTTAGTTAAGATTTTGATTTTGATTTAGTTTTGATTTAGTTTTGATTTAGTTAAGATTTAGTTAAGTTGAGTTTTGGTATCTAATTAGATACTAACTTATCTTATCTTATCTCACTTTACTTCACTCCACTTCATTACTTTTCATTACTTCACTCCACTTCATCACTTTTCATTACTTCACTCAAACTGAATTTGATTATTTTGCGGAATAGGAAATTTCCTAATTGGGTAATATATGTTAGGATAATATTTCCTTATTTGGAAAAATAATAGTGCAATGCTATACTAACCAATAAACTGAAATTTTTTCAATGTCTAGCCGAATTGAAGTTGGTTCTGATGGAATTATCTTAGAATTACAACGTGAGACACTTTTGACTAAGTATACTCTAGAAGTTAGTGTGGAGGAGAAGACTAGTTTATGGTTGGAGTATGATAATGGTGATTCTTTTGTGCTGGCTATACTTATTCCGGGTATAGTTGAGACTTTGCCGGCTAATCTTAACTTGGGAGCTGGTGAGAAGTTTAGATTAAGAACAAGTAATAGTAATAGAGTGAGTATTTGGATAGTTGAAGGTGTATTAGAGAAAGGATTAGTCTTTGGTTCTAGTCCTATCTCTTTGTATGGAGTGAGTTTAGGAAGTGGTGAGAGTTTAAGATTGGGTGGACTAGTTCATTATTCAGTAGCTAATTTACGAGAAGTGGAAGGAGAAAGAGTTAGTTTATGTGCACTGATTAATGGTCGAGAGGTTACTTTGACTAATTTAGTAGCTAATCGGATTGAAACGGCTGAACTGGCCTTAGAAACTACTGAGACAGAAGAGGTTACTTTATTCCTAGTAGGTAAAGGTCGAGTGGATGTCTTAGGGTACGTAACAGTAGGAGAGAGTGAGTATGAGAGTGGATCAGAATTAAGTCAAAGGAGTAGTGAAGTGGAGTTAAGTCAAAGGGGTAGTGAAGTGGATAGGAAATTAGATAAGAAGTTAGATAAGAATTTGAAGGTTAAAGCAGCAAATCAAAATTTAAGTGGATATCTAAAAGATAGTTTAAATGAAAGTAGTGCTAGTAGTGATGGAGATAGTAGTGATGAAGAAGGTGAAGAAGAAGATGATGACTTTATAATTGATGATGGAGAGTTCTTACCTGAAGACCAGGCGGAGTACTTGTTAAATCAGCCGGGGAAGAGTAAGTCAGAAGACTTAGTGGAAAGAAGTAAGTCAGTAGAAGGAAGTAAGATTAGTTGTGAAAATGTACCGGTTTTAAGTAAGTTTGGGAGTAAAGTAGGTGGAAGTAAAGAAGAGATTAAAGCTTTACAAAGGGAACAGGATAGAAAACTGTTACGAATAACTGAAATTGAGAAGGGAACTGGTAAAATCAAAGTTGGTCGTACTGATAAGATTAAAATAAGATACTCTTTATACGTAGAGAGTAAACTAGTTGAAACTTCGCCTAAGAAAGGTATTACTGTAACTCTTGGGGCTAACCAAATAATCCGGGGTTTAGAACTAGGTGTTGAAGGTATGTTAGTTGGTGGTAAACGTAATATTAAGATTCCTTCTAGTTTAGGCTACCAAAACGTCCGAGTAGGACGTATTCCTCCCAATTCAATACTTACTTACCGAGTACATCTCTGTGCTATCCTGAACCGCTAATTATTTGTTCGTCTAGCTACTTGTTGATTGGCCGAATTAGCTATATATCAGCCGGAGAAGCAAAGGCTATGGTTTGTAGTGTAGGCATATTCTATAACAAGAAAATGTACACAGCCGGTGAAACCATTTCTGGATACATTCTCTTACATGTATCTGGTGTCTTCTCAGTAGAAAGTATTACCCTTACTATTGATAAAGAATCGGCTATTCATGTAGAAGAAGCCCAAGAAAACCTAACTACTAGTGAAAAAGCTCTTCGTCATCTAGGTAAGTTTGTGATTTACAAAGGGAGTGCTACTAAAGTTGAAGCTGGCATTCATAAGTTTCCTTTCCAGTTCAAAATGATGCCCGGTGAAGGAGCTACTATTGACTACCGTAAAGTCATTCAGGGTAAACGTATCTTTGTTTTTAACAAGTACATTTCTCGTTGTGAAGTACGTATCTACGGTATCTTTAAACCCGTCTCAGAAGCCCAGAAAGAAATCAATCTAGTCGAACCCCCACGTTCAGCCAAACGCCAAAGCACGCACCATGAAGCTATGACCGGCTGTTTCTGTTTCCGTAAACCCGTTGCTTCACTCTACCTGGATATGGATGCCCTTTTATACGCCGGACAAAGACACCAAATCAAAATCAGCACCGATCATGCCAGTCCTATCCAGCACCTAGAAGCCGTCCTAGAAATGTCTATCAAAACCTTCTCCTCACCACCTACTCAAGTCACTTTCCCAGTCAAAATCATCCAAACTGAAACAGGTCTTTTTATTGAACTAGATCCACTCCTTCCCTCAGAAACCTCCAAAAACGATTTCTTCACTATCTCCTACCAACTGATTTTTACTATTTCCTTAAAAGGAAATGGTAATTTTTATATAACAAAATCCTTATCAATCAGAAATAGTAGAGCCCATGGAGATTATCAACCACCAATTCTACCCGAAAGTGCAATCTACCCCGAGAAACACTTATCTCTACACTGCTAGTTCAAATAAATTCACTAAAACTTTTGTTTGCACGTATGGACACCGCTAATTGGCCACCTTTGAAGAACTCAGCCGAAGAGACCAGCCAAGTACGACTAAATAAAGATGTGATCTTAAAGGCCCTAAAAAGAGACCAAGATAAGCTCTTGAATCCACAAACACAACCATTTACCAGTCTAAAGAATGCTTATGACTCTCTTCTGCCTTATCACCTCTTCCTCTCGCCTACTTATGATGACCTCATCTATCAGACCGTTAAAAGAGAGCCAAAACCAAGTAATACTCGAGCGACTCTGCAAGCTCTAGGAGAGATACTCTTCCGGCAAGAGTCTTCTATTGATGAGTTAGCCGTTATGGAAGAACGTCTTAGAGTTGAAGAGGAAAGATACTATCTTAATAAGACTATCAACTATCGTAAAACCAAAATCAAAGAGATAGAAGAACGAATAATAAATCAATAAAGTGTGTGTTGAGTTAAGTGTTGAGTATTGAGTTGGGGTGAGTTGAGTTAGTATTGGGTTGAGTTGAGTTGGGTTAAGTTAGTTTGGGTATCTTTATTGCGTAGTTAGATATGAATTGGTATTGAGTTGGGTATTAAGTTAAGGTGATGTTAAGGATTAAGTTAAGAGTTAAGATAGTATTAAGTTAAGATAGTATTAAGTTAAGGAGGTATTAAGTTAAGGTGGTATTTGGTGAAGTGAGATAAGTTTGGTTAGGCTGAGTTAAGTTGAGATAAGTTGAGGTTAATTTTCTGAGTTCTTGGGTGGTAGAATTTCCTTTTTGGGCAATGGTTAGTTAGAGTTTTTGTCTACCGATGGAAGATACTCTCGGTTGCTTTAATAGGTTGGTATAGGTGGGATTAATCACCCAATAAATAATAAGATAAGTTGAATGATTATTCGCGGATAGATAAACTGACCATTGATTCTAATTTAAGGGCTGAATTCAGTTGAGAGTGAAACTATAAGTAACGATAAATCCTAGAAAAGTAATACTTTGATGAAAGCAGTGACAAAGAACATAATGGTGTTTCAACGGATTTCATCATATCAGTATAGGAAAAGTCAACATAAACAAGTTGGTTTGTGGTTAAAATTAGTAGTTGGAGTTTGCTTACTCATTCTAGTCGGTCAAATATCAGGTGTAGGTGATACATCTAGTAAGTCTAACAAATCAAAGTTAATGCAACCAAAGACTTCTACTGCTTCGGATACGTCTGCTTCGTCAGGTGTAAGCGACTTATCTAGTGGATCTAATTCATCAAGGTCAATGCAACCAAAGACATCTACTGCATCGGATACATCTGCTTCGTCAGGTATATCTAGTGGTTCTAATTCATCGGGCAGATCTAGTGGATCTACTTCGTCAGGTGTATCTAGTGGTTCTACTTCATCGAGTGCATCCACTAAATCATCAAGAACACCCCCAACACTAGAAGAATTAGCTGGGTTTGATCTTACTTGGGCCAAGGAGAGATTGCAGAGTGGCCAGACTAAACCAGTTGGAGGTCCAGTTGCTTCTCAAACGGGACAACCTCAGGAAGCCAGTGCGATAAATCCACAAAGTAGTGGTTTACAACCCGCAGATGCTGATTTGGACTTTTATAAAGAGTTGAACTTTAAGCCCCAATGTCTGGACCAAGTTAAAAGAGTGGCTTTTATACTAGGAGTTCTATTTGATCCAACCTCTGCTGATAAGGCTCTTGTTTACCTTAAGAAAGCCGAAGTGCCTGATGTTATTATGATGTATGCGGCTTTAAATCAGCATGCAACTACACCTAGTCAGCCAGCAATAGCACCTGCTTCATCTGCATCTGCAACTACACCTGCAGCTGTACCTAGCCAACCAGCAACTACTCAACCTACTCCACCAGTAACAGCACCTACATCTACTCAACCTGCATCTGCAGCTGGACCTGCACCTAGTCAACCTACAACTCCACCAACTACACCAACTCAACCGGCACCAGCAACTACACCTGCAGCAGGACCTAGTCAACCAGCAGCTCAACCAGCAACTACTCAACCTACTCCACTTGCACCAGCAACTCAATCTACTCCACTTACACCAACTCAACCTACTCCACCTGCAACTACACCAACTACACCTGCAGCCGGACTTAACAAATCTACTCCAACTAGCATTAACCCCAACCATGAAACCTTTATAGAACAGTTTGCTCTTTGCATTGATCAGTTGATTAACATCAGTATGCTCGGCATGTTTGAAAGGGCCTGTCTAGATAGGGAAAACTATGCTAGATTTGCTAGAACAGAGGTACCCGCTGATGAACCCTTCGATCTTTTGTGTAAAGCCAGTATTATTACTACTAAGGCTGATTTTGACATTTTACGCAGCACACCAATCATTAATTACATTCATCCACTTAACACAAGGCTCTATCGCGCCGGATTTAACTACAAATATGATAATGTATCAAGAACATTCGTTGTCGTCAAACACAATGCTGATCCTAACGCTAGACCTAACATCAAGAATTTGTGTCGAGTCGGGCGTTTTACTTTTGAAAGTGCAGTTCGGTTGATACATCCAGCCCAGGATCAATACACTATAATGGCTAGTGATGAAGACTTTGATAAGTTTCTAGGTATTGTAATGCTCTATCAGCGCAGCCCAACTTATCGTAAACGATTCAAACGAAGTCCAAACAAGAAGATAAAGACGCTTGAGGAGTACGATGCGCTACGACAACGTCAACGGGAAAACCCAGGAAAAGAGGCACTAGGCCGACTAACCAAGCGCAAATAGAGTGGTGACATTGCCCGGTATAGGTCTAGCAGGAATCTAACTTACAAATAACTTGCCTGTTGTTCCAATGACAACTTGGCCGGGTCAAGATACATTCACTATGGATGTACTGGTTTTAGAGCAGCTGGCTTATCGGCATTAGACTCAATCTAAACCCTCTATCTAATAATAAAGTGGCATCGCCAACATGTTTAGTCCCTCAGCTAATTTGATAACAAAGATTGATTTCTATTTAATGTTATACTTAACTGTAGTACTGTCATACGACCATTACTTAACACTCACTACTTAACACTCACTACTTAATACTCACTACTTAGTATAGGATGCTTTAACCCAAGTAATTTTGCCTATCTAATAACATCACCCTATCCCAACCCAACCATGCTTATCTAATAAAAGATACCGGTGTTCGTATCAAGAAATGTCTTTATTAGAGTATGTATTGGCTAAGGTGGTGTTTGTATTGGGTTAGTATACTAACTCTACCTAACTCTAATACCAGCAGAATACTAACCCAATCAATACTAGATAGAAACACAACAGTCGGTCTTAAAACTACAACCATCATAGATAGGCGCAAAAGATATAAATTAGTAGTAAAAATAACAGTAAAAGATAACTGATTCCTAAAAAAATAAATTGAGCTAATATTATGTTAATTGTTCTTTTGAAATATTTTGAAATATTTTGTTATGTTTATTTCCTAATATGGTAATTGATTATAATTTCTTTGCTTCTCCTATTAGAAAATGTCAGATAAAATAAAACGTATAAGCGGAAGTTTCCAGTTAGTGATTGCAATATGCTTACTTGTTTTAAGCTGCCGCTCAACAGCTTCATCGACCCCATCCGAACAATCAAACATATTCCCCCCTTCATTAGATCAGCTAGCTAGTCACAAGCTTCCATGGGCCCAATCAATACTGGCGAAGTATCAAAATAATGAAATTAACATAGACCAGTACATCGATGCAGAGAACACAGAATTACTTAGCATGAGTGAAAGTGATAAAAGAACATGGTTTAACAACATTGGGTTTTATCAGTTGTTAAAATCCGAATCTAGTGATGTAAAACGGCTGCAGTCGATAGCATCTCTAATGATTAGATGTTTTGAGAAGGACAATACACTATTAAGTCCCGCTAATTGCACCGATATGGCCCCAGCAATCGACATTATTATGTTATATGCCAGATTAACTCAAAATCCAGACTCTACTCAAACAGGCCAAAAGGACATTGATCCTGAGCACATGGACTTTGCCTACCAACTTGCTTTATTTACTTATATAACGTCCATAAAGACCCGGTGTGACACTTTAGAAAGAGTATGTTTAGACCAAGAGACTTATACTAAACATACGGGCAAAGCTTATCAAGACTCAGACTTGCTCAACCAAGAACTCAGTTCTACCCTTGTTCACACCAAGACTGATCTTGAACTCTTGCGCAACAGCCCATTAATTAATCGCATTCATCCACTTGGCATTGCCCTTTATGAAAGAGATCTCCAATGCCGGTATGATAAGGAAAACAAAGTATTTGTTGTAATCAGCAGTTCCATTTGTGGTCAGACTGGCCAATCGATTAATATGCCATACCACGCCGATAGGATTACCTTCGAGGATGCTGTTCTTTTAAGGCATGTTCCCAAAGACCAAATTGTGATAGTCAACCATGAGAGTCTAGATAATTTTAAACACCTATTAGCGAATCTAGATCTCTTTCCCAACAGCTGTCCACCCCTCAAACGGCATAGCAACAAGAACATAATAACGTTTGAAGACTATAACAAGTACAAAGAATCGATGAACCAAACTACCGAACAACCACCTCTAAAATATGAAGAGATTATCACCCAAGGCTATCAATCCCCAGAAGAGATTGCACAAGAAATCCAAAAGAAGCAAGCACAGCAAAAGAAACACGAAGAACAGCTGCGGAGACACTGGGAAGAACAGGAACGGCAAAGGTTGAAGAGACAAATCCCACAAGCTGTGATACAATCCAAGCAAGAGAAGCCATACAGCGAAAGACTGTTAGAAAGAAAAGAGGCGCAAAAGCAATTACAGATAGCCCAAGAAAAGAAAGAAACAACTGCTATCTTGTCAAGTGGAATATTTATATCCATAGTTCATTTGCTAGGCACTATAAGCGCTCTTATATTTACACCCCATTTCATGGCACTCTACTTACTACCCATCAATATACTAATTGTTAGCTTAGTACCTCTCCTTTTACTTCACATTCACAACAAGTTAGCCAACCCCAACAAAGCTCCTAAACCATGGCAATACTATCTCTTCTTCTCTATCATTGGTATAACAATCATTGCCTTAAGTACGATCTTTATCTTTAATTCGATTGCTTACGCTCAAACCAGCGAATATACTCTTTTCGAGTCCATATCCCTAGCCTACCAAATCTTTGCGATATTCTCTATTATTGGCTGCCTTGGCATCAGACGTCTCTTCAACAACATCCAACGCTCTTATTGGTTACTCTATGTCCAAGCTTTCTTGCTAGCCACTATCGCCCTTCTCTTCTCTCTCTCCAACTCTATTTTTGATCTACCAGCATATTCCCAACTACTACTTAAATCTCATATTCTAACCGTATCTGGTCTTCTCTTTATAGCCGGAGCCTTTATTCATCTTTTGGGACACTGTCTGGATGAAGAGCCAATCAACCAATCCAAAAGATCATCATTTGACAAGCTAATCAAGATCTACTCCATGCACATAATACTAAGTGCTTTAATCGGACTCACTATCTGGCTCACTATCAGCTACAACCTAATAACTCCCAACATCTCCTAATCCTAATCCCAAACCAATCCAACCCGCCCAACTAACATACCAATAAACATGGTTTAGTTTAACATAACTGTAGTGCTGTCATACGACCACTACTTAATACTCACTACTTAGTACACACTACTTACTACTAGCTTAATATGACGTCATCCTATTTCAACATAACCATATTTACTCAATAAATGGTACCCAGCCTTATCTCCTGGAATATCGTATTGAGTTAGTATAATAACTTAATATAACCCCATATCAATCTAACAACAACTTAGCATAACTTAACATAACCAAACACAACTTAACTAGACTCAATTTATTGCTAATATACCTACTCTACTGCATACTTTCATGCACACTTTTAAACAGTAACTCCAATCCTTCTCTATCGAACCGTCTTTCTTTAAGCTCTTCAAAGACCCGAGTTCCATACGCTAAAACCGCTTTCTCCTTAGCAATACCAGTCTCTAACTCTTCATCCACAACTACTCTCTTCTCTATTACATCAGTAATTATCTCTATGTACTTAGAATAGACTGCAAGAGTCTCTTCACTCTCCTGAGCAAACAACTCAACTAATCGCTTCTCATATGTCTCTATCTCGCCCATGCAAAACAAATAGAAAATTGACTAAGGACTTAGGATAGGTCGTGCTTGTCCTAAGAAGATACATGCCCAGGAAAGAACTATGCATCCAGTTGCTACATAGATAGAGTACATTGTACATTCTCTATCACTTGGTCTTTTGAAATTAATTCGCGTATCAATAAGTAACCATAAAAGATGAGCAGAACCGGCTGAAGCCAAAGCCACAGCTAAAGCAAAAAGAACTGGATGTTCATACGCACTGAAGATAGCCATATAAACACTAAAATTAAAAATGGCTAAAAGCAACACTGGCAATCAAATGGACATGCAGGGGTTCCTAAACTCCGGCCTAGTTTAAGTTCGTCTTCGGTATAGACTCGTAGTCCGTCGGTTGTGTAGGTTGTTTCGATATTGGATTTAGAAGTACCTCGAATACTGAATGAGTTACTGTTTTGTAGATTTGAATTGGACTTGTTAGTATTATTAAGATTGGATGACGTCATAAGAGTATGTTTGGATTTGTTGGGTATTGAGTTAGTGCTGGATGGTTTAGATGACTTAGATGACTTAGATGACTTAGATGACTTGGATATATTCTTGGGAGTAGAGGAAAGAATCTGGTTTAGTTCGTCCATGTTGAAGAATTTGCGATTCAGTTTGGATTTGAGTTAATATGAGTTAGTATGAGTTGGTTGTTAGATAATAAAGATATGGTTGAGTTAAGTTTATTTGAGATAGTATTGAGTTGGTATTGAGTTTGGGGTTGGGTTGAAGTGGGGTTAGGATGGGTATTTGGTGGGAGTGGAGATAGGGTGCGGTTTTCTTTGAATTAAATTGGAATGAATGAATGAAAGGTGGTGGAGTTGTTAGTACTGGAGAGTAATGAAGATTGGGTTGGGGGTGGAGTAGGATGGTGGTTGGTGTAATTGGGGGTGAATGCCTATTGGTTGACAGAAATTTTGATGGAAGCTGCCTAGACTTTGGGCTAGCTGACCACTGAGAAGATGGAGTTGGGGGCAAAAGGATCTGTCTAGAAAGTGATTCCAAATGATCTGATCAAATTCAAAGTATATAAGCCCGAGTAAAAAGAAAGATATGGCAGAATCTGACAAAGCAGGAAAAAGAACTAAGATAATTATTGGAGTAGTTGTTGGTGTAGTTGTTATAGCAGGACTAGGATTTGGTATTTATTACTATATGGGGTCTGGTAGTACGTCTTCATCTGGAAGTACGGCTGGATCTAGTGGGGCAGGAGGTGCTAGTGGAACTACTAAGTAAACTGACGGGAGTACTACCTGGTTGTAGCGACAATTGGAAACCTGTTGGGCCAATGATAATTGGTACTTCCTATCTGGCGAGAACAGGATGTTTACAATAAATCTTACTTGCTACTTGTCTTACGTTACGCCGCAAGATTGGTTCCTTCAGGGCCAATCAGGGAAGATAGGTCGTTACTAAAGGTATAAATAGACATAACGATCACTAGGTATGGATCGCAAACACAGTCTTTTTGGAGCTTTAGCACTTATTGTTATTGGTACTGCTGGCACTACGCTAGTAATAGTAGACGCATATTACAAATACTGGACAAGTTAAATGTCGTTTAACGACAACCCCCTTATAATTAAGACAGCGGCCTAGTGCTTGCTTTACTAAATAAAGCCACTGTTCAAACATGTTTATCTAGATTGAGTTGTGTTATGTTATGTTGATGTTAGGTTAGTGTTGGTGTTAGTGTGGTGTAGTGGTATGCCAGATTAACTTAAGATGAGATAAGCAACTGTAATGCCTGTTTGGGCTTAAATAGTCTTTATTTACGGGTGGCTGCTAGAACAGCTGCGGTGACGGCTTGAGACGTGCGGCCATAGCGGGGTGTTTTAAGAGCAATACCTCGAATATTAGTGCTAAGGTCGGGAACGGCAGAGCCTGCTCGGAATTTAGCCGTTACAGCCCCCATAGAGCCAGATCGGCCTCGGCCTACTTGGAAACGCACTGTAAGAATAGCATCTTCAATCCTGGCCTCATAGGGAAGAGATACACCCGCCGCCGCTATTTCCTTCTCTACAGCTGCCATTTCTAATAGATACCGAGCAATCCCAGGAATGGCTTCATTTAAGTCTTTAGCTTCTGGAACACTGCCTACACTAGCAGCAGCAAACTCCTTGAAAAGACTACCGGTGGCTACGGCCGAAACATCAACAACTAACAAACCATCGTATATTAGAGTCACTGCTACATCAGAGATAGTAAAAACCAGCCGACTATGCGAGATTTCTTGAATATTCAAGCCAAAAACCGCCTCGGCTCTAGCCACAGCTTCTTTAGCACTAAGTAGCTCACTTCGACCCACTTCAGCAGCAGCCACAGCCGCAGCCGTTTGGGCAGCAGCTTCATTAGCAGTAGCAAGGGATTGAGCCGCTAAGTCAGCTGCTGCACTCCATTCGGCCTCTTGCTCAGCCAATTGACCAGCTATTTGCACCTTTTCCTGGGCCAGTCGTTCGTTTTCCAGGGCAGTTTCAGCTGCTAAAGAAGCCTCGTCCGTTGATGCACTAGTGGAAATAGCCGCTAGAATTCGAGCTTCTTCCGCAGCTAGTCCTCCTAAATCCACAGCAGCAATTGCTTCTTTAACTCGAATCTCTTCTGATCTCAATTGAGCCAAGTGCTGAGCTAGTTGTTGTTCCGTTTGGGCCATAGTACTAGCAAAGACAGTTTCAGCTGCTAAACGTTGGGCATGCCAAAGACTTTTACCTTCTCTTCTAGCATCTGATTTAGTTTGTCTTAATCTTGAAGCCAACTGAGTACTATCTAAAGCACTTAAAGAACTACAATCAATCTCTCTTTCCAAAACTTCAGCATCATGTCTCGTTCGTTCAATCTCCGCAGCTAAAACAGCCGCTAAGTCATTTTGAGCTTTAATTCTCGCTTGCATAAACTCACGATAGTATATTATCTGCTCAGGCAAAACCTTATTCCTTATCTTAGATAAGGTTTCTCTTCTAGCCGTTAAACTTAAGTTATCTAAAAACCTAATCCCAGTCTCAGCTAAAACATCACGTAATCGCTTACTAGCTGTAGCCCGAGTACTTTCATACTTACTTAAGACTTCTTCAACATTCACTGTATCATAGACCAGCGTATGACTCTCACCCGCACAAACTATCTCTGAAAGCATACCACTAACTATCTCATCAACCGTCTCAGCCGCCACCAGTTCATTATCTTCCTCCAAACCCCCCAATTCCCCCAAACCCCCCATCTCACTATTACCACCCATCTCACTACCTTGCATTACTACATCTTCACTAACATCAACTTTACCATTATTACTCACTTCAACTTTACTACTACTCATCTCAACTTTAACATTACTATTACTACTACTCATCTCAACTTTACCATTACTCATCTCAACTTTACCATTACCATTACTATTACTGCTAAGTTGATCTCGCGTGACATACTCCATTGTTCGTCGGTCGGGTGGACATAAACTCATCCGTCGATCTTCTGACTCCTCAGAATCATCCATAATAAAGTTCTCTTCTCGTTCTTCACATAGTGGTAGAGTTTCACTGAGAATACTCATATCATCTAAAGGATGAGCAACACTAACTAGTGATTCACTACTAGTTACTCCATGCTCAACAATAACGGACTTAGTTTGTTCAGTTGCAACTGAATCACTAGTTGAAGCTTCGGCTACTCTTGGTTCGGGAGCAAAACTTACACGACGGACTGAAGTTCTTCGTTCACCGGGACCTTCAGTTTCTGATGTTTTCTTAAAGTAAGCATCATCTACTACTTCGGGCGTCTTTTGGAAATAAGTATCTATATCCTGGCTTTTACGCATACAAACAAAAATCTAGCACTATTTATTACATCTCTACTATACGTTCAGTAGATCATCCAGCCAATTAGAGTTAACCCGCGTACCTTTGCCAGAACTAGGTAAAAGAGGCAGATCTTGTAAAGCTACTTCAATTCTTGTACGACGCGTTCTGGGAGAGAATTCATGAGTTACTGGATCTTTATTCTCCTTATCCCAGGTATCTCTGAACTCTTCTGATAGGGAAAGACGAGGACCACGCATTAGAGGAATCTTTCTTTCTTATTAAATACGGGAAAAGGCGGGAAGAATGAAGGCGGGAAAAGCCGGGAAATCGAAATTTTTATGGGTGTCTTTGAAGAGGAGTTAGAATTCTTTGGTTTTGGGCCGAGTGAGTTCTATAAAGAGGTTTATGAGATGGTTTGTCGCGTGATAGAAAGGTCCTTGCCGGTTAGTAAAGGTATGGGTGGTCAGATAGATAGGGCAGAAGCATCTGTAGAACGAAATATGTTGATTTTTGAACGATTTACATTACGAAATATCTTTGGATTTCCCGAAGGGTTTATCTTAGAACGTCGACTAGTTGAGACTGAAGTTGCTACAGCTGAACAAGTAAAATCACGAGTTTTAGGTTTAGCAGCTCTACTAGCTGAATGGCGAGCGATTAAAGAGAGTTTAATGGGGAAGACTGTAGCTAAACAAGAGTTAAAACAAAGAGTGGCCGAAGTAGAACAACTACCCAGTACTGAAGAGATTATTACTGGACTAGAAGAAGTAAGAGTACTAGCTCAGAAGGCACGAGAGTTAAAGAGAAAAGGTGTAAGTAGTCTGAGTCGAAGTGCTCCAGAGAAACGACTTTTAGAAGAAGAGATCAGAAGAAGAGAGTGTGAGGATTTAGAGAGTAGAGTACCATTATCTATTCTAGGACAGTTGGATCGAGTACTAAGCAATAAATTGTAATCGAGTGCCATTAAATTGAGTTGGGTTTAGTTAGTATTGTGTTTTGATAAGATAAGATAAGATTTAGTTATGTTTTGATAAGATAAGATAAGATAAGATTTAGTCGTGTTTTGATAAGATAAGATAAGATAAGATTTAGTCGTGTTTTGATAAGTTAAGATAAGATTTAGTTGTGTTAAGATTAAGATTTAGTTGTGTTTTGATAAGATAAGATAAGATTTGGGTGTATTAAGTTAAGATAACCCAACTCAATACGTAATATAACATAACCCAATATAACATAAGCTAATAAGTTGATATGCCTTTATTACTCCTAGGAGGGCTAGTTTAATGAAGTCTTTGCAACCCCAAGTTAAAGCCAAAGCAAGTAAAGCCAGAAGAAGAGGGAAGAATTACTTAAACCTACTCATCAATAGAAGAAAGATCACTCTCATCCTCAGAAGAAAGAGAAAGATCTTCATTCTCTCCACCATCTTCCATAATCTCGCCATAAACCAAATTACTCTCAACCATCTTACTAGGTTTAATACCCATATCATCAGGTAAAGAGATAAGACTCTCTCCATTCTGACCAATCACCATAACATTATCCGCCCGAGTAATAAACATCCGACCGTTTAAGTCTTCCATATTAAGCATTAAAAACCCACTTACATGCGACTTAATCTCCCTAATAATACCCACACAACCCATATTCTTACCTCGGAAAGCATAGCCAGTCATACCTGTACCAAAGGAGTAAAACTCTTCCATCTCTTGCGTATCTAAATTAAACTTAATCGTATCTCCTATCTTAATGTCTGGATCGGCGTACTTAATAGTCCGACCATCTCCAGTATGAATAGTTAAAATACCTTTGTTCTCCATTCGCTTAGCAACGACTTTGCAGAGTTTAAACTTGGACTCTTCCTCTGTAATCTGCTTTAAACAGAACTTGCGCTTGACGTTATAGAGTAAGCGATAGTGAGATTTGATTTTTGGAATGCTTATTACATCCATAAAACCAGCTGGATATTTCTTATCTAATCTAGGCTTACCATCTACTTTGACCATTCTACTACGTAAGATATAATCAATTTCTTTGGTATTCTTAGCAAAGCTTAGTTTACGTCTGATAATTAAGCAGAGAGGAAGAGAAGCTGTTAATTGATGGGGTCCACAACGAGAACGGGGGGCAAATGCACCGCCTAATTTATCTAACATCCAAGATCTTGGGGCGTTAAGTCTTTTTAAGTGTTTACGGGGGCCTCTTACCATTGTCAAGGGTTAAAAAAATAAAAGATATGTCTGTGTTAGAAGATGACGTCATATCAAATTGAATATATAAAATAAGATTGGATTTAGTGGGGGTGGTATTAGTAGGGGTGGGGTCGTATTAGGGTAGTACTGAAGTGATTGTATGAAAAGCATTACAACTTAGTATAACCCAAACTATACTATACTATACTATACTTAACTTAACTTAACTTAACTTGATAATAGGCTATACTTATGGGTTAGTAGAGAATTCGAATGGTATTAGAGTTTACTGAATGCTTTGGGAATTACTAAGACTTGATTATAACGGCATCTTCTTACTTATCATCATGTACAAACAATAAATGTCTAGTGATGTTAACTTAGTACTTAACTTAGTACTATATTCAATACGATACTATACTTAACTTAGTACTATACTCAATCTTAACTTAACTCAATACTTAACTCAATCTTAACTTAACTAATACAATACTCAACTTAACTCAATCTTAACTTAACCCAATAGGTTGAATTTATTGGAGAGGTATGGAGTTGGGAGTATGGAACATGGTGTAGAAGCCAAATGTCAAACCGGATTGGGTAATAGTGAGATTGGGTTGACCAGTGGCTTGGGAAGTTATATTGGTGAGTTTGCTTGGATCAATGAGGTGCATGGGGAAGTGTCTGTCGCCAGTAAAAGAATCTTCAATAAGGGTGAGATAGATAGTGCATGGAAGAGTTTGGAGAGCTTCAGTATAGAGAGAAGAACCTCCAAAGATAATAGGACGAAGGTTTTGAGTAGTACAAAAGTCTAAGGCTGAGGTTAAATTAGGAACATAGTAAAGAGAAGGATAAGAACCGGAAGTTAACACACTGACTTGAGAAGTAAGTACAACCATAGTCCGGCCGGGTAAAGGCTTGCCAATTGAGTCGTAGGTGGCTCGGCCCATGATTAACCCAGTTGGTACTTGAGTGGTAAGTTGTTTGAGCCAATGAAAATCGGCTGATAAACGAGGCCAGGGGAGAGTGTTTTTGTGGCCAATTACTCCAGTCGGTCGTGAAATAGCAGCAATAAGTGCAACATCCAATGGTATAGTCATAAAAAAAGAGCCAACTATTGCTTAATATGACGGCGAACAATTGGTATTTGCCTTTATTTACAAAACAGAGTGCACGGGGATGAACAGGATCAAAAGCGAGATACATAAGTTGTTCAAAAAGAACTACTGCGTTGAGTGTGATGGTGACTCTTCTGGATCGGCTTTTATTGTGACTATTAAGGGGCCAGAAGGAACACCTTTTGCCGGTGGATTATTTCGAGTTCGCGTTTACTTACCACAGGAGTTTCCGTTTAAGTCACCATCAATTGGGTTCATAACTAGGGTGTTTCATCCGAACATTGATGAAACAAGTGGTTCGGTTTGTTTGGATGTTTTGAACCAAGTTTGGTCGCCTTTGTATGATGTGCTTAACATTATCGAAACGTTCTTGCCCCAGCTCCTTTCCTATCCCAATCCTGAGGATCCTTTGAATCCTGAGGCCGGTAAGTTGTACCTTAGTAGTCGTACGGCTTATGAAGAACGAGTGCAGGAGTATGTTCGGAAGTATGCAGAACCGGCCAAAAGTGAGGCGGAAGGGGACATGTACGAAGAAATTGTCTAAATATTATGGCTGGTTTGGTGTCGAAGGAGAGTATTGCCGGCGTATGGAGTGCATTAGAGTCGGTGGCTCAGGAAACTTTGGGGGTGGGAAGTTTAGTCTGCATAGAAACAGACACGCACAAGGTGGTTTGGGACAATGGGCCTTTAGTGCAGCGAAGTCGCGATGGCCAAAATGAATAAAGTCTTGGGATAGTTTGCAGCCGAATTAGTATTGTAGATTAGATTTAATGTGGTTTAGGTTTAGTATTGGGTTAGTATTGGGTGGGTGTTAGATAGAGTAGAGTAAGGTTTAGATAGAGTAGAGTAAGGTTTAGATAGAGTAGGGTATGGTTTAGATAGAGTAGAGTGGTAGTTATATAGAGTATAGTAGGGCAGAGTTTAGATGCTTAAATAGATACTAAATTGTGTGGGTGTTGGATTAGTGTTTATAAGTTATGTCTTTATATAGGTTGTGTATTTATCTAGGTTATATCTTTATATAAGATCTGGTGACATTAAGTGAGATTAGGTTAGGAGGGGGTGGAATGGAATGGAATTTGGCATATGATTAGGGAGATAAGCTATTTGGCGTTGATTTAGGTTGGTTTTGGGTATTTTGAATGAAAAATGACTATTACCATATATGGTAATTTTTGGTAGAACTGGCCAGTTAAATTGCCCGATTAGGAGTATTTGCTTGTAAAAGTTTTAGTGATATGATGAGTAGTTCAGATACTAAACCTCAACTGAAACTAAGCTGGTGCTATAAATATACTATTGCTACGGCGGCAAGCTTTATGTGTCTTCGCTATCAATTTGATGGGGTTTCACATGCTGCGCAGAACTATACACCGGGCAGGCCGATAGCTCGTGAGAAAACTTATATGCCATCAGAAATATCTAGTGTGCTGCTTTACTCGACTGCTTGGGCAAGTTTTGTTTTGGGTCTAACTTATGCTATGATCTTTGCTTGTAGTTCGTTGGTTTACTTGATCTGTAGTTCGGAGGCAAATATGAAGTTGGCTGAATATCCGAGGGACCTGATTATTTGTGCGAGTAGTGTGGCTGGTGTGGCTACTTTAGGGTTACTTGCTTTTGTTATTTGGCAGATGGTTAGGCTATCTAATGAATGGATGAAAACGAAGAGTGGACGACGAGAAATATATAGAAGGATATCCCAAGGTTTTTGCTGGTCGGCTTTGACTTTGGGATGGTGTATTCTGATTTGTGGAGGAATGTCCTTGGGTTGTTTTTTCCTGTTGCGCTCATCACATGTGCCCTTTACGGGTTTATCCCTGCTTCTGCTGGTTATCACTATTGTAGCAGTTATATTGGAGAATTCTTGGAAAGTAGCTGTAGGGGCAATTGCCTTGGTGGTAGCAATTGGCTCTGCCCTGCTTATAATTGAAGCTCTTAACCCTAACCTAATCAATCTGAAAGAGAACCTAGCTAGTGCTTGGGCGAGTGCGTGATAAGATTGTCTTGGTATTGTGTTAGTATTATGTTAAGCTATTGGGTTGGTGGTGTTTAAGATAGTCAAAAGATAGATTTAAAATGATGTTAGGTTGGTGCTCAGTTGGTGTTGGCTATGTAGGACTGCCAAGTAAATCGTAATTAAAGGGTGCATGCCCTGAATAAATAGATAGTATGCTTGTGTTGAATTGAGTTGGGTTGTGTTGTATTGGATTGAGCTAGATTGTATTATTGAGTGCAAAAGGTGGCATGTTCTTTGAGTTTGGCGATGAGGTACTGGGGGATGGGAATAGAAGAAATGACGTTCTCAATAGAGGCTTTCTTTTGACAATTGAGCATGGTTTTGATATCAAGGGCAAGAGATTCGTCACAGAAGTTGGAGATATTACGAAGTAATGAATGTTCTGGTGAACCATTTTGAATAGGAAGTAGCTCTTCTGTGGCGGGTATTTCATTGATAAAGACCCCAATTCTTTCAAGATTAGGCACACGTAGATGAGGTCGTTTTTTACTGCCGTTTTTGTAAACATGATAGATATTAAGTCCGTGTGGATCGCAATCAAAGAGTCCAAAAACTCGAGCTGAAGAGAGTAGCATTAAAAGCCGTAAAGTATTGCCACAGGGATATCCTTTGCCCGTTACTACTAGCAACTCTTTACCGGTGGCTGTCTCAATTAAGCTGACCGCTTGAATGATATTGTTAAAGATAGCTTCTTTCTCAACCACTAGCACTGTATTAGCTGAAGTGGCCACATACTCCACATTATCCATTCGTGGGATAATAGAAAGCCCAGAAAGAAACTGGGTTGAATCTGGCTTTTTAATCACACACTTCCCATAGACCAAACCTTTCAAAGAAGGTGCAATATTCAAATAAGTTAAATCAACTCCTAAACGTTCAGCTATTCTATCTAAAACTCGCCCAATAACTCGTGGCGTGCAAAAAAGGCTCTTGCCTCGATAGTAAATCTCGCGCGGTGTCACCGTACCCTCTTCAGTCAAGAGAATGTAATAAACGGCCAAAACGTACACGGCTTCCTGCAACTTCTTCGGTGTATCTAAAGCCGATTTAGTCTGGAAAACAATATCATCATAAACCTGGGCGGCCATGGGATAGTTCGGGTACATGCACATAAAGGCCTCTTTGCTCTTTATGATATGTGCCGCCTCCTTTTTAATCCATCGCATTCTTATCACAAGTCACTATAATTTAAAGCCAACTTAGTTTATTAGACTATTAAGTTCGTATTGTGTTCGTATTGTGTTCGTATTGCGTTCTTATTGTGCTGAGAGAGATAGAAGTTAAGAAAGATAGAAGTTGACTTAGTATTAGGTTAGTATTAGGTTGTAGTGCCCAATACTAACCCAACTAGTTGTCGTGTTACTGAGTGGCTACACGCTGTTGCCAACCAATACCAACCCAATACTAGCTTCTACCAAGACCTAATCAGGCCGAATGCTCGTAGGATTTATTGAATAAAGTATCAACGTGTTGAGTATGACGTGTACATCACCTAATTGGGTTAGTATCTTCTTAAACCAATTCCTTTCTCTATTTATAGTTTGGAGTTGTACTCTACCAATCTCTAACCCAGCCCACTACTAACCTAACCTAACCCAATCCACTACTAACCCAATACAAGCAAAGAATGGTGATGGATACTTTGAACACCACACTAATACATACTCTATTGAAGCTAGTCCTTGCCACGGGCAGTGCCTTTTATAAGCAACTATGGTGGAGTTGAAATAAGATGATGACGTCATCTTGGGTTAGTGGTATTATGAAGTAAGGTCGTGTGATAATACTGCAACTGTGTTGTGTTTTGAAGAAGTTGGTAGATGCTGTGTTTGGTTTGATGTAGATGTAGTTGAGATAGGTTATAATAAACGGCCATTGCGAGTTTAAATTACTACTTAGATAGTCTTGTTTTAAGTAAAACAAACTGAATTGAATTCCTACTAATTTTCTATTTGGTATGACTTTCATATGGTTTAAGATAATATTGGGTTGAGTTTTATTGAGTTGGGGTTCTAATATGTTATAATGTATTGGTTGAATGGTTAACTAGATAGGCATGGGCGGTTGATGGTCTTATTAGGTTGTGTTTGGCTGGTTGGGATTTAGGTTGGGATGGCGGCGGAATGGTGAAGTAATCATCTGAGATTGGGGTTGGGGTTAGACCGGCTCAATAGATGCTAGTGTCTCTTGACCAGTGCTGATATATTGAGGAGAGTTCTTGGTTCGGATGGATATCTAATTCACGTATATCCTCTGGCAACAAAACAGTGATTGTTTGGGATTTGCTGGGATTCATATACTAGAATGTGTCAGGTAATCTATCATATAGATCTTTAGACAGTCTGATAAATGGTATAGATATTACAGAATTATGGGCGGTTGATAATCTATTATCGAAAGTCTAGGCTTATTTGGATATAGTTGGGTTGAGTAGATACTTGGAAAAGTTACAGACTAAGATGGTAAACTTACTTTACAGCGAGCTTTACCATCTTAGTCTGTAACTTTTGAGCTGAAATCAGCGATAGCTAGCTTGTCTAGATATCCTATTTTTTATTTCAAAGAGATATGATAGCCTTATCTATGTACATGAATAGTGTGCCTGGTGCTTACGTTCAGACGAATTCAAGATGTATATTGACATACATTGGTGTTATTACAGCTGCTCTAAGTATTCAACTTTTTACATTGGCTTGTTTTATATCTGGTGTTGTTACATCCAAGGCTAAGTGCTTCAAAGTATTGAAGTATTGGATTTTGGTCGGTTTATGCTTATTGTTAGTGAGACAGAGCCGGGCTAGTGATTCGAGTGAAATAGATGATTTGAGTGGGGATAGTGCGGGTACTGGGTGGACTTATTCAAGTGCAGACTCTGAGTCTTATAAGTCAACTTGCGAAGAATCAGATAAGATGATTGCTCTTCTGAAATCATTTGGATTTAGCTTTAATAACTCCGTCGCGCGGGTTATACCTTATAAAACTAGTAACTCACAGAAGTTGTCCGCCGATGCCGAGATAATACCAGCGCCAGATCCATCTTCCGTTTTATCAAATGTTCCCATCTATATAGTCGATTCTGTGCACGGTATACTTAGGTTTGAAATGCCTAACAATTCAACCGAAGAAGAGTGTCAAACCATTTTAAATAGCCTAAGACAGATTGCGTTTATTAGGGCATCGGCGATTGCTGTTGTCTATAAACCAGAAGATATGTCCCAACATCAAAAGAAACTAGAAATTCTATCTCGAGTTGTCAATATGGTAGAGTGTAATACGCTAGAAATCAGCATAGGTGACAACATAATAAATTCGAGCCTATTCAGCCAGATAGACCTGGATGCCTGCTGGGAAGAAGCACATAATACATTTGTTTATGCTAATTACGAACTGCCATGCTGCATTAACTTCTCAGCTATAATGAATAATAGTATTGCGAATTTGGTAGATAGTGGCGTTGCCCTGCTGCGGCCTCTCAGACAAGCTTCTCTGTGCTGCCGCGAATTTCCAAATGCCCATCTTCTTAATCTGCTGCCTCTGATAAATGAATATAGGCTCATCTTTAAAATCGAAACTGATGATGTTAGCATTGACATGAAAACCCTCCTCTCAAAGCCGCCCCAATGCAGCAATATTACCATTATAGGCGCAGACAGCGCCAAGTTAAGCCTAACCGGGATGGAAAATGCTATTGCTAACTACGAAAAGATAAGTCTATGTATCCCATGGAAAATCCTTCAATCACTGATCCAATCCAATAATTCGCTAATCCATGTTTATAGCATTGTAGGTCTTAATATTGATCCGGAAACCATCACCAAAAACATTATGGTTGGCAACACCCATCTACCTTTGAAACCGCGGGTCTTTGCGAGACAAATCCCTATTAGAATAGCCAAATCACTACCATGCAACGCCCAAGAATACTACAAAATGATCTATACCCAAGACGCCTTTAATAGTCATGGTATTTCAGTTGACGAGATCCATATTTATTATGATATTGATCGGCATGATATGCATTCGACCCTATCTATGCTTAACAAGATTGATGCGATATCAGAAATTCCAAAAGACGTTTCCAATTTCAGCGTTAAGTGCACTGGCATGAAGTTAAGCAATCCCAAATGGCAACTTCAAGAGGCAGTAAGCATTCAACTAAACAATCCTAAAATACCACCTGAGCTCACAAACTACCGAACCCAAGGCCATACGTTCTTCTGCCAAAATATACACTACAACGAAATCCATATCAAAGGGGGCCACGGACCATGGCGACTTCTCTACAACCGCTGCATCCATTTTCTAGATCTATTCCAGAGCATTAAAGCCCGAATGCTTAAGATCTCGGATCTCCGCATGCAAAAGGACTCCAAGACTATCTTTACTATAGATGTTCTACTAAGAAAGCTCAAGAAGAAACGCACAAAGAATCTCAACATACACATGCTAATCCTAGACAATGTCGATGTGTCTATTATATACAGAATGCTAGCCCGCTATAATTTAGTTCACCTAGTAGACATGCGTATCCTAAACCAAAACTTCAACGATCTTGGTATTGCTCAAACTCTCTCTCTTCCCACAAGCGGCCAAATCAAAAGTCTCATGGTCAACGATTTCCTTAGTCTAAACGAGGTTGCGCATTATAAAAACCAAGAATCGGTCGAAGGCTTCTTACTATTCCGATACGTTGAAGCAATCAAGCAAGCAAATCTAACGCCCAAAGATTGTGGTCTACACAGGTTAGTTCTGGAACCAACCAACATTAATCATAGCGCCTACAAGAACGTTTTATCCGAGTTCTGGAGATTTGGCATTCAGATCAGATCTATTTCCTTTAAAGAGTACCTCAACCTAATATCAAGCAACAAGCAATACAGCCAGACATGTCAACAAGAATTGGGCCTATGGTGCAGTAGTTTAACAGCCATAAGATCGGACCTTTCTAACTACCAAGCCAAAAACCCAACCAGCTTTAATCCAACTCAACCTCCCCGGCTAGTAATCCCAAGGAAACTCGTCAAGCACTTACTCATCAACTTCGAAGACGAAGAAATATTAACAGAAGCAAGCCTAATAGCCATTCTCCGCTGGATATCTTACCGATTTAAAGAGGTCATCACGATACAACTAGACAATCTATTTGTCAGCGAAAGTGTCAGAAGAGACCTAGTCACTCGCAATTATTGGGTTGTGTTTCTAAATAAGCTCCACACTATCCAAATCCGCAACACAACAATTGGTTTCAGTACTTCAAGTATTTCAATCCCAGAGGAGACCAAACAAATCACCATACTAGCCCAATCGTACCAAGATAATTTACTCGTCCACCATCCCAACTCCACCGCCGAGTTCATCGTCATACCATCCAACAAACTCTTCCAACTTATTACCCAGCAAACCCCACTAGATGATCTCATTCCCAAACATCTTCTCCCCAAGGAACCTATCCAAATGATCAAAGCCAACATCAAACGTCTCGACGCCAAGCAATCCTGTTCAGTCTGTCTTGTCTACCTCAATAGATCAGGCAGCAGCCAAGGAGACAGACCACCATCCAAGAGATTCTTCCAACCCAACCCAATACTAACCACCACCACATCTTTCTATTTCAAATGCGGCCACACAACATGTCTCGCCTGTGCAATTACAATCTTAGCCAGTAAACACCAAAAATGTCCAACTTGCGACCGATCATCCGAATGTAAAGCCCTATACCAACTAATCAGCTATCCCCCATCTAACTTTATCTTTACCGAAGGGTATGCCAACAACCCCACCGCCATCACCAGCTGGCTCAACGACCAAGCCTGGAACGACGGCCAAGTCTATTTCCACATCGCCTACAAAAACATCCACAAACTCTCACTCGACCTCGGCCGAAAGCCCTCCCATCTCATCCACATAATCTAATCTAATCTAATCAACACTAACACAACCCAAACTCAATAACATAAAGATGAGCCAAAACAGCTTTATTACACATAATCACTACCAAACCACTCCAAGTTAGACTAATTTTACACTAGACAACTTTGACGTAATACAACCCAGTAGAGTTTATAGAGATCTTCCTCACCACTTAAACTCACCTGAACTAAACTTACTATCACCACCTAAACCAAACTCAATCCAACTCAACTCAACTCAATCCAACTCAACTCAATACTAAACTAAACTCAATCCAACTCAACTCAATACTTAACTCATTTTAGGCTGACAAACCCTTTTCAAGTATTCATACTTCGTCTGAGTATCTCCACTAGTCTTCTCCAACTCACGAATCTTCTTTAAAGAACTCAAATACTGCTTCTCCCTCTCTAAAGCCCGAACTTCTTTCTCTTCCGCCTCTTTAACTCTAATCTCATACTTTTCCATCCACCGATTGATCTGTTCAATATAGTACTCTTCTAATTCATAGATATTAACAGATCTTTCTGAAAGTTTCCCAATTTCAATAATATGATCCATAATTAAAGAAACAGTTCCAATTCTTTCTATTTTCTCATCTAAACTATCTAAAGCTTCAATTAACATTGTTTCCAGCTGATCCATAATAAAATTTAAAAGATACCTTCAATTTAACAACAAGAACTTAATATCTAATGTTGGTGAGTGTTTATTAGATAAAAATCAAACACTCACACATAATGTACGTTGCCATTAACACTCTAATTAGATAACCAAAGAGTAACACGGGCAACAAGGGGTATAAAATTAAAATTCTTATATCTCTAGCTAATATTCATGGCTAAACAACGTAACTGTTCATGGCGAAGAGAGATAAAGAAGACAAAAACAGAAGATTCAGTTGAAGATCGGAAAAGAAGAGAAATGATTAAGAAATCACGTTTAGCCGATACATGGGAGAAGAAAGCAGAGCTACTGAATAAACGGAAAGAGATGCGAGCTCAAATCAAAGAAAGAGTTGCTGAGAGTGAAAGAGAGTTAGCTGAGAGTAGAAGAGCAAGAATGGCACTTAAGAAGAAAAACAAGCATAAGAATTGAGTTAGTTTGAGTTAGTTTAGTTTGAGTTAGTTTGAGTTGAATTAAAATAAGTATGACGTATTATTTCCTTTTATGGTAATTTAGAAGGTGTTTAGTATCCGACTAATTTGAGTTTGAGTTGGAGTGCAGTTAGATTATTGCCAAGACAAATAAAGCATTGCATTAAGTTAAGATTGAGTCAAGTTTAGATTGAGTTAGATGATAAGATGAGGTACTAAGTTGATATTGTGTTAGGATTAGGTTAGTAAATCAACTAAACTAAACTAAACTCAACCTAAACCCAACTCAATACCAAACTAAACTTAACTCAATACTAAACTAACCCAATGAAACTGTTATATGTGAACTATTTATTGGATTGGGATTAGATCTGGGTAGGTGGGATAATACTGACTTGGCGGTTCAGTAGTGAGAGATTGATGGTGGCGAGTTGGTGAGTTTCCATACTGGTGGAATGTGCGATGGCTTGTAGGTAGTACTTTTCGGCTAGACCTAGGAGTTTGTACTGATGGTAGGCTCGGCCTAAGTTGTAGTAGAGAAGGGCTAGTTTTTCGGTGGTATCACTTTCCGTGTAAAGGAAATTAGGAGTTGAAGTTTGCTGGAACTGGTAGAGAATAGAAGGAGTAGAATTAGAATGGGGAAGAATAGTGATTTGTGGTGACTGAATTGGCGTAGTAGGTGGATAATGGGTAAGAAGATAATCAAGATGGGATTTAAGTAAATGAATGCCTTTTTTGATATAACGGTTGCGATCAATGACTTTACGACTAGAAGCATGAGTAAGGAAAAGAGAAGCAAAAGTAATGGCTCTAGTAATACCAAGAAGAGACGTATCTATTTCTGGAAGACGTGAAGTATGCATAAGCTTTTCAAGTCTTTCCATAGTATCAGTATAGATAAAACTTGGAGTATAGGACAGACCAAGTAAAGTAAGAGTATAAGGTTTGTTACAGCCTGGTCGTAGAAGGCGACGACGTAGTGCTCGTTGGAAGTTCTTTTGAACCATAAAGAAGTGCTTACTCTTAAAGTAGAGAGGAATCTGAGTCAATAAGAAGTACCCCAGATAACAAAAGGACGAAAAATCAATAGACGATCGACGTGAATAGAAAACAGTCAGCTGATTAATAGCATACCCTAAAGAAGCAATATCCTGTGACTGAATAGCAATTTTAATCATCAGCCATAACAAGTCAGCATAACCAGCTAAAGATGTCCGTAAGACCGAAGAAGAAAGGGCTTTTTTAAGCAGTAATAGTGAAACAACTGGTGACTTTTCATAATAAAGAGAGATAACGTACTTTTTAAGCAACTCAATCCATTCTTCCAAAGAAAGACCACCTAAAAGAGAAGCAAGGATATCAAAATAGATCTTTTGTGATTTACTAAGATCTTTAGCTTCTTCTTTATCATAACAAACCTGGCCTAAACCGTTAATTTCCTGGAGTAGAGCATAATCCGATTCAAACTCTTTAGTTGCTAAGAGTTGACCACCCGGTAAAATCTCCTTATCAGCTGAATTACGCTTTTTCTTCTTCTTCTTCTTAAGATAGAAACAGATAAAGTTGTTCTTAAGAAAGAGATGAATTAACTCACGAGAAGAGGCTAGAAAGTAAGCTCGATCGGCCTTTTCCGGCTGCATCATTTCCGAACGACAAATATGTTGGACCTTATAAAGCAAAGAACGAGCTCGAGTACAATCAGCTGCACTATGAAAGAAAAGTGAGCCGCGTTGAATCGTCTCTTCAAACTGATACTCACTAGCTTTTATCTGTAAAGCATACTCTAACGCCAAATCAATATTACCGGCTTTTTCATAGATCTGAGATATCTTCATTTTCGTCTCTTCAAAGATGTTTTGAGCTACACCTTCTAAGACTTCTTTATACTGTAGAATGTTCTTATACTGTAAAATACACTTGTCATACTCCTTAACTCGTTCATAAATCACAGCTAGTCGTTGCTTAATACGTAAACGTTCAGTTACAATCGGTTTATGCACTTGTAAAGTCTCAGGTTCATCTGGAAGTTCTAAGGGAAAGACTTCATCAGCCTTAGCATCCACTAGTTGTAACAACCGTAAGACCAAAGCATATTTCTTCAATCGCAAGAGTACGTCCATAAAATGTCCAGTTAGAACCAAGTGCAAAGGATCGGCTAGTAATTCAATGTCCGGCACAGCATTAATCATAATAGACTCTTTGCCATTAACCAGTAAAGTATGATTAGCCTCATCAATAATCAAATTATCCTTACACGTACACCAATGTCCACTACTACGACAAACAAAGCACTTACTAGTCATTTCGGCAATCAAACCGGCAAAGAACAAAATCACCCGACTTCGCCAACATTCCGGGACTCGTTGTAAATAAACCAAAGAATCCTGAATAGTAGATAGTTCTTTATACTTCTCCTCTACAAACAACAAATCAATAAACCCAATCAAGAACTCATCCGGAGCCAAAAGAATCTTCTTCTCCTTACTTAGTTCACGACTTATTCGTTCAATAATCCGGCTTTTGTTCTTCAATGATCGAGCATTCACTAGTAAATCTACTACTAAGTCAGTGGCAAATCCTAAGTAAGGCAAAAGATCGGCCCGAATTTCAAAAACTTTCTCTTTCTGGCCCAAAGATTGATAAACTTGCAACATCTCTTCTAAAACAGATAAACTCGGTTTTATCTTTCTAATCCGCTTCAAAATGTACACTTGAAATTCTTTATCTTCAACTGCTTTCTTTTGCTGGTACAACTTCTCCCAGAGTAGTAAATCACTCTTCTTAATACTAGCAGCAATCAAAAAGGCATTAAAAGCCTTATCTTCAGCATCCATTTCCTCATAAATCACTCCTAGTAAATAATAGGCACTATCAGACGTACTGTGATAACTAAGTGCTTCTTTAATCTTATCAATAGATAAGTTTAGTTGGCCTTGAACATACAATTTGTTGGCTTCTCCTAAGATCTCTTCAGCCCGTTGTTTACCCGTTTCTTTACCCTTTCTCAATCGCTTTTTCATAACCCGTACGGACTCTTCCTTCTCTTTGCGAATGTATTCTTCAATTCCCATCATATCATTAACAGCCGGCGTTTTGGCCAACCAAGCCAAATAGTCCATATTGCCATATTAGGCAAATTTTTTGCTAATAGCCATGACTACGTCACCATCTCAGTTGTTTGTTTTCGATATTAACGGTACTTTACTAAGTAGGGTTAAAAAACAAAAGCATCGGTTTTTAACAAACAAAGCCCCAGATTTCATTTTGCCTTCATGTTCAGATCTTATTTATTTTCGGCCTTATCTATCGGAATTAGTATCTTTCTTGCACAGCCAGCAGATCAAGTACGTTCTTTGGACGACAGCAATGGAACATAATGCTGTGCATTTAGTAAACGGATTAATAGGTCAAGGATTAGACCAGGCAATAGAACATCTTTACTTTTCTACGGCTAAACCAATTCCAGGCCATCCGTACAAGCGATACAAAGATATGCAAATTATATCTGATAAGCACCAAGTCCCAATTGAACGTATCTTTTTAGTGGATGATGAAGTTGAGAAGTGTGTGCCTAAATCTTGCCATTTACCTATTGCTGAGTACGATCCATTGAATGCTGAAGATAGGGCCATATTAGATATAATTGATCAGATCAAAAACATTATTAATCAAAACTCTGATACCATTGAGAGTAAGAAAAGTTGCGCATAAGAGCAGTAGATCTAAACACAGACTAATAAGATAAAATAAATGGACTTATTTAGACACAAACCATACTTGTTTCGTTCTTATCTGCAGTACTTACTAGTTGCCAGTCGCACTAGTACTAATACAGCACTACTATCTTACTATCTTACTTCATTACTTCATTACTTCATAATACCATTAACCCAATACGTCATCATCTTATTTCAACTTTACCATAGTTACTTAATAAAAAGGCGCTACTCGTTACAAGGACTAGCTTCAATAGAGTATGTATTAGTTAAGATATGGTGGGTTTGGTTGGTTTGGTTTGGGTTGAGTTAAGTTGAGTTGGGTTGGTATTAGGCACTGCAACCTAACACAACCTAACACAACACTAATACTAACTGGAGACTCGTAGAATTTATTGAATAAAGTATCAGTGTTGGCTATGACGTATACAACACCCAATTGGGTTAGTATCTTCTTAAACTAATTCCTTTCTGGATTTATAGTCTGGAGTTGTACTCTACAAATCTCTAACTCAATACTAACTCAATGGAATTGCTGATGAATAATAAAGATGCACTAACTTGTGCTTATCCCTCGTGAAACATACTACAATACAACTAACTCACTACTAACTCAATACAAGCAAAGAATAGTAGTGAATACTCTGAATACTACACCCCAACTTAACTTAACTTAACTTAATCTAACACAAGTATCTATTTATTCGCAAAAGCTTCAAGTTAAGTTAGCTTGATCAATAACTAAACTCAACTCAACTCAATCCACCTTATCACATGATTTATCACATGATAATACTTAGGCAACTGCAATCAAGACTTTTCATTTCACTGGGACTAATCGACTCCTGCGGCTTCTTCTGGTACTTCTTAAAGACCAAATCAACTGCCGCAACAATCTTCTCCTGTTCATAAATACCTCCATAAAGATCATTAGCTATCTCCTCTAAATCTTTCCTTTCAATCGCCCCAGCTGAAATAATCTCAGCCAAAAACACACTCTTCTCCTGATTACTACTCCGATTACTAAAGATCCCTAATACCCGTAAAAACCCCCGAAAATCCAAAGTTCCTTCTACCGAACATATCTTCCTAATTACTCGCTCTCCCAATGGATTAATGCTTATCTCTGGAATACATAAAAGCTGTTCTAAGTAAATACGACCAATTTCATCCTTATCTAAGTCCCTAAACCGACTATACAGCTTCTTAATCTCAGTATCTGAAAACCGACAACCCGCCTCTCTAATACTACCGATATCTTCTTTAGTTAAACCACTGAATACCGATCCCATTTAATATTTAAAATTTGGCCGGGGCATGTTATTATCTCTAGCAGGTGGTGCTGACAAATATGCTTATCAAGTGCTAAAATTAGATAATGGTATTAGAGTTTTGTTATCTCGATCTGAAAATGCCGATAAGGCTGCGGTTTCATTAAGTGTAAAAGCAGGAGGATTTTCTAATCCAGAATCTCTACCAGGATTAGCTCATTTCTTGGAACATATGTTGTTTATGGGTACTGAGACTCATCCACACGAGAACTACTATATGGACTATATTCACAGTCATAATGGCAGTTCTAATGCTTATACAGATAGTGAAGTCACTAATTACTATTTTGATATTGATGCTGGCTATCTTAAAGAGGCTATTCATATCTTTAGTGGATTCTTTAGATGTCCTTTGATCTTAGCTAGTGCCTTGGAACGAGAAGTGCATGCGGTTGATAATGAACATTCCAATAATATTCTTTCAGAATCTTGGCGTCGTGGTCATCTGCGTACACTTCTATCTGTACCGGATACACCTCTAGCTAAGTTTCAAACTGGGAATTTAGGAACACTTTCAGGGGCTACTCAGGCGGACTTGTTTGCTTTCTGGCGAGCGGCCTACCATCCTGAACGAATGTGTTTAGTTGTGCATGGTCGTGAAACTCTAGAGGAATTAGAGATGTATGCCCGGACTAACTTTACTGATATTACTGCTGCTCCAGTTGATCCAGATTATCCTGCTTTATTCCTTCCGCCTATTTCCGGAGCTACTGAAGGTATACCTTACCTTCCCTGGCGGTCGGAAGTACTAGGTAAGGTAGTGAAGTACCGACCGGCGATTAAAATGAACTCTGATCAAAGTACACTCTCTATGATGATTGTCTTACCCGAGTCCATTACGAAGTACCGTAAGAAAACCATTGAGTATTTAGCTATGCTTATTGAAGGAACAGGGACTAGTAGTTTTGCCGCTGTCTTATTACTGAGTGGTTTAGCCACTAATGTAGGTACTGATATTAATTACAATACAATCAATACGTCTTTGAACATTCGCGTTGATTTAACTCATGATCAGCCCGAACAAATTAGAGCTATTATGACCCTTCTAGCCCAGTACTTAGAAATGATTGCCAACAATCATTCGACTGAGATTTACAATATGCTAGCTGGGATTGCTAAGTTAGAGTTTGACCACCAGGAATCAGAAGCCCCTATTACTCATGCTGAAGAGGCCGCCTATGCCATGCAGTACTATCCGACAGAAGAGTTTGCTAAGCACGCGGCTATTTGGGAAGGTTTAGATGAAGAGGATTTCAACCGGACGATCCAACTGGCTCAAGATCAGTCGCAATGGCTACTTCTCTACCGGACTAGTGATATTTCCCAGGCTGAAAGTATTATAGTTGATCAAATCTACGGCATCAACTATTCTATTGAAGATATTCCCTCAGTAGATGCCGAGTTACAAGAAAGTCTGCTTAGTCGCTTGGAATGGTCATTACCTCTAGCAGAAACAGTAGATATTGAAGCGGCCCGACAAGCCGTCCAGCCAGTTCAATTGGGACATTTACCCGTTAATATCCAAACTCTACCTGCGCCTGAGAAAGTCACTATTGTATCTGTTGAAGAGGACGGGTACACAGCCCATTTTATCCAACACCCAGAGTACAGCAGTATTAAAGAGGCCCATGTTTATCTGGCCTTCTACACGCAAGCCCATCTTGTCTCAGCTAAAACCTATACGGCCTTCATCGGACATCTTAAAGCTACCAAGCAAATCTTCATTACCAAGTACCGTATTCAACTCCAAGCCTCCCTGGGTAAACTTAGTATTACCGAGGACAAAGGGTTTATTCGTATGGTTTTTACAGGTATTCCCGGCTTATTAGAAGACTTAGTCCATAAGTTCTTAGCCGAGTATACTCAGCCCAATCCTACTCTCTTCAATCTAGCCAAAGAATCAGCTATTGCCTACTTCCAAACTCAAATTGGCCAATGTCCCTATAAACACGTTATTGCCGGCCTAGCTAAATCACGAGGTTATCCCGTCTTCTCACCAACCGAATGTCTTAACCATGCCCAATCCCTACAACTCAAAGATATCTTTACTATCTCCACTGCATCTATTAAAATGCTAGTTACCGGTAATATTTCCCAACCTGAATTCCACCGCCTAGTCCAAAGTATTACCACCTACATCACTCCAAGTATTCAAACTTTCCAGCCCACTCCACCCGAATCAGATGTTTTCATTCCCATTGAAGACCCACTTAATCGTGTCGTATCAGTCGCCCATCAAGTCAACAGCAGTTCAGCCGATGCCTTCAAGAATATAGCTCTAGCCATTCTCATAACTCAAATCCGATCGGAAACCTTCTTTGACCAAGTCCGAACTCAAGATAAGTTTGGATACATTGTTAGTATGATGAGTCATACTCTTTTCCAAACTCCCTATATCCTCTGTACGGTCCAAAGCACCAAACCCTACCCAACAATCAAGGAAAGAATCGACCGGTTCATCAGTGAAACACTCCAAGCCATCCAAAACCTATCCCCAGAAAACTACCAAATGCACCGAACAAGTGCCATTGCTTCAGTCACCGAAGAACCACTCAATCTCGCCCAGTATACCGAAGAAATATTCCATTTCTGGACAGTCATTAATTTCGACCCCAACTACAAGACCCATCTTTCCCAACTAATCAGCACTATTTCTCAAGAAGACCTACTCGCCTACTGCACTCAATTCACTCCCACCACCACCATCCATATCAGTAATTCCCTCAGCAACCCCCATCCCCCTACTTCTTCCCTTTCCACCTCCTAAACCACTTCCACCTCCTAATCAACCACTACCCAGGCAATAAATCGCCCTTGACTTAAGTTTACATTACATTATATTACGTCATAGTTACTTTACATCATAGTTACACTTACATTATGGTTACATCTACACTTACTTTACATTATAGTTACATTACATTACGTCATAGTTACATTATAGTTATCTATACATTATGGTTACATTACATTACGTCATAGTTACATTACATCATAGTTACACCTACCCATACACCTACACATACACCTACCCATACATCTAAATATACATCTAAATCTACTTTACTCCAATACTAACCCCAATCAATCAACCCCTATCTTTATTAACTTAGTACCACCCCAACCAAACTAATCCAATCCAAACCCCACTTAACACAACCCCACTCTAATCTAAACTTAACTCCACCCCACTCTAATCTAATCTAAACTAAACCCAATCTAAGACTATTTTTGCTCTTTTTCTTTTTTCAAGCAGGGATGTTAAACAATCAAGTAGAGTATTATGACGTAGACGGTAAAACAGTTTACAAAAAGTCCGAATTACCAGGCGTTTTTAGCACTGCAATTAGAAGTGAACTAGTTAGTATTGTCCAAGACCGAATAAGACGTAATAGTAGACAGCCTTATGCTGTTGATCCTTTAGCCGGTATGAGACACTCAGCTCACTCCTGGGGAACAGGAAGGGCACTAGCCCGAGTACCTAGAGTCTCTGGTGGAGGTACTCAAAGAGCCGGACAGGGAGCTTTTGCTAACTTTTGTCGTAAAGGTCGGATGGCCAGTCCTACTAATGTGCGTAGAAGATGGAATCGTAAGACTAACTTAACCTTAAGAAGACATGTAGCTGCTATGGCTGTAGCTGCCACTGCTTCTTCTGCCTTAGTTGAGAGTAGAGGCCATTTAATCTCTTCATTAAAACAAGTACCTTTAGTTGTATCTAATGAAGTAGAGTCATTAAAGAAGACTAAAGAGGCTGTGCAAGTCTTAGGTAACTTTGGACTGACTGAAGAGGTAGCTAGAGTTAAGGAGAGTAAGTCTTTAAGAAGGGGACAAGGTAAGGCTAGGAATAGAAGGTGGGTTATGCGTAGGGGTCTTTTATTGGTTTATCTTAATGATTGTGGGTTAGTTAGGGCTTTTAGGAATATTCCTGGGGTTGATTTGATGCAAGTTGATTCTTTGGACTTACAGAAGTTAGCTCCTGGTGGTCATTTAGGTCGGTTGGTTATGTGGACTGAATCGGCTTTTGAAAGATTACGGGACTTATTTGGTAGTGCTGAGGAAGGGTCTAAGACGAAGGGTGGATATAATTTACCGACTAGTAAGTTGAGTTGTCCGGATTATCGGGAGTTATTGAAGAGTAAGGAGGTACAAGCCCTCTTTGACCGGCGCCCAGAGATCAAATTAGGTCGAACTAAGGCTGAACCCAGTCAGGTAGCTGCTATCAATCCGTACTTAGGCCTGTTTGCCGAAGTGCAGTAAGAATAAAGAGTTCTTATTATCTGGTTTATTTATCTCAATATTATCATATTATGACTTGTTTTGATCTTATCTTATTATGACTTGTTTTAATCTTATCTTAACTTATTATGACGTAATCTTATCTTATTATGACTTATTTTAATCTTAACTCAACTTAATCTTATCTTTATATCTTATTATGACGTAATCATATCTTTATATCTTAATATTAACTCAACCCAATACTTAACTCAACTCAATCTAACCCAATACTTAACCTAACCCAACTTAACTCAATACGTAACCCAACTCAAACTCAACCCAACTTAACCTAACCCAACTCAATACTCAAACTCAATCTAACTGAATAGGAAGTAGAAGTAGAAGTAGAAGTAGAGATAGGAGGTGTTTTATTTATTTATGGGGGAGAGAAGACATACTAAAGTAACTCTTGTAAAAGTTCCACGGGTTTTGGCCGAATGTTTAGAAAGATATGAATCGGGTACGGAAGTTGGGGCAATTGAAGAGACGGCGAATGGAGTGGTATTTCGTGTTTGTGCAGGGATTGGGCCTAGTGGATTGCCAAGAGAATGGCATATGGATACAAGAGTAAGACAACCGGGTATGTTTACTTTCGTACAAAGATCACAAAGTGCTACTATTGATGGTATTGTGGCTGAAGAAGCTACTATTAGACCGGAAATTACTCCTGAGTACTTGAGGTATAAGAAAGAACGAGCTAAAGCATTAGAAGTCCGACGGGAAGTTAAAGCAGTTGATAGTTTAAGAGAAGGAATTAGAATGGAGAAGTATGGTGCTTCAGAGTACGACTTGATGGCTCGTAGAAGGAAGAAGATGCTTTTGGATAAGAAGCGAGAAAGACTGGCTAAGACTGAAGTTATGGATATTATGTTCCGAGCTTTTGAAGAGTATCCCTACTGGTCACTAAAAGACTTGGCCGACCGATCGGGACAGCCACAGGCTTATATTCAAGAGATTCTGCCGGAAATTGCTGTTATGAACAAGAAGACTCATAAGAACATGTACGAACTCAAGCCGGAATACAAAAACAACTAAGTTAAGTTTGGTTTGGGTTTGGTGTTGAGTTAGGTTGAGGATGCACTTAATAAAGCTGGTTTAGGTTGTCTCTTTATGTAATGCTGTTATATGACTACTACCCAATTCTAATATTAATCCTAACTTAATATGACGTCATCTTATTTCAACTCTACCATATTTATCTAATAAATGAAACTACTCGTTACAAGGAATATCTTTAATAGAATATGTATTAGTTGAGTATTGTGTTGGTATTAGATTGGTATTAGATTAGTATTAGACACTAAGCTTTAACTAGACTTTAACTAGACTTTATTATGACTATCTTTAGATCTTAATTGGGCTGAGTTGAGATGCACTAAACTGAAACTTGTGCTTATATTAACCTAGACCTGATCATAAATGGCTGCTAACTTCATGTGTTTTGGCCTTTGGGTCTAATATAACTTAAGACTTTGCCCTCTTAGACTTAAATGGTGAGGAAGTGAGGGTTGTCATTATAGATCCTTCCTTGAGATATGTGCTGTCTTTTATTAAGCAAATAAGGTTGGGTTGGAATAAGATGACGTCATATTAAGTTAGGATTAGTATTAGGATTAGTATTAGTGTTAGTAAGTAGTGAGTGGCTTACCAGCAACTAAGTTGATCGTATTGGTATTGTGGTGGTATTGTGGTAGTGGTCGTATGACAACAGTACAATAGGGGAATGCTTAAATGTCGGAGGAGATTCCGGCTTACCTCTTGCCATCGGTAGTATGGGTATGGGCCCTTGCCTTGCAGTATAGGACGGAATAGACACTCATGGTAAAGTGGGTGGCAGCAGATGGGGTGGCAAAGCGTTATGAAATTACCGGCGGAACTGACCATGGGTGGAAGGGGATTAGATGTTGTTCGTTTCTTATTGTTGGTTTTGCGTGGTGCGAAGTCTTCTGTGGCCGATAGATGGAAGACGGTTTGATTAGAAGCTGAACATATGGATGCATCCAATTACTTCTAGTGCTATCTTCTATTTGAATGTACTTGAGGAATGTCGTACTATAGAAGGCATGGTAGAGTGAGGAAATTTGAGCTCGTGTCCTTTCAGAGACCTTAAGATCGACTAGTCTTAGCCGGATTAAAGCCTTAAATTGGGATTCTGCCCAGCGGACAATGGTTATTAAGTCGCTTTCAATTATGAGTGGTTTGTCTGTAAAGCGTAAAATCAACGTCTTAACGGGGCAGTGTTTGGTTTGGGATAGTAGGAAATGGCCACATGGGTTGCTGTTGTGAATATGTTGTGTAATAAAAGCATCTCTTAAGTCTGATAAAGTTACGTTATAAATAGTTATCTCGGATGTATCTCTCACTGTGAGTTGATTAAAGTTAGCTGGATCGTTGGCTATATAGTCTTTGAATTCGATAGCTAGAAATTGAATGCCATGCTCCTTAAACTTGCGTAAGGTTTCACTATACATATTACAATCAATATTATTCAGCGGCACAAACAGTTTGCGTAAGTTATAGGTTTTGATGGGATGGGCTTGTAGCTTTTCTTGTTCTAGGTCTTCCAACGGGGGAACGTCCTCGAATGTCCCGTCTGAGATGGAGGCGAGGTCATTAGCTAATCTAAAGAAGTCATTGAAAACAAGTGTAGTGATATCCTGGGCCTTTGGAAGAAAAAGGACTTGGATGATAGTCAAATCGCGGAAGTTTTGGTTCTGAATCTGTATTTCTATGGGGTTATTAAAGTTATAGTGACCCAACATCCAGTAGATAACACGTTCGTTGACATTATCAAGCACCAAGATATCTGCACGTAGAGTCCACTTATCCATTCTGGAAGCTTTGGTTTTGAAAACACCTATGTCAAAGTTAACGAGCATCTTGTTTTGACTAGGGATATTCGAAATAGTAAGTTTGTCGACAGTAAGGTTTCGAAATAAGATAAGAAGATCAATACATTTTTGGCCCAAACCGATGATTGGTTCTATAGACCCATTGATTGTGAGGCTGGTGTAATGTATGTTCTGGCAGAAGTGCTGACAGTGGGTATATTTGTACTCGTTTAGAAAAGTGTCTAACATATCGTGGGTAAGTTGAATAGTTACTGCCTCCTTAAGTTTCCAGTTGGGGATGCTAAGTGACTCGCCAAGACAGGTAACCTCTTTGTTTTCAACACGGTGCGGCACCTCTAGTAATGCCCCGAGAGACAGAAGTGTTTTTAGAGTGTGGTGCAGATCCCCGCGGCCTTCCATGTAGCTTATCTCTACTTCTTTTACTGAAAAGCCATGCATGGCATAGACGCCGGGAGTGTAGATCTTCTTGTACACAGACAAAGGACCACATGCCATGCTGTGAGCGATTTTGGAAACTATCTTAGTGCCAAACATCCATGGTTTCCTAGGGCCACCACCCGACTGCTTTATAGATGCCGGCCGAAGCGAACACGAGGAAATAACCGGGCCCAAAATAGTATGAACTCGAATTTGGAACCTTTTGTGCTTACGCAGATGCTTAAACCAGGTCCAATCTATTTCCAGCACTATCGTTGGGTGATTGGCAATAGCATCATCAAGCCCGGAAAGTATACTCTGGGGATTGGATCGGCCCTTAATAGTGATTTTGTTGCATTTAGGGGGCGGATTTGGTAGACACTCGCAGTTAATATTATATATAGTATGCCAAGTCCAGACAGTGATATTATAGCCATCAGATAAGGGTAATTTACCAACCAAGAACAAGTTTTGGCATTCACTACCGACCAAACAAACCGCTTTAATTGGACGTAATAAGACAAATCCACTATTCAACACCGCCCAAAGACCAGTTTGTGTCTGAGACGAGCAAACAAGCTGACACTCCCTTGTATAATCAGCATGATCATACGTATTCTGTGCTTCCTCTTGAAAGAGATTACAAAGCGCCGGGTTGGTCCGTTCATCATCACTTTGTCTAATCTGCGACTTAATCTTTAAAACCTCGCAGTCAAAGAGATTGACAACTCGAGACATAATCTGCAGATTCTCTTGATGACAGAGCGGATTATCCTGTATACAATCAATAAAAGCCTGTTTGACCCGAATTACAGCAATCTTTCTTATCTCACTCAAAACCTTTCTGGCTGCATCTACATTTGGATACCTGCCTAGGGTAAACCTGATATACTCAGAGCTCCCACCAAAGTAGTGTGCCACCACATTAGGAATATTAGGTGGTGAGCTCGACTGACTTAGGACTACATTCGGATTTGTTTCATAAACTGGGCCTAGGGTTTGCTTAGGAATGTATGGTGTAAGCCGAAAGACTGGCCACGTAAGGTCAAAGCGAAAGCCCAATGACATCAGATTATGAATAAAGTCAGTCGACTTTGCTACGTCTATTAGCTCTTGTTCCGCATCTGGACTGTCTTGTTGGCCACTTTTATTAATATCAGTCGATCCACAGACATAATTCAACAACAATATTCCAATAGATACGATCCTAACTACCATCCAAAGACCATACCTTGCTTTAAAAGGCCAGGCCCTACCCATAAGCACAACTTCGACTACTATACGATAAGACATAGTCCTAAAAACCATATTATTTTTATCTAAATGAATATCGATATATTCACAACACAACTTCTCAAACCCAAATACTAACTCAAAACTACTAAATAAAATGGGAACCAGCACACCCATCAAATCTATCTTATAATTATGCCATATCCAGCCATATGTCCAGTTTCTTTTGATATCACTAAGATTATATACAAACCAAGATATGCCATTTATTTTGAATAAAAGCCTTCGACTTGCATCTACATCTACACTTACATAGATCTAATACTAACTCAAACCATTAGTAACACAACCTAAACCAAACCAACTCAATTGGTAATATAACTTGCGATAAGATAAAACTAGTCAATGTATTTGTGTAAGTCTAGTAATTTAGAAGAGTAGTGACTTGTTTAGTTTGTTCATATATACCCATTGCTTTTAACTTTAGATTGAAATCTTATCTAGCAGATATTATTGGATTAGAACAAAAAGGGGTTATTTTGGTATTTAGAAATATTTTGGTCTCCCCACTAAATAATAACATATAATACCCAATGCAATCAAAATAACTGATTGAGATAAGAAAGAAAGATTTTGCAAGTAAGAGCTGAGTAAATATCCCAAAAAGGAAATCTAAAAAAATTGAATGACGCAAGACAGAAAACCACGCCAAAACGGAAACAAATGTGCTGAATGTGGCCGAGATTTATCAAAAGGAAAGAAACGGAGATATTTTTTGATGGCCGTTCTTTTGATTATTTTTGGCATTGTTTTGAAGAAGATCTACGAACGAAAGTTTCCAAAAACAATCGCTATCGGACTAATGGATGACTTTCTAAAACTAAGTGCGATTTCTAACTTGAATTTAAGCAAGAGTACCAAGGCCAAATTATTATACTTAGCTGAGATAGCAGCCAGTTCAGAACAACGAGTTGATGAGGAACTTCCAGGCATGATTGCAGCCAAAAACGGCCAAAAGAGAAAACATCCCGTCACTATTATTCCTGGGATTGCCAATAGCAACTTAGAACTTTGGAAGACAAGTAAAGAGAGTAACTCCTTTTTCAGGAAGAAGATCTGGGGTTCACACTCGACTTTAACCTTTATGTTACACAATCGGTCCGAATGGTTCAACAGCATGCGTTTAGATGAAGAGACTGGAATGGATCCGGATGGAATTAAAGTGCGAGCTACACCAGGGCTGGAATCTTCTGATTTTTCGATTCCCGGCCTCTGGTTTTGGTGGAAGATAGTGGAAAACTTATCGCATATAGAGTATGACGTCTCGGCTGTTCATTTTGCTGCCTTTGACTGGCGATTGGGAATGGATGAGCTAGAAGAGAGAGATAGTTACTTTACGCGATTAAAGGTAGATATTGAGCACCAATTTATAATCAGTAAGGAGAAGAGTTTAATTGTAGCGCATAGTTTAGGGTCCTTAGTCTTCCACTATTTCATGCAGTGGGTAACGGAAAAGGATAAGACTTGGGTAGATCGGTATATTCATGCTATTGCCTATATTGGCCCACCCTTACTAGGTGCTCCTAAGGCCGCTTGTTGTCTTCTGACTGGCGATGCTTTAGATACAGCTGAGATGGGTGTTGTGCAGTATAGTATTGCTGAGCTATTATTTGGCCGGGCGCAGCGTAAAGAACTATTTAAGACTTGGGGATCCGCTCTAAGTTTACTTCCAAAAGGAGGCGAAGAGTTCTGGGAAGGCGACCAGCCAGTTGATGGTTCTTCGCAATCTACTATTATTTCAACTATTGAACAAGATCCAGCCCATAAGGAAAAACTACCTCTTCCCCAAGCTTTTGAACTGATCAAAGAAACTCTTGGCACACACAATCAGAAATACCTTGAGCGAATTATTAATCCAACCTGCAGCCAAGATACGTGGATAAATCCTCTTCTTTCACCTCTTCCCCACGCGCCTAATTTACGGATTTATTCATTGTACGGGATAGGCAAGCCAACTGAACGAGCTTATATCCTGGAAAAGACCCAGTCCGCTCCTCTTCTTCTTCATCGAACCCAGTCCTGTGAGAAACAAAGAATCTATCGCGGAATCTGCACTGTTGATGGTGATGGCACTGTTCCTCTGCTTTCAGCCGGGTACATGGGCTATGCCGGCTGGAAGTCCAATAAGCTCAATCCTTCCCGGATCAAAACCATCAACAAGGAGTATACCCATACTCCAGCCACAGCTATTCTAGAAGTCCGAGGTGGTCCCAAAACAGCCCAGCACGTCAATATTCTAGGCAATCACGAGCTTATCTCCGATCTGCTTCTCTTAGCCTCCGGAGGCACAATTGAGGAAAGAATAGTTTCTGACCTCCCAACTATCACCAACCGACTATCTGAAAGACAAGCCCAAAAGTAACTCCACAACAACTCAGTTAAATTTAGACAGAAGACTCTATTCAAATGTAATAAACACATCAGATTTATCAAATAATCCAAATAGTCAGATCTATACTCAATCGAATTGAATTGAGTGGAGTGGAGTTGAGTTATGTTATGTTTAGATTAAGTTAAGTTGAATTGAGTGGAGTGGAGTGGAGTGGAGTTATGTTGAGTGGAATTAAGTTGAGATGGATTAAATTAAGTCACTATTTGATCTTAAAACCTATCATATCTTAACTCAACCCAATACTAACCCAATCTTGTTTTTAATTTTCAATGGGTGAAAGTGAGATTCGTAATGTTTGGAAACACAATTTAGAAGAAGAAATTAATGCTTTATCCAATGCTTTGAAGACTTATACTTACGTGTCTATGGATACTGAATTTCCTGGGGTTATAGCTAAGCCAGTTGGATCCTTTTCCTGTACTTCTCTTTATACTTATAACCAGTTGCGATGTAATATAAGTCTTTTGGGTTTGATTCAACTAGGTGTATCATTATCAGATGAAAAGGGCGACCGACCAACTCCATCTACTTGGCAGTTTAACTTCTACTTCAACCGTGATCAGAACATGTCTGCTCAGGAATCAATGCATATTCTGGAACAGGCTGAGATTGATTTTGATAAGCTTAAAAAAGATGGTATTCCTATTGAAGTCTTTGCTGACTTCTTTACTACTTCAGGACTTCTAATGAACGCTGATTTAACTTGGATTTCTTTCCATTCTTCTTATGATTTTGGTTATCTTATCAGTGCTATTTCCGGCAAGGACTTACCCAATACCCCCGATGAGTTCTTTAGTCTACTAGTTAAGATCTTCCCTAGTTTCTATGATATCAAGTACCTCATTAATGCTTTAGGTATCAAGGGTGGACTACAAGATCTGGCCGCTGATCTTAAGATAGAAAGAACGGGAGTGCAACACCAGGCTGGAAGTGATGCCCTACTTACACTGCAGGTCTTCCATGCCTTCAAGAAACAAATAGCCCCCGATGTAGAGAGCAATCAAAAGTACCGCTGCCGCTTATTTGGCATTGAAGCTAACTAACTAACGCAAGACTTTATTAGAAACAGCACCAGGCATTAGGTACTTCACTAATCCGACGCGTGTACTCCGTTTGGTTCATAACTGACTGAAAGAGAAAGTCCACCCCCTCTCCTGTTTTAGCCGAGCCACACATATGCACGGCCTGGTACTCTTTAAACTGAGCTGTGGCTGTTTCCGAGAGAGACCTTAAAGTCTCCTTAACTGAGCCAAGTTCCGGCTGGTTCATAAAGGCCGGGGCATCGTAGTTCTTCAACATTAGATCTACTTTGTTCCCAAATACGAATAAAAGTCCCTTCTTATTGGCAGCTCTTACTGTACTGCACCATTTACGTGCAGCAGATACACTTTCTAAATCAGTTACATCATAAACTACAATTACAGCATGGGCATCACGATAGTACATAGGAGCAATTGCCCCATACCTTTCCTGACCGGCTGTATCCCAAATATCAACTGAAATGCATTCACCATTTCGTTCTATTTTCTTTGATTGATAAGCTGCCCCAATTGTAGCAGGATGGTTGGGATCAAAGCTCCCAGTCAGGAACTTTTTAGTGACACTACTTTTACCCGATCCGCAAGCACCTAGAATAGCTACTTTCGCTCTACAGTCCATAGTTATATTTACTTCTCTCTATTTATTAAGTATTTGTTGTGGAAGTATGCTAGCCAAAAGTGCCCTGGAAAAAATCACAAGAGCAGAAGGCTTGCCCATGGAGATTCTCGTTACGGGTGCCCCGAATTCTTTCCATGAATCTTCTTACCATTTGGATGTGGTTGATGCCGAAGAAGGCGAACCCTTTACTTTGGAAACTTTCAAAAGATCCGTGATAGAGGCTTTAAAGGCCGGTCATGACTATATCTTAGCCAAAGTAACAACATCAGATCCTAACAATGCAACATCTCTTTACAACTACTACTACTCGGCCTTTGAGATTAACAAGATTCTCTTTAAGTACGAGTCCGATCGGCACTTGCTGCACCGTATGAAGGTCCGTAATCCCATGAACAACATGTTTATTATGGGTCAAGTTTATTACTACCGCATTGCTTATGAGTCATTAGAGTCGGCCTTACAGGAGTACGACCATCCTTCTGAAAAGAGCATTAAGGGTCGTACTAAGGCCTTTTCGGCCCTTCCTTATCAGGTAGATAGTTCGTATGTGGATACACTAGAGAAAAAGTCTCGGGAACAAGAATTACGTACAGTATCTCGTGATTTGTTTAAGCCGACGGTTTTGAATGCACCCTCGGTAGTTACGGCCGATAAGAAGTTGAAAGTACGTGCGACCTACTTTGCTAATGATGGAGACTTTCTGGTGCGTTCGCAAGTAAGGGAGTACTTCAAGCAGAATGCGGTTAATCAAGATGATTACTTTATCTTTGAGTTGGAAAGGACGCAGAACGACTTCTTGGCTTTGTTGGAGTCTCCGGATGGCAGTGATGCGGGTGGTGAGGCTGAAACGTGGAAAAGAGCTTTGATGGCCCATTTGAGCTTTATTCTAGTGATTATGTGTTTATTGCTATTCCTAGGGAGTGCACCTATGGTCTTCTTTATTGTCTTTCCCTTGGCTGTCTTTTTCCTGCTTTCAATGGCTTTCTCACTCCTCTATATCTTTTGCTGTCGCCGGCGCACCTTTGGGAGTCTTAATGTTGAGGACGTGGAAGATGTCTAGCAGCTGTATAGATGTTGAAGATGTATATATCTGTAATAATATAAATTGGGTTGATTTAGGTTGTGTTAGTATTGTGTTAGTATTGAATTGAGTTAGTTTTGGGTTATATTAGTATTGGGTTGAGTTATATTGGGTTGAGTTATATTGAATTGAGTTATATTGAATTGGGTTATATTGAATTAGGTTGTATTGAATTAAGCTTTGTTAATCTATGTAATTTGTGTGTAGATTAGATTGTGCTGCCATAATATTTGGGTTGGGTTGCTTGCTATGATTTGACATTTGACTGGCCTGTGGCTAGTGTTGTGTTGTGTTGGGTTATGGAGCATTGGATGGGTTGGAATGGTGTATGTGTTTGTAGTGGTGTGTGTGTGTTTGGGATGACGTGTATGTTTGGGGCTTAGTGTGCAGTCTAATTCGAGAGGCGGATTTAGGGGTAATTATGAAGATAGAATAAGGTGTGCTAATGCTTTGCTGGATTTGTCTAGTGATACTTATAAGTTGGTCAGTCTGTTTGGATTAGGAGTATTTAGATTAAATTGTTGTTTTTAAGTAAAGATGAGCTCTGCAGGAATGCCTTCTGGAATTTGGGAGGAATTACAGTCGGAGGGGCCGGAATTGTTTATGTACTGGCTTTGTCTCTTCGGTCTAATCTATGTGAGCATCTTTCTAGCCCATAGATACGTTCTTTTTTCGATTGACCAAATCGGGAAAAAACTTAATCTAGATAGTATTGGAGCTAAGTCTTTTCTGTTTTCTCTGGGGTTACTGAACGTTCCTTTGGCCTTGGTCATGTGGGATCGCAATGTAACGGAGCCTATTGATTATGAGGTTGTTGGTTCGGTATCGATTGCTGGACTGAGTGTTTTGGCTGGGTTTACTATTGTCATGAACGTGAATAAGGAAAGGGTGGGAATGGACTTGATGCGGCACCATATTCTGTTTTTGGTCCTTTCAGTTATAGTCTTTCCTATTATAGAGTATACAGTGGCCTTTTCGCGTTTACTTGGCCTGGGAATGATTGCTGTCTATGCTATGTATGTATACATGCTCTTAGATAAAGGTATGGGCAGTGCGACTGTGTTGAATAGTAGCTCGTTAGAGGAGGAGTTAGATCCGAGTAATTGGCTGCTAAAACTAGTTGACCAGCTAATGTTTGCTACTTGGATGCCTGAGGACCCTTCGGTTTTATCTATTATTCTATCGCCGGTGGCTTTAGTAGCTGGAGTCGGACTGGCAATCGGGCAAGTATCGCTCAAAATGGTAATTGCTGGCTCTTTAGCAGCAGGCGCTATTATTCTGCTTATTGGGCCGGGCGCTAAGAAGGGTAGTAACATTCGCTATATCTATGCCTATGTGTGCCAGGCCATTTGGCTGAATATTGTTGGGATGGCTTTGTTTGAAATGCTCTTGGGCTGGCTGAATGATAAGGCTGTGACTCAGTCCAATGTGCTCACAAGCACTCTTTACGCTTGGAAGTACTGCTACCCGTCTGCGCTGGTAATTATGGCGGCTTTGGCCAGAGGACAGTATCGCTTGGCCTTGAGTTTTTCTTTAGCCATTCCCATTCATAACTCATTGTGTAATTATGGCTTGGTTCTGTTGGTTAAAGCCCCGCAGGTTTTCAAACACAGCATAGCCAACATCTATACAACGGTCTTCTTTATTACTGAGATTGTCTTGCTCTTTATGAACACGGAAATTAGATCTGGGTTCTTTGAAAAGGAGGTTGGCGTGCTCTTGGGAATCTTATACTTCATGTATTTGATCTGTCTCTTCTTTAGCCCAATTGAGTTTGACTTCTCTAAAACTAAGCCTGTTTTCAAGAAGGGCCGCTAAGTGAACAATAAAGTATATAGTGGTGTTTGGCTCGTCCCCCACAAGTAAGTAACTAGATAATTGGTTTAAATAATATCTAAGACTAATCTGGCAACCTAATTTGAGCTTTTATTGGGAAATAGGAAAGATTAGAGCGTAGGATCAATAAACTCAATGTTAATAGTAATGGGAGTTGGATGGTACAGCTTGGCTTTAGCATAGTCAGTTGGCTTGATAGGTTCAGTGGTGACTAGCTGCTTTGGAAGGCGATTAGGGCCTAGGTGGATAACTAAATGGCGTCCATGACGGTTGGCGGCCTTTGAGTAGCAAATGTTGATAAATGGGGCTGGAATGAGATGCTTGTTGATGGATTTAGATACCTCTGCTAGACCGTTGCTTTGGCAGTACTTGATGTTGGGGTGCATTCTTAATTGCAGCTTGTGGACTGGCTTTTGCTCATGACTTTGGATAAGCATAGGAAGGTCTTTTGGCCTAAGACGCTTGATTTGGTTAAGGACTTGCAGAGTTACATCGGTGATAATCAGAAGGGTGACATTATAGAAAAGACTAGCCGAGCCATCTTTTTTGATTAGATGGACAAGAACGGCATAGGTCAGTCTAAGTTGCTTAATTGTTCCGATCTTAGCTCCAGTCAGGATAAAGGAGGGAAGTAAGCCCGGTGAGATTTGAAGGTTTAGTAGCTGCAAGTGGTCTATCTGTGGTCGATGAAAGCGGCTGAAGTCCAGTAGAGCTAGTTTCTTTGGATTGATAATTGTTATCTCTTTGGCTAAACAACTCCAGCTTATACAAGGAAATAGCAGATTGATGTCACTAGAGATATGCGAGTCAATAATAATGAGCTTCTCCAGCTGTCCAATCGAAAAGACAGCAAAGAGAGCGTAGATATATTTTAGGCGGCAGTTTGAAATCATAAGACCCCGAATTTGGAGAGGAATCCGTTTTTCTAACGGCCAGAAGAGCATCTTAGATTCGTGGGTTTTTGTTTGGCAATCCATGACAATCCGGTCCAAGTGCAGAAGATCTGCATTGATTTTCGCCAGTATAACAATGAGCAACTCCTTTTCCAATGGTAGCAGGCATTTGTTCTCGCCCTCCACGCGGATCTCTTTAATGTAAAGCATCTGGATGCGCAGAAAGAGTCGGCTAAAGTAGGCAAGATCTTGCAAGCGGGGTTTTAGGTTCATAGTGTTTGCACCGAGCCAATAGGGCTGGATATGGTCCGGTGGGGTTGGTGTTGCTATTGGACGAATGCCCTGCGGATCGGATGCACTACGTTTGACTCTTCGTTGGGCGACTGTCAGTGGACGAATATTACGATTTGTTTTGGGCCTTACTATCGGCCTAAATTGAGTCGGCTGGGTCGGTACTGGAGGGTATAGTGGCTTATTAATGGGTAAAGTCTTCAGAGCAGAGTCAGAGTCCATGCTAAATGAGTCGCGTTTAGATGCCAAAGACTCATCTGAAAGAAAATAGTCCGGGACATGTGATTGTGGCTTAGTTGATCTAGTATTGGGCTTATCTCGGAAGTACATCTCTGAACTGGATATATCATCATCGGATGAGACTAATTGAAAAGGGGCGGTGGGTTTTTGTCGTCGATGCCTGGGCGGAGGAGTAAAGCAGGCCGCCCAAACAGTACAAGTGTAAACTAGGATAAATATTCGCTTGAAAAGAAGGTTCGCTATGTTGCTGGTCATCTTGCTATTTGCAAGATAAGGAATAGTACTATTATAAACTGATTTTAGTTATCAAAATAAAAAGTCGTGATTACTATAATTCGGAAGATAAGAGAGAGGCGGCTGCTTTTCTAATCATAATATTGATAAGATCCTTGTAATGACTCTTATAAGCGAGGGTTTTAAGTGTAAATGCATTGTCCGGAATAGTATCTAGATCAACTGCAGTCGGCGGGAACAAGTATTGGGGCTGTTTAGGTGGAGTGTACTGCTCGTGTATCTCTGGAGTTGTCTCTTCCGTCTTCCGTCTTTTGACTGACTCGGTGGCTGGTTTAAAGGAAGCAATACCCAGCTGTTCTTTGATTTCTTGCAGGCGATTAGTAATCTCGCGTGGTCCATTTAGAACCATAAGTTCTTCAACAATGTCTTCTATCTTCTCTAAATGTTCATTGTAATCCTCTTCATCTGAGAAGTCATCTAATGTTCGGCCTAAATGTGAACTAACAATCTTTCTAACACGACACTCTCTTTCAACGCTGACATCTTCAAAGGTCTGGCTGGTATAGTTTGATCTTCTTAAAGTCACTCCACACTCTGGACACTTGTTTGGGCCACTAGCAAAGAGCCGAGAAACACACATTTCACAAAGACTATGATAGCAGGGACTAACAAAGATCTTTAAACCTGGATTTATGTAAGAGTTACTCTTACATTGGGGACACGAGACTTCTGAACTCTTCATCCTGCAATTTTTGAACAAGAAGCTTTTCTTACTATCTCCGGCTATCTCTATCATATTTGGACTCTTCTCCTGAGTTTACTATTTGGTAAATTCCTGTGTGACTTATCAATAGTTGGTTTCTCTTTTTAACAAAGCAGTTTTAGGAAGGTTTAGTTGTTATTAAATTGATCTATGGTTATATTGTTTATTGATTGACTAGCTCATTGTTCAACTTGGGCTAGTATCTTTTATCTATGGTGCTAACTAGTAGGTGAAGTGGATTTAGGAGTAGCAGTACGGCCTAGACGTGAGTAGGCGTTAGCTAAGGTCAAGTAGAGAATGTGCAGGCCTAGGGCAACTAGTACTGATGATATCCATTCCACTAAAGAAAGCCGGAATGTTGGAGACAAGTAAGTATTGAACTCGCCAACTAGAACTGTTTGAATTAGTCCAGCAATAGCAATTGCTATCCAAGTATACTTGTTGGCTAAACAGCACCGTCTAATCTCAGCTACTGAAAACTTCAGTGAATTAGTGGATATCAGTCCAAAGATCTGCACAAAACCAAAAGTATTGAAGCAAAACGTACTCTTACCCGTTAAGAAGTAAAGAATCAAGACCAAAACCGCTTGTAGACTAAACCAAGCTCCAATATAAATCAGCATGTTCTTAGTAATCAGCCGCTGCTCCAATGACTCAGGCGGTCGTTGCAAACAATCCCTAGTTGGCTTATTAAGCGATAAAACAACCGCCGCAATACTATCACCAATAACATTCAGCCAAAGCAGCCGCCCAGTACTAAGTCCTAAGAAATCAGTACCACTAGCTATCTCTACAACAGAAAAAACAACTACTACTAAAGTCAAGGCCAACTGAAACTGACAAAACTTCCGGACGTTATCATTAACACAACGCCCCCAAGCAATTCCATTCACTAAGGAAGCAAAGTTACCATCTAAAAGAATAACATCAGAAGCCCGCTTAGCAATCCCAGTCCCATTCCCCATAGCAAAACCAATATCCGCTCGTTTTAATGCTGGCGCGTCATTAGAACCATCACCAGTAACGGCCACTACTTCACCTTTACTTTGCAGAATCCGAATTAAGCGCAACTTATCTTCCGGTGTAAACCGATAAAGAATCTTCACCCGTGCAATAACTCGAGCAATCTCTTCCTCTTCTAATCCCCGGAAAGATTCACCCGCCATAAAAACATCATCCGGCTCTACCATCCCCGCCTTCTCTCCAATTGCCTTAGCCGTAACCAGTCCATCCCCAGTTACCATCTTCAATTGAATCCCGGCCGTCTGGCACGCCTCAATACACGACTTGATATTAGGTCGTAATTCGTCCACAATAGCAAAAAGAGCAACAAAGATAAGATTGTCCTGATTATCTAACTCCGGATCAGAACTCTCACTATAAGCCAAAGCAATAAACCGACACTCACCCTTAACTTGGTCCTTAATCCATTCCATTTCCTCCGCCAATAAAGGCACTACCTTTCCCTGTCCATTCAATTGAGCCGAGCATCTAGCCAGAACTATTTCCGGTGCACCTTTAAAGAAGACTCTATCACTCCCACTGCTTTTACCACTATTTTCATTCTGAGTAGTATCTTCACTCTGAATGGTATCTTCATCTGGAGTAGTAGTACTTAATCCTAATTGTTTCCGCACTTCTTTGACTTCACTCCCAGCCACATACGTACTCATGTACTTACGCGTCGAACAAAAAGGTCGCCCTTCTCGTTCCTGAGTATGTACATCCAGTAATGGCTTAACTTCCTGCAGAGCTTTCAAGAGAGCTACTTCCGTAGTTGATCCATTTATACCCGTCGCACTAATAAAAGCCCGACTGTTAAACAATACACCTAAGAATATCTCTTCTAAAACTACTCCAGGAACTTCCTTCATCTTAGGATAGACTACTCCGTGGCAATAAACCTCTCTTACTTCCATTATACCTTTGGTCAATGTTCCCGTCTTATCCATACATATTACACTTGTACTGTTCATAATCTCACACTTAGCCATACTTCTGACTAAGGCCTTATTCTGGTACATATGCACAGAAGCAACTACCAAAGATAAACTAACAGCAATAGGCAATCCTTCCGGAATAGCTACTGCTGCCAAAGATACCGCTTCAAATAAACAGCCTAGTACACCTTTTTCACTCCCATAAAGATACCACCGGCCTAAATGTCCTAAAAAGACCAGTACTGCCACTCCCGTCCCAATTAAAGCCAGAATACTCACTAGCCGGTCCAGTTTTACCTGTAATGGCGTTCTACTCTTACTGTCCTTTTCCTGTAACATACTAGCCAGTCTACCTCGAAATGACTCCTTCCCTACTCCCACTACCAAACCCACTCCACTTCCAGCCACTACAGCACTTCCAGATACTAAGAATAAATCACCATCTTCCGCCCGTTTAGCCACTCTTTCACTCTCCCCGGTTAAAACCGATTCATCACACCATAAGTCCTGTCCTGAAACCAGCATTAAATCAGCCGGTACAATATCACCTACTTCCACCCAAACTCGATCACCAACCACTAAACTCCGACTCCCAACCATCTCTCTCTTCCCATCACGCACTCGTTTACTACTTATCTCCGCCACACTCCTCTCCAAACCAGCCACCGATCTTTGCTTCCGCACTTCATTAACCGTCCCCAAACCAATCATAGCCACGACCGCCACCAAAATACTTATCCCATCTATGTACCCATGCTTCCCCTGAGTCAGATACTCATATATACCCCCAACAATACTTAACAAAGCCAATACACTCAAATAAATCAAAGTCTTATCTTGACTTTGTTCTTTTAAAATCACCCACCAACTTGTTTTATCTTCATCGCTGCTGACGTCATTAATACCAAAGATTATATCTCTATCACTCATACTTAAAAGCATCTCCTCAATCTTTAAAACTCCACCCATATCTTTAACTTTGTCTATGTTTCTTTCCTTTACTATCTCAGTCACTATTTGCTTAAGATTATCAACTAAATCCGGTCTAACTACCCTATTGCTCATATTTTTTTAATACCCCCGTTAACTATGTCATTAAGAGAGATTCGTAAATGTGCTTTTACTAAACGACCAATTAGTCCACAAGATAAGTCCAGTGTAGTTTATACTATTGGAGAGTTAGATGCAAATGGCCGTTATACTGGTAAAGATAAGATTGTCTCAGTCTGTGGAGCAGTGCGTAAAGATGGTCATGCTGATATGTTACTATATACGGCAGCTAAAGAGGAGCAATAAATTGGGTTAGTTCGATGTGTTTGTTTTTATGAGTGTAATCTGTGTTGGTAATTGGAAGATGAATGGTAGTTTAAGTTTAGTGGAGGAGATAGGTTTAGGTTTGAATGGAGAGAAGTTTAAAGGGGTGGAAGTGATTGTGGCTCCGCCTTATACGTTATTAGGTCGGATGCGGGAAGTTTTGGGTCGTGAGTATCAAGTGGGTAGTCAGGGTGTTTGTGGGCTGGCGGCGGCTGGGGCTTATACGGGTGGTATTGGAGTGGATTTGTTAGTGGATGTAGGAGTAGAATGGGTGATTGTTGGGCATTCTGAGCGGAAGTTGCACTTTAAGGAAGAGGAAGGAGAGAGTTTGGCGGGAGTACGGATGGGATTACGTCATGGTTTGGGAGTGATTTACTGTTTGGGAGAGACGGAGGAGGAACGAGCGAGTGGTCGGGCCTTGGAGGTTTTACGGGCGAAACTGAATGGACTGGAGGAAGTACTGGTTAATGAGGGATTGATTGATTCGGTTGGGTTAGAAGTACGGTTGTATGTGGCTTATGAACCTATTTGGGCGATTGGAACGGGGAAGGTGCCTAGTAAGGAAGAGATTAGTGAGGTAGTTGAGTTAATTAGAGGGTTTGGCCGGGGGAAGTTTAAGACGGTTCTTTATGGGGGTTCGGTCGGACTTAAGAACATTAAGGATTTATTGAGTATTCAAGGCTTAAATGGGTTCTTGATTGGAGGAGCATCTTTATCTTTGGATTTTATTGAGATGGCTAAACTATGCAGTCAAGTTGATTTAAAGCAAGATTGAATGATTAGTTATTAGGAATAAGTAGTAGTTTCTTAAAATAAACTGAAAGTGATTCATTTGCAATTTAAGTTTGGTTTGAGTTTAGTTTAAATTTAGATTGAGTTTAGATTAAGTTTAAGTTTTAACTAAGTTGGCATTTAGATAAGATCAAGTTAGTATTTAGATAAGGCTAGATAAGATCAAGTTGGCATTTAGATAAGATTAAGATAAGATCAAGTTGGTATTTAGATAAGATTATGTTTAAATTAAGTTAGTATTTAGATAAGATTAAGATTAGATCAAGTTGGTATTTAGATTATGGTAGATTAGATCAAGTTAGTATTTAGATTAGACTAAATTAGATCAAGTTAGTATTTAGATAAGAGTAAGATAAGATTAAGTTGAAAAGTAGAAAGAGATATGGAATAGGGTGGTATTTATTGAGTGAAGTGGGGTAGGGTGGGGTTGCCGCGATAAATGATGGTGCCTCGGGGTGCTTGCTTAGTAAGGTCTTGGGTAAATATGTATTGGGTCTTTGCTTGGCTCTCGGTGTTTATTGTAGTAAGGTAGAGATCGGGTAGTTGGACGTCTGAGGCTGAGAAGAAATGGTTATTTCTTTGGTTTAGTAGGTCTCTAATTAACTGGTCTTTGCATTCTAAGGAGACTATGGCACCAGTAATAGTGATGTTGGTGATAGTTGGGTATAACTTGAAAATGAATTGGATAATGGATAGAATTAGATGATTTGTGTTATAGTAGGTTATGTTGATTAATCGGAAAGTGATGTCGGTTAGATGATGGTACTGAGTAGGAGTACTGTCTGTAGGGATGGTTCTCTTAATGTAATTGAGCATATAGTCCAGATAGTTGATAGCGGTTTGGCAGTCTTGGGAAGAGGAAACTAAAACACTCCGAAAGCAGAACATGCGATTAATGTGGGGGGCAAGATGGCGAGTAGATTCATCATCAGGCATGGATTCGGCAATCAATTCCGGGTGTGGGAATGGGTGGTAGGCCCAGAGTGAAAGGTTAACGAACTCCTGGAGTGTGTAGCTAATATTGTAGGGTTGATGGTGGGGAGATGAAATAAGCCAGGCTGAGAGTTGTTGTATGTAATCGTGGATGTCAGGAAGCCTTGGATAGGGATACATTAATATAAAGCGGATAGATGAGGAGTTAAAGATGATGTTCAATTGTTTGGGGCGGGTGATAAGCTCTAGCATCTTCTTGACATCGGAATCTTGCCGGACGTCATAAAGATAAATACAGAGCGGGTTGGATGTAGCAATAGCATCGAGGAATGTGCTGATAAACGCTGAACCGCAGCAATAGACTGATAGTTGGCCAAATATGCATATGGCAGCAAGTGATGTGGTTCGGGAATAAGAGAGATCTTGTGCTTGGTGGAATCCTACCAAGGAGAGTTCAATATCCGGTTTAATGCCATAGATAGCATTGAGGAGCCAAATGATTAGTTCAATTGGGAATGAACGGCCTTGAAAGTTGAAGTGGGGACGGTAAGTAATCCGGGCATGTTGGTATGGCATCTGTAGAACCAAAGAGATTAAGATTGACCAAGCATTGGGGTCAAAAGAAGGAATGTTAGTATGGGAAATAAAGTCTGCTGGGACAGCTGGTGGAAAGCTCTGCGGGGATAGATGTTGGTGTTGTGATAAATAAAGGTGGGTGTGCTTAGGGGGAATAGTTATCATATTCAACCAGCCAATACCCAAAACAAGCTCAAGGCCTTTTTGGTCAGATAGATAGGTCAAAAAACAAGAGGCCACCAGGGGACGTCCCGTGATAATCTCAGAGATCAATAAACGAACAGCCTCCAATTGAGTGCCAAATACATTAGTCCGAAATTCTATTCTTGCCAATCTAGTTTCTTCTGGATCGGCATAGGCATATGAATGGATGACTATGAAGCGGCCTGGCCTTATGAAGTCGTATAGCAAACGGGCGAGCTCAATTGATACGAAGGTTTTGGCGTAAACAGTCACTGTGGTATGGGCAAAACTCTTTGAAGGCCGGCCTGCTTCCTGGCTTGCCTTGGAATAAGCATTAAACTGTATATCAACATTCGTCTTGTAATACGGAGGCCACGGCGCCTTGGGCAGTTCGTACAATAAAATCTCGTTAGTATCTAGTAACCGAATCAGGGTAAAAAACAAAGCATATGGTTCCACCGACCTTTTCTCTATTAAGTTGCGAATGACTAGTTTGCCGAGACGAATTGAAGCTATAGACTTTGTTAGGGTATTGCGCCATTCTCTTGAGTTTGAGTTCCTTTTATGAGGCCACATAAACAGAACTGGTTCCTCTAAAGATACAGGCTCGAGATCGTACTGTTGATTGTTATACTTGTTTGTACTAACTTTCCAATCTATTGTTTGGTTTGGTGCCGGCTTCGACCCATCTGAATATTCCGAGTAAGAGACAAGTACCTTGTTAAGAGTTTCCAGAAAGGCATCAGGGCCATGGCCTGTGGTAGTGTCACAATTATTGCTTAAGCTTGTTGTCGCATCCGCCTCCTCGGGTTTAATTAAGCCAGTTCTTTCACTATCCATAGGTTCACCATATATGTTATCGGTCTCTTTTTGATTTATAGATAGCACGGGCAGGTCCATATCTAAATCTGTTCCATTAACCCAGCCCAACGTCAACATAGCAACAATAAAGGCACTCAAACCAACAACAACTTTCATTAGATATATTACAAAAATCAAAAGTAGATAAAAACCAGCTATCTCACACAAACTACACTCTCTTAACCTAACTTAACCCACCTAATACCAACCAACTCAGCACCATACTCTTAGCCCCTAATAAGGCACCTCAATCCATACCATCACTTTACTCAATCTATAACATCACTTTACTTAATCCATAACATCACTTTACTCAATCCAAACTCAACATAGCATCAACACATTCTTAAAATACTTCTAATGTCCTATTGGGTTAGTGTAATATAGTATAGGATTTAGTTTAGTTTAGTTGACATTGAGTTAGTATTTAGATATAAGTATAAATCTTATGGGTTAATATGGTGTCGGTACCAGTCCCCCGCACATCTTAATGAGGCCCTCGATATATCTCTACTTTTAAACGCCTTAACTACAGAGACAAAGAACCTAGATATTTGTTCCTTACTACTTTAGATAAGCCAATACAATACTTTCCAAGCGAAATCTCAATCTTGTTATCACTATTTCTAGAGTATAAACATACGACGAAGATTGATAAGGGACGCTCTATGACATACATGACTTCCATGAAGGACTTACAGAAGACTATACCAGACCTAGAAACGACTCAGACTCGTATCCCAGAACCTCAACTCGAACCTCTAACTCTACCAACTCAGTACGAACATAATACCAACTCAATATTAAACTGACATTAGCCAGGCCAATGCTTTGTCTCTTGTCGAGTACGTTTGAATGTGAGGCCGTTATCCTCTCCTAGGACACGTCAGTTAGTATTGGGATGCATTTATTGATATGTGGGCGGCCGAGGACCAATGCAGCACTATGGCATTCAATATACGATAGACTTTACTAGCAAAGATTATGAACCCATGAGATATGATAGTTGCATTGAATATGTTTCATAGGAGATAAGCACAAGTCAATATATCCTTTAATCCTTGTTGACAGTTCCAAGAGTGAATAAATCAATCAAAAACGAAGACCTAGAGTTTGGTACCTCATTCCTAAACTATAAACCCTAACCCAATCCTACAAGCTAAGACAACTACTAATTCAAGGCATTGCGTCAATAAATCGAAGAGTGTCTAGCCTGATTATCTCTCGATAGATAATTATTGCTAGTCGGAAGGGGTATGCTCCTCACGAGCACTGTGGTCGCAATGAATAATAGTGCCTTGTTGGGCTTCTTTAGTGCGGTCGCGAGTGAATAGATAGCGAGCTGCGTCCTGACCGCGAATTCTCGTCATAGTAAGGTAAAGATCGGGCAGCCGGGAGTGATGATTTCGGTTGAGGTAGTTGCGCCTTTGGAATTTTAGTTGTTTAACGAGATTGGGAGCAACTGTTGGATCGAGGGAAACATTAGAAATAGTGATCTTAGTGACGGTCGGGTAGATTTCGATTATGAATTGGGTTAGAGCTAGAACTAGGGTAGACAGCTTTGGGGAGTTCTTGTAGGAGAAATGAATGTTAAGATCAGTTAGGCTATGGTATTGAATCGGGATAGTGTTTTTAGGTATAGTAGACCAAATGTAACGGCGCATTTTGTGTAAATAATTGGCGATGTAGCTAGGGGTATTGGTTGCGCGCGTTATAATGATTCTGAAACAGAACATGCGATTAATGTGGGGGGCAAGATGGCGAGTAGATTCATCATCAGGCATGGATTCGGCAATCAATTCCGGGTGTGGGAATGGGTGGTAGGCCCAGAGTGAAAGGTTAACGAACTCCTGAAGTGTGTAGCTAATATTGTAGGGTTGATGGAGGGGAATTGGAATAAGCCGAGCTGAGAGTTGTTGTATATACTCTTGGATGCAAGGAAGCCTTGGATAGGGATACATTAATATAAAGCGGATATATGAAGAGGTAAATGTGATGTTCGTCCGCCTGAAGTCCGTGAGGGCATTGAGAACTTGTAGAATGTCAACACCGCGTTTGCTGACATGAAGGTTAATGTTAAATGAACTAGCTGGAACAATAGCCGCAAGAAAGGTAGGGATAAACCTGGGGCCGCACTTCTGAATTGTTAATTCCGTAGGGAAACAGACAACATTGATAGGTTTGCCGTGGGAATAAGAGATCAGTCCTTCTGATAAAAAGCCGCTCAAGACAATTCGAAGACTCGGCTTGGTCGTATGGATAAAATTGATTAGACCAACAATCAATTCAACTGAGTGATTAACAAGGTGACGCCCCGAATTACTGCATCGATTAATTATAACTCTAATGTACGGCATGGCCAGAATAAAGTGCTTAATGGTTTGCATTTCTCCATTGTTGAGAGAACATTCGTATAAGGCGGGAGGTGGCCAGTCTTGTCTATTAGTTTGATTGCGGTTTTTCTTCGAATGGCGTGGAGGGCGAGGGAGCTTCTTAAATCGCAACATACTGTGCCAGTCAACTTCTAAAGTAAGCATGATGTTTTGGTAGTGCGTCTTTATATGGTCTAAATGGCTCGAGGACCCAGGAGTATGTGGATTGACAAGTTGATAAAACGACAAATAAACATCGGCCGGATCAGGGCCAAAAAATGTAGTTTGGACTCTGGTTGCTCTCACCTGCTGATACTTCTTACTAGGAATACTATGTCCATGTATAGCATGCAAATGGCCGGTTCCTAAGAATTGCCCTAAGTATTGGAGTATTTTAAATGCCATGAAGGTTCTCACCCGAATAGTGATTTTAGTCCAACTTGCCGGTTCAGACCGCGGGTCAGCCAACGCCATAGCCCGCTCAAATCTATTAAAAAGCACATCAACGTTCTTCGGTAATAGAGACCATTCCATATCAAATACCTCAAACAACTCAATTTCGGCAACAACCAATAACCGCATTACAGTCAGGAGCAAGGTATATTGCTGAACACTCCTGTCTTGTATAAACTTATGAATGTATATCTTCCTGTGCAGACGAATTGAAGCCACATATTCGGTTAGGTTGGCAATCCATCGTTTAGCAAGTCCATCAGATATGGAACGCCAGTAAAACTTAACACATTGCATTTCATCAGCCAGAACTACATCATACATTTTACTGTTATTCGTATTTCTATACAGACTCCAATCCGCCGGGCAATAGGGCAGCGTATCGGACCAAGCCTCATTAGAACCAGCATCAACCGCAAACAACGAGTCAAGCATAGTTTTAACATGTGCCAGAGAAGCATCATTATCCACCTCCTCAGGTTTAATTAAGCCATTTCCTTCACTATCCAGATGTTCACCATATATACCACAGGTCTCTTTTTGATTTATAGGTGGCACGATCAGGTCCATATCTAAATCCGTTCCATTAACCCAGCCCAACGTCAACATAGCAACAATAAAGGCACTCAAACCAACAACTTTCATTAGATATATTACAAAAACCAAAAGTAGATAAAACCCAGCTATCTCATACAAATTACACTCTCTTAACCTAGCCCCCACCCCAATCTAACTCAATCCCATCCCATCCCACTTAATGTCGTGCCATTACACAACCACTACTCCTTCCATACACCAAATTGTTTATTCATTGTCCGATCGCATTAGTATTAGGTTATAGTTGAATTAATAGCGAATTCGAATCATATCAAATTTGATCCCAGTAGTAGCCGGATTATTAAAATTTGAGTATGACGTCATCTTCGCATCCATCACCATTTACATTCAATACTAACCCAACTATATCGTATCGAGGTATTCACTGATGAAATTTGTACTAGCCATAAGAACTATTCCTACCCAAGGGTTAGTATATTTATAGATACAACCAAAATTTGTTTTGATTGTGATAAGATATATAACCCAAACACAACCCAACCTAACACAACAGCAATACTAACACAATACTAACACAATTCAATTCAACCTTTTATTTCGTTTGAACCAGTCCTTTATATATCTTCTTAGCATTAAAGAAGGGATTGTACTTGTATTTCTCCATATGCTGTCTTATCTTTACCACTGTTAAGTATAACAGACCAACAAAGTAGATCACTAGAATAGGAGTGTACACCGGAATGTTAAAGAAAGGAATAAAAGTAGCCACAAAAGCACCAACCACCGACTGCATTGATAAAAGCCAGTAATCAAACTCAGGCAACCGTCTAATAAAAGGCTTAGACTCATCACCACTCCTTCGCAAAGGACTTTCAACTACAGCCGAAGCATCTTCAATATCAAAGGGGTCGGGAATATCACTATCTACCGGAGTACAGAACCCAATAAAACAGTGCAATAAATAGAGAAACAAACAATAAGTAACCAATCTATAACCACCAGTCTTAACCACCCGAAAGAGGAAAAGAAGAGTAGCTATTCCAAAAGCCGACCAGCGCTCTTTAGGGTAGGCCACACACTTATCCATGTAAGACTGGACCATATGGCGAAGCTGCATCGGGAAAAAAACAATTGGCAATTAGTAAGGAGGCGATGGCGGGCGGGCTGGAAGCGAGTTGCGATTGGCGTAGAGATAGTGATAGTGGCAGGAATAGGAGGGGCATGGTTAGGATGTAGATGGAGCGCATATGGTTTAATGGTATAATTCTCGCTTGCCATGCGAGAGACCCGGGTTCGATTCCCGGTATGCGCATTCTTTTTATTATCTTTTTGTCTGCTGATTAGTAATCTGTTTATGTTACGAGACGTACAACACTGGTGGCGCTTGGGAGGACTGGGCGGACTGGCTATGGGGGTGACTTATGGACTGAACTATTGTTCTAGAGTGCGAAAGACTGGGAGTTATTTAGAAAATGCTTTGATACTGGTTATGGCGGATGTTTGGAAGTGTTTGGTCTTCTATGGAATGATGCGCTGGTCTGGGGAGAAGCGGATGACTTATTCGCGGGATTACTTGATCTTTGGTTGGTTTTCGTTCTTTCAATCGTTTGGTTGGTTGGTGGTAGTTCGGTATTTGAGTGTTTTTTATCTACAGATTGTTTCTAACTTTAGATCGTTCTTTGTTTTTGGCTTATCTATTTTGGTTTTTAATCGGGTTTACACGCGGGTACAATGGCTGGCCCAGGTAGTCTTGGTTTTTGGAATTACTTTGCCCTTTATAGTTCAGATCGTGAGTAAAGATGAGGCTGGGATGGGTCCAAGTAGTTATTTGAATGCTTGGTTAAGTATTGGGTTGAGTTTATTGATGACCTTATCAACGGCTTTGAATGGAGTTTGTTTTGAAAAGATAGTGAGGAAAAAGCGACTAAGTATGTGGCAGAATTCTTTGAATTATTCATTATCTGGACTGTTGGTTTCAGTATTGGCTTTAGTCTGTATTTTTGGTTGGTTTGGAAGTGATGGATTAGTGATTGATCCTGGGTTGTTTTTGAGTCTAGTTTGTCTGAAGGTAGTAGAAGGGATTATTTATGCTTACATTATGGCTGAGTATAGTGCGGTGGCTAAGACTTTCTTTCAAGTACTAATGAACTGTTTACTTTCAGTAATTCTATCTTGGCACTTAGCTGAGAAGATGAGTATTTACAAGATAGTTTCATTGGTTCTAGTAGCTGGTAGTATCTGTGTGTTTAATTTACGATCAAATAAATAGATGTACTAGGATGGGTTTAGTAGTTAGGGTTTAGTATTGTATTTGTGATGTTCAAGGTGTCACTGTCCTTACTAGCAAAGATCATGAGTTCTTGAATTATAACGGTTGTATTGTATTGGGTTAGTGTATGTTTTTAATGCTTATCTGCAATACTAAGAACAATGGGTTAGTCAAATTGAGTTAGAGATTGGGGGAGTACAAGTCTAAACTATAAATACTAAACCGATACTAACTTCTATCAAGACATAGTCATATTAGGCACTTTTCATATTTATTGAATAAAGTCTCAGGGTTGTCTATGCCGTGTATAACACCTAAGATTGCGTGTTATAACACCAGGTTAGTATCTTCATAAACTAATTATCCTTTCTGTATTTATAGTTTGAAGTTGTATTCTACCAATCTCGGAATTCAATTTGATTCTTGCTCTTGGAATTCTTGATAAAGAATAAAGATATGTTGACTTGTATGTATCTCCTGTGAAACATACGGCAATACAACTGACCTAATTTAAAGACTTGTATTCACTAGAAAAGAGTATTGTATACTGAACACCAATCCAACTCAAAGTTAATTAGGTTATATTGCCCGACAATTTCCTTTTATGGTAACTTCCTAGTACTGCTTATGTAGAATTTTTCGACCTAGGCTCAATCTATGAATATGCAATTAACGAGCAAAGCAAACAATCTAATTGTGTTCCTTTTATTTAGTCTAGGCTTTCTTAAGGCATCATCTCAAACTACGAGCTTTGACAATCAACAAGTTTTTCCATGTGATTATTATTCCTTCAGTCCATCTAATGGCATTGCATACTTTATCATGATCGACCCAAATAGCCCAAGGATTCATATTAGCATTGCTATTAAGAAGCTCCATTCTACTACATCAACTAGCGATAAGCACCTCAACTGTCTTTTAGAAGCACTTCTCAGAGATAAGCTAGTTCCCGAAAATAATAGCTATTGGGACCAAGAATCTCTAGCTCAACCTAATAACTATCAGATCACAGCTGGCAATCAGTTCGTTATTATCGAGTTTTTCTTAGGTTGCATATTTCACATGGTCCCCTTCGACCTCCTAAAATCAGTTATTATACCCCCACCGAATGCAGAGAGAATAATCAAAATCAAAGACGAATGCTTTCCAAACCATCCACAAAATTCATCAGAACCTCTTCCTTCCAAGGATCAACTCATTAAGGAATGGAACGCCATGTTTTGCCCCTCGAATATTCGGCTGGCAATTGTTACCCCTGTGAAACCAATCTTTACAATAATGGACTTTCTGTTCAACTATCGCCATTCAGAGGACATACAAAGAAATCCCTGCATGACCCCACTTGACAAGACCATTCCAGAAAGCTTACATACTCCACCCCAACTATGGATACAGCCTAATAAGTCCTCAACTTCACCCAAGCACACAACAATTACCCTTTTTATTCCACTTCTCAGTGATATCAGAAGCAAAAGTATGTATCTGTTCTCCGACTTATACCATTTATTCTTCCGGTACAACAAAATATACGCCGATTGTTTTCAAAAGAACATCCTTAATGATAACACCCAAATCAAGCGTGTATCAATAAACACTCAGGAGAAAACACTGGGCATGCGTATCACCATAGAAATACACAATAAGAATTTCGTGATTGCTGATGCATTGAATCTAGTGGATAGTTTCTTTCTAGCCATCAAGGAGCATTATAAGCGCACAAACCCAACTCAATCTCAGCACTCTGAAGAGATCCTATGTTGTTCATCAACAACAGATATGGGCATACTATTACATTCTCTTGCCAATCTACTCTCAGTCCACATGTTCTTTGTTGAGTCCACTGACATCATTAGGTTCATCTCGGCGCCCACCCCACACCTCAATGAGATTTACAACCTAAACAACCTACTTGAAAGCGCAATGCAACGAGAGAATTGGCAGATTAGTGGAGACCTCACCCATGCACACCAGAGCCAATTGCCAATCCAATGCCCTGTCACAGTCCCAACCTGTATAGTGATACCAGAAGCCACTACCCAAACCAACCAAATCAAAGATCACATACACCATATCGATCCCATTACCCGATTGGGCCAAGCCCAAAATGCTACTTTAGCTGATCAGCAGTCCGGCCCTTCCTATGGCAACACTATCTTTCAACCACAAGATAGCACCTCATGTGCCGTTAACGCCTCCCAAGAGCCCAATCACATCACAAACCCAGGCATCGCTCTCGAAAGTAAAGTTTCACAAGTCAAACCTGATGGCGTCTTTGTAACCCATTACGAAGAGCCAGGCCTTGAGGCATACTTGTTCAAGAGCCCTCGACCCAAAAGCTATTCAACAGCTACTGTTGTGCTCGTTACCAAAGACTACCTTGTTGACATTAAAACCTATGTTTGGCACGTCGCTCACGTATTAACAGTATTAGAAGAAGCGAAAGTTAATCACATGAATACCGTCAAGAAGGTAGATACTCTTCTCGAGGCTGAGGTTTGTGAGGATGGACGTATCGTTGTTGTTGCCCGTGGACCAAGTGCTGAAGTCATCCAGGTACTCCAGCAGTTCTTCTTATTCTATAAAACCTACCGCCACACCATCACCAAGGTGTCTAAGGCTATGCTTAGGGCATTCGAATTCTTTAAGAAAGAATTCTACCGACGGGCATCAACTGGGACAAAATACCTGTTCCCATCTGTTTGGCGGTTTCCTCTATATTCATCTGTCCAATGTTGCGACTACATTAGAGAGAAAACGACTTCCTTTGTTACTCCGATCGTTTATACAGCTCTAATCAATATAAGAGTTGACGACGCACTAATTGATGATCTCACATCAGTAATTGATCTAGTCAAACGGTCCATTACCCCCGAGCCGCACACTAGGTACAAGCTAATTAGCAACCACATCGCAAGTGCGTCTGAACCATTAGAGTCAACAGAGGTTTCGGGTCTTGTTGGGTACTTCCATATTGATCCTATGTCCAAATTAGGCGTAACTAACTATCACATGCTGGCCTACTATTTATTGTTTCTGCAAGCGTCACCAATCAACCTCACTAACCAGACCATTGCCAAAAAAGTCCAAGATTGGCTAGATGCTCGTAAGCCCCAACCATCACCTAATGAACCAGCAGGTCCGAATTCGGAACACTCTAACCTGAACTTAGATAGCCAGATTTTCAAAAACATGGAGGGTAATCTTATCTTCTTTGACGACACCATTATTCTAACTTTTAAGCTCAAAGGCCGATACAGCCTGGCGGAGTTTTCGAATGCAATTACAGCCTATCACAACTACTTAACCTGTTTGTTTAACCGTCTCACCCCAGCACAGTTCAAAGACCTCAAAGAGAAAGTACAGCGTCAATTCACCAATACCAACCGGAGTAACAGTATATTCGAAGATAAACCCTTACACTTCCTTTGCAACGACTTTTGGCGAAGATTCGACTATAAGAGAACGTTCACCGATCTTCTCAACAAAATAACTTTAGATCAAGTCCGAGATTTTGTCATATCTCATTGTAAAGACCCTCTTATCGCCATACCTAAGGCCTCTCAACTATTCTCGCCGGACCAGCCTCATACTGACAAGCAACCACCAACTCAGCCTAAATCCAGCAAAAGGAGAACAACAACCACCCCGCTAGATAGCCTTGGTTCTGATTACGCTTTTAAAAGGCACAATCGAAACCAAAACGATCTACCCACGAAATAAAAGTCTCTTGATCATCCGAATATCTCATAGCACCAATATTAAATACGTTCACATTTAACCCAATACTAATACTAATATCAATCCAATCCAACCCACTCCACTCCACTCCATTCAACTTTAACCTTAACTTTAACTTTAACTTACCAGTTTAATTAGATATGATTTATTGCGAAAGAGCACGGTAGATATGATGTACACGGTTAATAGCGGCTAAACTGTCGTTGTAAAGCCGCAGGTCTTCTGGAACACGCGGATCCTGAATAGGAAGAAGCACAGCACAGATATACTGCGAAATCCAAGAAAGAGCGCCTTTCCAGGTTGGAGCTATACGGGATAGTGAAAAGGAAGCAATCCAGGAGAGATGTGTGCCAGAGACAATTGAATCGGTCATAAATGTATCGGTAAGTTCTAGGACAACTGTTTTGACGTTGTCTATGGTTAAACACAAAGAAAGTGGTGTCTGGCTGTGTTTGTCTAAGTACTTGCGCATGGCTTGGCCGTTAATATAGATGCCAATCAAAACCCAAGGATCCCCAGGCAGTTTAGCCATAGGGAAGGGAAGAACTAGCACGGGAATACCGCTAAGTTCAGCAGTCAGCATTAGCTGGGCATGGTTAGTAAAGGTAAAGGTAGGCGGGGCTTCCAAGTAAATAACACGCAAGTCTTTAGGATGCTCAAAGTACTGGGCACCTGGTAAGGCCCGTCGAATACCAAAACAGCAGATACGATTAAGAGCCCGTTGCAATTGGAAGACTTTCTTAGGCACTAGCATATCTGGAGCTAGTATTCGGCAAAACCGGGCGCATTTCTGGGCTACGTACCCTGAGACTGTTCTGGACCCGAAAGTTTCTATTCCAGACGCGTTAGTTACTAAAGGCCCTTGATTTTCCAGGGAGAGCATGAGTTTATCTTGGAAAAGCCGTTGGAGATTAGTGCGGAGTTCACGAGGCTTATCACTCGCATTCTTCTTTGAAGACGAGCGCAGGAAGGCCAGCAGTTGAAACAGAGGAGATAGCTCAACCGGGCTGTATAGTGTTTGTTTAGTGATTTTGAGTTCGTGGGGTGAGATAAGCGCAAGAGTTAGTTTTAAAGCCGGGGCTGGGGTTTTAAGTGTGGCCGGAAAGACGCCTTCAATAGTATAGGAGGCCTGCGGTAGAGAAAGAAAGAGGAAACCCGGCGGGGCTAAATCAACTGCTTCACTATCTGGACCTCGCGGTCTTTGGAGTACTTTAAGAATTGGAATGGACTTAATATTAAGAGATAGCGATATTTCTCGCTTCTTACTACCTAGTAAACGCTTTTGCAAAGTAAAGATAACGTTCTGAAGACTACTGATAACTCCACCACATAATTCAAGATTAATCCGGGTTTCCACGGCATCTTGAAGAGTGAAACCTTTAACGGCTAGTTCGCCCTCTCTTACGGCCGTAGGAGACAGATGGGGAGCAGCAAAAACATTCCGAATAACGGCACTAGAAAACTCATGGTGGGTAGTACTCTTCTTAGGTGTCTTATGACCACTAGAAGGTTTATGGATTTGGTTATAAATATGAATGTCCTCAATCACTGTCTCCTGCCATCCAGATCGCGGCCTAGTCGATTTATTCAAGGCCCGGGCATCAACACTCAATAAGGTACAAGATAAATTGTTCAGGAAAGACCCGCCTTCACTACTACTACTACTAGATGAGGTTTTACTCCCGAAGTAATCAAGTAATTCCAAGGTCTTATGATGGAAGATAATCTCATTAGGAGAAGTAACAATCCCTGCAATAGTCACTTCATGAATAAGTAGTAGTCCTGTTTCCTTCTTAGCTAAATGGGTCAAAAGCGCATTAGTTATCTCACAAGATAAGCTAGCCCAAACGGAAAAAGGATTATGAACAATATCAATCTTAACACCCGCACACTGTAGAACAAGTAAAGGAAACCGATCTTGAATCCGTCTAATAGTAAAGGCAGCCGCCGGTAGAGTTAGAATACCATCGGTGCATCCAGCCGAAGTACTAGTTGAAGTAGGAGCTGTACCATAAGCTAGAGTTGAATCGATAAAAATCGAGTCCTGATGAGTCTCTACGGCCGTTGTAATGTTAATACTCTTATCAAAAGCATGATCTATCTTAGCCTTCTCAACTTTAGGCTTAGCCGGACTAGAACTAGACAAAATCGACTCTTTAGCCACCTTTAACACCGATAGCATAGCTCTGTTATACGGGAAGAACCGGCCAGTTTGACCTTCAAAGATGTACCCCTTACTAGTGAAAAGGGTCTCTTTAGCCATAAAGTTAATATCAATATCTTGAGTCTTCGGTCGAGTTCGATCACTACCTTCCACTTTAGCCGGAGAGATAGAAAAGCCCCGATGACGCGTGGTCGATGCCGAGTACTCAATCGTGCACGGTTCAATGCATAATTTAGCCACTACTGCCCCAGGAGCTGGTTTACCCTCTTCTAGTACGGCCATATAGATAGCAGGAACATTAATAGCAATAGTAAAAGTAGAGACATGTTCCAGACTAGGCAGTTGGTAAGAAGCATCAAGATGGAAAAGACCATGAATGATATTCTCAGTATTAGTCGACTTCATCTTAAAGACCGAGTTACGAATCAGGGCATTAATAGACCGATCAACTACTCCCGGCATAGAAGAAGAAGACTGACTAGTTGATTCGGATGGAATAGTACTACTCGGTTTAGATACAAGTGATTCATTCTCCAGAAGAACTTCTCCCGGACTTTGGTTCTGTTCCGCCAACTGAATAGCCCGAGTAACCTTCTGCATACTTACTTGTAAGTCAATCGGCTGAGCTAAACGATAGGGCCGTTCTACATCAGTAAACACAGCAAAGAAAGTCAAACCAACCGATGGCGCACTTATTTCCTTATACCCAATCCCTACTACACACTTAGGAGGAATATTAGACCGCATCCCCCATTCCGAATTACGCGGACCAACAAGAATATCAATGGATGCCCGATTAAGGGTAACAAATAAAGGTAAACGACTAATTGATAGACCAAAAGTAGTTGGCTCCCACTTAAACCGGACATAATTCTCATTCACTTCCATCTTCTTCCCAAAATCAACTGTAACTTGACCTAAAGCCCGACTATCACTCGCATACATCTGGAAGTAATTAGCAGCAGTAGCCGGTCGCACTTCTCTTGTCTCCAATGCTTCTGGTCTTAAGTTCATCTGGACTTTGTAATGCCCTCTAAACTTAGGCAGTTTTTCCCTCCTTCGCTCTTTCTTCTTCGGCTGCCACTCATACCCCACACAAAGACCTTTACGATTCCGCCAGTGCGTGCCAAACCCTCTAAATAACCGACTAAGTACTGAAGGTGTTTCTACAATCTGCAAAGAAGCACTCCAAATAGGACCTTTAAATTCCGGCGGACCTCGAGCCACCAGTAAAGATTCAATGGCACTCAATCCCGTATGAAAAGTCAGGACACCATCAAGGACTAACTTATTCCCTTCCTTATGCCCAAAATTATGAACTGAACGGAAATGTCCTAAACGCTTACCATTAAGTAGGAATCCAAAAGATAAACTAGGCGCCCGACCCGCATTCATTGCTTTAGTCAGTCCAGCAATCGGAAAAATAGCATCATTAAACAAAACCCGACCGATCATTCCCGCCGTATCTACCGATAAAAACTGAACTTCCACCAAAGGTTCATTCGACCGCCGCGAACTGTGCCGACCCGAAGAAAGGAAGAAGACTTTAATTGTCGCCGCAATCTCAACTAAGCACCGAGCTACAAACTGTTCTGCTAAACTATGTGCCCCTAATACAACTAAATCACCTACTCTAACTGTAACTAACTCCTTCCGCAAGTACTGCTGCATCCCCGATCTAATTACATCCACACCCGCCCTATCTACCGCCATGGCAAAGCCAACCGCCCCTTGAATAGATCCTTTCTCAATCTGATGCGCCTCCATTACCCAGGATACACAACCGACCTCGCCAATATACATCTGACCTTCAACTCGTGGCATATTCAAGGTCAAGTAGTTCATCTTCTTCCGGTACAAGAAATGCCCATGCATACTTAATTGTGTATCCGTATCTTCCATGACGTAATCAAGGATTTGCACGGGTAGTTCTCTTTTCCTGACTTTCTTAACCATCTGCCCGGCATTCCCGAGAGTTTCAATTAACTTCTCAGGATGCGGCGGCTGATTACCCAAGTAAACACCCGGAGTATTCAACAAGACAATCGGAATAGCCAAACCCGGAAACCTACTCCACAAGCGAAAACAAAGGTTACCTTTAATAGTAAGTAAAACATGATTCTCTACCTTCATCCAAAACTCAGGAGGAACAACTACTGATTCAGAAGGCAAGCGATACAAAAACTCACCCTCAACATGAAATCCATCCCTTTGCGTACTGAGAATCTTAGCAGCCGTTAGATAAGCAAATGGCATTTCATTACGAGAAGCAGCAAATCCAACCTCTAAATTAGTACATTGAATGTTAAAAGGACAAACTAAATCAGCAAACTTAAATCCCAACTCAATTCCCTTCTCGCCAAAAACCAACTTCTCAATTACCATTTTATCTACATTTCGTCTAATTGTTGAGACAAATAGAATAGAACAAATAATCGGGGAAAAAAAGATAGACCAAAATATACTAATTGAAATCACTAAAATAGCACCGGCAATCTTACGCTCGATTCCATGTCTAGCTTCTACACCACCTTTACCTATTTTCATTAGATATTGCTGAAAATAAAACATATTTAACGCCGCCTAATTAAAATTTGAAGATGCAGAAGAAGATTGAGATAAGTATTGGGTTATTTGACCAGTTTATAGGTGATTGGCGAGTGTTTATGGAGCGGGAGAAGGAAGAGTTTATTAGGAAGTTAGGTACTGAAGGTTTAGATGGAGTGAAATGGGCTAGTTTTGGGGAAGAAAAGGCAAAAGATACTTTAAGTCGTAACAATGGTTGGGAATTCAGTCCGGATTCAGTCGAGAGTGAAGGAGTGATTAGGACAAAGGAAGTATCATTTAAGTGTGATAATAGTGAAGAGAAGAAAGGTGTATTAAATAAGACTAGTAAGGCTATTAGAGTAGGTAGAGTGAAGGCTAAAGTTAGTTTAAATGAAGTTGGTTTGGGTGGTGTTGGTTTGGGTGGTGTAAGTAGTGTTAGTACTGGTTTGGGTGAAGTAAGTGGTGGTACTAGTAATGTTGGTTTGGGTGGTAGTGAAGTAGGTAGTGGTAAAGTAAGTGGTACTAGTAATGTTAGTACTGGTTTAAGTGGTGTAAGTGTAAGTGGTAATGTTAGTAATGAAGTAAGTAAAGTAGGTGGTAGGAAGGACAAGGAAGAAGGAGAAGAGGAGAAGAAGCGGGTTAAGGTAGATAAGAAGTTAGTAGATAAGAAGTTAGTAGATAAGGAGTTAGTAGGTAGTGAGAAGAAGGTAAAGGAAGCTAGAGAAGTGAAACTGCTGAAGGAAGAAGTAAAGGAGAAGATAATGAAAGAGAAAGAGAAGAAGAAGAAAGAGAAGGATACTCAGAATCAGAATCAGAAGATAGCAAAAGAGAAACAAAGACAAGCTGAGAAAGAAAGGAAGCAATTGGATAGAGAAAGATTAGATAGAGAAAAGAAGAAGATAGTAGTGGAAGAGAAAGAGAAAGAGAAAGATAAAGTTGAGAATGCAAAGCCAATCTCTTTAGTAGCAGCTTTTGAAGCTCAGTTGCGGAATTATCAGATGCAGATAAATGGTGAAACTAGTTTGATTGTGAGTTCTAATAAGTCTTTGATCTTAGAACCAATTACTGATAGTAACTTGCCTGGTAATACACCAATACATCAAACAGATACTCAAATTAACCCCATACTAACTACTACCTCAACTCAACTGGATACACTACAGACTAATACTGCCTTAAACTTAGTTACAACTGAGACACCAGTAATACCTTTATCTTTACCTTTACCAGAACCTACTCCTACTCTTAGCCACCTCTCTAACCCAAACCCTCTTCAGACTATTAATATGACCCAAACTTTGAGTAGTGCCCAAACACTTAGTAATTCTTCCTCTTCGGCTACTGAGCCTCCTTTAGTTACGCCGCAGAAGTCACTTGTTAGACCGGATACTAAAGAATCAACTACAACTCAACGGAATGAAAAAGACTCTACCGGTACAGTCCATGAACTGGATAAAACAAGTAAGAGTAGCCATCTATCCGTCTGCCAGCCCATTGAAGAGAGTAAACTTGAATCAGATACACGTACTCAGCGTAGCTTTGAAAGAATACTTCCACCTAAGGAAGATCTAGATAAAGTTATGCACCGACTTGCTCCGTATCTAGAAGAGGCGACTGAACCATCTCCTACTCCTACTATTCAAACTAGGCCACCAACTAAACCTACTGCTGCTCCCCTAATTAACTCCATTCCCAAGCAGAACCCAACTATACCGACCAGTACAAGTACAACTGCAACTAGTACAACTAGTACAACTACTAATACAACTAAACCTATTAACAAGAAGATCGACCGGCCTAATCAGTCCTTTGCTGGACTTAAACCGGCCGAACTAAAGGAGAAGAGTGCCGAGCTAAACCTTCTACTTAAAAGTCTTAAGGCCAAAGCCGCCCCAGTACAACCCAATCCACCCCAGCCTAAACCAACTCCACTCAACTCAACTCAACCTAACGTAGCACCAACTCCGCCCAATTTGATTCTAACTCCTATCAAACAAAGACCTATTGAGCATAAAGAATTCTCACCAGTAATGGAGTCAAGTGATGAAGAAGGCCGTGATCCTAAATTCTCCAAGCAAAAGTGGGTTGACAGTCCTTCTCTGCCCAGAAGAATCCTCTTACAAGACGAAAACCAAGCCACCAAGATCTTCGGCCCTTCTGTACATACAAAGGTCAATCTCAAAGAAATGTTCCATGGTATGACTAATCTCCCACCTGACAGTCCCCAGCGATTCCCCGGTCATAAATAAGTCCATGCTATTGAGTAGAGTATAGAGTATGTTGTGCTATACCCCAAGTGCCAGCCAAATGATGTTAATTAGGATCAGTTTAGTATTAATTGGTGATAAGTAGTGAAGAGACATTCAACAAGTCAAGTTAAATAAACAAAAGTAAACTCCAACCTATTTTCCAAATTACTAGCTTTGGTTTCATTTTATTCAAGGAATGTAAGACACATAATAAGTTAACTTGGGTTAGTATTAACTTAAGGTAAAGTAAAGTAAAGATAAAGTAAAGATAAAGTAAAGTAAAGTAAGATAAGATAAGATTAACTTAAGATAAGATTAACATAACATAACATTAACTTAACTCAACTTAACTTAACTCAAGATAAGATAAAAAGGATAAGAGTAACATAACATAACACAACATAACACAACCCAACCCACCACAATACTAACTTAACTTAACTTACTTCTAGTATAGTAATCATGACCAGAAATCTAATCAATCATTCTAGTAGTATGGATAAAGACCATTTGTAAACGAAGTGGAGGAGGGTTTATTCAGTTGAACTTGTAGTGGGTTGGACTTTATAACTTATGGTTTCATTGTGGCACGTTCTTTTGGGATACTTTGGGAATTTGGGTGATATTTATGGTTTGGAGTTGTGATATTAAATTCAAAAACATCACTACCTATCTCTACGCTTAAAGCTATGCTAATAAATTGTAAAACTGATTGCTGTTGTAGTTAAGTTGCTTTCAGATAGAGACTGGTACGAGTACCATAGTAGTAAGTTGTAATGCCCATGGGATGGATAACATCCATTGACCAATACATACTCCATTAAAGACATTCCTTGATACGAACACCGGTACCTTTTATTAGATAAATGTGGCTCTGAGTGAGAGGATGACGTCATATCGAAATGTAGATCGTAGATATGCAAAACCAATTTGGTTATAAGCCCCTGATTCTATTAAAGTTACGGGAACTAGTAATATTAATAGATGGCTTCTAGTGAGTAGCTTGCCAGTGATCAGGTTGATCGTTGTGAGAAATGAGTAGTGGTCGTATGACAGCACTACAGTAACAATTATTGATTTCTTAGATTGATGGTTTGTGGTGAAATTATAAATATAGCCTAATTTCTAACAAAAATGAACAAATTACATAAAGATATAGATAATTCTTCAACCGAAGAACAACCTTCTAGTTTATTGGATATTGCCAGGCCAAGAGAGAACATACGCATAATCCCAGATGTGGTTGTCCTAATAGAAACAGAATATTATCCTAGATACCATTACTACACGAACAATAACCCTATCTACACTATTAGTGACTCGCCAATGGAAGAGTACGTTAAAATCAGCAATATACAAGACTGGAAACTTAGACAGGCTTTGCCATTAAGACTAGCAACTGTTTTTAACTACCTGGTTCTTGAATTCTCTAACGATATGTTTAAAAGAGCATTGAACCGCACATTTCCCTTGATAGAGAACACGATATGGGGGTTGCTGTTGGCTTTGGGCATTTTGATACCACTTTTAATCCTTAATATACTAATCATAGTCTGGGGCATCAAGGCTTACTTGGCTCGTTACCGGTTGAACCGCAAAGCAGGGTTTTCTTGGCCTATGTGGCAGGCTATTTGGTATTATATCAGACGGTTCATCAAATGTTTCATCGCCGACTGTGTTACTGTGGCCATTATTTCTCGAATAGATACTTATTCTTATTTGAATTACACGCTTTTTGCTTCTTTGATCGGCTTACTTATCGTTGCAATGACAGGCTACCGTATTTTGTGTCTTGACAGGGATAAGAAAGAGGATGCTCTAGCCCATAAATTAACCACACACCGCACAGCAGGGTACCGTATTAACAGCCGCATATACTGGATCAATGTCATCCATGGTGGTGTGATTGCTCTTTTTGGCGTATCTAGTCTATGCGTGCATTGGACAACAAGTAGTGAGCAACCGGGACAATGATTAGATCGTTTGGACCAAATAAACCTAAGATCTTTACATACACCGCACAAAATAAGATAAGATAACAAACTATAAGATAAAACAATTTATGGATCCTTTTCCGATTCAGTAGCTGTTAAAGAGCGATAAAGAAGAGTTTTGCGAACTGAGTCCTCTAACTGGTTCATTTGCACATCTTGTTCTTTGATCCAGATATGGTGAATAGCCGATCCACGTAGGAAGATGTTCTGAGTATTAGTAAAGGGAATAAAAATCGTATCGGGATTCTCTTCGATAATTAACTGAGAAAGCTTAATGTTTGAAAATGTATCAATATCTATAAGAATACCCGATAAGACAATGTTGTTTTTAAGAGTCACACGAATTCTCTTATTGGTTAACGATCTAAACATTGCATGAAGTGGCATCCCAAAAACAAATTTGCAGAATGGCTTGTTTAAAGGCGACTCCTACTAAGATTATCTGTACTTTAGGACCTAAAAGTGATAGTGAAGAAACTATTAAGGAGCTAGTTACTCAGGGGATGGATATTGCGCGTGTAAACTTTAGTCATGGTGATTTGGACTATCATCAGCGTATTTTTGCTATCTTAAATCGAATTCGGAATGACCCGCAGTATGCTACTCTAGCCGTAGCCGTTGATACAAAAGGTCCAGAGATCAGAACGGGTATGTTTGTGAGTGGAAAGGCTACTATCCAGCAAGGCAGCTGCGTACGACTTAGTACAGAGACAAAGTATCAGGATTGTGGCACAGCTGAGGTTTTCTACATTGACCATCAGGGTATCTTTAAGGACTTAGCAGCTATGCCGGCAAAGAGTATCTTTATCGATGATGGGAAGCTAGAGCTAGTAATTGAGTCAATTAATGCGGAGCAACAGGAAATTGTAACTCGGGCGGCTAATAGTTATGAGATATCGTCACGTAAAGGAGTGAACATTCCTGGGACTGATATTTCCTTGCCTAACCTGACTGACAAAGACCGACAGGACATTCAGTTTGGGATTGATAATGGCGCTGATTTTATCTTTGCCTCGTTTGTACGGACGAAGGAATGTTTGGCTGAGATTCGAGCACTGGCTAATTCCGATCAAATCAAAATTATCGCCAAAATAGAAAGTGAAGAAGGAATTAAGAACTTAAAGGAGATAGTCGAGGCTTCCGATGGGATTATGATTGCACGAGGTGATCTAGGGATAGAAGTGCCGTACAGCCGGCTTTTTGCCCTTCAGTGCAGTATTTCCCAGCTCTGTCGGGAGTTAAACAAACCGTTCATTGTAGCCACACAAATGCTAGAAAGCACGACTCAATCCCTTCGGCCAACTCGAGCGGAAATCACCGATGTTGGCTTTGCTACGGCTACAGGAGCAGCATGTGTTATGCTTAGTGGTGAAACAGCAGCCGGGATTTGCCCGCCTAATAGTGTCAAGATCATGAAAAACATCCTAGTGGCCACTGCTGAAGATCTCTTAAAGACCAACTCGACCAGTCCAATCTTTCCCATTCCAAATAGTCAACCCGAAATCACTATGGTTAGTTCCAATAATCTTAAATTCCTTCGGCACACCCAATTGTTCTACGCTCAAGTTCCAGTCTACTCATCTAAAGAAAGTCCGACAGCTACTCCCACTGTTCCACAGGGATATGCCCAACAACTTAAGCAAGACTCTGCTAACAAACCCCAGCTTTAGGTAAGGCGCCACCAAGCAGACCAACTAATAAAAGACTTATCGGCCAATCCAATATCATGCACTAATCTAGATCTACACTATCCACCAATTTTAATGAAACCCCAAACTTGAACTAAGTCGATGCAAGAGAAACGAGAGAAGAAAGCACGAGGAATAGCCAGAAAGGCTATTCTCAGAACAGCTCGACTACTTGGGTGCAACGAAAAGGATCTAACGGCCGAAAAAGAAGCACTAGGGTACACCAATGCCGTCTTCAAAGTCACCAAAGGCACTCAGCGTTATCTCTACAAAGAGTATAGCCAGAAAGATCACCAGGAAAACACCGAACTCGAGTGGCAGAAGTTCTTTCAATTTCCGCCTATTCTCTTTGTTTCCCCCGAATACCGGATTGACGAGTACATTGAGCATTTTAATATGAGCCGTAAAATGGTTAGAGATAAGGACGTTCTAATCAAACTGGCCAAAGAGATAGGAAGGTTTCACAAGACAGTACCACCAGAGCAAATGGCCGAGCCCTTTCTAGATTTAATAAAGAAGACCCGCGAGCGAGTCAGTAAGCGGCTGAGGAGTGATCGCTTTGTCGATATTTGCCAGAAGATAGAAGGCAAAATTCAGAGCCTATTAGATAGCAGTTTATTTTTCAATCGGCCGTGTTTATGCCATAATGATATCCAATTTGGCAATATTTTGGTTCTACCCGATAAGACTCTTAAACTGATTGATTTTGAGCACGTAGCTCTAAACTATCCAACGGTTGAGATCGCCAATTTATTCAATGAAATGAACACTAATTACCAAAGAAAAGGGGCGCCAGTCTCGACTAAGTCACTACTTTCGCCCGAGCTCGAGCGTTTGTTTATCTCAGAGTATTTGAAAGAAGTAAAGGCCAAGTGTTCAGTTGATGATTTTCTGAGCGAAGTGGAGAGGATGAAATGCATTCCACAATACTATTGGATTCTTTGGGCGATAAACGAGTATTTAGGGAGGAGTAATTCTAAGGGAAGTTTTGACTACTTCACATTTATGTCCCACCGACTCGACTTGTTGCATAAACACAAACTAATCACTATAACCAGTAGCAAGGAGATTAAAAAGGCAGTATTATACAGTCTTTGAGATAGACCAGTAGTGGGTGCGTATGAGTATGGATTAGTATTGAATTGAGTATGGGATTAGTATTGAGTTGAGTATGGGATTAGTATTGAATTGAGTCTGGGATTAGTATTGAATTGAGTATGGAGTTAGTGATAGATAAACATGGCATGATCACAGCAGTATATTAAAAGAGAAATCTATATGGCATTAATAAAGAGATATTTGGTTCTAGTATTTGATTGTGGGCAAACATGCACTGCTAATCGTGGAGTCAATTAAAGCAGCAATTTGCATGTGTGTCTGAGACCAAGGTTGTGGCGAGCTGATAATGTACTGCCGAACGAACCATACAGTAATTGGACAGATGGGCCGAAAACTATCCGGGCAAATAAGTTTCTTACCGATTATCTCGTGAATATCAGACTCCGCCTGCTCCAGAGAATGGATGGTGAACAATAGCACCCGGTGAATGGTTAATTCAACAGCGATAAATTGGCGAAGGATCTTGAACCAAACAAGAACGTCAATGACAGCCAAATTGGCCTTTAGATAAAAAACAGATCTAGACGCTGGCCTGTGATGGGAAGGCAGTGCTAATCCTTCAAGTTTAAAGAAGGCTAATGGCCGGTCAACTGTACACAAGAAAGACAAGTCAAGTCTTTGCAGATGAGGAGCATTACACAAGGAAAACTTAGACAGATCGGTCCAGACATACGAACTAAGTATGTCTATGGATTCAATATAGCTTTCAACAATATGCAGCTCTGTTATTTCTGAAACTGCCAGATAGGTAAAGCACGAGATAATACTACAAAACAACCATTGAGATACTCCGTAAAAATGAATCTTCTTAGGCCTAAAAGTAGCCATTCTACATATCTTTGTCACCAATTCATCCTTTTTGTATGGATCAAACAGTAGACCCGTGTCAATGAAGACTACTCCATTGAAATCAAACACAATACTATCAACTCTACGAATCAAAGAAATAATATAAAGCAAATACCAAGCTTGGCAGTACAAAGGAGGATTAGCAGGGGCGTTTTCATGACGTCTAAATATTATCTGCCGACAATAAAGATAATCAACATTAGATAGTAAGATTGCTTTTTCTTTAAGTCTGCTCAAGTAGATAATTGTAGTTACATTCCGATTAGAAAGATAGAAATTGATTTTATGGATACTAGCAGGACTTAAATCATTGATTATCTTGACACGTTCATTCACGAAAAAAGCTATCTCTTTCTCATCAGTATTTACAGTACAAGCCATAGCATTATCAGCGGTAAAGATAGAATCAACATATCTTTTAAGATCTAGCAAGACCTCTTTACCCATAATATCATTGTTTTTTACTGCCGTATTCAAACTATCAACATAATCCGGTAGTTGATCTTTTCTTTGATCGGGTTGATTGTTGTTAGATTTTTGTTTATCATTGTGGTGATCATGCCGCCGATTAGACCGAGTTGAATTCCGGCCATCACAAACCAATCTTACATCCCTTAAGATATGCCCAGATCGTTTAACCAAATGACTAAAAATCAAAACGGTCAGAAACCCAAAAGGAAAGAGACAAAGGATCAGGATTTGGTCTTTTCTCCACCTGGAAACCATGTATGTTCAAGACAATAATTTATTTATGATAGATAGGCTACTTGATTATCTAAACTTTATCTTCACATACCCAAAACTACCCTCTCACAGCTCCCAACCCAACAACATTCTTGCTGAATATCAAGCAAAGCCCATACAACAACAGGCCAACCAAGTAACGACCCAAGCCCAATACCAAACACCTTCCCAAGAAGGACAGTAGTTGCCATTTAGAAAGCGCAATCTTCAAATTTAAAATCAAACCCAATTCCCAGCTACTTTAAAAATCACGATGAAATATCGATTTGATTCCAATTCCAATCCAATTCCAACTACTAGATTTCGACCACTACCACCACCATCACAACCAACCCCACCCGATCACAACCAAACATTCATTGCTTCTTTATCTAGCACCAATGCCAAGCCAATCCAATCCAATATTTGATTCCAGGCAGTCTAGCTCAAAACACTATAACTCAGATAGCACATTTCAAACCAATCTCATAATGGCCTAGGAAGAGAATACCACGAATGAACAAGACTAATTTCTCAACTCTAAATAGAACTCCCTTAGCATAAGCCATCGCCCACCAACTAACTCAATTCTACTTCACCAAAGAACATTCAGTCAAGTCCACAAAAACATTACAAGCAGAACGTTCCAGCAGCTAATCTTCCCATTCTTAACCACCAAAACTCCACAGGGAAGCCTAATCTAGTCCCGAACTCTATCAAAGTCCGAGTATTATTTATATCCGCCCCCAACCAAACCAGACTTATCCCATCCCTCCAGCCACTATTTATACTTTAACTGATACAGATCTGTTTCATCTCCAGCCGCACCACCACCAGATTCCATCCCGAACCATCCAATACCCAAATACACACCAACACCAGCTCACATTGAGTTTGTAACCACAATTTAATCAACTTAACACAATCTAAATCTAAATTTAATCAACATAATCTAAATCTAATATAGTCAACTTAACATAATCTAAATCTAATATAGTCAACTTAACACAATCTAATCAAAAACACAATCTAAATTCAAACATAATCAAAAACCCAACCCAACCCAATCTAACCAAACCAAAAACCAATATCAACATAACCCAATCTAAATCCAACTCAACACAACTCAACCCAATATCAACACAACACAACACAACTCAACATAATCTAATCAAAAACATAACACAACACAATCTAAATCTAATCTAACCAAAAACAGAACACAACCCAAACACAACCCAATATCTAATCAAAAACATAATCTAAACTTAATCAAATCAAAAAACACAATCTAAATTTAACTTAACTCGATTTATAAGGTGTAAACATCTGAAGAGATATCCCGAGATCCTCTAATCGCATTCTCATGGGCTTTAAAGAGAATCTTAAAAGAATCAGGAATCTTACCATTCTCCCGCCAAAGCTTCCCTACTTGCAAGACCCGATTGTCTTTAATACTCGTCCAAATACTAATACGCACACAGTTCTTTCGTGGTGAAAGTACAGCCCCACAAATAACTCCAGCTAATTTCTCATCTATAGTAGATTCATTAATCACTAACTCACTACCTTCCATTTGTACTGTCCGTAGCATACATAGCTCTGATATACAGAATAGTAGTGTATCTGTCCAAACTTGATGGGCTAGTTGTGGTGAAGGTAATTCTAAAACCCATTTACCCCCTTCTAAGTTCCTTTGATCTTCCCACATAGGTAAAATATCCTTACGGAAGAAGTGTAAGTTAGAACTAATGGGTAGATCTTGAGTCTCCCCAATCTTATCAATGATAGCCCAAAACATTTCTGCATTATCAGCTATGCCTAATTGCTGAAGATTATCACTCCAATTGTCCGTATTAACGTACTTCTTCTCTTGAAAATCATACCAAAGTGTCCAACTTTCGTTTAATTGATGACGTTGACTAACTGGTTCGATACCCATACTCATACTATCCAAATACTAAAAAGTAAAATATAAATGAGCTAGTATGTGATAATGATATAGATATGGGTTGGTATTGAGTTGAGTGGAGTTATGTTGAGTTAAGTTGTGGTATTAGTATTGGATTGGGTGGGTTTTGGGTTAAGTTGAGTTGAGTAGGGATTGAGTTGGATTGAGTTGAGTTGATTTTGATGTGATATTAGTATTGAGTTAGTTTAAGTTAGATTGTGTTGGTAGAATGTTGGCATTGAGTTGGTATTAAGTTAGTAGTAAGTTGGTAGTAAGTTGGTATTGAGTTAGTAGGGTGTTAGGAGGGGAAGTTGGTGAGGTTTTCTATTTCGGACTCGCGGTATTGGCATAGGGTGGTGAAGAGTTGTTTTTGGAAGGTGTTGCTGAGAGTTTGGGTGTGCTGGAAGGATTGGGAGATTTGGTCGACTTGGTGTTCGAGGTTGGTGAGAGTGTCAAGTAGGTGCTCTAAAGTGGTGGTTAGGGAATCGGTGGTGGAAATATGGGCTTGGAGGGGATGGCCGGGGGCTTTGAGATGGTCGAGGGCTTGTTGGAGGCGGATGTTTTCGGTGTTGAGGTACTGGATTTGGGCAATGAGCTTTTGCATAGTAAGTTCGTTTTGGAGTCGGTCGGAGCCGAGTTTGACTTGTTTGGCGGTATTCAGGAATTTGAGAGTGTTGCGAGTTTCGGGTAGGTTTTCAAGATTGATGGCTCCGATAATGGCTAGTTTGGCGAAGCCGTTAAGTGAGTCACGAAGAATGAAAGTTAGTTTGGAGTCGCGGTAGTTGATGTGTTTGGAGCGGGTTTCGGGGGAAGAGAGGGCATAGATAATACGGCTGAGGTAGAGAAGGCTTTTGTTAATGGTGGCTGTTTCTAAGTATCTTTCTGGTCGGTGTTTTTTGGTGGATAAGTACTCTTCACTACTGGACTCAATCTTTTCGGACCCGGCGAGATCGACTAGTGTGATTTTAGAAGTGAGTAAGTCTTGGTTGGCAAGAAGGGATAGATGTAAAGTAACAATTAAATGACTGCGACTGCTAGCCGAATTAACACCATTAGAATCGGTTTTGCGATTGGCTGAACCACGAGTAAGGGCAGCTAAGGCTTGGGACTTATCAGTACACTCTATTAGGGTTAGTGGCTCTAAACCAACTCCAAGTTTGTCTTCACGGACATTAACAACATTCTCGGGACAAAGTACATCGGCTACTTTTTCATTGTAGATTTCAACCATCGAGATATGAACTTTACAGGGTTGGGCAGCAAAGACCTCTTCTATTGCCCGTGGAATTACACCTTGATTTTCGGTTGTGCCTTCCATGGTATAGGTTTTGCCACTGCCGGTTTGGCCATAAGCAAAGATAGTTACATTTGTACCATTCAGACCCAGTTTGACTAAAGAAGAGATGCTTGAATAGACTGGAGACTGATCTGGACCATAAAATACTTGATCAAATTCATATATAGTTGTGCTATCTAGAATAGAACGATCGGTAAAAGAAAAGGGGGTATCTGATTTCTTGCCTTTGATACGCAGAAAGACTTGAACTCGATCCATATCCAAATAAAACATTTACTATTCATAGATTATGACTGGTACATATGAGTGCAATGAAGTCTTAATGAAGTTACATGACTGGTATGATAGGATAGGATCGCCTCCTGGTTCATTTGATGAGGCTATTAAGAAACTCAATACTATTGTTGAAACTCGTAGTCGGCAACTTCATATCTTCTTCTTCCTTCTACTCTACTCTCGCACCGGCTCTGGACCATTCATAGTTCTGAACATGCTAGAAAGAATAAGCGAGGCTAAGCCAAACACTCCAGTTGGGCGCAAACTACGCGAATTACTGGCTTGGCCGGGTCCTGATGATGGACTTTCACCTGTTAAGATTATGGCCTTAACCATAAGAGATATTAAGCAGTTGTGTCTGGATAGTATCTCTTCGTATTTGGCCAAAGAGTTACGATTGGTGGCTAAACAAGTGGCTGAACTGGGTGATATACCCAATTCGACTAAGGCGCTGGTGCGATTGCCTGGTTGTACTTACTTCAATGCTTGCTTGATCATGGAGTATGTTTGGGGAGAAGTGGTTGGAATTCCTATTGGTAAAGGTTGCCGTAGAGTCTTAGCTAGACTTGGCTGGCTCTCTAAGTCTTTAACTAATAGTAGAGGTGTTCCGACCAAGCTGACTAATAAGCGGACAGAAGAACTTATTTCCCGGCGGTTTTGGCCTTATGTTTATCCTACCTTAACTAAACATGCCAAGTATGTATGTTTTTCTAACACTCCTAATTGTGAACAATGTGTAGTTAATGACTACTGTCCCTCTTCGCGCACTAAAGAGTATAAGGTTCACCGATACGTTGATAGTCTTTACGAACAAGGAGTACTCCCACGGCCAGCACCTTCACCTAGTCCGGAACAGTCAGTTAGTTCATCTAAAACCCTTTATTCTTTCAGTGAGAGTGAGTCAGAAGAAGAGCCAGAGATATGAAACGTCAATTTTTTCGCAGTCCAATGCATCATACGGAAATTCTGTCCATTGACGGCAATTTAGATCGAATTGTAGCGGCTTTTCAAAACAATCCAGTTGCTTTTCCAACTGAGACAGTTTATGGTTTAGGAGCAATAGTATGGCGGGAAGATCTTATTAAACGCGTATTTGCTATCAAAAACCGTCCGAATGACAATCCGTTAATTGTGCATGTATCAAGTCTAGCTATGCTTAGGCGGTGTATTGCTGGTGAGATACCTGCGATTTATCAGGAAGTAATTGATTTGTATTGGCCAGGTCCATTAACTCTTCTGTTTAAGCGAAGTGCTAGTATTCCTGATTGGGTAACGGCTGGTGGTGAGTATGTGGCCATTCGGATTCCTGATCACCAAGTAACTCTGAAAATCATTGATAAGCTAGATGCTCCTTTGGTTGGACCTTCAGCCAATAAGAGTACTCGACCCAGTCCTACAACAGCGCAACATGTGCTGGATGATTTAGCCGGTGACATTCCTCTGATTGTGGATGGCGGGCCTTGCCAGCAGGGAGTTGAGTCTACCGTAATCAATGGTTTAGTCAGTCCGCCGTTATTCTTACGACCAGGTGCCATAACTTTTGAGACTTTACAAGCACACATTCCCGATCTGGTCTTAGTTGGGGCTAAAGATAAGGCTACTAAAAGCTGTCCTGGTATGCGCTATAAACACTACGCCCCAAGTATTCCCGTTCTAATGATTCAAGGGGCTTTTAATGAGCAAATAACCAAACTACACCAAGTTTTAGCACAATCACCACATGCACCCCCGGCTATCGGCCTACTTCTACCCGAGTCACATTTAACAGCGCTCAGTCAATTTATTCCCAATGATAGCAACTACACAATCTACTCACTCGGACACACAATCAAAGACCACACGCATAAGCTTTTTGACGGCCTAAGGTATTTAGACAGGCATTGTGAAGTCATCTATTGTGTTAGCATTCCAGCAACTGATGAAGGCCGGGCTCTCATGGACCGACTATCCCGAGCTGCCACAGAAGCCATTTAAGTAAGACAACCACCACCCTAAAGCCAACTCAATACCACACTAAAGCCAACTCAAAATCAAAACAAACTCTAGGCACTACTTTACATAAGATAAACCCAAATCAAGATAAACTAAGCAACTGGTTATTTAAATTAAAGAGTTTAGAATTTTACATGGCTATCTGTCAACTTACTTTAGTCTTTCCATTTAGAGTATCTAGTCGTGAACATCGGGCCCAAATTAGCACTAGTTTGCTTAGAAAGGAAAACGTAGTGACTTTTGCTATTCCTCTCAATGCTTTGGTTACAGTAGAGGCAATTCATCCATATACAGTACATTACTCATCAGTAGCCGAACCAACACATCGTGCCATTTGTATCAGTTTCAAAAGTATTAATGATGCGATTGCTTTCGAAAAGAATCCAGAGGCACATTTAAGCCAAGCGCCGGCCGATGATCTACTCTCTTTAGATGAAGAGCTTGATCGTATTGCCTCGGAAATAGAGAAGACACACGAGTACTGGAAGAAGAAAAAGCGCGGCCAGTCATTTGATGATGAGGGATACCAGAAGGTGTAAGTAATCATCCAGCACATAACAATAAATACAGTCACTTACTTAGTCCAAATTAAGTTAGTATTAGGTTGAGGTGGGTTGAGTTGGGTTAAGTTGAGGTGGGTTAAGTTCAATTTATTGATTAAGAGGTAAGCTAGTATTGGGTTGGTCATAGATGGACAATGCAGCCGGCGAAGTAACAAATTAGATAGAAACCTGAAGGCTTTCAGGGGTAGTGAGTTGGCTAGAGCATTTATCTATTTCTGAAGTTGCAGGATAACTGAGTACTATAACTTAATTCCAATTGATCTGCTTATAAGATAGATAGACCGTGTCTTTTTTACATACTGGGCTGGATTGAAAGTTCAAATGACAGGCTATCTAAAAACATAAATCTAGTTTAGTAGTTAACTAAGTACATTTTAGCTAATAGAACATTGGGTTTTAATATAATTATTATTTTGAATTTCCCTTTTAGGAAATATCCTAATTGGGTAATGAGTATAAATTCATAGGTCAAATTTTCAAGATCAAACTAATGCTATTAAAGTTTGGAACGCATAATAACAATCGGTTTACAAAAACGACCTTGTTATGTTGGGGTATAGTTACGATTGGGCTAGGACTAGTGCTAAGTTTCATATACTTTAGATACTGGGCGGCCAAAGAGAAGATATACACTAAACTCTGTGGGGATAAGGACACAAGCCTTTATGAAGAGATAAAACTTGCCAATGGAATGCGAGTGGTTGTAGTTAGCAATCCAGATACAACCAAAGCAGCAGCAGCTCTTTCAGTTGGGGCTGGCTTTGCTAATGATCCTACTGAACATCCAGGGCTGGCCCATCTTCTGGAGCACATGCTTTTTATGGGCAGTGATAAGTATCCAGAAGAGGACTATTACAGTAACTTTATCGTTGGTAATAGCGGGGTTCGCAATGCATATACGACCCTGTTTGAAACCAAGTACTTTCATGCCCTGCCGGCTGAACATGGTAGAGAGGCCCTTTCTATCCTCAGTCGGTTCTTCATTGATCCGCGGATTAGTGAGAATACTTTGGAGCGAGAAAAGAAGGCCGTTGATAGTGAAATGAAAATGAATCGATCCAGCAGTATTAGTCGTCGGCTTCTGTTGGTGTTGAATTTAATCAAAAAGACCCATCCAATGTCTAAATTCCCGATTGGCTCGGAAGAGACTCTAGCTAATGCTACCCGGGCTGACTTAATGAGTTTCTGGAAGTATCACTACACACCGAAGAATATGACTTTGGTCATCTTTGGCAAGGAAAGTCTCAAAGAGTTGAAGGGGTATGCTAAAGAGTTCTTTGGTGATGTCAAGGAGCACAAAGACGCCAAGTGGGAATTTTCCGGGAAGCCTACTCATATCGAACCTACCACTAAACGCGACCATTCTGACAAGTCTTATGAACTTACAACTAAAGAGACAAGCAACAAGATTGTGTACTATCGGCCGTATAAAGACGAGGAGTCTAATACTCAGCTTGTTATATACGTCTTTTTGCCGGCATTACAGTTTGTTTATCGGGAACATACTTTGAGCTTTTTGATTAAGATGATGGAAGATAGTAATGATGGGAGTCTCAGTTCAATTCTGCTGAAAAACAATATCACATCTTCTGCTAGTGTGGGTTCAGACATGGAGAAAGATTCAACTCATTTTGAATTTCACTGCACTCTCCTACATGCTACTCCTGAGAAGATTGCTAGTGTGTTGAACTTAATTGAAGCTTATCTCAAACTGATCAAAGAAAATGCCTCTGAGAAACTCTATCAGAAGTACGCCAAGCTTATGCAGAAGCAAAAGCAGAATCTGGCGCCGGTTAGTCAGTTGAAAACCGCCACACAAACAGCCACTAGCTTGGCCTATCGCAAACTTGAGGACGTTTTCACTGGCGATTATGATTGGACTGGCTTCAACAAAGAAGATTTTGATTATATTCTCAGTATTATGACCGACCGGTCTAACTGGCTAGTTATGGTTGAAACTAACAATCTTTTCCCGAACAAGCCCCTTTTATCTACTCCCCATTTTGACGTGAAGTACTTCATTGAAGAAGTCTCTAAAGTAACTGATTTGGATATTGATGCCCTTCAAAGCAAGCTTGCTTGGACAGCTAAGGACTTGGCAGAGGAAGTGGACTTCTCTACTGCTCGTGGCAAGAATGTCTCATATTCCCTAGGATCAACGTTCAAAAACATCAAAGAATGCGATATTCCAGCCGATAAAGAGATTGAACACTTTTCCATCACTGAAGATGGCTTCGAAGCCCATTTAATCCACAAGCGAGACATCCATTCCAAAGATGCCCGTATCACTATCTATTTAGGATCTGATGATATTTATAAGAACATCAGCACCTTTGTTTCTTTCACCGGGTATACGAGAGCATTCCCTAATAACTTCTTCCTTGCCCACAATGAAGAAATGCAGATGTCCGGCGTATCGCTTGAGCCTATCATTGAACGATTTGGCGCTGTGTCAATGACTTTCACCGGCAACCCACTTGTGCTTGAAGATCTAATTCGGATCTTCTTTAAAGAGTTCAATGAAAGGAAAGAAGAGCTGCTTACTCAAACAATTAACGCCGCGATAACCAAGCATAATGGCTTAAAGCAGTCAATTCCCGCTGAGAAGCTCGCCCCAGGTCTATTTAGGAGCAAAAACTACTACAAGTATCTAGATGATGAGGCTTGCATTAAGGCAGCTCATAACTTAACCATCAAGGACTTCTTCTCTATCACAGAAGCAGACATTAAGCTTTATGCCATTGGCAATCTCACTCAGTCCGAATTCGCTCGTATTTGCCAGGTCGTTAAAGCCAATGTCACGCCTAATGCCCAAAAGAAGTTCGTCTTGCCACAGCCATCCTTGACCCATGTTGATGTGGCCGTGCATGACCAGGAGAACATCGCTCTCTTAGTATCCCATGAGGTGACTAAGTTTGGGTCAGTCAAAAATCTCATTATCGCCGATTTGATTTGTCGGTTCACAGCCAACAAGTTCGCTGATAAGTTACGAACCAAAAAATCATACGGATACATAGTCCAGACGGGCTCTATCCCTTTATTTGCCCAAAGCCATCTTATCTGGGTAGTGCAAACCACTTATCCCTACGAAACAGTCAAGACAGAAATACTAGAATTTATTGCCACTATCGCCTCTTTAATTCGAGATCTCTCCTCTACAGACTTTGAAGGAACCAAACAATCATTGATCGCGTCCTACCAACATAAAGTCGGCAACCAACAAGAGTATCTCACCCAGCGCCTCAACTTCTGGCGCTTCCATGGCTTTGACATTAATCATTTCGATAAACTGGCCGAATTAACTGCGGCTGTAACCCAAGAGGAGCTGGTCGACTATTGTGCCACTGAGCTTTCCAAAAACATCACCACTGTACTCGCCTCTAGCCAGGTGACTACGTCTTAGTGTCTCTTCTATACACAACAATAAATCCTTTTGGTAGCTTATGATTGTCCGATTTAATCAATAGTTTATTTTGACTGTTGTTTTGATAATCTGCATTGCCTTGGCATTGCGTTAGTAGAGTGATTCAAAGGGGACAAGACGAAGTAAAGCATTGGGATAAACCAGAAACAAACAGAAATGCTTTATGCCGAGCTTAGCCCACGAAGTTCTTCCGTCGCCACAGACAATACAGGACCGTATAATAGCCAGAGAGAGCCGCCTCCAATGAAAGCACATTTTAAGAGTCGCGCCCCTACTATGTAAGGCTTAATTGAGAAGAAGTCGCCTTTTAGGGCTAAGTATTCTTCAATTGTATCCATCGGGGGTGCTTCTCGGCCGATTAGTCTTATCACACATCTTGTGCACATCTCGGCCCAGTATGTACTAGTTGTCGCTAGACTTTGGAAAACCAGAACAGAGATAAACCAAATATGAGCCGCCGAGCCTAGACATGCAATTGTAGGAGGGGCGCAAAGCAGCTTCATAGGGAGGAAATAACAGGTAAGTATCATCTTGCCATGAATAGACCAAGAAATCCACACTTGTTTTAAACTACGATGAGTATGCCAAAAAACCGGGCGTCCACCACCCAGATAACAGCAGAGCCCATAGATCTCTCTAGAAAGTAGCAACAGATATAAGCAATTCCAGAAACCCAAAGTCAGCACATATGCCAGGGCCGCCCACACACTATCATCTTTAGTCACTTGCATAGTCAACGGCTCCAAAATGAGACTGTCCAGGTTTACAGTCAGACAGTTATAGATGCTAACGAATAAAATCGCGCCAAACAGTACATCGCCGGCAGCGATCATCATATACCATGGGCAAACGCGCGACGAACTTCTCACCAAGTGTGACTGATTATGGCAGGCTTCGTTGCTCTTAGGCTTGTTCCAAAATAGACGATAGTTTCTGTATATACTAAGTGCAAAAGTGGTGAACAGATATAGATAGCTAGATATCAGAACAATGCACATAGAGCTGGGCAGAGTTGTGGTGGGTGTTATGAGAGGCAGTACTGTTTCTTCGAATTTAACAAGTAAGCCTAACATTATAAACCTGAAGATTAGGCTTAGACATGAAGAAAGCCGGGCAATTGCATTTTCAAACAGAGCTAGCGACTTTTTTGCCTTAAGATTGATATACGTGGGTGTTTTTAATGAGAAAGGTACAAAGAAAGCAGGGCCATGTGGAGGGGTTGTAGTTACTTCTTGGTCTATGCTAGCCACGAACCGGGCCGGCGCTAGTGTTTTCGGAATGGGTTTATTTGGTCCGTTGGTTGGTGAATCTAGGTTTTGACTCATAGAGCCGTTGGACTCCTTTTGCCCCTCATTCCCAGCAAGAGCTAGTTTAGACTCTGGAGACAAAGCTACTATATCCGCCTGTATATCATCATCTAACTCCATATTGCATAGGTCCGAAAAGACCTTAGAGACACGATGAAGATCTGTTGTATGGGCTGGTTGGGTCAATGAAGAATTGATCATTCTTTGACTGGCCAGAGAGCTAGCGACTGGTATTTCCGCATGAGTAATACCACGATTTTGTGGCACATGCGGCTCACCGGATTCAGCTAAACTAAGATGTTTAAAGTAAGAACATATCTCGCCAGTTGTCGTCGTTGAGGCGCTCTTTTTATTATCAGGCCTAATCTCCCCTTCAAATTGAGATTCACACCCAGTGGTTACAACATCTGTAGCTGCCACGCCATTGGCTTTATGGTTATTCTCTTTATCTTTCATATCTATTTTAATAAACACTTTCATATATAGTTTGCCCGATCAATTTTGTGACCAACGAAGCTATTTGATACGAGCTGGAGCTCATTTGTCTCGGCCTATGAAATCTCAGTGGCATGCTTGTATTTAGATAGACTGAGATAGCCTTGTGTAAAAAACCAAGATTAATCTTGGAACTTATGGCCGTTTTGTTTCTTCCGCCGTATCTATGTTTTATTGTGACATAAATAAACACTAATGGCCAAGAACGATCTTTATTGACTAGAACTTGGTTGGGGATTAGATTTTGTTGGGGGAATGGATTCTAGGACTATTAGGTCATCGTACTTTTCCCAGATACTGAATTTGGCGTAGACCACAACCACCACAACCACCACAACCATTTACAACAGCACTATTCAACGCATTCTCATCTAAATCGCTATCTGAGCTACACCAGGCAAAGCACAGTCCAATAACCAAGAAAATTACTTGCTAAACATTCAAGTAGTATCTATTCATGCTTCTTGTGTTTATTCTACAACTTGCTATCTTATCCCTACTTCTAGGCCATTGTTTAATATAGTGTAATGAGCAAACAAGCGGCAATATATCCATATGCAGCCATTTCAAAACAAACGCATATCTGTTTTGGTCTAATCAAAGCCAAACAACACAGTTAATTCAATTGTAACAAGAGACACTTCGTAGTATTGCCATTAGTCTTGATGTTTGCGAGTATATCAGGTTGTATGGTTTGCCTATACGCCAACAACTAACTAAACCCAATGTTACGTTACAGTATTTAGCTGGTGCGTTGATAGGAATAAAAACAATGATTCGATATCTAGAGACGGCATTGATTGCCTAGTTAGTGCTCAATAGAATACATTTATTCTAAGAGCATTGCTACAACCCAATACCAACCGGCCTAAAGGCATATTTAATCTCAGTGGTGACATTTTTAGCTGAATGCGGCTGCAGACGAAGCCTCATCCTTTGTCATGAACATGGTGATAAGCGGTGTATTAAGCGGTATCTGGCTAGCCTATCATTTGTGCCGATGTAGCTCTTTATTATACTACTCTATGAAAAGATAGCTGAATTTAACCATTACGGGTATCCCACTGCATAGAGTATGTTTTGGCATGATTCTTCTATCAATTCAAACACTCCTTTGGCGATATAGTTACTTCGGTCTTGGCATAGTGTGGAAGGATGGCTAACTCGGTTGTTTTGATTAAAATGGTAGATAATCGACAAATACCAATAAAACGCAAATGGGCACCAAGTTTATTAGGTCTCAATTCGGTATTTACCAATTAGTTTGCTTGTGTGCTTGTGTATGGCTCGTTTGCTGCCAACAGATAGGAAGAAGCAATGACTATGTAGAAGGGCCATTGGACAGTTTAGACAGACTGGGGCTAGCATTGCGAACTATGATAACTTCTCTCTCCGGGCTACTAGTATGGCTACAGCAAGTGCCCAATGAAATAAGTAGAAGAGTTCCTTTGCTGGGGCTGTCTGAAGAAGCAATTCGAACACTAAACCGAATAATGCAAGTAATGGGCCGCTTGCAACTAGTGACAACCGAACAAATGGAGCTAGCAGTGGCACGGCTATTAATAGTTGAATTGACACAAAACAATTGTCTGGAGGAGTTACTGCTAATCAATCGAGCCTTACAAGCACTACAAAGCCGGTATAACGAACTGCTTGCCGCGAATCGTTTGCCGGGCCGAGAAGAACACCAATTCAATGAAGCTTTGGTAAGACAAGCAAGACTGCCACTATCTCAATGGCCAATAGACGATAAAGACATAGAGGTTCTTTTTGATCTTTTCTTAGCTGATAAGTATTCTGAACCAGTAAACAAGGTCGCATCGTTCAAGCAATTGTTTTTGGCATATTACAACCCTTACAATCCTTGTTGGTTTGAACTATCTAGTTGTCATAATCCACCAGATAGATATAATGCATGCTTGAATAACAACTGGACTGAAAACGCCTTGGCAAACCTATTGCGTGTTTTAAAGAAGTGCACTCGAATCCAGATCAAGATATTTCGCATCCAAATAACCCACTCACACATCCACACTACGATCCCTATCCTCTTTCGTCTTTTATCAATAATCCGACCGCCACGACATCGGCATAAAGCATTATATATCAACATTTCTAGATTGGAACCAGCATCCAACCCAAACCCACTCTCGGCCGAATGCCCACTGCTGCCTGATGGTTTCCAAATGCCAACGCAAAGCACTAATTGGCCGCAATATAATATTACAATAAGGCTCAATAACATTACTAAGCCCAACCAAGTAGCCCTCTGGCCAATACTTTCGTCCTTTCCAATATCATCCTTATCAATATATACGCCTCTAATTCAGAAGATTGACTTTCTTGACAATATAAACTGGACAGACAACTACGTTCTAATTTTGAAACTCAACACACCCAACACTATCCTCACCTTGCCACCCCCGCCCACTATCAAGGGAACAACCAACCGACTTACCTGCCAGCAACTATCTATTACCACCGACCTACCCTTAACCTACCCCAACCCAAAACTCGCACACTACCCAAACATTGTAGTTATGGGTCTTAGTGATTATCTCCAGCCAATTAGCCACCGCAACCCCGGCATAGCGCAAGTTCAAAAAGTAGTTTTGACTATCAACATTCTGATATCCTATACTGTCTTTGATCTCAACCAATCTATGTTTATTGCACAACTCGTAATAACTGAACTTCCTTCTAACCTTACTCCACAAATAGCCCAAGACATACACGCCCAACTAATTACACTCCGCTCCCAATTAGCCAATCAGGATCCATCTTCTAATTATGATGCTAACCCCAACACACCCCAATACCAGATTCTCACCCACGCTCTAAGTCTCGTCTTTCGGGAAGGAGCCGGAATAAACTGCAACAATCCGCCCACTAGCCATCCATTCTTCGCCTGCTGCCCCTATCTACTAACCCAATACTAACCCAATGCCAGTTGAGTTACATAAAAGTCGATGTTAATGTGAACATTGCGCCATCTTTGATCTTGGGAGTACTATCGCAATGGGTGAACCAAGTATCATTATGGGTGTATCAGTAGAGGGTCAAGTGATATCAGCGCAGCAAGTATAAGTATCCCAATAATACATAGAACATGGAACGCCTAGACAAAAGAAAGTCTTACATCATTGGTGCAATAGCACTTAGTATCCTAGTTATCGGCAGTGGCGCCGTGTATATCTACTTCCATAATCGCGACATCACTAACCCAAACAAAGCTAGTACTAACCAACCTAGCCAGTCAAAGCCAGGCACAGAACCACCTACCAATCCAGAAGACAAAACCACTCCCCCAGCTCCCAGCGCACCCATCGAAGAGCCCTGCAAAGCTCCAGCAGAAGATTCCGGTGACGCGCTTTCTAGCTACACACCAGCAACTATCAACACAACGAACCTCTTCCCAGATCCTAAACCCACCGAACTCCAAGCAGATGCCGAGAAAGCCGAGCTACTAGAATTCCTAACCAAGCATATCATCCCCACCACCGCCAAACCCGCCGAGAACTCAAGCCCCAGCAAGATCAGCCAACTCAAGCAATCATTGAAGGATAAATTCGCACAAGCCAAAACCAAATTCCGAGCACTCTTTAAGTTCAAACCAACAACTGATCCAGAGCCAACTCCAGAACCCCAACCAGCTCCAGAGCCCCAACCCAAACCCAATACTAGTCCAATCGCACCAATGCAGACTTCTGAAGCTATCAAACTCGAACTAGATCCCAATACTAAGCCGCCCTACCAACAGTACATTGTAACTACCTCCCCCACTGCCACCTGCTACTGCATTACTGTCAACGCACTTGTTAATGACATCCGACTCGCCCAGATAAATACAATCAAAGTGCATTCAGTCATGCTCATCTGTACCAATGATGAACAGTACCAAAAAATCAACCCAGTCACTTTCCACGGTCTCTTAGTTCTTCTTGAGAAGTTCGAAGGCCTAACTTCACTCATTGTCCACATGCCACCCGAAAAGACCGCCATTGATACTAACCCAACCGAGGCTAACCGAGAGCAAATACAACTCAGCCGCCAAAACGTCATAGACCGTCTCTTCACCAAGATAGAAACTCTAAAACTATACGATCTTAACGACGAGCTTTTTAATGAGTTCATCCAATTCTTCACACACGAAACAGCCCAACGACTCACCCGTCTTGAAATAGGCTGCACCAACCTCCAAAGCATCCAACCACTCAGCACCAAGAAATGGTCCGGCCTCAAGAGACTTACCCTAACCAACGTCACCCCCGAGAAAGAAAAGTCGTCCGGCTACCAGGAGTACTTTGCCACTCTCAAAGAAACACTATCATCTACCGAATGTTGCATTAAGTGATTTATTACTATCAACATCATCAATAAATTATTACTTGATTTAGATTAGATTGAGTTAAGTTAAGCTGACTTGAGTTGAGTTAATATTATGTTAAGTTGACTTGAGTTAAGTTAATATTAGGTTAGATTGGGTTGAGTTGACTTGACTTGAGTTAATATTAGATTGAGTTAGTTGGTATTAAGTTAGTTGTTGGTAATATCGAGAGTTTTAAGAAGGAGACAAGCTTTACAAACTCCAGAACTCCCAGAGCATTGCCGGGCACAAATGGAACAGGGCTTAGTCACTCCCTGCCCACTTCTATTTCTCTGCACTAAATCACCCGATTTGATAATCAACTTAATGGCCGCTGGATCTTGCTTTTCTAAGCTCTTAATGTACGTCCGAGCTACTCCCCGAAAAGCCCCAGGTGAGTACTTGCACTCTGTTGAGAAGTAAGGCAGTTTACGATAAAAGGCATACATAACAATCTCCTTCTCATAAACACGCATTAAAGGCTTGCACCGTCTTACTACTCCTTCTACACCCATATCAGTCACTCCTTTCGTACATCTAACCAACCTACTTATATCCCCTCGCAAATAGTTCATAATAACCGTTTCGGCCAAATCATCAGCATTATGCCCAGTTGCAATCATATCCCCACCTAACTCACGTGCTCCATCCTCCAAAGATCCCCGTCTAAATACACCACAGTACGTACAATTATTCTTGCGCCCAATTTGAGCCACAACTCCATCCATGGAAATCTTGAACTTTTCTTGGTAGCTCGTAATGAGCAAAGGCAAACCTAAATCCTGCTCATTCTGTTTAACTACAGCAATAGACTTATCTCTATACCCGGCAATTCCCTCATCAATACACAAGAGTTTCAAATCAAGACCATACTCATATCTTTGATTAAGAAGGGCTAAAATCGATGCCAAAACCGTTGAGTCTTTCCCACCACTCACCCCCACCACCAAAGTACGCACTCCCTTAAACATATCCGTTTCCAAAACAGTTTGATGAACTTCCATCTCAATCGCCGCCAAAAAACACACCTTGCACAACTTATCGCGATTTGAAGGTCTAATAACAACAGCCGGCGCCCGACTACACGTATAACAACTCATCGTAATAAAAAAAGAGGCCAATCGGTTGCTATCTACCATAAACAGTAATTCTAAATCTAAAGCCAAGTTTCACTACCAAAACACCCGATGCGCACCGAGATTAAAAAGGAAGCCCAAAAACTAGCTCAAGAAGCCCAACACGTCTACCTAGCTATCAACCAACACAATGCCCACTTAGAAACTCTCGAACGTCAAACTCAAAAAGTAGAACACAAAAGCATCAAACTCGCACAAAAACTACTCCAAACCATGCGTACTATCCAAAAGGATGGCCGTAATACTATCATTGCTATTTTGGTTTTTACTATCGTTATCTTACTGATATACTTAGTCTAACTCAAATTTTTTCGAATGACGAAACACGAGAACAAAGTTGTTATTAAGTTGGGCCAAATTACACCCGCCTTTGCTAAGTTAGTGCTTGATTGTCGGTCCTGGTTCGTCCCTGCAGTGTCTAAGAACTTAATTGAAGAGAAGAGTTGGAAAATCAAAGATTACGTCAAGTTAGCTAAACATTTCCTTTCTTCTCACATACTGGCCTTTTCACAATCAGTTGAACATAACAATCTTAAGATTATCTCATTACGTGAGAATGGTAAGACTTTCTATTTTAAAGTATGCAAATATCTCTTATCTCCTTCTTTGTTCAAAAAAGATCTAGGATTTAATGCGCGTAATAACGGTTATTTAGTTATTCCTTTTAATATTGATAAGTCCGATCCAATTTATGAGATGATTGATGAGATGAAAAGAAATGCACCTAATTCTTATCTTACTTCACGTGCTTTGGTTATTAAAGGTCTTGGTGATCATCAGTATATCTTCTCTCACTATCTAGTACAGAAAGAAGAGAAACCGGGTCAGGCTAATTTAGTTAAACTATCTTTACAAGAGATAGGACCTCGGATGGAACTTAAGCTGCAAAAGATTGAAGAAGGTATCTGTTCTGGTGAAGTACTCTATCATACTTATATTCAGAAGACACCAGAAGAACTTAAGGCTAGAGAAGAGGCTTTACAGGCTAAACGGGCTTTGCGATTACAACGACGTAGTGAGCAAGAAGAGAACGTGCGTAAGAAGAATCCTAAACGGGTTAAGTTAAGTGGAGATAAGGAAAAAGATAAGAATGATAGTGAAGGTAGTGAAGGTAGTGATATTAGTCAGTCAGATAGTGGGTCAGAGGAACAATCCGATTGGTCTTCAGCTAAGGAGAACATGCCCTAGTTTGGAGTTGAGTTGAGTTGAGTTACGATGTGGTGCTAACTTTGTGCTAACTTGATCTTAACTTGATCGTTTTTAACATAGAATAAACTCTAACTTGCTATATTGTATTAGGTTGTGTTTAGTAGGGTGTTGTGTTTAGTATTGGGTTATCTAATCTGTGATTTTGATTTTGATTGTGTTGAGTTAGTTTGAGTTAGTATTATGTTAGTATTGAAAGTAGTAGGTTGTAAAATAGCAAATATGTTATTATCCTAACCTAACCCAACCCAACTCCAACTCAATACTACTCATAATCAATAAATTGAACCTATCCTCACCCATCCTCACTCAACTCAACCTCACTCAACTCAACCTCACACAACCTAATACCAACCCTATCTTATGGCTTAGCTGGATTAGAATGTATTGAGTTAGTATTGAGTTGGTATTGTGTTGGTATGATCTAGTAAAGATAGATGTAGTAACGCAAGGTATGATTGGGTTAAATTGGAGTGGGTTGTTGAATGGTAGGAGATAAGAGGTGAAATATGAAATGGTTTGGAGCTATAAAGGGGTTGGAGAGGGGTAAAGGATTGAGAAGATAAGGATTATTGGCTGATAAGGGGGTGGAAATAGAGGGGACTCTTTTATTTTCACTTTTTTGTAACTTGTGATGATCAAACTAATGAATAAGAATTATTTCGAAAGAAAACCATGGTTTCTGGCTATTATTGGGTTGGGATTTGTTGGGTTGGGTTGGGTAATGGTTGTTTTTAGTCGAAATAGGAAAGATCCTGATCAGATGATCAATGAAATGCCTACTAATCAGCCAAATGATGTTTTGATTGATGACGTGTCAATTTCAAAATCTGGACAAAATAATAGTAATCCTCTCATCCCAATGGATTATGATGAATCAAGATTTATTTTGGATGATTTATCGGTAGTTTATGTAATTCAGAACACAGATGAACAAGTGTTGGAGCATGTTGAATTGTCGTTTTTGAAATCTCCTTTGGTTTATAAGGAGTGTAAATTAGCTAAGGTGGTTGATGTTTCTGAGAAGGAATATACCTTGCATTTAGATGGTGAACATAAGTACTTGCCTACTTACTTGGTTAATATCTGTAAATGGATTATTGTTCAGAAGTACTGGATTACGGGTATTGAAATTAAGTTGGCGGTTCTTTATTCTTCTTTGGCCGATCTTTTGAAGTATACGAATGCTCGAGTTGTGACTTTGGTTGAGTGCCGGATTGGATTAGAGGCTTTGGTGGCTTTAGGAGGGTGTTCTTTGTTAGATACTTTGATTATAGCTAACAATTGTAAATTTATAGATATGGATGTGAATGGTGCAGGACATGATACTGGCTTATCGGTGGTTAGTCCTGGGCCTAAATCCAGTTGGAAAGTTTCGGTATCCTATCCGGCCACTCTTATTATTGCTAACCAGAAGGAAGGTTTAGTGGCCACTTTGTTACAGACAGTTCGGTTTGCTAATTTGCGTTCATTAGAGCTGAAGAACACAATGCTTACCGATTTAAGTGTTTTGGGGTACGTTGATGCGACTGGAGTACAAGAACTGTATATTGTAAATGAGCTGAATTTAGCTAAAGTATCTCTAGCGGGTATTGCTAAATGGACTAACTTGCATACTTTAGTGATTTGCAAGAACCAGATTGGCTACCAGATTGAACTATCTGAACTGGGCTATGAAGCACTTAAAAAGCTTAGGACCCTTCAGATTGAGCACTACTTATATGCTAAACTGATTAGCCATCGGCTCATTAAGTTTAATAGTGAGAATGAAATTACTATTCTGGTTGAACACCCGCCTAAAACTCTCTATGGTGAAGTTCGCACGATTAAGTGCTTTTTTGACCCGGCTACGGCTTACATTGAAGTATACATTCCCTTGGAAGGACTTGATCTGGTGTTAATGACTGAAATGAGATACCCATTCGCACTGCTTAAACCTAAAACCCTCTTTATTGATTGCATGACTAAAAATGCGATTGTTCTCCCTAAACACGATCTGGTTTGGAAAGGTCTGTCTGAATCGTACAAAGATGCCTCCTCACTTAAAACTCTTATCATTAATTCGGTCCAACAAACCGGTCCTATCAATACCCCAACTAATACTTACTTTGCCGATATGAAGTACTTTACCCAAGTCACTCAGTTCCTTTGGGAGTTTATTCAGCTGCCCAATACTAAACTACTGATTGCTCTTCGTCGTGCTAATCCAACTCAAACTCCAGCCGCCACTCTATTTGTACAGACTCCATTAGAAAGAAGGTTCTTCCCCTTCCTAACCCCAACTCTTAAACAAATCCTAAGCTAGCTTGCCCAATAATAACCTAGATAAACAGCTAGTCAGACTAATAAATATATCAACTATTCTTATAACCTAATACTAACCCAATAATACTAATCCAATACTATCATTCACCAACCCAAACTAATTCCGAGTACTCACTTGCCAACTCTTAAGTCTAGTAGCCGCTTCAGTAAGTGTTTCAGAGGAAGTTGTTACTTTTAAGTTCTTCTGCACCCATTGACTTATCTTGCTTTGGTACTTGATAAAACGAGTATCCAATAGAATTACATAGCAATAATCACTCGCTTTCCGAACAGCCCGGCCAATTGTCTGATTAACCACACACATAGCTCGGTCAATAAAGAACTCTTTTCCTTGTAGTTTAAGTTGGTAAGCCGTTTCCGCCGTAGGTTTAGGCAATGGCAGTCCCCCAATAATCAGCACCCGGCACAATTCATCGGCAAAGTTAACTCCTTCACTAAAACACCCGCCCATAACACAGAATAGCAAAGCCTTCTTCTGTTGCGCAATCTTCAAGCGGTAAGTAGCTAAAGAACTATCTCCTTCAAACAAACACTCAATCCCCTTATCTAAAGCCAAGCCCCCATCCATTTTCTCCTTCATTTGACCCACGCGTTCTTTACACATCCCCAATACATCCTTAGACTGAACAAAAACCAGCACGCCCCCTGAATCTATCCGCTGAACATGTTCTACCGCCAAATCACAAATCTTACGCACCTCTATCTCACGCCGCGGGTAAGTAAAAAGCGCGTCATTACAGAGACTAACTACTATATTCTGACATACGGCCGGATAACTCTTACTCACTACTTCCCGCTTAAACAACTTACCTATATCAGTTGAGGGAAACAAAGTCCCACCAATAATCAGCACACTTTTCGCACTGTTCAAGTGACTAAGAAACTCCCCTGGTAAAACACTCTTCAAAACCAACCGCTCTTCACTCGCCATCACATAACTACTCTTATCACACCGACCCAAAAGTTCAGCTAATTTACCCATCTGGTCAATACACACTCCCACCCGGTTTTCAATATCACTAGCTCGTAAAGGCGCAATCCATCGGCCCGGTCGGTACTTCTTAATACTTTCCCCAATTTGCAACAGATCAGTCTCCGCCAAGTCACACAAGTAAATAAACCGATTAATCCCAACTATCTCCCCATCTCCACTCAGTCCGTACTGGTACACCTTCTCCATCAAAATGTACAGTTCCAAAACCATTACTCGTTTCTTCCCAACTTCCTTACCCAGGTACTCTTTCGTTTCATGCAAGGCCATCTTTATCTCATTCAAATCTACCTCCACCGAATTCTCTTCTACCACACTCCCGTACAAATTATGTCCTTCATCCACAATCACCAAAGCATCACTAGCCCAAATCCGGTACTCTGCAAAGAAGTCCGGCTTCAGAATATGCGAGTACGGCAGAATAACAAAACCACTCCGTGGCACTTGATTACGCAAGTAGTAATAAGGACACTCCCCACATTCCCGTCCCCGTTTAACAGCCGCCTCAATACTAATTGTCTCCTGTCTCTCTCCTAAACCACCCCGATGGGTCTGCCACTTATTGTAATACGCACACTTCTTCTGAGCAACCACCAACTGGCAAGCATGATTAATATCCACTGATTCCCGCACTCGTTCATGAATACAAGTCACTCGCCTACTACCCAGTACTACTCCTAAGTACTTCCTACCCACCACTCTATTCAGCCAAGCCAACTCTTTAACCACCTGATCCATCTGTTCATGTGTCCGACAAGCATAAATCACTTGTTTCGGCCTAGTCTTATACAGCTCACCCAGAATCTGCACATTTTCCACCGATACTCCTCCTAAATCCACTTCCTCACCCAAGTATCCCATACCAATCAGCAAAGCAGAGACTGTCTTCCCCGTCCCAGTCGGACTCTCAAGCACCCCAAGACCACCCCCATCCACAATCTCCAATCCATCCTTTACCATCTCCAACTGCCCCGGGTACAATCTAATCCCCGACAACTCACCCACTAACTGAGCCAAATCTAACCCGCGCCCAACCATAAAAATACTCACTCACTCCCAACTCCCCTTTCAACTACCACAACTACACTCTCTCTTGGGTTAGTATAAGATAGCAATCTACTTTACTTTACTATACTGACTACTAAGTGAATACCAACTGAATAACACATAATATACTGACTACTATATTCTACTTTACTGAATACCAACTGAATGACATATTATAATATACTCTATTGACTACTTTACTTTACTCTACTGGCTACTCTACTCTACTGAATAACATACTCTACTCTACTTTATTGACTACCAACTGAATAGCATACCAACTCTGCTGACTAACATACTATAATATACTCTATTGACTACTCTACTGGTTACTCTAGTGACTACTCTACTGGTTACTCTAGTGACTACTCTACTTTACTTTACTATATTGACTACTCTACTGCATACTAACTGAATAACATACTATATTCTACTTTACTGACTAACATACTTTACTGACTAACATACTTTACTGACTACTATACTATAATATACTTTATTGACTACTTTACTGAATAACATACTTACTTTACTGACTACTTTACTGAATACCAACTGAATAACATACTAGCATATACTCTACTGAATATCAACTGAATACCATACTAACTCAACTCAACTCAACTCAACTCAACTCAATACATAATTTAACGCAACTTGTTGTTTATTAGTTTGTCGTTCCATCCATAGCTTACTTAACACAAGAAGCCATAGCTGCAATCTTTGACCAATGATCAGCACATTCCTTAGCTACTGGCCCAGAAACTGCCGTTCCTTTTGGCTCACCTTTAGGAGTAATAACCACTGCTGCATTATCTTCAAATGAAATGAAAAGACCCTCTTTACGCCGCCAAGACTTCCTCTGTCTAATTAACACAGCTGGAACAACCTTCTTACGCATATCTGGCTTACCCTTCTTAACTGACGTAATCAGAATATCTCCAGGTGAAGCAAAAGGCAACCTACTTAAAGTCGTTCTAGGACCTTTTACTGCAATGATTTTAAGGACATTCGCGCCACCATTATCGGCACACTTAATTACTGAACCTACTTGGACACCAGGAGTCATCCTATATCTGCCACCAATACGCGTAATACCCGACTTTTCGTTCTTGCCTACCATTACTACAGGGGAATGGAAAAAGAAAAGAAAAATGGAAGAGACATCTCAATGGGGTAGATTTAAAGCGATAAGAAAGATAGGCGAAGGGACTTTTAGTTCTGTCTTTCTAGTGGAGGATAAGAAGACCTGTCGTGAATTAGCTCTTAAAAGAATTACTCAGACCACTGCTCCTTCTAGAATAGCTAATGAGTTACGGTATCTTTTGGAGTTGAAAGGAGAAAGGAATATTATTGAGTTAGTAGCTGTAGTTAGAGATAAGAATGATGTTTTGATGGCCTTTCCTTATATAGTAAGTACTGATTTTAAGGAGATATTGAGTAAAAGGTCTTTGGCTGATATTAAGTCTTACATGCGCGAGTTGTTACAAGGACTGGTGCCAGTTCATGCTTTAGGTATTATTCATCGTGATATTAAGCCGGGGAACTTCCTCTATAATATGGAGACTAAGCAAGGATGTCTGATTGATTTTGGACTTTCGCAAAGAGTCAGTCTGGATATGAGTAGTAGTAGTAGTAGTAGAGTAGGGAGTAGTAGAGTAGGTGGTAGTGGAGTGAGTAGTGGAGGAGTTGGAGGAGTGGCTAAGAAGCAGAGGTTCTTCTTTACGGCTTATCCTAGTTTGCGAGGGGGAGATAAGAGTTCGGTGACGAGACCGCCGGGGTACTTGTTAAGGGATGGACGACCGGGTATGGATGCGGCTAGATCGGGTACGCGGGGGTTTAGGGCGCCGGAAGTCTTATTTAGAGTGGAGAATCAAACGACGGCTATAGATGTATGGAGTGCTGGGGTGATTTTATTGGTCTTGTTAGCGAAGAAGTATCCTTTCTTCTGTGAGAAGGATGATGTAAGTGCTTTGGTAGAATTAGCTGGTATATTTGGAGGTCAGGAGATGAGAGAAGCAGCTAGACATTATCAAAGAGTTTGGAAGAGTAATATAGAAGAGTGTATTGGTACTAAGATACCCTTTCGTACGGTAGTTAAGTTATGTACGGGTGGGAATGAGATGTATCCGGATTCAGTCTTTGACTTACTAGATAAGATGTTAGCTTTAAAGGATGTAGAACGTATTACAGCTGAAGAAGCCTTAAGACATCGATTCTTCCTAGATTAAAGTAAGTTTATGTTAAGTTAGTATTGAGTTGAGTTGAGTTAGTTAAAAGGATAATAAAGGCTACTGAAGAAGAATTTGGGTTGGGTTAGGATTTGGTTTTAGTTTTAAATTGGGTTAGTATTGAGTTGAGATAAGATTATGTTAGTATTGAGGTGGGTTAAGTTAGATTGAGGTGGATTAAGTTGAGTTGGGTTAAGTTAGATGATGTTATTGAGTTAGATTGAGGTAGGTTAAGTTGAGATAAGACTAAGTTAGATGATGTTATTAACTTGAGATAAGACTAAGTCAGATGATGTTATTAAGTTATTAAGTTGATATAAAATAAGATTGAGATAGTAGCTGAATAAATTAGTAGATAAGTTGTTTATTGGGAGGTGGGTGTTGGGGTGGATTTATGGGGGCGGTGACGGCCGGAAAGATCGGCGGGAGTGGCAGGAAGGTCTGAATCATCTTGTGGAGGTGCAGGGGCATTTAAAGAAGCAGAAACACGACGGGACATACCACAAAGACAAATGAACTGGCCATAGTACTTAGAAAGACTCCAGAGGTACATAACTAAACTAGGCGGATAGAAAGGAACAATCATGAAGTAAGAGAAAAAGACCCGGGCAAATATTAGATTAATAATAGTAGCTAAGTATCCATCTAGACCAAATTGAGCTGTTATACTATCTATACCACAAGCTAGCATAAAGATAGAAAGAGTTGCTAAGACAAGAGCACCTAAAGATTGTGGGAAAAGAAGTACGTGTCCATAAGCTAGTAAAGAAGTTCTTAAGTACTCGTCAAAGAATGAGTTGGTACTAGATGACTTAGTAGTGAATAAAACTCGGCCTAACACATGCATAAACTTAGACCCTTGTATATTCCAGGCAGCACACATTTCAGCAAAACTACCAGATAAGATTAGTTCTTTAGGTTTAGTATTGCTCATATCAGTAATAAAATGAGTTAAGTAACTAGCCTCCTCTAAGTACCATTTCGCTAAAAGACTTAACTGGCCCACTACGCCTAGTAACTCAATCATAGGAACAGCCCAAAGACCATTAGTCTTACTAGCAGCAGCTACTACTTGCTGGTAAATAACGGGATAAACTACTAGCCAAGTCAAACCTACCCCAAACTTAGCCAATCCCAAAGCAACCAATCGGTAGTACTCCTTAATAGCTAAGTGTTCTTTGATTGTGGCAATCCGTTTAGCATCAGTTTCTTGTCCTACTTCGGCATCTATCTTCTCCTTAGGAATTTGGGCAGTTAGAGTAGTATACCCTAAATCTTGCCACTTACTATAAGCAGCATAGGACAGAACTGGCCCATAACGCATCCCAGGAATAAAGAAGATGTACCCAAAGTACCGCATAACTCCCATTGACTGGGGCAAGTATTCTAGTGCTAAGTAAACGTACTTCATAAAAAGCACTGATAAGGTCAAGAACAAATTGTTATCATTCGTATCATAAACCAAGTAAGCTATAAGCATTAGAATTAAGTTCAAAGCAACAACAACTTTAACTCGACTATCTTTCTCTTTTAAGGGCAGATAGCATAAAAACAAGTTCACAACTACACTCAGTACAATCAAACTCAAATTAAGCGTATTATAAAGTATACCCAAGATCAAAAGACCAAAGATTAGATGTAAAATCTCACGAATGTACAAACAGTTAGATAAATGCGGACTTAAAAAAGAGAGTAAATAAGATAAGATAGAGGCCAAAACTAAACGATGATCCGCTGGGGATATTTTAGTTAGCGAAGTATTAAGTAATTCAACTAAATAATCAATCTGCATGGTCAAAAAATAAAAAGGAGTTAAACCCTTCCATTTTCCTTATCGGCTAGCTCTTATTTTGGTTTAAGGAAACTTAAATACTCACTAAATAACAAGTAAATACTAATCTAAGTTCAAAATCAAGAGATATACCATATAAGGATATTGGCAGCAATCGCAAATTTTTATGGGTTGTCATGTTCTCAATACTAAACAATCATCTGGAACTCTACAACAGGCCTGTCTAGAGATAGTCATGACCCTAAAAGAAGATAAGGATCGCAAAATCAACATTAAGACTCTTACCCAGCAGATAGCCAAAAAGCACCAGCTCAAAGATACGCCAAAATTATCCCAAATCTTAGCAACTGTCCCGGAAGAGGAAAAGGATGTTTTAGCCCGATTAAGAGTAAAACCCGTCCGCACAGCTTCCGGAGTAGCTGTAGTAGCTGTCATGGCTAAGCCACATCGTTGTCCACATATTGCCATTACTGGTAACATCTGTGTTTACTGTCCAGGTGGTCCTGATTCTGATTTTGAGTACAGCACTCAATCGTATACGGGCTACGAACCCACTAGTATGCGCGCCATTAGAAGTAGATACGATCCTTATAAACAAAGTAGAGATAGATTAACCCAACTATCTATTTTAGGTCATAGTACAGATAAGGTTGAGTATATTATTATGGGAGGTACATTTATGTCTTTAGACCGTCAGTACCGTAGCTGGTTCATCACTAAATTACATGATGCTCTTTCTGGTCGTGAGTCACACTCCTTAGAAGAGGCTATTTTCTTCAGTGAGCGTAGTCCTAACAAATGTGTTGGTTTAACGATTGAAACTCGTCCGGACTTCTGTATGGAAAGTCATTTAAACGATTTACTCTCTTATGGCTGCACTCGTTTAGAAGTAGGCGTACAAAGTGTTTTTGAAGATGTTGCAGTTGATACTAATAGAGGACACTCAGTCCGAGATGTTTGTGAATCTTTCAAACTAACTAAAGATACGGGATATAAGATAGTTACGCATATGATGCCCAATCTACCCAATGTAGATATGGAAAGAGATGTTTTACAGTTTCATGAGTTCTTTGCTAATCCTAAGTTCCGAACCGATGGACTTAAGATTTATCCTACTCTAGTTATTCGTGGCACCGGGTTGTATGAACTTTGGAAGAACGGCAAGTACACTAACTACTCACCTAACGACTTAATTGATCTCCTGGCCAAAATCTTTGTGATGGTTCCTCCTTGGATTCGTATCTATCGCGTACAAAGAGATATTCCAATGACTCTAGTTAGTTCTGGAGTCGAACATGGTAATATTCGTGAGATAGTTCTGGCCCGAATGGCTGAGCAAGGCTTTGCCTGTCGTGATATTCGCACACGAGAAGTAGGTATTCAGAACATTCATACGCAAGAGTTACCCGATAAAGTAGAGCTTGTCCGTCGGGACTATTTCGCTAGTGGTGGCTGGGAGACTTTCTTAGCCTATGAAGATACGACTAAGGATATTCTAGTTGGTCTTTTACGTCTCCGTCGACCGGGCCGTCATCTTTTCCGACCTGAGTTACAAGGTGCCGTAAGTATTATCCGCGAACTTCATGTCTATGGCAGTGCCGTTCCAGTCGAAGGTCGGGACCTAAGTAAATTCCAGCACCAAGGCTATGGCAAACTGCTTATCCAAGAAGCCGAGCGAATTGCCCAAGAAGAGCACCACTCAACCAAAATAGCCATTATTTCCGGAATCGGCACTCGCAACTACTACCGCAAACTCGGCTACTACCTCGATGGCGCGTACATGTCCAAAGACCTACCGGCCACCCACTAGAACATCCCAACTTACCACTCACGACCACAACTTAAGTACAACATCTTAAGTAATATCTTAAAAGTAAGATCAATAAAGCAACATTTACTTAACTACACACTCCATTACTTATTTACACAACTACTAACTCATAACTACTAACTTAACTACACACCAACCCCATAAGATAAGACTTTCACACCATCTTTTTGAGACAACGCCATCCTTTCACATATCATCACATTAAGTTAAGTTAGGCTGGGTGGAGTTAAGATAAGTTAAAGATAAGATTTAGCTACTATCTAGTATTATTTATTGAGTAGCCATTACATTATTCACTTACACATACTACTTGCGCAACCCCACTCAACCTAACCCCGCTCAACACCAACCTAACCCCACATAACCCCACTCAACTCAATACTAATGTTATCTTAATTTAACTAATTTTAACTTAATTGAATATTAAAATTAATTTCCTTATGGGGTAATGACGTAATAAAATAACATTTATTTCCTTTTATGGTAACCGTTTGACTCATTTTCCTAATATGGTAATCACAACCAACCATCACCTAACGTCATCCCAATACTAACCCAACCATTTCCCGACAAATCCCACCTATAAATAGTAAAATTTTTTAATCCAGCATGGCATACAACAGCTTCGGCAACAACCGACCTGGCAGCGACTTCAAAAGACGTGATACTTGGGGTGGCGATAGAAAAGAAAATTCCAGATTTAATTCCTCCGGCCCCAGAAGACCTTTCGGTGACTCAGTCAAAGATAACGGACCAGTTGATTTTGAAAAAGTCTTCTACACCGAACATTCAGAGTTATCTAAACTAACCGATGAACAAGTTTCAAAAACTAGAAAAGATTTTGATATGACTATCACTGGTGATAATATTCCTAAACCATGCATGAACTTTGAGTATATGGGCTTCCCCATGAACATTCTTAAAGAGTTCAGCCGTTGTGGATTCACAGCTCCTACTCCTATTCAAGCCCAAGGTGTCCCTATGGCCTTATCTGGTAGAGATATGGTAGGTATAGCTAATACTGGTTCAGGTAAGACCTTATCTTTTATTCTTCCAGCTATGATACATGCCAAGGCCCAACAACCACTAAGAAATGGTGATGGTCCGATTGTTTTGGTTTTAGCCCCTACTCGTGAACTTGTCTCACAGATAGAGGAAGAAGCCTCTAAGTATGCTAAGTATTTTGGACTAAGAACTACTTCTGTCTTTGGAGGAGTATCTTCTGGTCCTCAGAAATCAGCCTTAAGAAGAGGAGTTGAAATTTTGATAGCCACACCGGGTAGATTGATAGATCTTTACGATCAAAGAGCTTTGTTTTTAAGTAGAGTAACTTTTATGGTCTTAGATGAAGCCGATCGGATGTTAGATATGGGATTTGAGCCGCAATTGAAGAAGATCATTCCCGAGACGAATCCCAAACGGCAAACTCTAATGTGGAGTGCTACTTGGCCTAAAGAAGTCAAGGAATTAGCCCGGAGTTATATGAAGGATTATATTCAAGTTAAGATTGGAACGGCTGATTTAGTAGCTAATGCTAAGATTGTTCAAAAGACTTATATGGTAGATCATTGGGAGAAAGATAAGACTTTATCTGAGATCTTATCAGAAGTAGGAGGGGATGAGTCTAACAATCCACGAATTATTATCTTTTGTAATCAAAAGAGACGTTGTGATGAGTTAGTAGATAAGATGCAAGAGTATGGCTGGCCAGCTGAAGCTCTGCATGGAGATAAGGCTCAAAATCAAAGAGATAAGATTATTGCTGATTTTAAATCGGGTCGTCGGACTATTTTAGTGGCTACTGATGTGGCTGCTCGTGGTTTAGATGTTAAAGACGTTAAAGCCGTGATTAATTACGACTTCCCGACTAATTGTGAGGATTACATCCACCGGATAGGCCGGACGGCTCGAGGGAACAGTGTAGAGGGCCATTCCTTTACGTTCTTCTCAGCTAGGGATGATAGAAGCAATGCCAAGAAGTATGTGGAGATCTTGAAGGAGACGAATCAGGAAATACCTGCGCAGTTAAGTACGTTAGCTATGTCCCGTGGGGGCAGTGGTGGCGGTAATCGGCGGTATGGCGGTAATGGCGGGGGTTTCCGGGGTGGCCGTGGAGGCAAGTGGTAAGCCCATAGACTGAGCGAGTTATGAAGACCTGCAAGATGATAATAAATCTAATAGACAGACTAATCATAACTCTTTTAGTAAGCCTTTATCTGATCGTTTTTTATCTTATCTTCTTTTTTATCTCTTTATCATTTTATTGCCTTATCTTATCTTCTTATCTTATTTTCTTATCTTATCTCCTTATTTTATCTTATCTCATTATTTTAAGCCAATAAGGTATTTTTGCTTTGATTTGGGATCTAAATCTAGATAATAAAAAGCTATCTTAAAAACGTTATATCAAGTTATGGTTACGTTACGATTATGTTATGTATTGGGTTGGGTTATGGTGGATTGGGTTGGGTTAAGTTAGGATTTTGTCGTGTTGGTAAGTGACTACACGCCGTTTTCAACCAATACCAAACCAATACTAACTCAATAGTCATATTAGATACTCTTCAGATTATTGAATGAAGTATCAGTGCTGGCTATGACGGGTACAACACCTAATTGGGTTGGTATCTTCTTAAACTAAATACATCTAGTGTTTATAGTTTGGAGTTGTCCTCTACCAATCTCTAACTCTACCAACCTCTAACACAACACACCCCACTACCAACTCAATGAAACTGCTGATGAAGAATAAAGATGCACTAACTTGTGTTTATCTTCTTGAAACAGATTGCAATGCAACTGACATAATTTAAGGACCCATAATCTTTACTAGTAAAGAATGTTAGTATATTGAACACCACAGATTTTAATAAAGATACGGTTTGAGTTAGTGTTGAGTTAAGTTAAGTTGGTGTTAAGTTGAGTTAGTATTGGTTTGGATGTAGTTAGTAATGACAAGATGGTGATTTTGTAAAATGGACTGTTAGATATTGAGTGGTGGTATGGGGTGCTGGGACGGGGTAAAGAAGAGGAGAAGTTGTTGGAAGTTGGTGTAACAGAAAACCCAGTTGAGAGTGAGTAGGAGGACAATGGGAATAAGTAGACCAATAGATACGAATGCGCATAAACATAATAGATAGCAGCGTGCATAATGCCAGGCAATATTGGCACAGTTGTGGTTGGGTTGGGTGAACATAAGCACTATAATACGGCTGACAATGAAGATAGTGACTAGACTGGCTAGAATAGGAAATAAATTAAGGGAGACTAGATAGATACGTGGTAGGATCCAAGAACAAGTGGGTGATGTTTCGAGTGTGTGGTACAGATGACTTAGATAGAAGTAGATGGCTGCATTCATAATGAGAGTGGAAAGAGCTGAGATAAGAAGAATTAGGCCATCTTTGTTTAATACTCGAATTAGAGATAGTGGTAACATGTGGTTATTCTAAAAAAGAAACCAGATACTTAGTATTAGGTTAGGCAGTGTAGGTTGTGACACGATCAAAATGATTTGAGTTGAGCTGGATTGGGTTGGATTGAGTTGAGTATGTTGAGTAAAGTTGGGCTACGGAAGATGGGAAAGATAGTGATTGGTGAGTTGGGAATTAAATTTAAACACGAGATTGGTGGTAAAAGCTGTAGAAGATGGGTAGATTGTTGAGATGTTTGCATGAGATGGCTAAATTGGAAACTCAGGAAATGAACTGGCTGAGCCAGGTTTGGTGGGGTTTGGAGTTGTATATGGGGGTTAGTAATTTGGTGTTGCGATCTTATTTGGCTGGAGTCTTATATATGCAGAGATGGGGGTTAAATAGTCAAGAGAAGGTGTTGGGCTGGGGGTGGATGGGGTGTATTGGGGTACTAATGGTTGGGCCGGGGTTGTACTCAATGGTTATTTCTGGTTGGAACTTGATTATGACGTGTGAGGCGGATAGTACTAGTAAACGGGTGTCTGATATGTACTCTTTATGGATGGTGGTGTTTATTTATTCCATGATGAGTATTCCCATGGTTTTGTTTCGTTGTTGGATTGCTTTGTTGTTATTGTTTGGTCTGATTGCGGTTAAAGAAAGTGAATGGATGTTATTTATTGGATTGTTGCCTAATTTGGTAATTAAGATAAGAGGGGGCGGTGTTCTGATAAGATCGCTTTGGAATAAACGTCGAAGTAACTCCAAAACTGCGTATGGGTTGGCATTGGCTAATAAGATCATAGACGTTTGCTCATTGGGTATGTGCTTAGATCTGCTGGTTCATGAGATGCCTTGGAAGTTTGGAAGGAGTTAGGTTGTATTGAGTTAGGTTGGTTTGTGATGGGATGGGATGGAATGGAATATTAGGTTGATTTTGTATTAAGGTGGCCATTAGGCAATGTTTAGATGGGGAGTTTATTGACAAATGTTGATATTTAATGAAGTCTGATCTCTGATATCATAATCAGACAAAATTTGCAATAATGTCCTAAAAAGGAAAATCTCCTCGAAATAAATAGAGATTGATTAAAAAAACGGATGGTTAATGTTGCCCAATGTGTTCTGCACGCTTGCAATATAGGAAAAGAACGTCGAGATTATCTTAAGAAACAGTCATTTTTCGTCTATCTCTTTATCTGGTGCATGTCTACTATGAAGAATGCTCATTTATACATACTGATGTATACCAAACAAGTGGCTTTTCAATCTAAACCAAACGACACGTTTTTAGCGCCTAATAGTCTAATGTGCTTTTTGGTGCAATTACTCTTCAGCGTTTATAGCTTATATATTATGCTGATGTGGGGTACTAGATTTGTCATTCATTATCGCAAGCGCTTTGCTGCTGGTGGTATTGGGCCTTTCCTGTGCTTTACATCAACGGTTGGATCGGCTATTAAGAACTGGTTTTTGAAGTTGCTTCAAGAATGCTTGACTGGAATAGTACTGGGAATATTGTTGGCCCAACTTCCACCTCACCACTTCGTTGGTAAGGGATTGCTTTTTATCCTTTACAGTTTCTTGTTGGCGGCCAAAATCAGTAATTTCAAAACACTGATAAAAAGATGCGCCAAAGCCACTGATCAAGATGAAAAGATGGGTTACATCATTGTTTTGATCAAAAACACCATCTCAACCTACTTGTTGTTCCTAGTAATGATTCTTTTATTCACTATTACTGATCATAGACCAGTGTTTCCCAGTGCTACATTTGAAGCAAAATTCCAGTATACCGGGGATCCTTCTGACTTTAAAGGTCAATAATTACAAGTGATAGAGACCACTCTCTAATAAACCACCCTAGAAATCTGTTATTGTTATGGCATTTAAATGAAAGGCCAGTAATGCATGCCTATTACGATTGCGTAGCGGGTTAATTGGTAGATTATTGGCCTTCTAAATTGTTTAGTATCTAAATTGGGTTAGTATTGGGTTTAGTGAGACCATGCAACTCAGTTCATTAATGTTAAAGCCTGGATTTATACCCTCAAGATTGATTTGATGCTAAAATCCAATTTATTGGGTTAGTATAGTGCCTAATACGAAGTCCATCTTAACCAATACATACTCTATTAAAGACAATCCTTGAGGTGAGTGTGGGCACCATTTATTGAGTGAATATAGGCGTGAGTGAGTACGACTTCGTACTGAGTGAGTGTAGATATACAAAACTAAAGTGGTCAAAACTGCCTGGTTATATTAAAATTACGTCGTGGCCGTAACATCAATTGATGGCTATTAGTGCATAACCTGCCAGAGATCAGGTTGATCGTATTGGTATTGGGTTAGTATTGGCTAGTGGTTCTAGGGCGGCCCCGCATAGAGATATATCGAAGGCCTCATTAAGATGTGTGGGAATGCTACAAACACTACACTAACCCAAGACTAACATATTTTCAAATAATAGCTAAATCGTCAAAATTTCCTTTTTGGGTAATTCTGGGGACTATAATTTGTAATATTATTTTGGACTAGTAAATGAACGCCACTCTCAAGCCGAGTCAGCCTTATGCAATACTTAATAACGATAGTTTGTTGGAAGAAGAACTAGTCCGCACCCCAACTGCTTTTGAACACTGTTTTGACATCTTTAACCAAGAATATGACAAGTTCAAAAGGATTATGCCATTTAATGGGGTCTACGCCATACAAACGCTAGCAGCCCTTATCATTATTTCGATAATCCTAGTTGCTTCTATCAATATAACCCTATCTTGGGGAACCCTGGATACTTTAACTTGTGCTTTGATTGGCATAAGTTTTGCAATCTGTATAATCTCGTCAGTAGTTGAAACCGTAGTATTCGTAGGTAGTGGTATTGCCGGTGCCAAATCGTCTAAAAACTCACAGAGCATGCTCTTGGTGATCGCCGACATAGTGACATATATATTAAGCTCTATGGTTCTTATCCTTATTGGAGTTTGTCTCATAATTGTGCTGGCATCCTCTCCTAAAATAGTGACCCCAATTCTCGGTGCTTTGGCTGCTCTAATCTATCTCCTAATCAGAACGGCTCAGACGGTTTCTATTTGGAGATGTATGGTAAAAGAGTCCATCGGGAACACTGGCATAACCTCAAAGCGCAAGCAAGGATTCTACTTGGCGATGTCCACCTACATAGTAGAACTGGTATTCACTGGCGCGCTTTTTGGAATGGCTATCTTTGCTTTGACTCAACCTAGCTTCCTTGACCTACTCCAACTCTCTGCTGAGCATACAGACGCCATTTGTAAGGTCTTCACGAAAATAACGACATTCATCTAGTGCCAGAAACCCGATAGTTATCAATCTACGCATTGCTGTCTTCTTGTATGTGACCCAAATATGCCAATAATGAACAAAATAGCAATAAAGACGTTTTTTGATATCTGGTTAGGAACAAATAGAGTTGAGTTAGCATTCGGTTAAAAGTAGATGCGCTCAACTTGCAATCAAGCTAACACCAAATACCCACTCAATAATCTGGTTTGATCTGTGCTAGCTTAGTGCGAATCTAAAGTATCTAGTGGAGAATACCATCAGTTTATTAAAGCAAATCTTGACTTTAAACTTACATATCAATAAGTCAACTATGATAATTTTGGCAGGCTAACTTTATAGATTACACTCAATACATTCCTCAATATGATAAGACATAAAGCGTACTCGACAGTTAGTTAGTGGACTGGCGTCGGACTTTGTTGTGCTAAAAGCTCCGCGCAGAAGAGGAAAATGGTCATCCCAATGTTCATTCCCGTGAAGACCATGGTTAGCTTATATATTCTATCGACAATCAAAAATCCAGCTCGGCGTTTAGGGCCCAGATCATCGTCGGTCGACTCACATCGTTTAGCAGCATTGAGAGACCTGATCCGCAATAATAGCATTCGTACCTCAATAAAGCACAGAATGAAGATAATAATGTTGCAGTTATGATGATTAAGGAGGCCAAGGAGAACGCAAACGAGTATGGCAGACAGGATGGCACCTATATGCGTAAAGCCTCTAAAGATATAATACTGGAGAGTGCAATTAACAGGATTACGTTTCTGTGCTTGGCAGTTCAATGTGTAGCGGGGAATGCATGTGTTTGCTGCCACTGCCATCTTGGTAAGTATCACAGTGATTGTAAAGAGTAACATAAGGAAGGCAACAATAAAGACCCATGGGCTATGGCTATTCATGTTGTATAGATAGATGTTTAGCTGGGAGACAAACGATACGAAAGTGAATGCGCCAAGAAAATCATCCAATACACTTGCCAGTCTTAGCGGCAGAAGGCTTCTAAGTTTCCAGTCTTCGAGATTGCTTATCTTAACATACTCTCCTAAGACAGATTCGATAGGAAGGAAGACTGGTTGGCCGGTCTTATAACTCGTATAGGTGGGACAGTATATTGTTTTGGGCGCGGGCAATGCATTTGGAGTTGTGTTTGTCTCGTAGCCTGGTGTTGTATTGTCAGATAGACTAGGGTTTGGGGCGCCTATTGGAAGATGATGGTTGATAGGATTAGATGCCAATGTGACTGCTACAGAAGGGGTGGAATTTGTAAATAACGACTCATATGTTGGGGGCAAGTCTTTATCGCTACTTGTTTGGTCCATGTTCTAACAAAAATTGGCCATATTTATAATTTCACCTCACATCTTCAAACAGGGAAATCAATGATTTTTATTACATCTTCTAATTTGGAAATGTTACCTTGGAATTTTACTTTAATCCTATTTATGACTCTCGGAAATAATATATCTTAGATAGCGAAGCTTTGCTAAGGCCGAGCCTCAATGTATATAAATGTGTATGGTTTATTGACTTTTGTATATCCTGTCTTATTGTTTTCTAAGGTTTTATTTAGGATATCGCTATCTTGTTTGTGCTATTGTTAGGCCTATCATTAATATCTGAGTTCACATCTGGCTGGCAAGTCGTAGGTTGAATCAATCTTAACTTACAGAGGTTGATCTTGTTAATGTACACATTCATTCTACGTTTATTTAGATATCGTGATAGGTTGGTTAGGAATTCTCCGTAGAGGCAATAATGTCAAGCTTGTCGGAACTCTCTCTAGAGTTGCACCCTACTGCCCGGTTTGGTTACTCTCTAGAGTTGCACCCTTCTGCCCGGTTTGGTTATGCCAGGTCCAGATTAGCACCTTAGATTAATATTCTGCGACCAACCCAATACTAACTGTGGTGTTCAGAGTATCCACCACCTTTCTTGGCTTGTATTGGATTAGTATTAGGTTGGTATTGGTTGAGAACGGCGGGCTGCCACTTACCAACACGACATTTATATATCTTTGGAATGTTTTAGCCAACGAGCTTTTGAGGCTTCAGACTATTTCACTCCAATAATCAATTACAAACCCAGCCAACAAAACAATCAACTTTAGCTTATCACAAACTTAGTAGTATCTAGACTTAATGGGAAATTTATTCTTCTGAGCACTTTATCGTGATATCATTATCACAATATACGTGATAAAGTAGCAATATCTATTAAACTAAAGCCAAGCTTTAAGTTAGTACTAAAATTGCCACTCTGGCCGTTAGAATCAACTAACCCAAAGCCAACCCATTGCAAAGTGCAGTCGGCTATTAGCATCTAGTCACTTACATTTGTGACTGATCCAGGGCCCTCACTCCACCAATAGCAACACCAATACTAACGATAGCAGTTACGACAACCAAGACAGCAAAAGCAACCTCGAGCTTGTACATATATCCGGCGATACGATACCCACTAGCGCGGTTTAGACTCATGTCCTGAGTCTTCGCTTCCTCTCTCTTGTCCTTGTTGAGAGCTGAGAGACGGTAGATTGACATTATAAGGGCAAGGAAGCCGAGCACAGTAGCAATACCCATGAAAGAGAAAGGAGAAATGTCGAAGACTACAAGGATAAGAATCTCAACAATTGTTACTGCGAGGGTCCATTTGATCATTTGCCTGATATAGTACCAAATAGCATCCCAAACTGGATTAGGTCGCTTGGCCATACGATTCACCATGCATCGAGCGAAGAAGGCCCTTATACCTAATACGAAGGCTGTTAGGTTAAGGGCCGTTATCAATAAGAAAAGACCGAAGAAGAAGAGAGAAACAAGTGATACGCCCGATGCCATGTAATCGGAATAGTTGTATAACAGACCAATCATAGCGTTAGAGAATCCAATAACTATATAGTTGAAAATAGTTGCTAGTCTTAATGGCAAAGCTTGTCTAAGCTTCCAGTCTTGTACGTTACTGATTTTAACGTACTCTTCCATTGACGAGCCACTAATAGTGAGGATAGGCTTCTTGTTCGTGTAGTAATGGTATCTAGGATAATATGGAGTTAGATTCTCAGTGGGCAGTGGTACTTTTGGGGGGATGGAAGATGGACCGTCTTGATGGTATGTCGAAGGGGTGAGGTGGGGCGTGTT